GTTACCATCCAACCAACCATTCCAACTTTCATCTCGCTCATCTACAAGTTTTCCTTGTTAGTAGTTTGGATGGAAGGACATGAAGATGGAGAATTGCGATTACGAATAGTTATTCAGCCTGCAGGACCTAATGTACGTATACATATGCATACTTTCACACATACACATACGTACATGCACATATAGTCTCACCTTGAATTCAGACTCTCATCGATCAATGTTAAAATCATTTATTGGATGCACAAAACGAAATATTATAAAAGTTTCGTCATATCTAGAAATCTGAACATTTTGAGATCAAGCACAAAGAGGATGATCTAGTAATCTGCAAAGAAAGCCACGTCACAAAAACCTTTATTCAAAATAGTACTCGCGAGAAACTTGCTTGACAATGGGGAGAAATTGAAGGTGTGCATGACATGGCTTCAAGTGGTGATGATGGAATATGGGTCATGTCATTCCAATATCACTTCACTCCCATTGTCACTTACACATCGTTAGAAGTGCGAAGAAAAGTTTGTGGAGCAGAGTTGGTTTCATCGCAAAGTGAAAGCACCCTAACTCAGCTCTGACATGAATTCTCTTATTTCCCCAAATCCATTTCATCCCAGCACCAGCAAAGAAAATGTCTTCATCCAGACCAACTTCCTATTACTATTATCGCTATAACTATCAACGATTGTTGATTATACGCTAATGACTATGAGGATGAGCACTATCAGTATATGTCTGTCTAAGGAGGGGAGGTCTGCAATGATGCTATTTGGACACCTTATCAGACCCTATGAATGAGAATAGTAAAATAATCCAGTGGTTAAGCATTATTACGCTCGTCACACCCCCTGGAAGCTCCAAATAGCACCAAACTCGTACCTTTAAAATAATTTTTAAAAACTCCAACGTTTCTAGAATTTTGAAAATTCTTGTAGTTTTTTGGTTCCACACAGTCATTCTATTCAATACCAAACTCAATTTTTTCAATGAATTTTACTGAAAATTTCCTGACCAGGGGTCTCTCTTGGAAGAAAAATTAACTTCGCACTAACATTGCAAGCACTGTAACTTCCCTAAATGTATACTAAAGAATCATGGGAAAATGGAATAGGTAGCCGTTGGTTAATGAAAGTGAGCAGAAGAATCACTATCAAACTTATTTTCTCATCTTTCAATAACGATTCTCTCTCTTCCTCTATCAGACCGAAGGGTTATACCGTTTTCTTCCGGTCGCCTGCTTTCTCCTCTCTCCCGTCCCTTTGCTACATCCCAGAGTCAAGTCTAGGCCGTCAATATCTCTGTGTCCATCTGCAGCTAAGCGAAACCAACCAAGCTCCATGGGCAGAGACCTCCTCAGTCACATCAAAAGACATTACACCTTTTACGTTCTGACCGAGTTTGGCGGTCGATGGATAAGTCTTTGAGCAACTTAATAACTCCCTTCCGAACGGGATCCTTTGATTGTGATGATAGCTTTATCGCAAATCATCTATTTGAATTTTTAGGAGCAATCAATATACGTCCGTATTGTAGGCACCTCCTTCGTTGTGCTAACTTGAGGGACTTTATCTTGGTTAAGACGACGGACTTTGTAATTCTTTACTTTCTCCTAAAATTGAATGGCTTGCTTTGTACTTGGTCTGCTTGCAAAGTTCTGAATAGTAATATGCAATTTACCCTCCATCACCCTCGTCCTGCTTAAGTCGGTATAAATATGTATACGCAGTCAGTCAGTCAGTCAACCATTCTTTTTACTCTCATTTCCGTTTAAATAAATTGCACATCTGTTTAGATTGAAGGTTGGATAAAAGCTGACTACTTTATAGTCTTTAATGAACGAGCAGAGTAAAGAATTCGTAATTACACGAAATGTAAGGAGAGACTGAGCGGTGTAGAGTGATAGCAATCTTAATACGAACCACAACTACTGCGGATTTAAAGCAAGGATGAGATAAATGGCTCCAGCAAGACGCCCACCAAGGCTCGCAAAATGAGTGACAGGATGAAGAGGAACAAGACTTTCTCCTCTCCTTCTTTGTGTGTACGTTCGCATACTCATTCAGAATTCTGCTCCTCGGCTACCGGGTTATTTTCTTTTTCTTTACTTTTTTTAACGTGAAGTGTGATGCGAGAGGCATGCGGATGACTTGGAGAGAGAGAAAGAGAGCTAAAATCAAGAGATGAGACCAACGAACCAAACCCAGGGAACTAACAAACCAGAGTGAAGACGAGTAGCTGGAGTCAAGCAAACGAAACCACGACCACGTACGTACTCCCTCTTTTCTCTCATAAAAACTTTTCACTCCGCATTGGTTTTGACTTTAAGATGTGGATTCCTTGACATTTCCTCTTATTTAGTTTTCCCTTAATTTAAAAGCGAAGAAAAGAAGGGACCCAAAAGTTCTCTTCGTGTATAAGCAGTCTCGCTTCCCTGCTGGTTTCACACTTGAAACCTCACCAATGAAAACTAAACCTCCGAACAATGAGCTCTTACTTCACTACTGCTCCTACATAAATATATGGCGAGAGATTTTCATTTCCACACTTTTCGGGTATTCATCTTATTTCACACATATTCGATCCCATTTTTTTCGTCACGTTTCATATCATTCTTTTACATTCTTTTAAATCCATCGTCCCTTTTGTCGTGAAACTAGGGAATTCCATTCTTTGTCCTGAGATGAAGACATTAATGATCAGTTTGGCACCACGTTGTCTGCCAAAGTGTATTAGCCCTGGCATGCATGCATGTAAATGTATTGCGTGTTGCTCGGAATTGTAAATATATCCGTGTACATACATACATATGTAGGAACGAGCGGTGAACGAGATGTTCGCCCATGAAAGCCAGTAGTATGTACTTAGTAGCAACGGTTTGAGATCCCGTCGTGGTTGTGATACTAATCTCATTTACTTACTCTGTAGATAACCATAATAACCAGGCTGGTGTGAAAGAATGGAAAGGAATAGATTGACTCAATCTGCATTTCAAGATGTCTACACTGCTGCGTGATTTTGATTAAGTCTGGCTTCCTTTTCCCCTTCCCTTGCTTGTTGAGCCAAGGCAAAAGGGAGTCATGAATGAAAATGGAGTTATATATTCTGGAGATGGTGTTCTGAAGATTGGGGGTAGGTTAAGAAGAAGAGGAAGGAAGCAAGTACGAGTTTCTCACGATTTGTTACGTTATCAAGTTACGTTCTCTTCACGTACAGTAACTCAAACTTCATCTTACGTACACTATGATAATGAACCCCTTGGGGAATATCTATTTTGTTTTCCTGTGGATTTCCCTATTGTTCTGGTTTCTCGGTCGAAACCAAATTTCATTTTGGCACTGATGTATAGTAGCAGTAAGTATGTGCAACCTCTATACTGGTTGCCACCACCTATTAAAACATGGAAGATTCTCACCACGAAACTGGCACACAGCAAAATGGATGGTGTGGTAGTGGGTGCGCAGAAATAAATGTAATTGGTATATACGTACGTACGTATATTCTCCGAGTCTTCTGATGATGATAAGCATGCCTGCTTTTACTTATGTGCTGATGGGTTAACGTTACTTACGCTTGCTTTTGGCTGGCATCTTGTTCATGTCATTTGAATATTCCAGCATCATTGGGAAAAAAGACAAATCCCTGAGCAAATCTTCTAACTTGCTTCTTACACCAAATTATTGTCAGAATACATTAGTTGGTGGGAACTAAAAAGGAGAAATTAGAGGTTGCCAACATACACATACATACATCGGAAAGGAAGGAACTTTATACTTGATATCTTGATATTTTTTAGTCGCATCAATATAAGAACACATTTTCATGTTTCCTAAAGCACACAACTCGTTTTTTCTACGGGTATGCAAGTAGAAGACACCAAGAAAAAAGAAGAAAGTGTGACGACTTGTAGACATGAGATGTGGATTTCATTTCATTCGTTGTTGGGATAGATTATAAACCAAGTTTCGTGTGTATGTATCTAGTTAGTTATCGAATCTCGGTACCTAACCAGCCTCGTTGTGTGGAGAAAAGGGTCATGCCAACTGGCTGGCCGAATTTACTGTGAAGGATTCAGTGAAAGCTCAAGGAAGTTGAAATCCGGCTTAACACCTCCTCTTAGTACTTTCATCTCATCGTTCAGAACATAAATTTGCTCTAAGCCGATCTTTACTTTGCGAAAGCTGCTAATTGAATCTGCTACCCAGTTTGGCTTGAACAAATGTGGCTTAAAATGGGGCAGAGGTTCCCAACATATGATGCATATTTATTATCGTATGATATTTTTTCATCCTGAATTCAAACAGGCCGTACACATTACGAAAACTAAGTACCAACATCATAAACTTAAATTATGGGAAAAGAATCTACTCCATCTGGATACCTACAATTCTCATTTATATTATAGAAATTTTAATAGTGGTCCTTATGTAAAATATTGTAAATTTTGATCCTGACGAAGAAAATCATGTATTGTTGAAAGCTCAGAAATAAAACTATAAAGTTTCACAAAACATCAGGTCTCATAACCGTTTCAAATACTTCTATGCTATAAAATATTTCCTTCATTACAAGCATAAATTACACACCTGCATACAAACCAAGACTAATCTGACAAATATATATGGGTAAGCGTGTGTTAGGTTTTTATAGATGTGACTTTTTGGTTCGGGGTGACTTGAATTACATGCTAAACCATAGCGAGAGTTTAGAATGTGAAATAATCTGAAATGGCACTGTGTCAAACATTCTCCTTCGCTTGTCATTCTATCGCAGACACAACCACAAAGCTTTTAATGTTCCTTCTCAATCACGTAAAATAGAGACGTAACCAACCGTAATCGGTGGATGTATGACAGCAGAATTCAATTGGTTGAAATATGTGAGCAAAAAGTCAAAACTAAAATGTCTAACCCCCTCTGGTACAAATATACATTTCTATTCCCGTTGTTCTCTTGTGCCAGGAAGGAAAAAAAATCTAGGGAAAAATGAGACATGTATAAATACCATACCTTTGTCTAAGCTTAGCCTCTCCGTCTCGTATGGAAATGTTGCGGATTCTATTTGGTTAAAAAATTAATAACTCATTATGCATCAGTCAATATTATTCACGAAATAAAAGCGATGATAAATTTTAATTACCTGAGCTACTCCACGCAGGCTGCATGTTAATGACGAAGAAAAGAAAGGGAACGAGCCAAATTCGACAAGACATCTTACTTAAAAATCCAAATGTTGATTGCAACTGACGAGAAGAATCCATTATCACGTCCAACAGCAGCAAGTCGACGTCGTCCACGTAAGCAAATCTTTTTCTTCCTCTTTTTTTCTTTTCCTAATCCGACCAACGTGCTTCTTTTTCTTTTCTCTTCGTGGTCCCAAGTCGTTTTAGAGCCGAGAAAAAATCATTATCGACTACTCGACGTGCGTGGTGGATCGAAAAAAAAATCCAACTGACTATTTCTTATTCAAGGAAGCCAGAATTAGGAAATAAAACAATTTCGACGCCCATTCGCCTGGGACAAAGGAGCGTAAATGTTAGCAAGTTATTGTTGTTGATCGGTGCACCACTGGGAACTGGCTGCTCCTGTCTCGGCCACTTTTTCCAATTTGAGAAGTGAAAGCACCTCCAGGAAAGAAGAACCTGAATCTGAGCTTGTTTGGGTTGGTTTAGTTTTGGTTGAGGGCGATGGTGCCACAGAGCAGGTAAAAGTGAAGGGAAATGAAATCCTGACAGTTTAGGAAGGAACGAGGAGAAGAGTGTGCAGTGGATGTGACACGACTACTTTCTCCCCTCACTCCGCTCTGACTGTGAAGTTTAAGTTTCACTACGAAAGATTTCGCATTCAGCACAAACTCAGTTCGTGAAAACTTTCACTTCTTCTCTCCACCAGACAAAGTTTACTTGCCACCCTTGCTTCCTTGCCATACATGCACGGCGCTTGGGTCGTCTGTAAAAATTGTGGCTGGAGTATTGTAGCGACACAATGTTATTCTTTTACAATAAAATGATGACGATTCTTACTTAAACACCACTACCTCCTGTGTATCGCAGGGATAAACAAACATATCAGTGTCACCATTTGTTCTCCCTTTTTTTCCTTGTCTCAGTCAGTGAGGAGCTGTTCTAATTTCACTCTTTGCTTAATGTTATTGCTTATTATTATTCCGTCGGTGGTATTAATACAAAGCCCTTGTCGGGTGCGTCTATGGAATGCAAATGGAATTGGAGGAATAATTCACAAAGTAATTTAATTCAGGCAGGCACACACCAGTCGGCAGAGAGAGAGGTGGATTGGGACACGACAAAAGTACACGTTCGTTCATTGGTGGGCCATAATGGAAACAAGAGCAGATGGATTATGAAACGGAAGTGAGTAAAGTTTCTTGATCTTGAATGAATAATGAGCAAGTTGGTGTGTGCTGGGTGGAAATGTCGTATGTAAACTGTAGTAAACTGTGGTCGGTCGGATGGATGTTGCCCTTTGCACTCTTGTTCGTTTTCGAATTCTTTTTCGCTTCTACCTGCGTCTTCCTCCGGTGGAGGAGAGATCGAGAGAGAGGAGTTCTACTTGGTCGGTGGGCAGGAAACAGAGAGAAAGTAGGAAGAACAAGTAATAAAGCAGCTTTTCTTGGGGGATTCCTTTCCCAATGTTATATTCCACACACTCGCACGGAGGCTATACATCAACCAACCTCTATACAATTCATTCAATCAAACCCTCCTTGTGTTCTCCTCCTTTTTTCTGCCACTGCCATGGCCGTCATGAGTTATCTCTGCTAAAGTTGACAGGACTGGTGTAGTGGCACTGATACCGCTAATGGGAACCTATCTCTATCTCTCTCTTTCTGAGAGTGTTATTCGTTTTATTGACCTTTATAAAATATAAAAACAGAGCAAGGTGAGCGAGGAAGAGATGTGTTTTGCTGATGCACAAACGACAGTGTTGGGGAAAGTGGGGAACTTTCTTTCTCCTCTACTTTTTCAGGGAGAGAGAGAGAGATGAGCAAGTGGAGAGAGTGAGTTATCTCTTCAAGATATAGATTGATGGGTCCAGCAAATATTATTGGCAGGCAAAGTCCAAACCAAACCAACCGCACGAGAAAGACCAGCTGAACAGGAAAGAAAGTGTACGTACAACAAATTTCACTCTCCTCTTGCTCCACACCAATCCAGTAGCAAAGCAAAGAATGTGTTCACTAAATCCGAATTCAATTGATTTTTGGATTTCCAACCCTTCCTCTTCTTCTTCTTCTCCGCACCATCAGCGGTGGTCTAACAGTCTTAGTCTTGATACAGAGGAAAAGCACTTGAGCACGGAGAAATGTAGAGCCTCCTCTGACACATTTCTTATTTAGCTGGCTTCAGCATTTGGCAGCAGAGACAGATCTTGCTTATTATATTTCTTTTATTTGAACTTTGCAGACGAGGAGGGAGAGGAAACTACTCGAATTCAGTGAACCATTTTATTCCACGCTAGCCACCTTCCCTTGTTCTTCGTCTTTCCTCCGGTAGTAATCAGCAGGAATCAACGACGAAGGAGGACACCACAGAGGTGCACTGGTCTGTGGAGGCCAACTGAGGAGAGAAGGAGAGAGCGAGTGGAGGAAGTGACAGTGGTGTGGACCGTAGCAGCAGCAGCAGTGATAACAGCAAGGTGGCACACGTTCAACTGACACTCTGTCCGCGGCAGACTTTCTCTTTCTGCTGGGCACGAGAAACTCTCTCCCACCAACTCCAATGCCATATAATGAAGAACATGCGAGTTTTGAGCAGAGACGACGACGCTACTGCTGAAAGCACATACAACATAACATTGTTATACCCGGAATGGATTCAAGCTCCCCCAAAAACAGTTCTAACTGAGGAGAGCTACGAACGAGCGAGTGAGCGAGCTGAGAGAGAGTATGGTTGGATTGGTGTGGTATGAAAGAAATACGGGCAGAAGTAGTTTGGTTGGACCCGTTTTCGGGTCTTTGGGATCGATCTTCTAGGTGGGGGGAATTTCTCAACTCTTAGTTCTCAGCTAAAGCTGCACGCTCGGTACGTCTCTCTATCTTTCCTACGTCCGTGTAGTAGGCATGGGAAGAAGAAGCCTGGTTTCCTCTCGTATTTGTATAGGCAGAGACACGACGACTGTTGAGGATAATGTTCAATACAACTGAAACCAAGTTGCAAATACGGACAGATCTGTAAGCGATGAATATAATGGAAATTCCGCTTTTTTCAGCGCAATACAGCAAATACATACATATGTGCATGGACCCAATCCGACTACCACCACTTAAATATGCGTATCACACTATCTACTTTTGTGTGTCTTTGTTTATTTTCCTGCTGTTGAAAGTTATCAAAATCCTTCTCCAATTTCAAATTTGATCCCATTGTTGTGTTTTGTAATTTCATCGTGCGAGGAAATACCAAACTTAAGGAAAAAACGGGGAGAAAATTGGACAAACTTGTTCTTTCTTGTACTTTTCTGGGTACAAGGAATGGAAAGCGTAAGAAAGTGGAATAGAATATTATGATGACCAAGTAAGTTGGATCCATGGTAGATCATCGCAGTAAAGAGAAAAGACCAACCAACCAACTGAACCAACCACTGGCCCGAGTTTATTCTCACAGAAATTCCCGGATTCGGTTCAGGTTCCCAATTCACAAGAGAACCCAATCCCCAATGTTGTGCAATTTTCACACTGCTCTCTAATAGGTGATGGGTGGTGGGACGACAAAAGGAAGCAAAGTTTACATACATGCATGAGATTCGTATTCCTCTCTCTTTGAAGTCGCCCATACAGAAGTACATACGAGGCAAATGTGAATGTGGATATTGCGAATGTATTCGAATTTCTATCCCACATTTCATGACTGCAAAGATGATGATGACACCCTTCTTCTCGCAGCCAGGCCACTTACCAACTTTCTGCTTTATATTTTACTGCCCGTGTGTCGCTCTCTTGCCAAATTCAGCTGGAGTCTCTCTCTTCCGTTTAACTACTGCTCTTTGTTTGTTCCTTTTACATTTATTTGCAGATGTTCCTTTGTGTCCCTTCATGTTTTACAGCCACGGATTTTCTCAAACTAACTCTGCCAGCCGTGTCAAATGTTAAGAAGCATGGAGAACAATAATATTTGTCTCCTTCCTAATATATTTAAGTACATAGATGTGGGGTGGTCACGTCGCAGCAGTCGCAGCATCTTCATGAGACCTGAATAAGCCCTCATCAGACGATATCCATTCAATTGAACTAAATATTTTTGTACAAAATGGATTATGCAGAAACATTAAACTATGTGTACAAAGTTTTCATATTAAATGTACGTACATATGTAACTAGCCTATATACATATGGCGTTATCTGCCACACAAGTAAATATGTACGCAGGTATTTAATAATTGACTGTTGTGTCATGAAGAAAATACATGGCATTTCTCATGTTATCATGTCGTAAACATCCAAAATTGTGCATGTTAAGATTGTATGGATAAAGTTTTTTATAAAATCTGATCCGGGATGAAGATGTTGGTTTTATGTACGCCCTGGACCAGTTTCATAAACAGATTTGTGCTATTTCTTCCACGGAACAAATCTAACTGATCTAATCCAAGCAATATCCCAAAAACAAATGTGATAAAACCACGTAAACGTTCCTCTCTGCTCAGTAATATGGATTATTTCTATTCCGTCGTCTCCATGTCGTCTCTCTCTCTCTTTCCTTTTGTCGAATTACATGGGGTCCATGTAATAAAGTGGGATTACGCGTAAAAAAATAACATGTGTCGCTGACTTGTTTTACACCTTTTCCTTAATGATATCTTTCCCAGAGAATAAAATACATACATACATACAGCTCCACATCTTTGAAAACACAGTCGTCAGGATGAGCGCAGATGTGAACAGTAAGTAGCAGTTACAACAGGCTAGTTCTCAGACAGTTGTATATTGTATGTTTTTTTATTTTATTTTGTCCATTCCATAAAATCCAACTGGCTACTGGCTGGATGGTGAAAGTGCCCCTGTCGAGTAAAGAAATGAACAACGAAGCAAATGTCAACTTATTACAGACAACATTTGGAGCGTCAATATAATCAAAATGAAACACAAAATAGAGTGATTTGAAAATTTATGTCAGTTTATTGCTTGATTGAGAAATGGGGAGAGAAACGCAGAGAAATGTTGGGCTTGGCTCAGCATGGCTGCCGGAAAGTAAAAATTTGATTACGACTCCCGAAAGTGGTAGCCAATTAAGCAGATTTCATTTTAGATATTATTATGGCAAGTTGCCACGATGCTGCTGCATTGTGTACACCGCCACGACTACAACTGTGATTACGTTATCATAATTGTTTCAGACTTTGATCTACTAGATAAATCCCGTGAATGAAGCGCTGTCCAGAGAGGGACAGCCAGTTAATCTGTTTATTTGAGTGAAATGTGAATAGACAGAGGAATATACCAGCAAAAGCAGTGAACCCACACATTTGCAAATTAGTTCAGTTTATTCACAAGTTTCACCATTTCTCCGAGTTTATCTTTCACTCGGTTCTGTTCGGACTTGATTCAATTCTAACAGACATGAAACTGTGGAGGGACGCTTCTTGTAGGTTCTGGCAGGAACAAGACGACACCATACCACTGCTGTACATAGGCAAGGAAGCTCAATCAGATATCATGATGAGATGATACGGATTCGTATACATACATACAGACGTACGTATAACATTGGAATACACGGGCACGGAACATTTGCCGTTTCTGTTGAAAGACGTCCTGATTTCGCAATAAACGGTTCACTGCTGAAAGCCAGATCGATCTGTATAAATATAGATGGTGATAAAGTCATGTTTTTCGTAGATTTAAACGGATCTGTCAACAAGGTTATTGCCCTTGAAGTTTGCGAAACAACCATTTTATGTCATGTCGTTGCGTAATAAGATTATTAAACCGTATAAGTTGTGTAGGATACACTAAATCGGACTGGATGAGAATGCATGTATGTATATTTACAGAGGAAAGGCTGTCCAAAGAACAGGCTAAAAAAGAGGATGAAATTCTCCATTGTTAAAATCTGGTCGGTATAATCTGTGATGGTCATGTTGAGCAAAGTGTGCGTTGGAATACAAATGAAGGAGAGGTTTAGTGAGTGTGTATGTAAAAGGAGTTTCACACGGGAGACGTTATTATTAGGACGTCTCGTTCGCAAAAAAAGCAGAAAAAGAATAAAACGAGATTGTGTCCATCTCATTGTCAATTCCAAGTGCGGATTTAGGAGAAACTTGCAACCATTCATTCATGTTGAGAGAAAGTTTCCGTGAGTGGTCAATCCTCTGCTAGTAGCAAAAAAAAAGAAAGTGCCAATGGCTGAATGCTAAAAAGACAGTTTTGGGTCCTGCTTTCTCCAACCGCCGACCGCCAGACTGTTACCCTGCTTTCACTGCCACTGACTGGCAGAAAACCAAAGTGTTCATCTCATTGTGAATTATTGATGTTAATCTAATCTGCCAACAGTACGCATCTGTCTTCTTATTCCCATGTCGCAAATAGAATAGCTGTTGAACAATACTTTGATACATCAAGCCCTTGTGTACAATCGAGTTAAAATCCTTTGTGCCAAATGAAATTCTATACTTTTTAAACATTGCAGAATGACAAGGAAGACTCATTTCAATAAGTTACAGTTTTATTAACATGCAAAAATTCATTATAAAAAACACTCACCCCATACGGCATATGCATACACTTTGTAAAATGAAAGCTGAAAAGCAGATACATATTAAATTGAGACGGCTAGTCTCAATCTGAATTTGAACAAATACATGGGCACATTCTTAAAGTGATTAAAACTTAACAACTAAATAACAATTTAAAAATTATTAGCACATTGAGTTAAAAACCGAACAGTAGTAATATATATGTAGCTACCGTATCTTTACAAGTTTATATAAATAAACACGTACGACGACATCCTATACGTGCGAACGAATGATCAACATCATATTATATACTCTGGAGAAATTAAAATTTTCAATTGGTACTGAACATTTTATAATTGCATGTATCATGAAATTCTTGGTTCTGGGATATGAACTTAAATAAATACATAATATCGACGTGATTCTTCGCGTCGAATATATATGTACATACTTACATCCTTACGCAGAGTGAGTTGAATACAATTTACAATATTTTTTTCGTATGGAATGACCGAGTTGCGTCATGTGGAATTTTTATTCTGGAATGATCCTATGTAGCGACGAAGGGTTATTGGCTGACCCATCTTTGAGATTTTATTAATGGAAAGTTTTCGTTTTTCGGTTTGATACGTGACGGAATGATAAGTTGCTTTTACTTGAGATTGCATCAACTATTGACAGTCACAGTTCCCATCGTCATCGGCAAACCCTTATGTACCGATCTCATATGACGATAAAGTGGACTGGATGTCCTGAAGCTAATATTGTTTATATAATATTTATATTCATGTTCTTTTATGTTTTTAGTAAAATTATCAAATTCAATAAATTACCTTTTAAAACACACTGGGCATACGTGTGGTCTGCTACCCGAATGTATTCTCAGGTGGGAATCCAAAGTACTTTTTGTTTCTGTTAAGTAATTGGCATTATATGCATGTGTATGTACGGGTGTATAATATTTTTATGCTATTTTAATAAGTACTCACGGAATCTTTGCCCGCACTGATCGCACCCGAATGGACGCTCACCCGAGTGTATCTTCATATGAGTGCTAAAAAATATAGAGGATTTGAAAACGCAATAAATATACAGTGTAAATTATATTTAAAGAGGATCCTACCGCAACGTTGCCCATGAAGTGAATGATTTGTTGCACTCTTGACAAACGTTCGGATTCTCTTCTGAATGTACCCTGTAACCAATATACTGTTAATATATCTCTTGTCTTGTATTTTTCATATAAAACTACAAACGAACTGATTTACCTAAGGTGTTTCGATAATCCTGCGGCACTGCAAATCAATAAACCATTGAATTTTAGGTTTCATGTTTTTCGTTTGTAATAACATTGTCTTTGTTGTCATTCTTAGCATAACTAGCATAAATACCTTGGGAAACAGTCGAAGCAAAATTTACAAATGTGGGTGTTATGTGTTTTGGCATGTTTCTTTAGCATTGACAGACTGGGGAATATCTTATTGCATAGTTTACACGGGTTGTGAAATGTTCGTCTTCGATTTGATGCTGACGGATCTGACGACGAAGATGTTGATGTACTCGCGGCCATACTTGCACGGCGATAAAGTTCATCCACCATTCCAAAGTTGGGAGTCATAATTCCATCCTCATCATAATTAGACTCAGAGTCAGGGTCTTGACCAAACAGGAATTGTTCTCCCATGTCGGTGTCGTAGAAGCTTTGGTTGGATGTGGAAGCGCTCTCTTCCTCTTCTTCTTCTTCCTCCTCTTCCTCGTCTACTTCCTCGGAACCGTCTTCTGCGTCTTGATCTTCATAACCTTCCTGTTTGTACGCTTGCCCCTTGATTTCTTCATCGCCCTCATTATACTCCATGATGCCGCCTTGGCCATCTTCCTCTTCGTCCTCCCCCTCCTCATCATCTTCTTCATATGTCATTTTAATCTCAGAAATGTCTGAAATGTGACAAATTACATAATTAAAAAAAATAAATTTAAAAGTAATGGACACTCGGATATATGTTACACAAATGACATTATTAATTCAGAAGATTGATGACATCATAAGGTATCTTACCAATATCTGAGTTAACCAGCTGCCTTTTCAACTCTTCAATTGATGGAACAACTCGTCTGACATTATTTGCATTGATTCTATGTCTAGGATTTTGTTGAATTTGTGAAATGGCAACATGGTGAGAACCTTCCTTTGTAATATCATCTTTGTGAAATAGTTTGGGCATCCGCTTTGTTAGAGAATTCGAATTTGTTGCATATTTACTATTGTTGTTGTTGTTGTTAATTACATCTTCGGCGCACAAGTCACCATCGCCATCAGTTATCGAAGAGGTGGAAGGGATGGCAGCAACAAAGTGCTGCTCCTTAATCTTTAATGTGGTCCTGTAACATACACAACAAGGAATAACCTTTAACAAGTATGTCCCAACTCAACCATTGACAACATTCCGTGAACTTGTCATTGACATGACAGATATGACATATACCCTTTAGACAAAGCTGTAGGTGCAGATGTGGGAGGTCCTTTCGTCGCAGTCGTTGGGGTCGTGTCCACACCACTTGCTCCACCATAGCCATGCTTATCCCTGAGATGCTTGATGATTTTATTCTGAAAAGAGAAAACTTTTTTTGTGACGTTTTTTCTAACTTTTTTCTTACGAGAAGTAGGTGATCGTTGATACCTGGTCGTTGTAGAAGAGGTGGGTGCAGAGGCGACACTGGTACCAGAGGACGTAGGGGAGGTTGGCCGTGTCGTCGTCGAGCATGGTGACCTGGGTGGGTGTGGAAAGAGGGGGAAGTAGGCCGAAGCAGCAGAAGTGGAAAGTCCAGTTACTTTGCTTTGCACTCCCGCTCACACACTTTCACTCGTCGTCGTTCCTATGAGCATGCCCATCACCCCAATTCCTCAATACACACATATCAACATAACCACCAACCACGACTTGGTCTAACGGGTTATTTTTTTCGTCCACCACCACCACCACCTGCAAAAAAAATCCAATCTCTGCAGATCCCCTCGAACCACGCATCTCGCAATGTTCGAACAAATCTTCTTGTTGTTCGGGAGCTTCTCTGGGGAGAGGATGAGGTGGTGGTGCTGTGGACCACATTTCAAAACCTGTCTCATTGTTGGATGAATGATTCTGCTTCAAAGTCCGATGCGAAGATGGCTTGCGTGGCACGATTATCGAAAGACTTGATTTTTGTCCCCTGAGATCTGAGAGCGTAACCTTTGTTGCGTCCGATCTGCTACACACACAAAAGAAAAACGACGGCTTACAAAAATTATGACTAATCGGCCATGCAATTCCGTACGAAAGTTTGATTGCATGCATACAAGTTGCATTGCAGAATTTTGCATCGTATGCATGCAGGTATTTGCAGGTATTGAGAGGAGAAAGAAAATCCTGCATTAACTGGTCTGGAGAAAATAATCGTCCATTTCACATAAGATAAAACATTTTTCGTTTACATAAAAAATTTGTGGGTTGATATCAACTATGACTCAATTGAATTGGATTCTACATGTTATGAACTTTCACCTATTCTGTCCATCACTCGTTTTACTGGTTTTAGACAAAACTGGATCTCGATTTCCACGATTTGTGACCATGCACTCTAATTCAAGCAAACTATTGTTTCTGGCAACTTCCGTCAATCCACTTAATTCTACCTGGAATCTTGAAACCGATCTTTGTATGTACATATGTAGATACTTAAGATACTCCTTTTAAAAGCTACTCGAAAACTCTTCTTGTAATTTATTCCATCCGTCCAAGTTTATTATCAAGGTGAATATAAGAAGGACAATTGTTCAAGGAAATTAATTAATTCTGGAGCACGATTTCCTCCCTGTTCTTTGAAGTTATTCTTGTCACAGGTGTTGTAGGTACATTCAACTGAATCATAAAACCGAGGTCATTGGAAAATGATGCGAGGTCTTTAAAACGTATTTACTGAGATTACTCAACCATCCTCAATTCATGTCTTTCCTTAAGTAAACTCTTCTGTCCCCGAAAGCGTAGCGAAATTAAAATAATATATGGATGGAAAGTTTGCCAAAAACTTACTTATTCACTTATTGCTTACAAATCCTCAATAAATTTAGTTTAATATTCTAGTAGGCCAAATTAGTCCCAATTAGTATCAACATGATAAAATATGCTACGTACATTTGCCTCGACTTTGCAAAGATACATAAATCTTGAACCATTACTGAGCAGGTCACGCTCCCACTTTACGAAACATACCTCATCACCATCTCACGTTATTATTATTTCGTAACAAACAGTTCTCAAAATTTCCATTTGAAATGTCATCTTCAAATTCATCCCCATTTGCCAGCATATTGAAATCCGCAATCCTTGTGTTGCAACCGCAATAATAACAATTGGATTATTATTTAAAGTGCTTGGACGTGCTTTCAGCGCTGAAGTATGTCTCTTACGACCGTGTCGCTGAATAAGAACACGATTTATCAGTTTCTAGAACAAGTTGATCCGGGATCAGGCTTTCTAGATTTTCGGTATCCTGTAGATGTTTGGAACTACATCATCTACTGCCTTCCTTTCGTTTTGTTTGTGATCACAGTAATGTTTGTTCACATCCCGATTGTCTTGCATTTTCTCCATTGGGCTCCGAAATTGCTTTGGCCCAGGTTTAACACTCATAAAATCTTATTATTACTTATGCAATATGGATACTTATTTATGTCAATGAAGCAAATTTGTGTTGGTCCCACTAGGCTGATGGGATTTCCTTTGTTGCATGAATTATTGAGAAGACTCACTCAACTTACAAACCCACAACCTCCGTCGGCTGGAGATTTCATCCGATACTTTGAAAGATTGTATAATTTTACAAATCCTGAACATGTCAACTCCAGCAATTCAAGTATCTCATTAACAAGTTTAGTACTCTGACCGTACGTTATTGTGCATTTTAATACAAAAAAGAAATAAAATATGTTGTTCACTACAAAAACATTTTGTTAAATCAGCTTAAACTTTACGTATAGACTTTTACTTATTAATTAAATAAATTTCACAAGTTGCTTCATCAATAAATAATTATATCAATAAAGAGGTATGTACATATATTGTGATCGTTTTGAAATAAAACTATTCAAAAAGGTGTAACATAAAATAAACGAACGAAAATCCAACATTGCATGCAATCGTTACAATATTAATACATTCAGAAACAAAATTTAATCAAGTGCTACCACTTTTTAATTCAAAAGTAATTGAATTTCTGTCTTCAAGATTGGGGATTTCATGATTACTTTTGAGCTTGAGACGTCTGACAATGAGGGAGAGACTAGTCAATAAGTGAAACCTGACTTAAAACAATCATCATGCCACATGCATAATCGTAATACATTCATACTTACGCATCAACAATCGATATTTATTGGTTTATTGATATCCCAGATGCAGTTTTGATGAATGACCGACCATCAACAACTCAGCTAACAAAGCGTCGTCCTACACACACACACACACACATAAACATGAATTTTTACTTATTTTTCATTTCGTCAGAAGAGCTCGGTTTACTGTTACAAAAATTTCAAGAACCCTGATGATGGATTTTCATTCATGTTTTCCACTCATGGGTTGCAATAATCGGTTACAAATCACTATAATATCTGGTATCCTATTTTGCACGGTTTGGGAGGACATTTTTTAAACAACAATTTATTGATAGCTTTCGGTTATAATATCAGTTCCGAAGCTTGACATTACTGGTTGCGATACCAATCAAATGAAAAATTGCGAGTTCTGAATTAAGGTAGGGCCTATCTAACTTGGATAATATTGCGATCTTTGTGCGGAATATTGCAAACTTAGGATTACAATGAAACGGACAAAATTTATCAATGTGCAAGTACAAGGAAATTAATCTTACGATGCATTTGATAGAATTATAGGGAGGAAGTATGACTATCAACTCAAAAATCCTCAGGTTCCTTATGCATGCGTAATTATTGAATGTAAAATTCTCGAATTTAGCTCAGTCTAAAGAAATGAATTATTCTAAAGGTACGCATGCACACATACATATTTCACGAGTGTGCTCTGTCAATGTTTGAAATGTTGACCCAATTAGTTGAATCAACAACTAAAATCCGGGGCTTTTTAAATGGTTGGGGCATGCATTAGGAATACGGTTTAGTTAGACAGGTGGATGGGCAAATGAAAATTTACATTTCTCAAAAGTATCCGAGCAAAATTGTTGGTTCAATGTCATATCCAAGCAAGTGGCAGAAGACGCGTCTTATTCTTATCTGTAGGCAAACCTCTCAAGATTTCAATCCATCTAACTCGATCTTTTCTTAACAGTTACTCTTCTGGGGAAGATAAGACAAAAAATTATTCAGTTTGTGGCCTATTCGTGAGTAGTACTTACTAAGGGATTCAGTGGTCCTCGAAAAAAATTTACATAATGCGTCCTGAGAAACTCAAATAACGCAAATATCAGCCAACAAAACTTTCATTCTTAAAGATCACTAATTTGTCTGTTATTCTGTCTTTCCATGATTATCTTGGTTGTCTCAAGTAAACGAGATGCAGTCGTTGGTGTTCTCATGTGGCTGGCAATTATTATTATCATGGCTCCACCAATTACAGCCACTGAAGGGCTTTCACGGAACAGACAATTTGGAAAATTGCGAACAGAAGCATTAGAAGAATTGTTCCCTGGAGTTTTGGACTATGCGGAAGCTCTGGACCGTTTTGCCATTGGATTTGTGGACTACCGAGACCCATTGGAGACTATGAGCTGGATTACCATGTACCTTCCCGGGGTAGTCTTTATGACCGCTGTCATCGCAATGTGCATTCCCCACGTATTAAATTTTTTGATATTTTTGCCAAAGATGTGGTTCTTTAGCATACCATGTCTCTACCATTTTAAGCAGTCTGTGCTACGAAAAAGACGCGACTCGGATGGGGTCATGGGTGAATGCAACTCTGGCGATTTGGCCCACATTACGAGACAGGTTTACAACAGCCTTTTAAGAATGGCAAACATTCAAGAGCCTCAGAAATCTCGACAAACCTTCTAGGACGGTAAAGATGCCTTCCGTCGGAGAGAGAGACGTACACTTATTCTGCTGAATTTAATACACACTACAATCTATCAACGCATCTGTGCATATTAGTCATTGCAGTTTATACATTAAGCCAGTGCTAGAAGAAGATCTGGTTCTATGCTGTCTGCAACCACCAAGTGCAAGCCAGTGCAATAGGTGGTAATGCCACAGGAGATAGTAAATCAACTATTTGCTTACTGCGTATATATGCACTGACAGAGACATCATATCAATTCAACAAGTTAATGCCGCACTACGCTCAACAGCTAAACTAAGAATTCTTCTTCTTCTTTATCCATCCTTTGATACGTTCAGTTTTTGTTGTTGTTGTAACGAAAATTGCGACATAATTGGAAATTGCGTGCATAATTTTGCTTTTCTCTTGGGAATTATCACTTATCGCTAATAATTTAATCACCATAATTGAGTTTAAATCGAGGCCAGCATATCCTTAAATGAACAATAACTGCTATTTTGCCTTATCCAATTTAATTAATTGCTAGTCACTGGCTTCATTTAAAAATATTTTATACAAATAAATATATATATGGTTAATTTCAATAATGGATGTAATAAACATTACCTAAAAAAGTCTATAACACAAAATGACAAAACCATGACTTTATTTTTTCACACGTGGAGGTGCTGTTATGTGTGCAAATCTCAGAGCTTGATTGCAATGCAGCTTGTATTATACACTTTTGCATGTACTTTGTATGGGTACACGTGTATGTATACATAAGTGCGTGAAAGCTCTCTCCTCATATTTTATCCTCAATTAATGTGCTGGGTTCTGGTTTTTGGCATTATTTGGCTCTGCAAATTGCAACAAATTGTTAATTGAAAGTAACATGATTATTCTAAGGATTTGTATTTATTGCGTGGAAGCTACCTATACACACACACCACACCACTTCCTCTCCTCTTGCAAGTAGGAAAAATCCAAAAGCAGTATGAATCTCAAAAGTCATCGCATAAATCGCACTTATTACTCCATTAAAAATATTTTTGTTAATGTAAAATTACTTTTAAATGCCTCCTGACAGCAGCAACACTTTATACATACGTACTTGGTAAAGGCGGATTGCAACCAATTTATTTCAACAGCATGTAACATTCTCTGAAATTCTGTCCACACTTGGCATACCGCAAATCATTGTTACTCGGAAGCCGTTTGCTACAATTCGTGGCTATAGGAGAATGACAGATTCAGCAACATGATCCCACTTCAATAATACAAGTGACAAGCCAACAACTTTTGGTTCGTTGATTCATGAATGTGCGTAGGTGGTACTACATACATACACATTCTGATGGAATAAAAACGATCGAGAATCCACACTGCATGGTAGCAAAAGCAACAAAACAAAACAACATAACATACCAGCAGCAGCTTTGGCACTTACACAGTTGAGTAAACTTGATAACTAAATGCGACGAGATTTTAATATTATCCATTGTGTTAGATAACAATTAAACCCAGCCCTGCTTAAATTATGATACCATTAAAAAATGAAAATGGCTTGCTAATTATGCGAGCCCCTTGATGTTCTAAAATAGAAAATGTTGGCTCTAATTCGCTCACACACATCTCTCTGAGGACATTTTTAACAAGTGCAAAAATCCTCTCGCTTCCTTGTCCATCATAAAAGGGGGAGAGTTGTTGTGAAGCTTAAAATTTGATTTGATTTGGTTTTGATTTATTCATCTTTATACGGTAGCTTGGATTAATGAATATGCATACAATTACCACCATGCATGTCGAATTGTGTTCCTTTTTACCATCACAAGAATAAATTATTCGCCCTTCATTTTCGGTTCAGAATTCAATTCCGCCCGTTGTCGTTCGGTTGACGCAGGTTGTTTTTGTTGCATAAATTGCGTATTCATAATTATGATAACCAGTGTTTGTCCGGTGGAGCAAAAATCATTTCTCTGATTCGTCTTTATTTAATTGTAATAATCTTGTGAATGAATAAATATTTAAAGCGGTTTATACGTATAATGTAGGGGAAAAAATACTTTTTAAAACGTACAAAGTGAAATTATTTGTAACGTGATGCGATATTATTATTGTTATTATTAATATCATGCCTTGCACCAAAAGGAAACGATATGAATTGCAGCATTAATTTGTGGTCGGATGAAAATCCTCTTTAAAACTCACATCATTGAAGACATCCGGTGTGGCTGGGCCTAAATTGAGTATTTAATGAGCAGCAACAACAACACGGGAACAGCATTGTCAGACTCGACAACTCTCAAACATCATAAATTATACACCTTCCGTCCACTACTCCAATCTGAGGAGTGTAACCTTAAGTGCATCTCTTGATTGAAAGGGTATTTCATGAATACCCGTTTGTCTCGGTGCATTTTCTTCTCCACCAAAATTTAAAAGTATTTATTTGCCAAGTCTCAAGGGGAACAACAACAGAGGAGCATTGTTTCAAATATATTTATGCCTTCTGCCCCTCCTCCTCCGTCTTCTAGTTCTTTTGCATAGGGTGAAAATATTATTTCCATGAGATGATGAATAAAATCGCTTATTCTGTCGTCCGTCTTCTTCTTCTTCTCTTACTGCACCACTTGAGATTTTATGAAACAAATGCACCAGGTTGCTTTCAGGTGCCATAAATTGACTCGAACTTTCAAGTTGGGGACCTCGAAACTTGACTAGATAGCTGAATGAAGGTGCACTATTGTTGAATTCCGTCGTCGTCGTGACATAAGTCCAACTTGATTTTTTACTCGCTTTACGTTGCCTTCTTATTCTGGCTTTCATGTTGCTTACTCATATCGAATTGTTCATCACAAAAGCAACGGGTTAGAAGAAAGAGTCTGGATTGCTTTGCTTTGGATTCCAACGGACGGTCTACTTATGGCCGTGCACGCAGGCAGATTTCGAGATATGGCTGAGAACCCTGCCAGTCAGAGTTTCGAATATTCCCATGTATGTCAATGCTTCCCATTCATATATCATTGCGTTGCGTTGCATCACACACGAGTGGAAGGAGAGAGAATAGATTTAAAACAAAATCTCACTCTGCTCATTCATCGTGATCACCCAGCCCTCTCTCTCCTCGTCCCATGAAATCTCGTAAACGAAATCAGAGTTTACGATAAGCTGAAACCAATCAAATAAGAAGAACCGACCGTCTTTCATTTGCTTGATTCGATTCCCTGGCTCATAAAATGCAGGCAAGCAGGCAGCGTTACCAAAGGAAATCGAATAAAGACAGAGAGAGAGAGAGATATGTGAGATTGAATCATAAGGTAGGTAACAAATATTGAGTAGAAAACAACGGAACAACATTTGTTTCGTCTTTTATGGCATCAACCATCAACATCGCGATGATCCCAACCAAGCGTCCTTTTCGACTCGTGTATGCATGCCGTGGGTACCGTATGGTGCAGTCAACTCGGCGTTATTATACTCATTTTGGCATAGCCCCCATATATTTATACAGTTTGTCCATGCTCAGTCAAGTGGCAAAAGCTCCATCGTCATGCAGTATTGGTTTGATTTGGCTTCGAAAAGACCGAGAGAGAGTGTGTGTATTAAAGTAAATTACGGACATGCAATATGCATTATCACACCTGTTGTATTTGCATCTTACTTATCCCACTCCTCGCTCCGGCACATGATAGGAACTGAACAGAGAGCTCTTCCTTTTTGGACTTGATGGTGTTGAATATAATGAAAATATTTTATTGTTATTATCAAATGGAGGTAAACGAATAGACGCCAAGGCATTGGAAAAGTTGCTAACTCTTCTGTCATCATCATTGAAAAAGAACAACAAGCAGCGGATAAATAAATACATATGTACATATGCAAATGCATGCATAACATAGATTCGTCATGATATATGATACATACATATGCAGCAAAAACTACACTCCAATATCAGCATTGCTTTGCCCTGTGTAACCTGTACACACATATCGGCAACTTGTGTAGTAAAATTTTGAATTCGAGTTTTTGTAAGAAAGCAATCTATAGGCCATTTTTTGATAACAAGAAGTGATGAGGATTTCCTCTATAATATCAGCAGATTCTCGTTAAAATGGAGACAGAGGACTGGCATCGCAGGAACAAGAGCATACGAAATCAAAAGATACAGAGGATAAGAAAGTAATTGCGACGACGGTGAGTTTTGCGAGAGAAGGAAAGAACAAAACGAAATATATTAGCAAACTATGCAGCAGCAGCAGAAGCAGCAGACAGTGAGCAGTCGTTAGTGGAAGCAAATTCTGCAGATCTTAGATTAAAGATTTCCTTGTTGAGAGAGAACTGACGATGAGGTGTTGTAATATGGAAGATGAGCCAGGTCCATTCGATATATGTACATACTTGAATTACATTGGACAATTAGCTTTTTAAAAGGGCAGAGTCCAACAGCAGGCTCGCACTCCTTGCTGTTTTAAAACCTCGTTGATATTAGATTTTGATTGAATAAGTGGATGTAGGTGTACTTCTCGGACGACTGATTTGGATTTGTTTGGGCTGATCGCACATCAAGTATGAAATTGGATTGCAGTTTTACTAAGTAGGAAGACTCCCAGAAGAAGAAATGTCATCTATTTATCTAATGGAATGAACTGAGATTATATTAGTGCACCTTGAGTCCACCAGCCACAAAGATGATGGATAACATAGAGTGGTCGTACTGCACTCTACGTGTGTGTGTACATGCATACGTACAAATGTACATGGTGATCGTGATGGTGTTATAGGGTTGCATAAAAGCAGATTTTTCGCTACATTTACACACAAGGTAGTCATGTTCAATCATTTCTTGCACGCATGCACTCTTATTTGAATACATACTTTCTATGTAGGAAAAGATGATCTTGTATGCATACTGAAATGACATTGGGTAAATTGTTCAGGGCTGAAGATATTATGTGCAAATTGATCGAGCTGCTGAACACATCTTTATGGCCACCTATGCAAATGCAGATGATGTCGATGATGTGTGTGAGTGCCTTACTTGATCACTTTTTTTAATTCTGTGTCTCGCCAGCCTATTATAGACATCTCCGTAATACATACCTATCAAGAGTTCGCTTCTTGTCCATCAGCTAGATTTCTTAATAATGAATCAATTCAAAAAAGGCCCTTGTTCTGCACTCGTACTCCTACATCATCTTGTCTTCCTGTGTAAACATGCTCTGTTGAATGAATTCAGGCTACACACTCACATTATGATGTCGTACGTCTCACCAAGATCTCCTGATAACGCGTCTCTTTTTCAGTCAAAGATATCCTAATGCAATACGATATTATGCATATTGTTTCTTCATTCAATCCACATACGATATATGATCCAACGTTTCACTTTTCGTGATCCTGGATGTCACCAACAAAGGTCACATGTGGTTAATTAATATTGTACAAATATAGAATAACTCTTGATAAGTTACTTGAAGTTACAGCTAAATACGTTTTGAGCCTTGTCAATGTTTGTATCAATTACTTATTACTATGCTTCGTAGACATGCATGACAAATAATGTTCCAGGATTGTTTGACTTGCATCATCGTCGTCATTTCGTGAAAACCAACGAATAAATCAAACAACAAGACGAATACAATATGTTGTATTTAGGTTTCATGCGATTTTATCGTCCTCTTATTTGCCACAGGAGCGGAGCAAATTTTTAATTGGTTCAAAAACAATGTGGAACGGGGAATAATGCAAAGCGTGTGATATGAATCGTGCAGCAGTCTGATGCACTTCCTTTTTTACTGAATCCCATACAATCAAGAGGGCATCAACAAATTCTCCGCATTCTGATTCAACTCGGCTGCGACTAATTTCCGCTCGCGAAACCACCATGCGATATCTACACACACATAACAGCAGAATGGGTTTGGTCGAGTTATGTGCTACTACTGTTTGTCAATGATATCTCGAATCAATGGTTTGTTGCCGGTAGGAAAAACAATACAGCCACACATGACACAATACAGAAGGGAAGACGAGTTTCATCCGCATCGAATCAAACTCACATTATCATCCTCGCTTATCAGAGTGATGGCGATATGAGAAATCTTGAACCATCTTCAATTACTTACTCACATCCGTCCCTTCGTCCCCATCCAAAATTCGCTGTGGCCAATATATTTGCATATACAATGTACCAAACAGAAACAAAAGGGTTTAATAGGATTGTCGAATGGGATGAAACACAAACTAGAATTCATGCTAATACTCAAATAAAAGGGTTAAATATTACGTGTCCCGTTCGAAAATTGTGTTGATAAATAATTTCATATGCTCTGTGGAGGATATGCGGAGGATATGTTGCTCACAACTGCTATATATGTACGCATATAGTAGTACACAAATAAGGAACAGTGGGAGGAAATGAGTAATAATAAGGCCATTTACTAAAGATAAGTTGGGCTCTTAACCAAACAACTACCGAACAGGACCAAATTCAGCACAATAACACATCAGTCTCACTCTGCCTGAGAATAACAAACAATTGACTACTTAATAGTCCTCCTCCTCCTCTCTCCTCTCTGATTTAACCTGCAGGAGGTGCAATGTTTGGAGTCAACTTGGGCACGATGATATGACGAATGACATAAAATAAACGGGTGTTTAGATAGACAAAGTCTTTTCTACCTGCCTTGTGCATAAATTGTCCGTTGTTGGTGGAGGTATGTATATGTACATATGTGTACAAACTATTAATAAACAGTCACCACCTCACCATCAATAAATATTGTAGGAAAACCAATAAATCGCATTTTCCGCAGTACGAAAATCTTGTTGATCGATGCGCTCAATCAATTTATGAAATTGACAACTATTGTAAAAATTGTTGCCACCATGTATTTCCAGGGCATGCTTTATTCTGCGTAAAACTGTATTTGCATAATGTCTAATGCTACATGTCTTTGTTGCAATCTGCTTAATGCCTGGGATTGGATTGGACCATATTACATTAACATCTCTGTATTCCCTTACATGTTACAATGAGGAATCCCATGATGATGATGCTGCACTACTGTAATCATCATAGAACCAAGTTGTATATGTGCCTGCATTGCGACTATTATTCTCTGTTAACAGATTTGGTTTTAACCGTGTGGGCTTATTTTGCCGTACCACCAATAAAGACAACCACTATATTAACCAGTATCAAGCCACACCACAGCTCAGACGGACGAGGTTCGTCGCAAACTACCAAGAATTTTTTCTTGTCTTTTACACAGGAATGAGAAGCAGCGACTTTGTAATAGGAGAGGAGCTCGGCCGTCGTGTTATTTGACGGTGCTGCTGCTCGTCCCTCGAAGGGCTCGTTGAATGAAACCTACTGAAACTGGCCATCATCGCAACTGACGGGCTCGGGGGAAACGGACAAACGGCCAAAGTGAATACCGCGAAGTGTGCTGGAGAAAGAAAGTGCAAAGAAAGTGTCAATAAAGTGTCAGAGGAGAATTGTTTTTTAATGTGGTGGCGGTTGTAGTGTGGTCCAATGTTGACCTCGTATGGTTCACGAGCCAGAGTCAACTCTAGTAGCAAGAGGTGGTTGTCCAGTGGTCGTTGAACGGATGCGTGTTGGTGGTGAAAGTGGAGGGGAAATGGAAAAGTCGGGTCTTCTAGTTCTCGGGGAAGAGAGTCGCTCCCGGCTGCTTTCTCCGCTCCCCATCGAAAATGAGTACACGGTGGAACTTCAACCCTTTGCCAGGTAGGTCAAGGAATAAGCAGCAGCAAGTTATTAATACCCGTTTTTTGATACAGTGGTCAGGATATTGTGTGTTATGTAGTCTTGAAATTCACGTTTTTCGTTTTTTTTTAAATTACCAGCTGTGATGGATGATGTTTGTCAAATACAAACAAAAATAATAATAATTGGTTAAGAGACCATCTACATTTTTAATGTGCTTAAGAGTAAATGAGTATATGTATTGTATAAATAGTTCAACTAAATACATTCAACAAGTTAGACCACCACCTACGCTCCGAAAATTTAATGATGACACAAATGCTATTAAAAATTAAAGCTCGTAATATATGAATGGTAGTCGATAGTTATCAGTTGGTTGATTTGGTGTTGTGCACATTACAAGCTGAAAGTCGCATGATTTTGTGGGTACAAAAATTGCGATAAGTGCACAATTTCCTATGACACTCTTGTTCATGCATCAGCTTGTTTTAAACGTTTCGCCGTTTAAAATTAAATGAATCGCTGAACTGAATTAGAATGAGAATGAGAATGATAATTACGAAACTGGAACTCATCAGAGTGAAATATTTTACAGATATGAATTTTTGTACCATATTTTTATGCCACCTACATATTTTAAGCATCGAGATAATAATTATAGGTTTTCGGAATGATACACATTACTCAGGATATGCAGGTTAATTTAGTTTAACTACACAATTAGTTTCCTACAATTTTATAATTAGGTAGTTTGAACAAAGCAACTTGCAGGACGATCTGCTAATCTAGATTCTTGTAATAGTTTATTCTTTGTGGTCCCATGTAAAAGGCCTATGATGACGGACAGATGACCTTAACTTACATTCTTTATTTTGCACTTTATTGAAAGCTTGTCTACAGTCGGTCAGTGCAAATGCAAAACATTTGTTCCTTAACAAGGAACTAGAACTTTTACTGATCGCATAATGTGTCAATTTACAGCAAATCCAAGTTGGCATTTAGATACATTGCATAGAATTTTTTTGTATAAGCTATTTAGCTTTAGTTTGTGGATTCATTTTTTATTATTAGTTCATTCCTCATAATATATCAAGCCCTTTACACATACTGTATAATTATTGGAGACACTCATTTTTGAAAATTAATTCTGTGAGAAAACAGAACCAGAAAATAATTTTCATTTTTTTGTTGAAATAAATATCGTGGTTGATGCTTCAACCAAGATATGTGACACAATTAGTACAGTCGTCTCTATTATAATCTACTTAATACGTCCACTTTATCACAATTATATTTAAAAATAAAAAGTCAGTGTAAAGTGTTAGATTTCAATTAGATTGTTTAATTTGTGCATGTTGACTGAATGAACAGCTTCAGGTTGTCATCTTTCGTCTCGGAATAATACGTGGGTGGAATTTTAACATTTTAGAAAGGACTTGGTCTTGACTCATCTAATCTTTCATGTGCAATTTCATATTCCGTTTGAATATTGAGATGGATTGAAAATTTTGCGTGAGGGATCAATAAGAACACAGCAGGATTCTTACAAAATTGGCGTAATGTTGCAAGCGAGGTAACAATAAAACGGGGATTAAGTTTAACAACATGGGTTTGGTTTGACTACATATTTGCTGTTTGCAGGAGTAGAACGCAAATATGCATCATGTACCTATGCATTTTTATTTGAACCTTGCTTGGTATAAGTATTTGGGGTTTCCTTTTATATTTTTGGGCTGTCGCAATTCCTCCATCGGTTACACATAATATTTCTGCTAATTTTTCAAAGGAGTGGCAACATATCATACTATTTTTTAATTGGTCTGTTTCTCTTCCAAAAATAAAGCTATCACATTAAGCTAAATAATAGCAATATAACTGACTTCCCATCGGAAACTGAAATTAGGTGTGGTGTGGTCTATGCTTAAAAGTGAAGGTAACTGATTGCGATAGATATGCTTCGTTGAGTTGATAACCTTTACCAATAAATCATAAACCAGCTTCAGCTAACAAAGATTCTCATTGTAATAGGTTTGAATAAAGGGTTCCATTGTTTAAAATTATCCGTCATATCCTAACTTAACGAGGCCTTTCAAACAACCGAGTAAATAAGAGGGGTCAGGATCATAGTGCAGACATACATATACACATGTAGTGTAACATAATAAATAGTCAAATACGTTTAGTTCATGCAGTAGCGTTGATATTGAAAAATTGACATTGAACAAATTTTTTAATGACCAACTATTTTTGTTTGAACAGAGGAAAGTTTGCAACCGTAAAGAGGGCTCATAGTAAAATGAATTCGAGCGTTTCTGCAGCCAAATACATCCGCAAACGAAGACGGGCTTCTACAGAAGAGGTGTGGCCTATTTTACATGTTTATACGTTTATATGCACTTTTGTATCTATGTAATACCATTGTTTTTATTTCGCCTGTTCTAGATCTGGCATGAAATATGCGTCCTTGATAAATCTCGGGATTGTCCTTATATTGTTCATTTATATATGGTATGAAATAAGAAATTGAATAGTTAGATAAACGAAAAATAATTTAATAACATCACATTCATTTAAATCTAGGTATATGAAACTCCTCTGGACACAATCCTACTCCTTGAAATGTAATATAAATTAATAAAAAATAATGATGTATGACTTGATCTACAAGAAAAGTTTGAACATTTGTCATTATTTCATGTTTGCCAGGGCTGAGGGTGGAGATTTACAAACAGTTCTGGATTCTGAAGAATTCTTGGAAGAGTTTATATGCCGAGAGGTTTTAAGGGATGCTTTACGTGGACTCCAATTCCTTCATTCTCATTCTATAGCACATTTGGATATCAAGGTTAATACCGCTATGAATGATTGTAATAATTGTTTGTGGGGTGATTGATTGATCATTTATAGCGCAACCCATCATAATAATCTGTTTATTGTTGTTGTTTGTTTTCTTTGCCTGTTGTTTAACCATTATATATATTTTAATACAGCCTCAAAATTTGGTCGTTACTGGCTGTTTACCGGGAGGTCACGTCAAGTTGTGTGATTTTGGCTTAAGTCGCCATCTCTCGAGTTGCGCCGAGGTTGATTTGTACTTTGATTTATACCAATGTTGCCTTGTATGTGTTTTTTTATTTTATTTTTTTCATTGTCATATTAATAGGTTAGAGAATTGTTAGGAACTCCAGAATATGTTTCGCCAGAAGTATTAAATTATGAGGTAAGATAGAAATAATTCTGGGATTATTATTTTTATTTCGTCGAATTTTGATTTCTGACCACTCTACGAAAGTTTTATATCAAAAAACTTTGTTTACAACATACCAAATGTTGATTCTTAAAGGTTGTTGTTTGTACTATTTGATTGTCAATGTAGGCTTTACTTTGTTCGCATTTGCAGTGTTTTTCGTAGCTATTAACCTCATTTACTCGTCAAAATCAAGACATCATATGAACACTGATTTATGCATGCATAAAAATTGCAAATTGGGTGAAGGTTTTCCCCGGACAATATATGCATTCATGTGTTTGTAATAGTTTACGTTTCAATTTGCAGCCCTTGACCCTCGCTACTGACTGCTGGGCTTCAGGAGTTTTAACCTATGTCCTTCTCTCGGGAATCTCTCCATTTGGAGGTACAGCTTTAAACATCAGATTACTTTTATTTTACTAGTGCGATTTTGTCCATTTACTAGACAAAAATGTGAATTGTATTTCCACTAACATAATTATAAAATTAATAAAATTGCAGGTGACTGCAAACAAGAGACTTATCTAAATATTTCCCAGCGGTCCTTATCCTTTCCCCTTCCTTACTTTTCTAACGTTTCATCCTTTGCCATTGACTTCATTGAGCAACTACTAGTTCTCAAACCGAGGTAATTATAAATATGTATAATGTCATCATAATGACGATTATTAATGACATAGCAATTATCTTCATTTGCAGTGGTCGTCTGACTCCAGATTTGTGCCTTCAACACCCGTGGCTTTACATAGAAAGAAATTCAAATATTTTTGTTCCTGAACCCAACAACAATAACAGAGAGAATAGTCTTATTAAATCAACTTCACTAGAAGGCAAGCTTTATATTAAATAGTTGTGCAATAATTCCTTGCCTTTTTGCTTTAATGGTTAGTTTATTTGATTTTGTTTTAGTGATACCACCAGAAATAAATGGGAACGCTATGCAGGAGACTTCCAGCTTAGCAAATGGTGGAGATAATAGGGGACAACCGAATGATGAAATTGACTCAGGCATAGGTTCAGAAGACGACCATAGGTGAACCTAATAATTTATATAATACCAAATCCTTTAATCGAACGATGTTTTCTACTGATTTTTATATTAATTTCTGAAATCTAGACGTAATTTGAGTTGGGCAAGATTGGATGAAGTGCTGGAAAGTGAGCAAAAAATTTCTCATAACCCCGATTGGTTAACTTTAGAAGATCCAACGCTAGAAGATCCTGCTAGAAATATTTGGCCAAATAGAAAGAAAAAATGTAGCTGGGAAGCGGAATGTACTGGTAATTTTGATGTACCTATTATTATTGCACAAGAACACCTTACTGAAAAATCTGCATAAAGTTCAATTTGCTTTTTTAAGCATATGTACACTTGTTTTTTATTTGTAAATTCGTTTGTTTTTAGGTGCCGTTCTTCGTGCATTAGATCAGCTAGAAAGAAAACGAGGTGGTGTAACCAAGCAAGCCAGTTTACTAAGAGCCTATGGGGATCGTAGCCAGGTATGCCACGATAACTGTGAGAAGGGATGTTTATAAACGTAATTAACAATTATTTTCCATGAAGGTCATATCCAAGGAGGAAGTGGGGGAGGGTCAAGTTGTTATTCGCGAATTCCGTCAACTGCCACGAGCTCCTGCTCTACTTACGAAACATTCTGAATTAACTTGTGACTCTATTTCAACCAGAATCAACAAACTATTTAACTAATATTATATAGCTTATTGCTACTAATTTTATGCATGTTAATCAAGCAAATCTCAAATCAAGGTTCTACAAATACTAATAATAGATAAAATAAAAATAAAATGCACAACATTTTTGAATTTCGTTCGGTAATTACTAATTGGAAATGATTGTATCAACAGCATCAGCAAATGATCTACTATTTCTCCAATAGAACTACCTCAAAAGTACTAATAGATACTCAATCAGTACATATTCTACCCATTTATCTGCATATAATCCAAATACATGATCGTGAATTGCATGCATCGAAAGGTTAAAAGAGAATTTAATAGGATTTGTCTGTATCAATGTGGAGTGGATGATGGACGAATGTCCTAAGTATTTCTGGATACCAAATGATGAGGTAAGCTAAACCTTGAAATGCGAGGTGGATCATGTTACACATTTCCTTTAAAACGAGCAAATGTTGTAATTAATTGCCAATCAACATCAAATTTTCAGTAGACAAAGGTCGCTTTGTTGATTATGGCAAAGTCAATTCGTAGCTGGTGTGTATAAGAGCTCCATTTATAGCAGTACTTCATAACCATAAACTCCTGAAATGGCAATTATATTAGTTTGTACATTGTGTTTAAGCACGACGTACATGTCTCCCACGCACGGTGATGAAGAACCATTTCTTGAATGTCGATCATTGATATGGCACGCTGACATGTCTACAAAGTTTCCTTCAATGTGTTCCATAAATTTACTGCATTTGTGAAATGAGAGCGGAAAAAGTATCATAACTATTGACGCCAAGTAGAAAAATCAATCATTTGCAAATAAAATCAGTGATAAAGTCCACGTAATGGAATCCTTATCCATATTTGGGCCCAGTATCAGTTTATTATGTAATTTTATTAACTAATTTCAACCGCAACAGCTTAATTGTATTGCTCGGGTAATTTGCTATGTAATAGAATTGCTTATTTCCTACCAACTCTCATGAGTTTTTAGCCCGACTCAGAGCATATGAAACTTCATGCCCATCTATCGGTGATCAAGTGGTTGACCAGTGGGGTCATAAAGGTCGGCAGGGTGATACTCGGGACGTTGGTCATATTTGCAAACTAAATTGAAAATACGATGTCATAACGGCCAAATTACTAGTTATGTAGAAGGACCCGGTAGGGTCACTCCCTTTAAAAATGGTCACAGAAGCCTTGGCGTGAACGGGTAGATCAGGTTAACAAATGTGAAGCAAATGACCCGCACTGCTTTTTGAAATGCGTCGAAGGCCGAAATTCAGCATCAAGGTGCAAAGGCACACCAGACTAAAGAATATGAAGCCAAATTTAAGAATACTTTTAATTGCGAGATGAACGGTCCATCAGGGTGGCTTATACTGGTTTTGAAACTGGTCAAAAAAAGCTGAAATTGTGCATGGTATGGTAAATCATGGGAACATTTTTGACGATTACGAATAGTATTAGTTGGGTCATCTGATAAACACGTAGAACCTGACTGTGACCCTGACTCGGGCTAAATCAATATTGCGCAGGTTTTAAAAGTTGTACCCATCAACAAATTGCAATCAAGATCATAAATATATACTTGATTAGTTATTATTGTCAAGCAATTTTGAGCGTTTGTGTTCGTTATTGTAAATTTTTGTCAGCGTCGGGGGGAAGCCAGATACTGTACATAGTTTTCATGATTCGATTGACATATATGTACGGTATGTTCGACATTCACATGAATGGGAATGTGTTGTCGACTTTTCGGCAGGTTGTAAAGGGAGAGTACAGAATTGTATCTAGCTATCAGAGTTAGTCGTCTAAAAATGTACTTCTTATGGAAGGACATCACATTCTCCATCAATTTATGGCTTTGTGTATTGGGTGCAGTTGTGTTATTGTTGCATAAAATCAGATTTTGATCTTCTGTGTCAACTTGGTTTAAATTTCTCATGTCTTCATCTCACTCAAACATTTAAATGTAAATTTGAAAAGGTTGAATGAAGGTGTGATATAATGCATTTATGTAGAGGTGACCAAACACAATTAAACCAACAAAATAGTTATTCACCTCGGGCAGAGAAGCTAAATAAGTATATTGGTACTTTATACACATGTAGCTCAAAGAAGAAAATGTGCAAATTATCAATGATGAAAAATATGTATTAAACGAAACTAACGACGTTTTTAGCTCTAACATTTGTTAAAATACAGCACAATTTTCTGCCAAAATTAGAATTTCCTTGATTCATAATGATGCTATAATTTTAAAGTCATGAATGTCCCCACATATTTAGGTTGTTAGTTAGCATTGTAGATGATATGATACCTTATGCATGACATGTATAACATTTGGAGAGACCTTGTTCAACGTGACACATAACTTGTCTATATAGCCTTTGTGTGTCATAATCTTGGAAAAATCTTGATGCTGGTTAAAACTAGATCAAAAATTAATTAGGGTGTAAGGTTATGTAAGGCAGGATGTTGCTTTGTTTATTCTGTGTTATATCAAGCATGTACGTGGCTCCATATTATAAGATTCAGAATAATGTCAATAGCCATGTGCCCAAATTATCACTAAATCTCTTCTGCTGACTTATGTCTAAGGATGATTAGATTTTCAGCTCAGTATTGCTCTTGTATTACTGCTTCCAATGCACACTGCTTTAATGGAAATGCCAGGGGTGACCATGTGAGTGCGTGTTTCTTCAACAAATCAATTTATTAATTTATGAGATTGCGATTTCCGATTAGATATTACTTCCTCTTTGATGCCTCCAGTTGAGGCAAGTGTGTGAACATTGGCGTTCCATCCCACATTATAGACAACAATGATTTGTGTTGGACATGACAATGGTCACCTATGGAGAGAGCTTCGATTTGATTATAATTCAGGTTAGTCTATTCTGTTTTGCTAAGTGCTACCTGTCTGCTCTAAGATTTTCATTATTATGAGCCCATATCTTCTCTTCCACGTTCATGTGTACACGACTTTGTAAGAGCTTCTATAAAAACTGCTCCTGTAATGCATTTCAAATTCCTTCCAATCATCCATTAAACAGTCATCAAATACAAAATAAATTTGGTTAGCAAAAAGCACAATTCATCTTGCAAAACCTTGATCTGTTGATACGAAACAAGGATACTGTCTGTTCTGCAGGTATGCATACAGACCGACATTTATATATTTACTGGCTACTATGACTGTGAACTTATTGCCATTAACAAAAGGATGTGGTGTCATATTAATTAGTGTATGTATAAATCCAAAGTGGCAGGGATGCAGGTCAAAAGTATGAAATAGTACTGTCAATCCCAGACCTGGACTGGAGTAAAATGACAGTTGCTGTAAGATATGTGCACATGATGATTAGTGGGCTGGCACACATACGTAATTTGAATTAGCGGAAAGGTTACCATTTAGGAGCCAAAGCAATAGAAAATACCACACTGGAGGTGAATTACTTGCCAAAACACAAATCTAGAAATATGTAACTACCCACGCCCAAGTGGAATCTTTACGCTTGTGATCACTTATCATTGGCACCTCTGTTTACATGTTGGGCACTGTTAAATTGGCATATTCATCGGCAAGTCGTCGACAAATTAGATAACTTGCCTTGTTATTCGTTATCACACATCTCATCGTAAACTTATTTGACAGATGGAGATTGCCAAAATGCCAACTACCACACACACGGCGATTTACCGCAATGTTGGAATATATTTGCATTGAATTAGAATGACTGGGAATATTTTTGGATCAATTCGTTCTATTCACCAAATATTTGATCAAAGTAAGTATAATTATCTGATGAAAGGAAACTCAGGAATGTGCAAAATGCTACATAAAATCTTGGTTTGACTGTGTTTGCATGTTGAGTTATGTACATAAAACCAATTCCATCCGTTTTGGAAGGTGGGAGGAACTGCATTTGTGTCCATTCCATTCTCGGCCTAATGACAATTATCTACGGCAAGAATACCAGAACAATGTATATACCCATCGCAATTATAAAAAACAGCGACGTCATTCTGCCAAAACAATAAATCAATTGCATACATGTAATTGTACTTGGATAATTTTTGCACGATTCAGTTAACTTTGTGGGGCTAAGAATGAAATAGTTTACTTCACGATCTAAAATAAATATGTAATACGTAACAATGTATCATAATTGAGTATATATTATGTGGACCTAAACTGCGTTGTTATCAAAATTTATTAAGACTTACAAGGGAACCTTAAGTACTGTCACCTCGCGATTTCCTTCCAAATAGCCTTAATCGACAGATAATTTAGTGAAACTTAAACTTTGTCATAGAACATGCGGTGCAAAATCGCGTTTTCGCGAAATATTTGGCGAGAGCTGCACCAAAACCTGCCATTTGCCCAATGCTTTTAACATAGCCACCAGCCTTTCGAATGATTAAATGAACTTCATATAATCTTATTAAATTATATTTGTACCTGTCCGCGTAATTTCAGCCCGATCACCAATATGCATAAAACAATGCAAAGATTCGCAAATTTTTTGCAAATTGCGAAAATCTGAAAACTTGCAAATTTGAATTTCTTCGTTTCTTTAAATTCAACAAACTTTAACAGTTTAACTGTTAGAAAATATATTTTTCTTATTGCAAAAAATTTGCAAAAATTTGCAAAAACTGAACTTCGCAATTTTTCATGAAAATAACTTAAATAACCAAGGCTAGTTTATTTTTACGTATTTTTCGAAATTATTTGCGGTATTTCTTTTGGTAAGTTGCAAAAACTTACAATGTGTGCAATTTTTTAATTCAATATTATTATGTAGAATTTGTTTGCAATGTTTGCATGTTTAATTGTTTAACAAATTATCTTTCCCTTTATTCGCTCATATCAGCATATATGACAATTTTTAAGTTTCTCTAAAATGCGAAATTTAAAAAATGTAAACTTTAATTGTTACAAATTTTTGCAAATTTTTTGCAATAAGAAAAATATATTTTATAACAGTTAAACTGATAAGTTTGTTGAATTTAAAGAAAGAAAGAAATTTAAATTTGCGAAAGTTTTCAGATTTTCGCAATTTGCAAAAAATTTGCCAATCTTTGCATTGTTTTATGCATATTTGTGATCGGGCTGAAATTACGCGGACAGGTACAAATATAATTTAATAAGATTATATGAAGTTCATTTCATCATTCGAAAGGCTGGTGGCTATGTTAAAACCATTGGGCAAATGGCAGGTTTTGGTTCAGCTCTCGCCAAATATTTCGCGAAAACGCGATTTTGCACCGCATGTTCTATGACAAAGATTTAGTTTCACTAAATTATCTGTCGATTAAGGCCATTCCGAAGGAAATCGAGAGGTGACAGTACTTAAGGTTCCCTTGTTAGTATAAGAATTATATACGTGCGAGAACTGTAAAAGTCCACATATGTATCAGTGCGTTCAAAATATGCAACATGCTCTTTGCATGAAATGCGACATTAACAATCCAGATAAGCATGATTAATTCGTAGCATTCGTATTGAACAAAAACAAGGCTACCAAGGGTATCATCTTCAAAACAAAGTAGTGTCACATATTATTACACTGTGTAACATAATAGGTTGCAATCCTACATAAGAAGCACCATCCTGCAAATCAATTAAATCGTCGCAGTGGGGATTCATGCCTCGATCGTGTCAGAAATGTCAAAGGCCAATTATTTTTTTAAAGACGAAACCAGCACCAAATTTGTGTCACTTGGCCTCATCTTGTGGTTTGCGATTCAATTTGCAACTTTTACTCCGTTTCTTTTGACCTCATATATTTATTTGCTTGAGTTAAAACACTTGGTTGAAGTCTTTATGGATATTAAAGTCACAGCTCATTAGCGTAACATTGTCAGCATTGCTATCAAAGACCTTTTTCTTTGTTCCGCTCCTAATTTGCCTACTCTTGTTTGTCCTGTCCACGTTTTTAATTAAGGAGAATCTACTGTGAATTGCCGCATATCCAATTCTTAATTGCTAATTATTACTACAAATGCAGAATTAATGATAGCAGTGGCTCAATATAAAATGTTAGCCAGATGCATAATTGTACTTAATTTAATTCCTACAATTCTCTTTGTCAATCTCTAACTTGTGTGTACTCGGCGCAGGAAAGGATAAAGTCACGCCAAAAGAATGCTAAAGAAATTGTCAGTTTATCCCTTTGTAACGTATGATAATTTACTGAAACTAAATTCATCAAGATTGTAGATGCATTTAAACCAGACATTAAGCAAGCACATATGTTAATATGTGCATGATGGAGCATGATTGAAAATACTTTAAAATTTCTCCTGAGAATGTTTTGTAATGATTGTACGTCATCTTAAATGGTCATTATCGAGCTTTCGGTATTTCTGCTTCAAACATTACGAAACAATCGTGAGAAAAATCAAAACAGAAATGTAGAATTTGTATGATTTTATTGTACTTTGTGCTAACGCCTTATGCCTGACTCATAAGTTATGAGATATTATTAAGTTAGTTGTTTGCATGCAAGAAACTTGAAATTACGCCGTTTAAAACTGCACGTAGCGATAAAGTACGACTTGAAGGTGCAATATGACACATTTGTAATTTTGTTTGCTGGACCATACATACTGCAACTGTAACGCGTTAACAAGGGCAGACATAAGAAATCAGAGCTAGTCATCACTCACGAGTTAAATAAGTTGAAATCTTTGCGTTTGGACTTCCTAATGTGAAGGTCAGAGAATAAAATATAAAAGGGAAGGCTGCCCTTGTATCGTTTTTATTTAACTTTGGGATTACATCAAACTAGGATAGGATTCTAATCATCGCATTGTTGCATCGCCTACCTGCCTGAGAATCTCCCATGCAGCGCTTCATGTGTGTGCTCCCGTTTTAGATGGTCAGTTATTCGCATTTATCAATTCACGTTTATACAACAATTGTCATCATTACCTCAATTACTCAGTCTGCATGAGTCTGTCTTCAAGCGCTTATGTTTACACAAGAAGAGTGCACCAGCGCGTAGACTTCTCTCGCCAGCCATAGCTGACTACAAAAATAACGGAAATAGAAGAACCTTTGTGTCCATCAGCCATGTGTTCCATGCAAATTGCTTTGTGCATTTTCGGTGTTGTGCTGGGTGGGAGTTGGGCAGGGACCACTTCGTCCTACCAACACCGAACTACCTCGTTGGACGAATTAAAAGAAATTGATTCATATGTGGCTACAGGACTGCCATTGTTTGATCATGGATTCTTTGTGAGCACAGGTATGCAACGTAATTTTCAGTGTTGTGCAATTAAAAAAAAATTAATGTTAACAAATAATTTGGACCATTTATTTTATTTTATTCGTTGTATTCGTCAGAGTGAGTATTACATATTTTTGTTGTATTAGGAAATGTCAGTAGTTCATATTACTGACATGTTCCTTCAACTTGTTGATTCCAGAGTAGGTTTTTTATTTCGGTTTTGCCTTTCGGGCACAAAATTTAGATTACAATGTCCAAAAGAGGCCGACCAATTTTTTATCACTGGAACAAATGCATTAAATTAATAAATATCTCGTTGACAGAGAGTTTTAAACCACAAGTTCTTATATGATATGCAAACTCTACAAATATTTCAGGAACTGTTGAATAGTTTTTTTGTAATTATTCTGTATTTTTAATTAGTAGGTATGTTATTATTTTCCTGTATTGTCGCATATGAAAACAAGTGGAAGGAGCACTCTAACATAAAGCAGTTGGAATGGGAATTCTATGATGTTAATCTATAACTGAGATTCTTGTTCTGATTTTAGCCCAAGGCCCGATACTTGTAAAGGCGAAGGAAGATGGAATAAAGCAGAACAAGCCCAAGATTAATCCAGGGTATTACAGGTAGCCAATTGATTACGAATTTTCTCATTTCATTAACTTTCATTGGGAAAACATGCATGCAAGGGTACAAAAGTAAGAAATAATGGTGTATTAAACACAAATACGTATGTACCTATAACGCTTAACTGCACGCGAACCTCATGTTATTGTCACATCAAAATTATACACATTAAAAACTTAGCCAAGTAAATCTTGTTCAAGATTTGTCAATAAACTACCAACTCCTTTAGTTATGACATAGATAAATTTATCCTGCACTGCTAGACTTAAATTCAAAGTCTTGATCAATTTTCATGAAAGATTGACCAACCATGCATTTTACTTGCATATAAATACCGTAAATGACGCTAGAATTATCCTTAATTCTCATGTTCAAGTTGGTTTTGGTCTATTCATAGGTAAACTCATTGCTTAGTTTCGTACTTATAAAGTATATTAAGTAATTATAATCACATAATGATTATGTCCATATAATATAATTTTGATCATTTCGCAAAAATTGTTGTTGACATTTGCCCCAAAATTTGATTATCTAATCCAGAAGCCGTAGTGTATACTTTGCAAAGCTATTAAATTACAAGCAGAACATTCACACGCTAATTAATTATATTACTTGCAAAGATTGTAGACGTAATATCACTAACGCATGTATGTAAAATGTCGTTTACTGAATTTCATGTTATTCCAACAAAATGCTACTTGTATTTTTTCATGTGTTTGCGTAGTACACTTCCGCGACTTATCCCATCTGGATACGAAGGGATTTCAATTTGTAAGTGCACACATTTCTTCACTTGCATTCCTTGATTACAGTTTTGTGACTTAATATATATCTTAATGCATGTCGAAATATTTCAGCACATTTCAACTTGGGGTCAGCCTTTCCTGCCCAATCACCGTCAATATTCCCCCACCCACCTTCACTGGACTTTTATGAAGGTCCCTCGCACCAATTTGCTCCACAAGGTCACTTTGGCTCACCATTTGCTTCCCATCTGCCAAGACAGCCTTCTCCGGCACCCTATGCTTTTGAGCCAAGAAGATCACAAACCCAATCTGGACACTTCATCCAGCACCACAATCCCCAACGGCGTCTAGACCGATTCATCGACCGTCAAAATCAGCGACAGCCACATTCGTCCTCCCAAGTCGCCGAAGATACATTTCAAGTTGATAATTTCATAAATGCCGAAGATGATCATGTGCCAACGTCGTATCAAAATACTATGATTGCACATGAGTCGATTGATTCCAACAAGTTTGTCAGAAACCCCACTGTTATACAAGCGTTTGGATTTGATGACGACCTGCCAGAAAATTTAAAGAAATCCGTTTCATTTTACAAGTAAGTCAAGATCCAAGTTTATAGTTTATTGTTGTGAACATTTTGATGTTCTTTATTCGCACTAGTAGTTTCACTCATGGCCAAGTTGTTGACGAAATGTTTAATTTGCGAAAATAATATTTGAATAGGACATTGTATTGTGGTTCTTTCTTCTACTACAATTATTCAAAGATTCAAACATTAATAATATCATCCAAAACCAAGGCAAATTTGCCATTTGAGATGGTGTCATTGTCTTGATAAGTTTTTCTATCATTGTTTGATGAAGAAAATCCGAGTACGAAGTCAGTTAGTGGTATGTATGAGGTAATGATAATGATGGTTTTTTAAGTCGTTGGCGACATTTCTACTGTGCACTTTATGACTGCACTGTCAAAAGTATGGGTGATTCATTACCAGCAAACGTGCCATTGTTACAGATAAAACTATTTGTGAGTGTGATCCAATTCAGGGTTTTTATTACTCACGGTCTCAATAAAATTGTTGTGATATAGAGATTATGTCCGTAAGTCATCAAATAAATTGTCCCAAATTAAAAGATTCAAGCTCGTTTTTTATTATCAGTGGTACACAAATTTACATTGGCAGCCCGAACCATGCATTTTCTCAGCATCTTTCTTCATTTTATAGCCAGTGTGAACAATTTGGAAAGATTGAGTTGGCACTGATTTTTAGTCAGATAGCACATATTTACGCATTTGCAGCATCGATCTATCAGAACTATAGCCCATACTGAACCGATTTTGCACATACTTTTCTCTTCATTTGGCACATACTATAGGTAAAAAATTTAAGGTCACTTGAGTAGGTTTTACTCGACTTGTCGCAAGTCCGATGGGCAGACAGACAAGACGGTTGCATAAGCCTGGGGCTAAAAATCTTTAGTTATATCCCCCTAAAACTTTCTGATCATCAATGTTTTTGTTTGTCGGAATAGGAACCAAGGAGTTGCAACAGCCTTGGCCCAGGAAAGTCTGCCAATTGAAGGTAACTTGAATTTGAAGTCAACTTCGAATTTTTAATAGTTTAATTTGAATTTCTATTGAAGGCGAGACCGTCGTGGGTCAATGGGACACTACAAAGATACAGAAAAAACGAATAAGCGACTTATTACGTGCTGCAGGTTTCCTTCGATAATTATGTATGTACATTACACTTCTGGACCATTATTGCTAAATACGACCATAATCCATGCAATAGTTTGATTGACAGTGAGCTTGCTCATTCCCAAATAAGCCTAAATTTAAATCGATGTTGGTTTTTTTTTTTACCAGACAATAGCCAAAGTAAATGATACCAGATAAGGGAAGAGAGAGAACAGCAAAAACCGTAAATAAAAGTATTATTAATAAATGCTTGTTCCTGGAAAAAAAATCTTTATAATAAATTCTTTAGGTGTACACAATAATTATTGAAGGACGAAAAAGTTATATTTCAAATAATATTAACATTAGACGTACTTAGATAGATTAAAGTTATTGTGAATATTTATGGCCATAAAAATGTGATATGCAAATCTCATTGCAATTATACATTAGGATATTTACAACTACGCGTATACTGTAAAACGACGATCATTAAATTGTGATTAATCATATTTTCATAGCTGTGCAATATATTGTAATAAATTAATAACAGCTGCATTAGTTATTCGCACGTTACTTTACTCCAGCAAGACAGCAGCAACAAGTAATTTATTACCAGTTACTGAAACATACTCTTTAGCGCAACCATATTACATGTAACGCGTTTTCGTATATATTCGACAGGTAAGCGATTGATTTTATGTATGGGCAAGTAAAAAAAAACATTTTCGACGAGATCCTTCCAAAAATGCGTTTATGTAATTCAATTACTAATTAATTCATTTCAAAACTTCTCTCTCGATTCGTTATACGATTTATGATGCTCCTGAAAAACGATCTCGGCCGTCTTGTGAAAGCTCTATCTTTGGCTGTGGGAGTCACAAATAATAAGGCGATCCAGCCCAGAAACACGACGCCAAAAATCCACCACACGTTGATATTGTAAGGGTGTGGGTCGGATGGATGGGCGCCGTCCCTGTAGGCATTGAAGACTGCCGTGAATGTCAACCCGCCGCACTACAGAGAAAATTTAATTTTAATTTTGCTTGGGTCACCACCTCCCTGAACGATAATGCGTAAATATTTTTATACGGTCAGATGGGCACCACTTATCCCAGAAACACTCAATATGTGTGGTGTTATCATTACCCCTTGACTGTGGGGTGTGCATTACAAGAAACCCGACTTGTTCATAATGTGCAAAACGTTGGGTCCTGTTCTAGTGCACCCTTGCACAGGTCTTTACAAGGTAACTAACAAGGGAACCTTAAGTACTCTCCCATCTCGATTTCCTTACGGATAGTCTTATTTGATAGATAATTTAGTGTAACGGAAACTTTGTCATAGAACATACGGTGCAAAATCACGTTGTCGCGAAATATTTGGCGAGAGCTGCTCCAAAACGTGTCATTTTTCCAATGCTTTAACATAGATAACAGCCTTCGGAATGATGGAATGAAGTTTATACACCTGTCTGTAATTTCATGCTGATCACCAATATGTAAAAGAACGATGCAAATATTTGCCATTTTTTCAAATTGCGAAATTCTGAAAAATTTTCTAAATTTTAATATCGTCATTTTTTTGAAATTTCAACAAAATTAATATGTTAAACTTCTTTTAAGCATTACACAAAAAAGTTTTCAAAGCCCAATTTTTCCTTACTTCAACACAATGGGCCAAAATTTTCAAAAATTGAAACTCACAATTTTTCATGAAAAAATATAACAAGACCAATGCTAATCTATTTAACGTGTTCATTAAACTTGTTGGCTAAATATATATTTGCAAGTTGTAAAAAATTCTTGTATCGTCAGTTTTCGACATACTCAATAAAATAACTTTTCCATACCTCGTTCGAGATTTTAAGCTTTTTGGAAAACTGGAAAAATGTTCATCTGGGAGGGACCCTGCGGGTATCGGTGTATATAGGACGGCAAAAATATAGGGCGCCCTATATTTTAGCATTATAAAAATGACACGTTTTGGAGCAGCTCTCGCCAAATATTTCGCGACAACGTGATTTTGCACCGTATGTTCTATGACAAAGTTTCCGTTACACTAAATTATCTATCAAATAAGACTATCCGTAAGGAAATCGAGATGGGACAGTACTTAAGGTTCCCTTGTAAGTACTGTCACATCTTGATTTCCTTTCGAATGGTCTTAATTGATAGATAATTTAGTGTAACTAAAACTTTGTCATAGCACATACAGTGAAAAAACACGTTTTTTTAATTATTTGGCGAAAGCTGCACCAAAACGTGAAATTTTTCCAATGCTTTTAACATAGATAACAGTCTTCGGAATAATGAAATGAAATTTATAAATTAAATACCTGTCGGTAATTTCATGCTTATCACCAATATACAAAAAATCACAAACATTTGCCAATTTTTTTTAGACTGCGAAAATCTGCAAAATTTTCTAAATTTGAATTTCGTCGTTTTTTGAAATTTTAATAAAGTTTAAACGTTAAACTTCTTTAGTTTAAGCATTGCAAAAAAGTTTTCAGTAAATGATTTGTTTTCCTATTGCAACAAAATGGATGAAAATTGTCAAAAATTGCATGCATTCACAACTTTTCGTGAAAAAAGATATAATAACCAAGGCTTGTCTATTTTACGCATTTTTCAAAATTGCTGGATTTGTTTTTGCAAGTTGCAAAAAATTCTGCAAATGTATATCGTCAGCTTTTAACATATTCAACAAAATAACTTTTCCACACCTCATTCGATATTTTAAGCTTTTTGGAAAAATCGAAAAAATTTCATCAGGGAGGGGTCACTCCCACTATGCATATATACATACAAGACGGCATAAATATAGGACGTCCTATATTTATGCCGTCGAACGAGGTGTGGAAAAGTTATTTTGAAATTATTTTGAAAGCATTGGAAAAATTTCACGTTTTGGTGCAGCTTTCGCCAAATATTTCACAAAAACGTGATTTTTCACTGTATGTGCTACGACAAAGTTTTAGTTACACTAAATTATCTATCAATTAAGACCATCCGAAAGGAAATCAAGATGTGACTATGTGACAGTACTTAGGGTTACCTTGTTGGTTGATGATAACACAAGAAACTGACAATGAGTGATAACATCCCGTGGGGTAAACGGTACCCATTTGGTCAGATATTATTTTAAAATAATTATCGCTCAGGAACTAGTTACTAACAAGTATGATGCTAAAATATTGTTTATTTCGCTTTGCGCACTTACCACTCCTGCCAACGACCAAGCAGTTAAAATTAATCCATGGGCAGACCTGTTAAACTTTTTTTTAGATTTACAAATTTTGCTACTGTCTGTTTAATGACGCTAACCCGATATTGGTAGCGCCAAAAGTATCCGAAAGAAAGGCTGGTATTACTCCAAACCTATTATTACAAACAAACTATTAAAACAAACAAATTAAAACGCACACATTATTATTAGTATTACATACCCTGCCCCATAGCACGACGAGATTATAAACATTGTCATCAAGAACGCCCAGTAGGTTTGGGTAGTTGTAATTGTTGAGAAGCTTCCCAAAATAATTAATTGTGACGTTAACATGATTATAAAACAGTTCTTTCTGCCTATGTAATCCGACAATATTGAGAAGCATAATCGCCCTCCTAGATTGAACAGTCCATTTATAGATACCACTGTGGCCCCTTCGTCCGGAGTTTTACCAAAAATTTCTTTCGTCATGTTTGCTAAGCGAGAGATGACAACCAGACCGAAAATACTGTTTGCGAGTAACATGGCGTACATGAATCTGAAATTACGTGTACAGTGTAATAATAAAATACAATTGTTAGTGCATTGTACACATGTAATATTCATGTATGTATGTACCTGTAGTTATTTGACGTTAATGCGTCAATTAAAGAGATTTTATCGGGTGGGTCTCCATTTGCATGGGCTTCTACAACTTTTCCGTTTTCAGTCTGATCGCTGCCTACGCTAAAATTTGGAGGTGGTGTCCTTAGAACCAGGCCGGACAGAACCATGAGAACAAGATAAACCGATCCAAGAACTACGAACGTTAAGGGCAACCCAACGTTATTATAGAGAGGTAATTGCACTTTTGCAAAAATAATAGAGCCAGCTCCGAAGCCACAGACGGCAAGCCCGCTCGCCATTCCTCGTTTATCAGGAAACCATTTCTGAAATTAGAAAAATTAGTGAAATTTTAGAGATCCATCGTATAACAATTGAATAAATAGTAACCTGAAGGGCCGACACTGGTGAAATATAGCAAATTCCGAGTCCAACCCCACTCGTGATGCCATACCCCACAAAAACTAGCCAAATCAGTCGCAGGTAGAGTGCAAGTGCGGTGATGTAATTTCCAACGACAAATAAAGTGGTTCCCAACAAGCACGACACCATCGGCCTGTTTTACATACAATTAACCGTCACGCACATTTTAGAGTTTTATGTACATTTGTCGTATACATGTCAAACTTACCCATTTCTCTCCAACCAAGGTCCAAACGTGGCAGCCGACAAGCCGAAAATACATACAAGTTAAAAGTTAAATATATAAAATACATACATATATATAATAAATACATACCGACAAGCCGAAAGAACCTACTGCTATGTAGAAAGTAATCGGGGCCATATTCACAACTTCGCCGTAAATCAAGACATCAATTGGCTAACAAGTTATTTCGTTGTTATCATTTGTTTCTGATTTATTAAACCGGGGTTTCAACCAACCTGATTGAATACTGACCACGCATAAAGCGATCCACAACAAAACTGAATGATCACCGCGGCAGGAATTAGAAACCAGCGATTGAAAGGGATGCATGGTAAAAGTTTGGACTCGCGAAGTACTTGCTCTTCACTTTTCTCGTACTTTGTTACTCTATGCAAAATAAAATATGAAAATAGGTAAAAATAAGTTTTGTGTGTTTGGTAAGTTTCAACTAACCTGTAATGATACTGAATCAATCGGAGAAATATATTAGTCGATTTTGCCTTATTGGACGTGTTGTCTCCTCCCACGGTGTCGTGGTCAGCTAACACTTCTTGACCTGTGAAGTTTATGTATGTGCTTTTTATCAATGAATAAGGTAAAAATATCCGCCACGTAAATAATGTTACATAATAATTTCCTTACTGCTTTGAGTTGATGTCATGATTCCGTTCAGTGTGGAGTGAAGCTTCACTCACAGAATGATTTAGAGAGGAACTGAGCTAATAAATTCACAAAGGTGCACCGCCATGAATTATACCAGAAAATTTACATTCGGATCACACTACGTGAATGCGCTTTGATCAATATTATTGTTCCAGTTGATGACTCGACTTTCCGTTGAAAGAAGCGTCAACTCCCAAGAGAGCACATGGATTATGTAACTAAATGTGTCAGGAGGTTTGCCAGGTTGTTGAATAGGTTGTTGGTTAGTTGAATGAAGCCAGAGCACATTTAGTTGATTTATTCAGTGTCGGCATTGAAGTAAGCTCATTTCGTTATGCTGTTTGCGGTGTTTAATTCGTTCTTAAAAAAAACTATCAACAAAATATACGAACCATTCAGTTTTAAGGTTAAATTGCCTATTAATAAATCCGGTCCACCCGTTAAACCTCACATATACACGTGCACTAGGTAATTCAACTCCAGGCGAGAATTCCTGTGTAAATAAAGCTTGCTCCTTAGATTGGAAATTCAGGTAAATATTTCTGGTGAACCGTTGTACATACCTTTTCCAAAATGTTGCACTGCCGTGCAACTCTGTATGTATTTACAAGTTCAGCAGTTCTGATGCGACAATGGTGGAAGGAAATCTTATACTGATTAAATAATGATTGTAGTTACCTTAATGATGATTTGGAGTGGACATAGTAAGCAATAGCACGAGGAAAGGTTATGAATAAATGCTTAACAGGCGAACCTGTGTATCCTTGCGTCAATTATTGTACGTATATATGTGTGATGCTACACTGCAGTACGTACATAATTAGAAAGACAAAACTTGGGCATTGTTATTATCATTGTTAGGTATGACAGGCAACGAGTTATATAAGTTCGATGAAGGACGCATGTTGCAAAAAAGTCCTCCTTTCCTCCTGACGTTTCATGTATATATTTGTTCGTTCAACTAACTAATGCCTCATTGTTAACCATCCTGTTTGCAATTTTTTTTACTACCTGGTGCAAAATTGCCTCTATCTTTTGATAGCTGTTTTGCATGTGTCAGATTTTGCTTTGACATTCCTCCTGCGGCAGACGCATTGATTTTCGAGAGCAACCCTACTATGCTATGCAATCCTAACGTATCGTAATTTAGTGAAAATGTCTGCCCTAACAATTGTCATGTGCTCTATTACTGCTTTGATTGATGGACATTTACGTATACATATTAACATATGTACATATTATATAACGCTAGGGTGTGATGCTCTAAATTGTTGCATTTTTAACATTTGCTACCCCTCACTTTGGGGATATGGAATCCTAAAATCTGTCTGTCCTACATATGATAAATCGTCAAACAAACACATCGAATTCACATTTGGCATACTACACGTAATAAACGACAGATTAGGAGCAGCGTAATTTCGAAGATCAGCAAAATCGGTTCACAAAGGAACCCCTCGTAGGGCTGAATGTTTAACATTAAAGCTCTTCAACACCTGTTAAGCTGAAGCCTATAAAGTCAAATTTGAAAAATTGTCACTTTCAGGCTATACTGCTAAAAAATATGTGCATATTTTTTTAATATGCACATAAAACATAGATGCATTAAGTACAAACGCACATATTTTTACAGCAAAAATTTATTATACTTAATATTGCATTGCAAGTATTTTATTCTTTTAGTAGCATAATAAAAGTGGAAGCTAAGCTAAACTCGACAATTTATATGTTTGTATAGTTGTATAAATATGAATGTTTTTTAGCTTAAAATCGTATTTTAAGTTAATATGTTAGTTAGGAACGTCTGGATTGAACTTGGAACTGGGACTTATTGCTCATTTATCTGAGCTTTACTAAAATTCAAAAACACCTGAAATACATGTAAATATATAACATATTAGATATATATTATTCCTATATATTAGATATATTGATATTCACCTGCTCTAAACTAGTTTGGCCTACCGAATAGGCCTCAAGTGAAAATTTGACTCTTGCTTCCTCCATTATTGTAAACATTTTTCCCCAACTAACGTTATCACTTGGCGTGACGTGATAATGCACGAATCCAGGATGGATATCTTTGAGGACAGAGTCTGTGAAACAGCAATATAAAATTGTTTATTTTTATATTACCCAGAACATTCAGTCACTTTATGTGAAAATGCATGTTTACCTGGGAATGCATCTTCGATAAATGTTCTGAGGTCATCTAAAGCTAGCTCCCAATACCTAAAATTGAAAAATAATTAAGAAAGTTGACGATTTTGATTTTTCTCTGCAGTAAACATATTTAAAAGAATGCACAAATTAGATGCACAGCTTTTTGTAGTGGATTTATAAAGATACTCTACGAATTCTTCCAGAGGGACACTTGGGAAAATTGCAAATTAAATATAATAAAGCACCAGTTGTTCAGGGGTCGCAGAAACTATTATGCATGTTTAACCACATGAAAGTCAAATTTTAGGCCATCCGCACGAGTTAGCTCAAAATGTGCATTCATACCTAACGTTAAGAGGAGAACGCTGCACGAAGGAGCTTCCTCTAATTGTTCTAACGCTGCTTCGACGTCTTCCTCTCTCCTCCATGGACCTCGTAAACGGCTCGTTCATCTCGTCAAGAATTTTCATTTTGGTTTGAGCAATTAGTGTGTATCCCTTTGAAAATTTATTCTTGAGGTGTTGGGGCGATCTGGAAATTTATTAAATTAGTATAAATTTCATCTAACACCAATCTACTGTAAATAAGGCGTCAAAATACCCAATACAACGGAATCTCCCATTGACCATGACGCCCTATTTGACATAAATACTTTATTAGTCAAACCTAAACCGGTAGTTGTAAATTCAACATTTAAATAGTTACCATCCTTGTGACTAATGCTTCTGCTTCCTCCAAACTATCAAAAAGAAGAAAATGGGGATAAGTGGTTTTAAGGCCAGTGAGGTTGGATTATGAAAATATAAATTTTAAGGGTCACACCGAACCAATCCTTTAAAACTATAAAGAAATATACCTGTGAGTTGTTAAAACGATTGATGTTCCGGCATCTCGAATCATACTGATAGCATTCCATAAATGTCGCCTTGCTACAGGATTATTATTTTATTTTATTGTTTAATTTTTGAGAACAACCCTACTATGCAATCCAAACGTATCGTAATTTAGTGAAAATGTCTAACCTACAGGATCCATCCCTGAGCTTGGTTCACTATAAAAATTTAAAGTAGCCCGAAAAATAAAATTAATCCTCCTATAAAAAACTGAACATAGCAAATTTTAAGCTAATATAATTTATTACTCAAGTAATACGACTTCCGGTTTGCCTACTAATGCACAGGCCGTCGACACCTGAAAAGTTTGATTTTTAGCTTTATGATTTGTTTTATAAATTTTACGTGTAATAAGGCATTATTACCCAGTACCTTTCTTTTATTTCCCCCACTGCAACAATACAAGATTGATTAATTTAAAGCAACGAAATACTTATGTCCAAATTTCGTACCATAATTATTAGTAAAAAAATTCATACCTAAGATCACCAGTTCGCTTGTCCAAGTGCTCTGCAAATATTAAAACTTGGCCGAGCTCGTTAATAAGGTCCTTGAAATAGGAAAATATTCACTAATGTTTATTTTTATATTTCGCTGGCATTATGAAATTGAAGATGTTACCTTGATGTGCTTTTCTGGTACTCCCTTCAACCGTGCAAACATTCTTATTGTCTCCCGAGCCGTTAATTCGTCTATGAGGCCATCAAATTGTGGAGTGTAACCAATATTTTCGTGAACCTGGCGAAGATTTGTGCGGATGCTATTTGAACAAACAAACGCATCTCCTATTCAGAACAGAAATTGAAGTTAATAAATATAATTAAGTAGTAAAGATATTGAAATAAGTGTTTGTTCACTAACCCGCAGTTGGAGGAATATCTCCTGTAAGCTGTTTGAACGTAGTTGTCTAACATTTACACAAAATGTGCCATTTAAAAACTGCAAAATTCCCATTTTGAAAAATGGCATGGTATTTGAAATTCTCACCTTTCCGGCACCATTCACTCCAAGCAAACCTGTCAATTATAAAAAATTGATAAGTACGAATATGGCAAATAGTCGTCTGTACATTCAAAATACTACACGTATCATGCAATACCAAAGCATTCCCCTGGTTGAACAGAAAAGTTGAGGTGGTCAACAGCTAAAAACTTCTTGTACGTCTTTGTTAAGTCTCTGCAAAGATAAATTGTACATAGATTTATGCACTCTCTAATGATATTTGCGAAGACTCACCGAACAACAAGTCTCTAAACAGCAACGGGGTAGAAAATAAAATTATGATTAGATTTATATTGTGAACATAATCTTAGTGACCATGTTTAAGAAGAACTAAGGAAGTGTTATCCGATCCTAAAGTGAAAGTTTTGCATAAAGAAAAGCTGCACAATTTCTTAAAAACCAGGGTAAAGTATATGTATGTATGTCTCGTATTACTTTAGGGACTAATTTATTCAACTCGGTTTATGAAAAATGGTTAAAGGAGAGCTACATATGTATTCACACACATGTACGTAGTTCGAATGACGAATAGGAATTGCAATTTTGCATGCATGTTGCATCAATTTCATTTTTGACCTTGCTGTGTTGAATTTTTTATATATCAATGGTCAATAATGTACCAATTATCTGTATTGTAAATATTTCACATCAAGCTTAACAAGCTTTGTAAAAAAGCAAGTTTGATGTAATAAACCAAGCAGTCAACCAAACTATCGAACATACCTCAGACTTAAACAAAGTTTGCAGATCAGTTTTTCTAATTTTTTCCTCTTCATTGAGAACATCAGAATCTTCAAGTCCCACTGGGTCTAAATATAAATATAAAAAATTGATTTCAGTTACACATTTATGCAGATATTTATATGTGCGCATATCTATCGAATTGAAAGCCAACCTTGGATGTCTGATTCATTATCGTCCAAAATTGAGACAGGTTTTCTGAAGATATCTCGAATTTTTTTAAACACTTTGAACTCGACCGACAATAGTAAAACAATGTAAAAGGTGGCCGAGATTATCAGATATACTACATTTTTTCCTACTCCCATCCGTTCCCAATCCAAATAATTTTGTTTCAATTGTTGACAGCAAAATTTGTCATTTGAGGCGGCGCAAATGTCTTCCAAAAACTCGAGACTGCCACAAAAACTCCGCAGGTGGTAGTTAACAGACAGCTGCATAATTCCTTGTCCCATCGCATAATTCGGAGATATCAAAAGATATGAATTGACGCCGTCTGCGAGGTGGTCAAGGTAAAATCCTGGCATGCCTACATAAAATTGATTTTATTTTGAAATGCTTACTGACATAATAAAAAAGTAATGCACAATAGTAACTCACAAATAAACACCATCGCGATCATCGGAACTAGCCCTGGAATTTTATAAATTGATCGTAATTACATAATAGCCTATGAGCCACACAAATCGTTTTTACTATGTAAATTTAAAAAAATGAGACTTACCCATAATACTGAATAGTATGACCAATCTGCTATATGCAGTTGTCGGATTACTAGCCACAAATGACAAGAGATATGTGAGTGGTAGAATTGCGAGCCCAAACAATCCCATCAAAACTACAAAGTAGATTTGGACCTCTCTGTCCATGAACTCTTCAATTTGGTGTATGTTCAAACAGATCAGAAGTCCAATAACGGTGAGGGAGTAAGTAAAGTAATCCACCACGAAATGACAGCCCCAGTACAACCAGAACTTGACTCCCGAGACAAATTGCAAGTGCTGAAAAATGGGCCAAATTGATCGCCAAATATAAAATATGCCAGCAAATACTCAAGATTATGTAAAGACAATTTTCACCAAATAAACTAACCTTGCATCCTGATTGTCTTTCGCGAACCTGTAATTAGTCATACAAACGATTGCCGTTACAACTTTTTACTTTCTACATAATTAAATACACGTACAGAACAAGAAATTTACTGACCAAGAAGACAACATACGCTGAGATGAGGAAACTGATGGCGATTGCAATATTATATCTGGAAATTGGTCAAATGTTGTACAGTTTAAGCATGGATTTGATAGTGATTACATGAGTACTACTGACCCCACTTGAAATCCCAGTGTTAAAACACTCCCCGACTCCTTGACAGAATCTAAAGTGCTGAATGGGAAGGGTTGATTGTAGGTGGTGATGGTATGGTTGCTCTTCTTAAGCAGCGAATTTGACACAAAGTTAAGAGACACTGGGGGTCCATGATAGGGTTGATTGTTGAAGTACGCAATCAAATCCGTGAGATTATTTTGTGTATTAAATTTCTCCTCAAATGCCACAATGTACTTGTAATTCACATTCACTAAATTCTTTGAGAGCTGCGTAAAGTAGGATAAAATACATATGAGCATCATAAAACTTGCAATCATAATAAATATGGGTAAAAAATATGTACCTCTTTTAGAATTTTGTTGTTAACGTTCTCGTCGCCCAAGTTTTCGACAGCAAACCGGGAAGACACATAATCCACATAGTCTGAACAAAATCCACTGCTAGAGTTTGTGCTCAAGCATTTCACAAACGTAGTTGTTTTTCCAACAACCTCGTAACGCTGTAGGATTTTAGGAAATTTAATTTTTGAATAGACTAAGGAAGAACTTATTTGTTGAGTGTGGTGCAAAAAGTACCTCCAAAGTAGCTACATTCAGTGCTTCTGGATTTCGGAAGCCTGGAAAAGCTTGTAAAGCGAAAAACGTTATGTTGAGGTACAACAAGGGTAGGACGAGCTGAAATAGGACTAAAAATTTGTTCCTCGAAACGTGAAGTAATTTTTTCAAGATCATTGACCACATTTGTTGAAACAATCGTGCAACGCCAGAATTTCTCTTGAGTGGTTCTTTCTTGAAGAGGAAGCTCGAGTCCAATAATGCCAAATCCATGTGATTTATTTCCATATGTTGACCTGAAGTGTCCTTCACAATGTCCAAGTCTTTTGATATTGGAGAGTGTCTGGATTCAGCTTGTTTGAGCACTCTGAGAATTAATTAATATGGTAAATTTCACTTCTGTTACACTTTTAGCATTTAGATATTTAGTTTACAAGTTTATGTGTATCGTTTGTTACCTCATAAAAACCTCTTCCTGCAAAAATTACTAAGTTATTAAATGCTTACAAAATTACATACAAATTATTTAAAATATAACTTGCCATAGTTGTGATGCTGGCCCCATAACTGAAATTTGAGATTATTCATTATTTTACGCTTGTGCATATTCATGCAAGTCGGATTAAATTTATACCTTGCAATTCCCAATTCCTCTCGTCTTGCCTCCAAGTCCTCGAAAACTGCTGGAAAGAGGTGCGATTGGGAGTCTGGTAAAATATAGCTAAGCTCAGCCCCAACATTTTGGTCAATTTCTGCGTCTGGGATGCTATGTTTCAGCAGGTTCGTGATATTATCAATCACACAGTTTGGATTCTTAACAATTATCAAATTGTAGCCACCGCCTAAACAAAAGTGGAAATTCCCACGGTACAATTTTTACTATTCAAGTTTTTAGCTCATTTATTTATACTAAACGACGGCAATTACCATATCGCTTTTTCAGGAACAGCGAAGAACCACAGCATTCCACAGCCCCTTCAGCCATTATCGCTATAATTTAAATTGAGCCACAATATTAGTCTACATACATTTATGCATTTGTGTATGTATAGATATCCTACCTATCCGATCACCAAGAACGTCAGCCTCCTCCATAAAGTGTGTCGACAAAATTCTGTTATGTGTGTGTGTACATAGTATCACATGACTTGTACGAAGGAACGATTTTATAATTGAAAAGTGAAATATTTATTTACATGGTTCTCCCCTTCTTTTCACTTTGAATGAGATCCCAAATATTTCGCCGAGACCCTAAATCATAAATCGAGTATGCACACATCTATTATGACATTCAAATAATAAGTAGATATATGTCATCCAATGAATAACCATACCTGCATCCATACCGCTTGTTGGCTTAAAGGACAGAATAAAATTCAAAGCATAAATTCATTACTGTATAATTTCATGATAATATGAATTTCCATACCTCGTCAAGCAGACAAATCTGTTTTGAAATGTAATTTGATTATAAATATGCAGCTAAATATGTCTAATGGACTATTTAAGTAAATCCCACGGTACCTTGGATCCAGCACACAGGGCAATTAAAACGCTCAACTTTCTCTTCATGCCTCCGCTCAAAGTACGGCTTTTCTCATGTCGCTTACTCTCTAGTCCAACGGCAGCTAAAAGTCGGTTGATCTCAGGATCAACTAAATGCTTTTCCATGCCTTTCAACAAACAGAAGAATTCCAAGTGTTCCGAAACCGTTAGTCTAAACGTGATCACATTTTATGACTTGTACACGTAGAAGTGTCTGAACTTATCTATCGTTGAATATAACTTACTCATCGAAAAGTACATTATGTTGAGGGCATATTCCAAGGCTGCGTCTAATTGCGTCCATATCTCTGTGAATATCGAATCCTGCAATACTTGCAGTTCCCGAAGTTGGGGGAAATAATCCAGTTAGCATTGAAATTGTAGTTGTTTTCTAAATAGCAGTATCATAAATTGAAAATTACTGGTTATAAAACTGTAACCAAATACAAACAAAAAAATACCCCAGCTCCATTGTGCCCTGCAATTTGTAAGAAATATGCCCATTAGATTAATCGATTTGCTTGAGGTACGCATAAAGTGTGATGGAAATAAAAGTGGCGTGAGAACAATTTAGCCCATTTACCAAGTAATGCCGTGATTTGGCCTTCATAAATCTCCAAATTCAATTTATTGACTGCAGTTTTGCGTCCAAAAATTTTTGTCAAGTTTTTGATTTGGATGCCTGCTTTCAAGTTGCGCGAGCTTGGTTCAATGTTTGTTCCGTTGTTGTTTATTGATTGAGGAGTGTCAAAGTCGAAATCAAAACCATCCTTTGAACCTCCTGTCCAGTACCATTTCTACAGAATAAAAAATCACTAATTTGGCAATACTCTTGCTAATCAATCATGAGTTTTAATAATGATGACTCAATCAGCCCACGTGAGAAATGCTCAAGCATTTCATTCAGACACTATGGATTCACTCACCTTTAGGAAAAAGTTGTAAGGCAGTGCTGAAAATAAAACGATAAAATGACAGATAAACACACATTTCATACAGATACTCATATCATTTGTATATCAAGACTCACGGATTCCGTACTCGCCAGGCCAAACTGCTTCGATGTAGAACGTAATGAAAAGGTGGAGAAAGCCATTAAACACCATCATTATTAAAGAGTACGCCATGTTAAAATTGTCGTCGGGACTTGAGCCCTCGAACAATGAAGACCACTGCAACCCTTGACCGCTTCCTTCAAATAACGAAATTATTTGACATCCAATCGAGATGGGAATGTTCGTCCCAAAGCAGAACACAAGCTTCCAATAAAATTGTATCAAATTGTATCTTGGCTGGATAAATCCATATGGTGCATAAAATCTAGTAATAAAGTCTCGTTAAAATCATAATTCGATATGACCCACTAATTTGAGCAAATAATAATCTCTTACAAAATCCACATTGCTCCTGCACCAGTGGCCGCCGGGTTTGCTACATACAAGAAATAACAATATGAATACCATGAGAAATGTACTATTTTAGAATTCTAAAAGGCAGAATTAAAACCTATTTACCTCGTGAAAAAAATGACGAAACAAAAAAACAGAAGCATATTGCGGAGAATGAAAAAATAAGCAAGATGAAGTATAAGAGGGTCCCATCCGTTTTTGGAATTATGGGCAATTTTTGGGCTTCAGAAAACCGAACCTGATTTGAAAGAATAAAAAATAGTATTATAATTATAATGTGCATAATATGAATGCATATAAACTCTGCTCCAACCTTAAGTAAAATCGTGATAATTAAACACGATATCATCAGGAAACAAAATGACTTTATAAACCAAGCCAGCCAATGCTGCCAATTGGGTAAGCCCATCATTTTCATGGATTCCTGAAATTTCATTTTTTATTTCAAATTTTCGTAAATATCGAATAAAATATTTTGAAAATCTAACCTTGAGACGTTTCTCTTTTTCAAGAACGATGGACTTTGTAATATTGATGACGGGATAGATAAAGCTCATCAGCATGAGAAGCGGAAGGAAACCCTGCATGGCGAATAAGTAGAGGTCGAACGAGTACGGGATGTAGGGATACCGCTGAATTTTCACATTCACTTGTTTAAGTCTGTCCAAGTCTTCTTTAGAAGAGTTGTACACAAGCTGCATCTGTGCATGCAATAAATTATGCGATTATTCGGGTTTTATATTTATGTAGCTAGCGATAAGTACAGACAAGACTTACAAATGTCTGGTCCACAGCGTTCTGAAGATACAGGAAACCTGAGAGAGATTTAAAAATTATGAAACTTCTTTTAGAAATTTGATTTATATTTACATTCAAAAATCGACTACCTGACTAATAATCTAATGCAAATTATTCAATTACCTTCTTCTCGATATCCAGGTAGACCCCCGTCTGTTTTATTCCTCGCTCTTGGTCCCAAAAGTTGGGCTAATGGATACTAATATGTACATGGTTTATTGTTATTACTACAGTTTTTGCGGAAATTGTCAAGACTTTTATTAACGCAACTAACCAAGATTTCTACAAACCATGCGGCCTTTAACCCAGTCTGTTCTTCAATTATATCGTAACTACCACGTAAGGCTGCAGGAAATCGTAGCTTGTACTGCAATGGAATAATGAAAAGATCGTGTCAAAAGAATTACAGAACATCAATTAATAGAACATAAGTGTACCTTTAAATCCTTAGGAATTTCACCATTCTCAAAATCCCCTTCAAAAACTACGCCCGCAAGAACAGGACTTGAGGCCAAAAGAATATCGATGAAATTGTCGTCAGCCTCCACACTTCCAGAATCACGTTGGTATGCGTCAATTAACTCCTTTTCAGTATCAAAACCAGTCACTGAAGATCATGCAATTAATACAAACCAATTAAATACATCAGTTGCAGGGATGCGAAGCCATAAATCACAATAATGTAAAGTTTTGAATTTGAAATCTTACAGTTGTATTCAAATCCCTCGTCATAAAAATATTTCTGATACACGCCGTTCATAATCCAGTCAGTCACATTATTTTTTGGAGCATAAAATAATTTGTCGCTGCAAGTAAATGAGAAAATGAATAAGTCTGTAGATGAATTCAGATTACTGTATACCGCATGACATTAATGTATGCATACTGACCAGCGCCACAGCGTCTGATACGGTGGTTTAGTAACTTCAATAGGTTCATAAAAAGTAGCTTTTGTTGAATCTTCAGACTTGATAATCACTAAAATTCAAAAATGAATAATTTATTCCTTTAAAAATTGCAACTTGAGCGGCTTTAGGGTTCCAAAACGCTTCTTCACCTCTCATAACGACCAATCCGACCGTGAATATGACCGGAATAAGGAGTTCCAAAATTGTTTGCCTGCAATTAAATATGCACGCATCGTATAATGTAATGCTCTACTGGGGTCGAAATATAATAAATACTTGCCATTTGTGTCGCATTTGAATAGTATAATTTTTCCAGAGCAGAAGCTTCAACTTTTTCCATGATGAATTTGTATTTGATGATTGAAGCTCCTTTGTCTCTGAACTGGAAATAATAGAATACATGCCAGTCAGCCGTGTTATGAAATTAATTTAAAAATAAATATGTCCCAGCTTACATCGCATTGACATTCCAACTTTTGTGGGATCTTTCCCACCGAGTCATTTTATTTATTTCAAAAATCGACAATTTTTTTATTAATGGGCGAAAATACCGTACGCCAAACCGAAAGGATGAGAACAGAGTAGTCGCTGTATGCAAATCGACAATGTATGGGAAACGTATAGGTTTGTATTGTTACTGAACAAAGATGCGATTTTCTAGCTGGGAATGTGTGATTCACCAGCATAAGACGGCCAAGTGTCGACTATTCCACAATCACAAGGAAGAAGAAACCGAACCAGTTCAGTTCAGCATCAAAAGACAATTGGGAAATTCCACAAGAAGCCACGAGCGTATTGTTGTTGATACGCATTCAGATATACATAATATGCATAAACTTTACGCTTATGGAAAATACCTCAGGTTTCATTTTTGATTTCGCAATAGAACATTAAATTGAATCCACCTAGGTACGAACGCCTTGTGACTATATGGCAGCCTCATTGAGATTCTCTCAGACCTATTAGCAGAAAAATATTGTGTAATGGTCCAGTTAAAAAATTATTAACAATAAGTAGCTTGAGGAGTAACTTTGTAATCCTTATTTCTTAGTCATTGTCAGGGTTAAGGTTCAATTTAATGGGTTATCCATTTCCCTATGTAGGCTTTCATGTATATCAGATCATATAGATACACAAATATGTAGGCTTCCACAATTTAGATAAATTGTTGTACGCAATGAAGGTTTTTCCCATAAGTAAGGGTTTGTGTTGCAATAAAATGAAGACGTGAACGGTGCATTTTGTTTTTAATCAGTTTGATGGTGATTACACTCCACATTTTTCAGGAAGGATGTGCAATGCGTAGCTTGCTTTGGCACGCTGTAAAATTGTACTAATCATACGAGTAAGATTTCCGGTTTTTCAATCGCCTAATAGCTAATTTTACAACAAACGAGATGTAACAGTTTATATGTAGCTGGGGTTTCTCTCAGGGATTATTGGTAATTAAAAAACGTGCTACACCACAATGTTAAGTATGCATTACGTTGAAAATATTTAGTGATTGGATTGGAACTAGAATGTCCTGTAATATGTAATTGATCCTCAGATTCATGAAAAGATATTGTACATCACAACAGTCGTCCGAAAGTGAACGAACTTCAATGTACTTAATAGTGTGGTTGATATTGGTAGGCTTCGAGTTTATGGTTTGTACAATAAAACAGGGAATAAATAAATAATCAAAGTTTTTCACATTTACATACGTATAACGTTATTTAGTCAACTTGAATTTCAACTCGGGAGATTTTGACAGAGAAACTAGTTCTTTTTAGTGCGGAGGGGATTCCCGGCTCATTTATAAAGTTTTCGAAGTCACAATATTTAAGTACATAAGGTCATTTGGTCTAAAATGAACATAACAATAATCTCATAATAATGCAAACACCATAGTACGCGGTCATGGTGCGATACGGGTTTTATTGATTAAAAAAGGTTGCAATACTTATGAGCAGCTTTAAAGATCTTACAACAAAAAAAACACAATACGTGTTTTCGTATTGTGTTTCATATATGCTTCATATGGCCCGAGTTAGTCACTTTCCCCTGGAAAATTGGCATGGGTTAACATCTAAAAAATGTTTTATAAAATGGGTATAAAAATTCGGGGAGGAAATGCGGCATCAACTGTAGAAGCGATCACAGGATTCAAATAGCTAGATTGAAGTCAATCAGAAAATCGGTATGGTGTCACGTCACAGACTGAAGGAGGGATAAAGCGTTCCATAAGCCATGACTAGGATTAAAAACACAATCACATACATAGATTTACAGACTCCTAAACTGTGTATAACTTGAGAATTGGATTATGATATCATGTTAATGGGCCAACATTTCAGCACAATACTTACATATCTTGGTTAAACATGATACTGGAAATTTTTACACATTTAAATTAATGTCTACCCCAAAGCATATGTAAATTATGGAGTTTATGATGTTAAACAATAATTATGTTGAGTAGTAAATAAGTTTTATGATTTATTATCCAGAAAATTCACATCTTCATGCTCTTGTAAAATTCAACAAATGTTTTTTTTTGTACATTATAATATTGTGCAAGATGTGGTTTGATATCTTGAAACGGGGGTAATTCTGTTCCTTCCTAGATCTCTGTAGTCAAACTTTGGACTGGAATCGAAATTAACGTTTGCAAATGCTGAAGCCTATTAAAAAAGTGAGAGAATTAATACTATTGGCTCTCCGATTTAGTAATCGTTCATGCTAAAGTTGACATTGTCACCTGTGTACTGCTTCCCACACTTTGTCGTTTCTTGTGTGGACTTGTGCGAATTGGTGACAAATAGTTGACCAATTCATCCAAGCGATCCGATATATTGAGAAACCTTCTTAATTTTCCAGGTGGAGGTCCGGGTGATCCCCCCACTGAAGAAGTAGGCGTCGACGAATGCCTTTTTGTAGCTTTTTTGTTGGCTTTTAAAATGTTTTTGATTTGCTCTTTAACAATCGGATGGGCATTGGATGACGGTTTTTTAAGAGTTGCTGATCTCTTTTTGAGGGATTTCGCAGAGTCATTAATCATCCGAACCCAATTAATCAAATCATCTGGATCAGTTAACGTGAATCGAATATATTCATCTTCACATTCCACCTTTCATACACACATAAAATCACAGGCATTAGTTACACACCTCATTTGCACGCATTTCATTTTTTCCAGAGTTGTGAAATCGTACGAGATAATAAAAAAAGTTTATCATACTTCAGCAAATAAGTCGTCCACGATTCTGGAGGAACATTTTCTCAAGGGTAAAACCAGATTGGGTTGCAAGCAACCTTTGCTGCCCAGATCACCCTTAATTTTGCACGAAATTATTTGGTCGCTGAGAAGTATGAGGAAAAACTGATTGTTAGCTGTGAGACTGTGGTGCTGGGCTGGTGTGGGAGGCTGTGTTGTGAGAGATACACGCATAATATGAATGAAACCATGTAGTAAAAATACCAATTAAGCGATTACATATTGCTCATAATGTGCTATGCAAATGCAAATGGGCAATAATATACTTATTATAATAATAAGGTTTACCTTCAGCACGGATCCGGCCTTAATAAAATGTCTGCCAGGCTCGACTAAATTTCCGTGATAAAATTTTCCCATCCAAACATTTATCTCGAGTAGTTTGCACGAATTCTCGTGCTGTCTTATCATTTCGTTCATATGGACAGCAACTTGGTCCAGATTTTTGATTGATTCTGAAAAAAATGATTATTTCCGTGCTTAAGAATATTTTAGGTCATACATTTACTTGATAAGAATTGTTGGTGATATACAAATAATGGTACGTACCAAGCAATGACTGTACATCAGGGTCATTTTTCCCCGCAGTTCCAATAAATCCAATTAGATGCTGGAGAAGCAATTTATATCTCGGAATTCTTTGTATCGGTGTGATCAAGTAAGATTGCAAAGTATTGTTCAGCTTTTCTTCTTTGACCTTCACCAAACTTCGTAGGTCCGGGCATTGTGACATTAATTTCTAAGATATAAAATATCAAATAATTCAACCTGCTGGTCTGCATACATATTATTTATTTGCTATACATAGCATAAATGCATACTTATGAAACCGTACCTGCAAGAGATTGTCTGCTTGTTGATATCCTGACGCGTAGAGAGAATACAATTTGAGATAGGGCGTATAATTACGAAAAGCTTCAGCAACTGAACCCAGGGTGCTCGTAGTCTCATTATCTTTGGATGTCTTTTCACCGTCATTTGAGCAATATTGAAGTTCTAGCAGCAATTTTTCGTTAACTTCCAACAGTGTTAGGACATTTCCAAATATAACTGCAATGAAATGCATAAGTTAAGCATTGCAATATTTCATCCCTTGAGATTTGACAATATATAGAAAAATATAATAATTATATATTTATATAAAAAATATAACAATTACCATTAAAATCTCTTCGGCTAAGACAAACTCTGATTCCCGTATCTTGCATAAATTCATCACGAATTGTCCTCAGCTGGGTCACGTACACTTGTTCAGTTTTTATAATTTCTTGGATAGCCTTATTTCTCAAGCGTATTAACCGATTATCCATCAATTTTCCAGTCAACGGAGATTTGAAGTTTTTCGCACCTTTCCTAGATGAAGAAGAACTTGTATAATGATTAGCACTTTGGAGAGCAGACACAAAATGTAGTCGTGATCTTGCTGAGAACAAATTGCGTTCCTCAATTGTCCTTCTAATGGAATCTAGTAATGATGGAGTGCCTGACATATTTGCACTTTGGTGTTTTATTTGATGTTTTACTACAAATATGATTAAGCAACTCTAATCCAAAGATTAGAGTTAAAAAGTATTTGTCAACCAAAATATTGGGCTTCTACACCACTGAACACCTTTATTTAACATGCGTAACCTGAATCCTTAGGTAAAGGATGTTCCATTTCGTGTATGAATACCTCAAGTCACAAAGCGACCGTTACATTTTCATGAGAGTGGTCGGTTGGGTTTATGTGGTTGTAAATGTAACAGACAACAAAGAGGAAAGCTCATTTCGATTTCATGCATGGGTAATTACAACAATTCACGTCATCAGCCTACAACGACCAGAGTGCATAACTGATGGTAATCAATATTGATTGATACGTAATAAACCCACATTTTTTATTAACACCATGTTTTATATACATTTATTAATTAACACTTATTTCAATTAGTATTCTTGTGCGAAGGAAAGGGTTACGCCTTGAGTCCAATAATAACCTTCACATAAACTGCATTTGTACGGTAGTTTGTCCCCCTTGTCACAGCCCGGGTAGACGTCATAATCATGAACGCAATTACCTGTCGAGGGACAAAAATGGAGAAGGGGAGGACATTGAATGATGCAGTCCAACAATCCTGGCAGTCCAGGCTGTTCTTGCGTGCAGGCATGGAAAATATCAAAGTATTTCGGATCAGGGATGTGTCTAGAATCTGGAAATTGACCCTCATATTTATTGCAAACGTTGTTGTTGGTATCATTTCCACGATAGCAACTACAAATTTCACTCTCCGGCGTGGCCTCCAGACTACAGCTCTTCTCACGCGGGGGGAGGGCTACATTTAGAGATTATTAGACAAATATGTTAATTAGTCGATGATGTGTAAAGATACATATGTATGTTTATATGAATACCTATGCAACGGCAAGCAGAGGCAAATACACACATTTGCAAATCTGGACAGAAAATGTGTCCGTCTTGCTCGCAATTGTATTGAATTGGCTTTGCAAAACCTCCTTCGTTGCTGCACCGGTAGAAAATTTTACAATTATGGGGGTCAGGAAATAAGAGGTTCGGATTTGGGATGTAACTCGGGCACTCAAAATCTCTTATGATGTTGCAACAGTTATCACCCGGTGGGGTCGTTGTATCTGTAGTACTACTAGTCGTCGTACTAGTCGTAGTAGTAGAATTTGGAGTCGTTGTTGATGTAAATGTGGTTCTCGTGGTCGAATGTGATGTTGGCGGCGTGGCTTCAGTGGAAGGTATTGTAGAATTTGTTGATGGATTATCGATTGTCGTTTCCTCAACTGGAGGGTTGGTGGTCGAGACGGTTGTAAAGCTTGGGGGGTTTGTAGTGCTGGAGATTTTCTCGGTTGTAGTTTCACTGGAAATAGTTGTCTCGGATTGCTGAGTGGTAGCCTTCGTTGGTTGTGTGGTAGTTATTGTTCCTGTAGTCGTTGCGTTAATATGAATTGTTGTCGATGAATTGGTCGTAGTTGTGGAATATGGGATTGTAGAGAAGAATGGCGATGTGTTTTTCGATGGCGTTACTGGATTTTCAGTTGTAAAGCTAACTGTGGTTCCTATTATATTTTTCACCCAAATTATTTATGTATACGCAGATACATACACACATGCGTATGTATTTACACATACTACTTTTTCATAGAGAACATTAGATATTTAGTAAAGTACTCACCGTTCGTAATGCCTTCATAAGGACTTGTTTGTTCTCCACATGTAGTTTCTAGGGACAAAGTACATTTCAAGGATACGTATATGTAAACCTAAATACTATGAAAATACCTGTCGTGGGACATTCTGTGGGACACTCTGGACAAGTTGTGCAGGGTTTTGAGGTAGTACCATTTATCGAATTAAAGAAAACAAAGAGTGAAACCTTGGCAGGGAGAAACTCGTAAGTGTCGTAAAAAGCTTCAATCTCATATAATCTCGTATCAGAATCTGTGTCCAAGTAGGCTACACCGTCGTTAAAGTACAATTTTCCCGTGATTCGGTCAATCGTTACAATGGCGTCTTCCTGAATGGCATATCTCACGTTTAATTTATTATCTTCATCTCCGCCTCCAGGATTTGGTCCGTATCCTTTGTCATAATCAAGTGGACCGATAGTTGAATTACCATACGCCGATATTTTGTATGGTTTTACATTATACAACTCAGCCCCCGGAATTGCTTCATACAAATTTTCCACCACTGCATAATATGCTTTGCTAGAGAATACTGGGGGCTTCAGGACCGTTGAATTTTCTCCATCAGAGACTTCACCAAAGTAAATGGTGATTAAAGTCGTTGATGAAAGTCGCCCCTGTGACGGACTCAAACTGCCATTGTTATATCCCGTCAATTTGAATTGAAAAGTATCGCCCACACTAAAATTACTGCTTTCTACGATGTATACTCGGACACTCCTCATCAAGTGGTTAGGGTTTATTTCTTTGGATGTTAAGGCAATTTCAACAATCGAAGAGGCTAATCTAATCTGGTCCGGACGATCGGTCGTGAAATTCATGTCAGAGTTAAGTAAATCCCGATCCGCGTCAAATGCGAGAATTTGCGTTTCAAAATTTAGTGGACAAGCTTGGGCATGGGTCCCATTATAACATGGTCCCATTGTTAAACTGTAGTTTTTAAATTGAAAAAATGGAGGTTGTGTATTTTTATCTGCAATTGGAATGGTAAATAAAACGGTCTTGTTTCTCCCATCATTGCATTCCAACTCTACTTGTGCCTCTATATTTTGACTCCAAGTCTCGTCGATGTATGTTTTCTGTGAATATGCATCGTAATTATTGATGCTTAGAGGTGTAGTTTGGAAGTATAGGGGTTGGTCCACTATCAAAGATAAGCTCCCATTATTGTCCAACTCAACTCTGACGAAATTTGGCGGAGTGACAATGACATCTCGAATTGACTTGATATTTTTGGTGGCTAAATTCCTAAATTGAAGAACAATGGTTACGCACACATTCGTAGTTAATTCTATTTCGAAAAGTAAGTTTGAAATGCACATAAATACAATAATTTTATTTTTACTCACGCCAAAACTGTTCCACTTGTTGCACATTCTGTATGAATTGAATCATCGAGTGGTAATGGAACAAGGTGTGGTATTGCGCAATCTTTATTGTAATACAAAACTCTGTAACGTTAGTTTATTGTATGAATTATAAAATATGTAAATTAGAATTTTACTCTGCGCAGTGGAAAAGTTGAGACGATCGAATCCCAAAAAAGCAAGTAAGATTACTGGGTAGACTGCTAAAAGCTTCTGCATTTCCGAAGTTTACTCAGTATTTTAAAACTTGATGAATAAAATAAATCTCTGCCCACCATGTCGATTCTTAGTTAAGGTACTTCCCCACTTGATCATTTGGCACACACGCTAACACACAAGTACGACACAATCTACTTCAAACTGGCCGACCCCCGACACCAACGAGCCAAGTTTTAATTTTGTGGTAATTAGTTAGCAGTTAGTATAATAACATTCCAGTTATGCAGTAATCGATTGATTTAAAATTGTATCTGGTGAGCCCACTCTCTGAACTTGGATGGGTTGAGCTTCACAGGAAATGTTGTCGGTTATTGTAATATCCGAGCAATAACTGAAGAGATATGCAGTAGTAATGACACTTATCTTATTGGCCATTGATGTAAGTTGTGCTTCAATCGCTGGGGTCGGTGATTAGATGATAAAGAATATTTGTTCATATGTACATGCATACGCATTACCCTGCATCATGATTCAGATAAATACGCTGGTTGCAATGTCAATTATACAAAAAATGCATTCGTAAATAACCTTTAACAAATATTCAAGTTTATGGCCAACATTGTTTTGATTTTAAAGTGATAAATTATGTCGAATCATTATTGTAAATATTCTCAGCAATCAGCCTGATTGAGCTTCCCGTACACGTAGTTCCCCTCGTCCTTCATGTCATTAACGCGTGGCGCGGTTATCTCAGAGTCGCCGATGTATAAGGTTTTATCGTCACCGATGACCCGTACATATCCACCTCCGGAACCCTGGATTAATTAATTTAATTTGCCAGTTAAAACTTTGCATTAAAATTGGTTTAATACTAATCCTAGAGGCTCGAACGTTGGGGACAGTTTGTTAGAAATGTTTTTAACACGGTTCACACAGAGTAAATTCTGGTAGAAAAAAGTTGTCTCTGATAAGTATTCTAACAAATCGTCTGAGACAAATTTTACTCACAAATGGTCATATTACGATTTCTCGAGTTTTGACATTTTGATTCTCACAAATTTTGTTTCAGAAAAAATGCGTCGAGTGAGAATTTAGTGTGAACACTTCATAAGATTTTTTCAAATTCGAATTATTTAAGTCAAAACTTTTGTTTCTAATAACGTCCGTGAGGCAGAGCCTTAAGAGCGCTAGATAACCTGATTTAACAAAGCGTTGGCCATAGCTTCCAGTATTCGTTTGATGTCAAAAATGGCAGGTCGATGGTGAGGATCTTCCGTCCAGCAGTCTCTCATTACTTCATACCTATGGTCAAGTGATGCATATGCACGTTTAGTGTAAATCAATTATTTTAAATATTTGCCTAGACGTACAATTCGTCTGTCGAATATTGCGGCTGTGGAGGTCTCAAACCTTTCTCGAGTCTGTCTACAAATGTCTCTTCCCAGTTTAGTCCGGGGTAAGGTGTTTGACCTGAAATTTTAAAGATTAGCCGAGACACTAACTGCGACTCTATGTATAAATATGTTAAATCACATTATAAAGTTTATATGTTACCTAAACTGAAAATCTCCCAAAATACAATACCCATCGACCAAATATCAGACTTAACCGAAAACTTCATATCCTTTAGCGACTCGATAGCTGTTTGTGACAATTTATTAAACAAAACTACATATTAATAGATAGTTATTGTACAAATTCTATACCCATCCATTTCCACGGGAGAGGAGCCTGTCATAATTGCAATAACATAAGCAATTAATAATGCAAAAATTCACTTAAATATTTGTTTAATCAGAAATAATAAATGAATCGAGGTGGATCAATCAAACCTGTGATTGTTTCGTGTAGTAGTAACTGGACACATCAATGAGACGTCTAGATAAACAAAGTCAAAGTCGAAGTTCAAAATAGAGAAGTCGTGAAAGAAAGTAAAGATTGCAATACCGAGATAACCCGAAATCTGCAATTTTTGCTACCATCTTTTCGTCTAGAAGAATATTCCTCGTTGCAAGATCACCATGAATTACCTAAAAAAATGAGCAATATTTGAGCTAAAATGATTACTAACATATCCAGCAAATATCCCAAAATTCATTTGAATACCCCGACACTGCTCAAATAGTCCAACCCGTTAGCAATTTGTGTCGACCATTTAATCAACTCTAGGGTAGTAATTTGCTTAGTGTATGATCCTTTCCGGTTGTAAGCATAATTTCCACTACAAAATATTAAAAATGATTCCGATAATCATGAAATGAGAATTTTTTCACTAAATGCTTTCTATGTACCTGAAGGCACACAATTTACCATCCTTGATAAGATTAACAAAGCTTGTGCGGTAAGATCTCAGGTAATTGTGCAAATTTCCAAGTGCGCAAAACTCTACAGCAATAAACACTTCTCCTAAAATAAGAGAGAGACATGAACCATTATTGCCTGGTCGTTAAAAACCTAATAGAATTTTCCGAATTAACGTACTTTTTCGAATGCTATGCGTGCATGCGCCGACTAAGCTTACAATATTGTTATGTTTTCCAATGAAGGCCTTTTAAAAAAAATAATGCAGTTTCTTCAAGTTCAGTGAGAAAAATAAGCATTGCATGAAATACCATTATCTTTAGCTCGCTTAAGAGTGCTTTAAAATAAAGCACGCCAACGTTTCGTTTAACGGCTTTCACCGCCACCGTTACACTTTCTCCGCTCCTTTCATTCAGCACGCTCCCTTTCATCACGACTGGAATAAATTGAAATTTACACTAGTCAAAATAAGCTCCCTTGAACTAAAAATTGGATCGTATGAACTTATTTTGACTAGTGTAACTTATTCTTATAATGAAACTTGAATTAAAAATAGTCGACTTATGTATGTCTTTGTTGAATCCCAAATTCTTACTTCCAAAGAATCCGCTGCCAAGTACTGTGGTTTCGTCTGCGCATTAATTGTATTCAAATTTATGTCAAGTGGATGCATTTGCATGGAATTGATATTCATCAGGCATGAACAACTATAAAATTAAGACATACCAATACGCAATAAATCCCTGGGAATTTCAAACGCCTTGTTGTAAGGGAGTGCCAGGATTGGAGTATTGCAGTCCACCGATCTTTTTGGAATTCCAACTCCAAATCCTGTAGTTCCATCCAAAAACTCTCGAATTTCCGTTTCGGTTAATTTCCTTAGAATATTTTTAGTTTGGCGATTTTTCCACATGGTGTAAGCAAATCCAAGTCCTAATAACAAGGCAATTCCAGTACCAGCACCAGCGACTGGTCCAACAGGAAATTTAGACGACGATTCTCCATCTAATCCTGCCTTTCCTTGCAAAATTTTTGTCACCGTGATGGTAATTACTTTTTCCGCATAATGGATAGAATCATTTGCCATAATCCCGACTAAAAATATGCTCCCCACTTCGACCCCATCGAGATTACTGTTGATTGTACTATTTTCAGAAAAGTACAAGTCCACATAGTGCACATATCCATCCGTCATGGCTGGCTCGTTCAGTACAAAGTTGAAATTGTCACACGAGGCGTAATTTTCATGCTCAATGCACGTTGCAGTAATGTTGGCATATTCGAAATTTATGTCTCTATCAGTGATGATAAAAGGCTCCTTATTTAACTTTGAGTCGGACCACGGAAGTGTTACATTAATCTCATAAATGTTGTCCAGGCTAAATTGAGGAGGATACGAGTTGCCATCGAGGATAATGACCATGAAAGTGTAAGTTAATGACGATAATGATGCTTCGACACCAGCCGATGAACAATATATCCGATACGAGACCTCAATGCTAGCTGCCCAGTTTTCTTCTCTAAAAATTTGTGTATGTATTATTACAGATTAAGCGTGCATTATTTTAAATTACTTCTCACCTAAACTCAGAAAGTGGTCGCGCAAGGGTAAACTCGAGAAAGTTTGAATTAGTGAGATTGACTTTAACAAAGCTGTTGACACTTCTGACTGATTCGTCCACCAACTCTACTGAACTGACTCCTAGAACTGGATACCTCCTAAATAAATAGAATATAATTTAAGAAATAAGGATGAGAAGGACCAAGTTGCATAATATACTTCAATTACAACTTTGGTCTTAACGTACGCAATAAGTGAACCAACGGGAGCGTTTAGTCTTTTTTCAACGAACGAGAATCCTGTACTTTTGATGCTGTCTATTTGTATCCCCCAATTTACGTTTCTTGCATTTATATTTGCATTGCAACTTTGAATTACTAACAGACTAAAAATAATAGAACTAAAATTACCAAGATAAAAGGTTTTGGTTATAAGCTGTGCCATAATATTGTAAATAATTATGTATGCAATACTAATGTCTCCCTTGCTGCTCAACTTGGCTTTGTTGACGCTTAAATAAATAAAATGATGGGCCCTCTGCGTTGTGAAAATGTCAGTTATCGTCGATATCTGAAAAGTCCTGATGGGAAATACTTGACTCTTTTTGCTGTCATATTCCGTCGTCGTCATCAACCAATCAATGAACTGATATTGTATGATTCCTGCTAATTGCAAATATGTATCAGTTCATTATCAGCGCAATCATCATCAACTACATAAACTTGAGGCAACCTTGGTTAGCTTATTTGTTTAGTTTTGACGAGGTCTCATTTCTCCTCTGACTGAGAATATTTTGCAAAAGTTGTACAAATATGTATGATGTAGCAAAATGTAAAAAAAAACTGACTTTTGCGTCATATATTTTAGTTAGCCTATTCAAGAAGATGTGCTTACGGTGGACAGAAATAATGATCTTGCTGACAGTTGGGAACCATTATTATTTCATACTGACAGGTCGGATGAATGTTTTTATTTTCCTGATGGGCTTTTTCAATTTCCACACACCGGAGACTAGTTTAAACAAACAGATTATAATTGTGAAATGAAATTCACATGTAAAATGAAGCTTGAACGTTACGAGTCTTCTCAGTTTCACTGTCGAAAGTGAGCTGCTTATCAATCTTTTAGTTAAAAATACATGCAGCGTATACTATTACCTTTGATCTTGTTTGAAAATTGTTTGTGAAAAAATATATTGAATATACAATTTTAAATTGCCTTAATTGAAATGGAATCTCGACGGGAGGATAATCCGTGGAAGCAAAAATCAAGGATTGAGTTGATCGCTTTTTCAGACATTGTGCGTATCTGTAGTTTTAAATTAAAGCTACGAATTGGATTGTCCCATTATTGTCGGTTTTGTTTTAGATTGTTGCAGTGGTGGGAGTTATCTATTCAACTTATAGAATGTTCACATTTTACTGGAATTTAGAAACTCAGGATGTAACGGAATGGGTTAAGCATCCTTGTATGTACTTACATACTTGTCAATATCAATTATGCATTATACGCCTTAAATTAAATTGAATTAATATCGTGTTTTTTAAAATATATAGTGCATTTTCCATTTTACGTGTTTCTTTGGGTGGTTGTGCTCCTGTTATACGGATTTCAAATGGGAACATCATTTGTCCTGTACAGTGCGATTGACCAGGTAGACCCTTACTTTTGGTACATTTAATAATTGTGCAGTTTATTTTATGGTGGTGTATTTACTGCTTATTTTAGGAAGCCACAGAATCAGATCCATACATTTCCGTGCAGAAATGTAACTGTTGGCTGCGTTGTTCGCGAGTTTTGCTTGGAGTGATTGTTATCAAATTGTGTCTTCAACCAGTCATAATGAGTGTTGGAAAGTTCTATAACGTTTACACAATTGTCTTTGGATTTATAGAGCTACTTTTCAGATGTGCAGCTATTTTTGCAGTAAAAGGATTCATTCAAGACCTGCAACAGTGAAATTATTATTCATAATAAAATGCTGGCAGTATTTATTTATGTTTACACATGTGCAGAGTAAAATAAAATTGGAATATATAAATCCATGCCTAATTTAGTCAATTTATTTGTATCACAACAAGGTACACTGACATTTTGCATATGGAAATTAACTATTTTGGTCCGAATTACACAGTCTATTGAGTATACATGTGCACCTATGTATTTTAGTTGATCTATCGATTCTGTAATAGGAATGCAGCCAGCAAAAGTATTAAGTGCATACCTTAATTCAAAATCAAAATTATTAAATTCAAAAATCCTAGTTTGCCTCATCGTCGATTGTGGAAGATCCATAAGGTCAGGAAAGATTAGAAATTTCATAATTAATAATAATAGTCCAGGATGCTTTGCATGCATGCGTACACATTGCAGAGTTTCAAGTGCATTTGAGAGCGTGGTAAAAAAACGTGCGTGCGGATTACAATATATATTAGACCAACTCATGTTTAGCAATTTGGAGGTACGATTAAAAAATCTTGGAATTGTGGATACATACCTCAATACCAAAGACATGGCAGCATCTGCACCATATCCGTCAACAGTTGCTTTTACAAAATGTTGCTTCTGCGGATGTCGAATCCCATAAATCTCGCAAGAGTGGGCAGTCGTAAATTGAAAGTCGAGTTTTGCAGGAACGTGCACGCCGGAAAGATGGCAAAATCAAGCTGTGCAATAATTTGTGTCCGTATTATTGGGATACTTGATTTGGTAAGACGTTGAAATATTCAAGTAGTCATAATACCTATGCACATACGTATATATCTTCTTTATTTATTTCTCATGCGTACGTATGCAGTTCATTGCCGTCGCATTGATTGGAGTTGCTAGCTTCCAATTTGCGAAAGGATCTTCTCTTCTCAACGGTCCAAAAAGTGACAGTGAAAGTGAGCCCTGGTTAAAATGCATGCTGTGTGCGTGTCAATGGTTATTTATGTGGAATAAGTAATCAGATCTAGAAATTTTCACTTTCTGTTCCAACAGAGTTGATTCGACTGGGCTGCTATGCCTCCGCTATCTACATCTTCCTCCTTATTCAGGTTGTGATGAGCATCAGACTGTACCGAGCTGCAGGAAAAGTAAGCTCAAAAATGAAAAGCAATGATTTGAAATATGTGGACGTTGAATTCAATATTCACAGATTGTGGGAAGGTCCATGTACGCAATAAAAGTATTTGGATGGTGGAGAGAATGGAGTGCGATTTACTTGATGGCAATGCTACTCCATGCCATGGTCGTACTTATGCTGATGGAAGAAGGTCAGCGAAGAATAATTTCACTAATTTCATCATTGGGCCATGCATTTGTTCGTCCGATTGGGATCTTTTTGGTTGGGGTGTTCAAACGCCGATTGGAACTTCAACAGTTTCCGAAGAAAGACTTGCCAAACAGTGGAGAGATCTAAGAAGAATGCGCTTCAATAACTAGTATTATGCAAAAATAAACCTGTTTAAGTCGCCGAATCATTAGTGAAGAGCATTCGAAAATAAATAAGTTTGGATTTAAATTGGCTTGCACACTATGAAAATCTCAATAACGCGGCGTTCAAGGTTATATTTTCTCCACTGGCAAGTCTTAACGTCGTCCTGTCATGGATAATCTACTTAAATCATTCTTAATATCTAGCGAGAACGGACTTTCTTTGACAAGCTCAGTGTCAAAATGTTTGCTTAAACTTTGATTATTATTAGAAATGGGAAACCAATAAACAAATAAAGCGTTGACAGGAATTAAGGTCACCCGTACAGCACAACCTGGCGTGTAGATAACCATTTAAATTTTGCTATACATACATACATCCGATGTCTGCATTTTATCGTGAAAATGCATGAAAGAAATGTCGGACAAAACTTACATAACGCACTCCATTACAAGCACCTTGTCTCATGATATTAATTTTTTCAAGCCATTTACATACGTGCAGCACCTACTTTTGCTTTGTCAGACGAGGGTGATTTATCGCAAAGATCACAACGTTTTTTTTAAAGCCATGCAAGTTTCAACCAAGTTCAAGGGATCGGGCGTCACTGGAATTGCTGTAATAGATTGGGTACACAAGTCAAAAATATTACTTTTTAAATAGTGGGTAAATGCCATTAATGTGTATTACGTAATTACTCGCCAGATTTTCTCTATATTTCACATCTGCAACTATTTTTTTCGTCTCAAGCGTTTCAATTTCTTATCCCTCGAACCATCGGCGATTCCAAGCAAGTTAATTTTATAAAATTGCATAAAGAGCTTGGAATCAACATTACATGAAAATTTTCTATTTCCAGTTTACCAAGCAGCATGGATAACTTTATTTGCGAAGCATATTATACAAATGTTTGTATCAGGCTATCTGTTTTTATGCCTGCGACAGGTAATGCATTTTTAGCCCGAATCAAGGCTTATGTAACTGTCTGTCTGTGTTAGTGAATGAGTTCACAGATCGGTCCAGTGTGGGTCACCAATTACTGTTTTTATTATTTTAAATTTGACATAAGGGTACACGTCAGATTAACAAAAGTGGGCCTTTCTTTAAGGCGGAATAGCATGCTGGCTGATGCGGGGTTTTTTGTTTGAATTGTTGTGTCTCAACTTTCCCTTCCTCCATCCATTCAAATGGCGATTTTGAAAAATGTTCACCGCCTTTCGTTTTTAACAATATGAAGATATTAATGCACCTAAAAATCGGTAATTTTTAGGCTTACATAGTTAGGAGATAAAAATTTTGATTTTTTTCTTCAACAAGAAGATAAATATAAAATAGATGAAAAATAATCAATAAAATTTAAATATTTCCTCATTGAAGAAAAAAATCAAAATTTTTATCTCCTAACTATGTAAGCCTAAAAATTACCGATTTTTAGGTGCATTAAATATCTTCATATTGTTAAAAACGAAAGGCGGTGAACATTTTTCAAAATCGCCATTTGAATGCATGGAGGAAGATAAAGTTGAGACACAACAATTCAAACAAAAAACACGTGATACAATGCCACGTTAAGTTTGTCACCTACACTGGTAGTCCGAAATGCTGACTGAATATATATATTAGGTAACCGATGTACAATAACGATACCACTTTTGTACAGCACTAGTCAGAAGGGTTCTCGAGAAGGGTAATCCACTCAATTAAATTAGAAATGAGAAAAATTAGTGACTCGGGCTATATCCATTCTGTAGGTTACTTAAAAATAAACACCATAAAAATCCTTAAATATCTCGTATATTTTTTATGCAGGTCAACTATTCAAAGCAGCACTTTAGATATATGATGTTCGCTTGTCACGTATGGTACACACTCTCGCTCACCATTTACATGGCGTCCTCTCTCATGGATGGAGTTATTTTATCCGTCTGCAAATGCAGCATTAACATTCAGAACCCGACGACAATGCAACTGAACTTTATTCTCAATGACCAGCCATCAAAAGAAGTTGTGATTCATGCGATGGAAATATTTTTTAGATTTACTGGAATGTGGATTGTGTACAAATTTGCGGGCCAATTTCATTTAAGCTGATAAGTTAATGTTTGGTAATACTTATTGCAGTATCTGGTCTTTATTTGTCACATATAATAAACTTATTACGCATGCTATAAATATGTTGTCATCTATCTACGCGATCCAGAAGAAGTAGAATTAAATCACAGAAATTATGGTTACTTAAATTGGGATACAAATACTTGATAAATTATGACAAAAAAAGTTTCGAGATCAAATACCGAAAAAACATCAGTTCACGTCACAGCTTCACAATAAAATTCTAAAACAACACGAGCGTACATTTTCTTTACTTAAAATTTACTTTGTTCCTCCTACTTTGTAAATTCACTAAAAAAGTTATCAATAAAACAAGCATGTCACCACTCCAAATAGTTTCCAACCACTGCAAAACTCAAGTTTCAGTTAAACAATTTGGCTGAGGTGAACCACGATGCAAAAGTCCTTGATGAATTTGCCGACGAAGAAGCTCCGTTGCAGTTTGCAGGTGAATTGGGGGCTGCAATACAAAATTCAGGGTTTGGACGTACAATTCCTTCTTGGTAAACCTTTAAGACAGCTTCGCAAACGAATTGGTATTGTGACTAATAGAAGCGCGAGTTGAAGATTGAATCAACGTTTGTTGTTGGATCGTCACATGTGGAGAAAGTAAAAAAACCGAGTCAGTTATTAATTCCATAATAGTCACTCCTAGTCAAACTAAGGTAAATAATTATGTATTAAGCGTATTATCATGATATATTTGAGGATTTAATTGTGAATTTGTCCTTTATTTGTACAGGTCGGCTGAATTTACTATGGGTAGGCAAAAAACTGCGAAGTTGTCTTTAGACGATGTCGCCATTGGATTATTTGTTTTGGAGTTGGACAATTCCATCTCTTAAAAATTGAAGGATGAGGTTAAGGCATGGGGTAAGTTCATCCTCATCAAACTATGAAATGATTATGTGTATGAGATGTTCTCTGTTTTATGTAGCTCATCTAATGCAAATTCACCGGGTAATTGTGCAACTGTGGCGAGACAGCCGAGGTCGAGTCAGGATGATAACAGCAGGAGTATCAGAAATTAAAGATCTCGAATTGGCTTCGATTAATGCCATCAACAAGTCAAATGGTCGGTTGAAACCATTCAAGCTTGGAGGAACATCGAGCTACTGTTCTTACTTGTAAGTCTACATTTTATTTGGATATTCTGTTCTACTATGTATGTATATCGATTCATAAATATTCTATTGTAGAGATAAGACAAAGATTCGTCTCACGGCTAATCCTAAAGATTGCATCGACATTGGTGTGTACTCTGACTCATTTTTCAGCGGATGTGAGACAAAGTTTTACACCAGGGACAGGAAACAAGTCACTTGCTCCTTCATGCCATCCACAGCCAAGCAATACTTGAAAAAGGATGTTGATAAAATCAACGCTGCGATAGAGTAATACATATATATATAGTAATATGTTTGCACAATATAACAATTTTATTGGCTTTATTGTTATTTGTAGTGCAAAGATTCACAATCTGATTGAGGAGGTTGATCCGGAAGATGAAGTGGAAGAAGATTTGGAAGACGTGTCACTGGTGAAGAAGAAGAAAGCAAGAGTTTTCAGAAAAGGCCGTAAAGTGCACATTTGCGGTGTATGTGGACTTCGAGTCCAAGACAAAACCGAAATGGATAGGTGAGTATAATTCACAAATTTCTATGTATTTATAATATTCTGATTCGCTTTGTTGTCCCATACTCTAGACACACAAGGACACATACAGGGGAGCGCCCGTTCATGTGCGAAAAATGCCCCGCTAGACCACGTTTCGCACAAAAATCGAATCTCACGCGTCATCAAAGGCTTGGTTGTGGAAACCGTGGTGGTGGTAATCAGAAGATTGGAAGGAGGAAGCTTCAGATTATGCGGTATGTACTTGTACATATAATTATGAAACCATCCTAACCATATTTTTATTTACATTTCCAGAATGAGGGTCGAAAATGGAGAATCGTCACAAGAAGTAGTGAACGCCCCTGCTCCAGAGAAGACCAAGGAGGAATTAGAAAAGGAGATTCTCGGTTTGAAGGAGGAGATTCGTGACTTGAAGACGGAAAATAACTTTTTGAAGAAGGAACGTCAACAACAACCACCACCACGAGTTTCTCTTTCCGACAAGACCAACAGCAAAGTTGTCACCAAATCCGTCCAAACCAAGCTCACATTTCCACCAAAGATAGTGGCCAAGAAAGAGAAGAAGACAAGTCGGAAACGAACTGTGGAGGTAAGCTGCTAAATTTATAATGATTATTTCACTGGTACATGAATAATAATAATAATCTACTCTGAAATCCCTAGCTCACTGGATCGTGGTCTGATGCTGAGGATGATTTCTTCAAAACTAAGATGCCAAAACAATTAGAATAGTTTTACTCATATTATTATATGATCTCAATGTTTTTTTGTTTTTGATTCCATGAACTGGTAATAAAGTTTCTATTATAGTAAGAGCAAAGAATACTCTTCAATCACAAAGTCAATACCAATTGTACGAATTGGTATTGACTCTGCAAAAATATTTAAGTGAATAAAGTATAGCATAATACTTAACTACAAGTCTTTATAATGGAACATATATACGTAGCATCAATTTCCATATACTTACAGACGTTTGTATCATAAGTGGACGTTGCTCTCTCATTCTATTCACAATGTCCAAGGGGTAGACAGGCTGGTTAGCTTCAATTAGACATTCGGCAGTTTCCATCAAAATTAAAACTCCCGTTCGACCAATTCCGGCGGAACAATGCACGATTACAGGATCAAATGACTATCATAATACATGAAATGATGAGAATAGTGAGAATACAATAATTTAGTGATACATACTTATTAATAAAAATATTAGCACTCACCCCAGAACGAACTTGTCTGACTTTGTCCATAAAACGAATGAAGGAGTTTTTGTCAGAGGGGGTGCCGTGATCCGGCCAAGACTCGTATTGAAGCTACAAATCGAAAATAGTATAATTAATAAGAACTTTGTGGAAAATTTAGGCTAATTTTTTTGTCCTCACTTGAATGACGGACCGTTCCTCTTTTGTCTGTAAAAAGTGTATACTCTTATTTTGTTGTGATACTTTTATTTTTAAGCATTAATTGAGCAGACCTGAAGGTGTTTGATGGTGAATTCTCTTTGGATCCATTGCCTCGAGCTTTTTGTTTGAACAAGGGTGACCTGAATGTTATGATGAGTGACTGGATTGTTGGTTTGGTCAGGCCAATACTGCGATAAATAAATGACTCGTATTAACTGAACTATAAATATGACTCATATAATAGCGAATGTGCGATTACCTGAAAGCATTTTGATCTTCCGCGTTCGTTAAGTGAGGTCAGCATAACAATCAACGGAGACTGTGACTAAAATAATTAACAAAATATGTGTGTAGTGATATCTGTGTTTACTAAATCAAGTTAGAGGCAGTCAATTTGAGTTCTTACCTCCCAGGTCATAATCCAGAAATCACCGGTTGTAGTTGACAGCGGACCTGTGTGAGTAGGAGCAATAAATCCCTTGTTATTAAAAACATACATAAATTGCAATAAGTGGTGCTTCCGTATTTTTATTTATCAACCTTGGGCAGCAATGTAACGGTTGACCACTCCAGACGATGGCACTTCCATTGAAATAAAATTAGCATTAATGTAATCTCCACCTCCCGGGGAGTTTATCAGTAACACTCTCGTCTTATCATCTGACAAATAATTAGAGTAAAATGTTTAATCGCACTAAAACACTGAAATGATGAAATGCAAGATCTTACAAGGTAAAATATCTCTGTATCTGTTTTTGGAAGAGTTTTCTTGGTCCTTGGCAGCGTCACAAGTTAGCTCTGGTTTTCTTCGAGTCAAAAGATCAAACTGATTCGAAATGTCAGTCTCAATGGCTTCTGCCAAGAGGAGCATGGAAGCGGTCAACGGGCTTTGAATAGATTCTGACCCATTCCCCCTCTGAGATGGCATTTGCAGCAAAGGCACTTCTGGCACGTAACGGAATGGTGGTTCTTCGTAGTCATCCGTCGTGTAAACTGCACACGCGGTAAAAAAAATACAAAATATGATGAATTTACATCGTTTCGTGTGACACATTTTCTTAAATCAGTCTATATATTAAACATTTTGCATACCATTTTGCTTCACACGAAGAACAAGTTCTTTCTTCACAGATGCAGCACTGCGAATCGCACTAACTACATCTGCATGGATCATTCCTGCAGTTTCCCTTCCATTGATTTGAATTATTTGGTCAGCTTCGTTTAATCGAGGGTAGCATTGGTCAGCAGGAGTGCCTAAATATGTGGATAATTATGTTAAAGCAGGATTTGAAGCAAGTCGCAGCATACCACTTTGATACATGTGTAGCAGCTTGAAAAAACTCACCAGGTGCGACTCGCGACACGAGTATTGGACATCCCATGTCAAATCCTCCTACAATAACAATGCCATTACGGTCAGATAAATCTATGAGTGTATTTTCTTTAACGAACCACGGACTACATGTCTCCTAGCAAAACCCACACCACTTGAAGATGACAATTTTTGGCGATTTTTTTGAGATTTCATCCTCATCCAAATAAATCCTGTTATCTGTCAAACAAGTAGCTTTTTCTCACTAATACTGGGTCGCTCGCTCGCTACACTATCTTCAATGGATCCAAATTACTATGTTATTTATATTCTAGCGTGTTAATAACGCTCTACATGCGTCAATGGCTGAGGTAATGTGACTACAATTATACATACATGCACTATACAAATGTATCTAGCTATTGGAAGCACCTCGCTCTCTGCGTCGTTAATTAACCTCTTACAAATTCAAGTCTCTCCGAATCTAATATAATCTCTACTCCGCTTCTGCATATACTTATGTATTACCAAATATTTACATGGCAAAGACTCTTTACACGACTAAATGTGGGTAATGATCAATGTAAATGAATAAAAGCTGCAGTTTATGTCATACAAATGATGGTTACATTGACGCGTAGGTGTAAAATCAAGGACAATTGAAAAGAAGATGGCATGGACACAGATCTCTCATTAACTCATACACACAACAATTATGCAAAACTACGGCTATTCTCACCTTTCACATTGAATCCAAACTTTCCATCATGGGCGTCAGGCTCTAAGCGGATGGTCACAATTCCGTCCTAAACCAATCATGATGCAATTAAATATGTAAAAATAATGTGAACATTAGTTGGTTACAATTTGTTATTCTGACACATTGAGATATGAATAGTACTCACATCAGAAATAGAATTTTCATCGTCATCCATAAAAGCAATTCCTTTGGAAATATGAGGCGTTGAAATTGCTGCTGCTGCGTTAAGAACAATAGCTGCAACTTGAGCTGTACTGGAACCCATGAGTTTACCTCCATTGCAGAGCTGAACTTGCTGAGAGGAAACAGGTTCAACAAATCCACCCTCGCTGAAATTGACAAATGTGTAATTTTATTTTGAACACCACTGAAGCTGTCAAACTCAACTTGACATTGGCAACTAATAACTAATGCAAGTGACAGTTGAAAACAAATTTTACGAACTTACTCGTCAGACAAGTGTTGCTCTGCCCAAGCCATTCGTGGCTGTTCCTGGTGTCGAGCCGAAACGCCCGTGCGACTACTTGAATCCAGTGGCAGAGTTAATTTCAATCGATCGCTCAAAGCTCCGTTAGTGTTTCGATAAACCCCGTTGCCACCATTTTTATTCGTCCATGCATCGATTTTGGACTCTTTTAAACTAACAATCCCATAAGTTTCCAGAGCGTTATTGTGTTCGTTTTTATCGTTCATAGGATATTTCATCTGAGAATTATTGCCGTCCCAATGACTACTGTTTTCCTTATTGCAATCGCCATTTGTAATCATGTCTACTTCTTCAGACGACTGAATCGTTCTTCTAGAATCCAAAACAGGTGTAACTTGTTTGCTAACCACAACACGTTTGCTTTGAGATCTAAAGAAAGTTCTCCTAGTTCTGGAAACACTTTTTGAAGCGTCTTCTCGAGTTTGATATTCAGTCTTTCCAGTGTAGTGAAAACGGGAACCAAACCCAAAGAGGGCAAGGGTTGGAACATGAACAGGGGGCGGTGACCGGAGGCGGAAAAATGCATGATTTTCCACACAGCACTTCCATAAAGCTTTGCAACTTCTGTAACTAAAACATTCGAACAGGAGAAGAGTATCATAGTCTTCACTCTGCAAATTAAAAATTGTAATGATTATAAATCACACAGAGAAAAATATTTGATTATAATATCCTTATTAAGTATATTGGTACTCACCAGCTCTCGGCGTAGTTGTATGAAAAACTGCTTTCTTTTAAAAGCAATCTTTGTAATTTTGCTCCAACAAAATGTATTAATTTTGAGGCCTGTGATAAAAGGACACAAAACAATTTACGATTTCTTCTGTCTTGCATGTCGTGTACCCCAATAACGCCCGTAATAACACAATACATACCACTGTGATAAACTCGGATGCCATCGGAGGATATCCCCAACTCCAGATCCTTCCCAGCGTTATCCATCACTCGATGAAAATTGACTCCATAAGCATCCAGTTTCTTAACTTGATCCAAATAATTAAATTCAGCGTCCGCTGGGGTTTGTCCATGGTGAAGCTGATGAATTTCGCAAATTTTGCGATATACGTCTTCAATATGGGGTCCATTTATTCGTAAATTGAGTCTTCTCAAATAGAGCCCCTCGTGATCATGTAGCTCATTTTCAAAATCTCCAATTTCTGATTGAGCTGCATTTTAACAGAAATCTCTATTTAGCCAACTACTTTACTGAAAGAGCAGAGGGTATTAAAGAAAAGACACATAGCTTATAATATAGTTGAAAAATGAGCGTTTAAGCAAAGTAACGATACGTAGCGTAGTAGATAATGTACATATCAATTAAAATATGCATACCTGCATACGATGCCAGGACGCAACCGGTGCTTGGGCTGACAAGTAGCCTGTTTTCATTGATATCCTTTCGTATTTGTAGATACACATGATATCTATTAAAAAATTAAAACATCAAATGATACAAATTTGTAGCTTTGAAATATAGGAATTTTGGAGGTTGGTACAAACCTTGTGTACTCTTCGTGGAGTTTTGATGGGTCTTCAACAAAGAACTTCACTCTGAAGTACACGGTTGCACAGGAACTAATAGAAGATGTTGACGAGTAGTCTCTCAGTTTTGAACCAGATTTTCGACGAAAATCACCGTTGGATGACTCAAACGATGATTTCTTTTGCGACGGCTTGGTAAAACGGATTTGCTTTTTTAAGGGCTTTGATGCCTCTACCCAACGCTGTCAAAGATCGTTAACAGTAATCAGTGAATTTATTATATATCATTAAATTTCTACATAATGTGTGGTTAATTGTGTCATACCAAATGGGGCGAGCTCAAAGGATGGATAACTTCTGGTGGTGGTAACAATTCATCGTATGTAAGTCCAAAGTAATCTCGCTCAATTAGCTCCAGGTGTTGGAACACTTTATCTAGAAGTACCGATCCTCTAGCAGATTTCTAAAACAATACGTACACAATTAGATCATTTAAGTGATTATTCACTTTTCTAGACTTGCCACATTTTTCGAAGATAAGAGAACCTAAACATAAATCTAAAAGTAGTCTGACTCACCTCCACTTCAAAGGTGTGTTGAGAATCATCCAGAAATATCACTGTAATGCTCAACCGTTTTGCTCTACTGGATCTACTCCTGGAAATTCTATATGTGGAGCTGGAAATGGAAGCTTTGGAGGTGGTTGGTGGTCCAGCAGCGTTGGAAATTGCATTCAAGTTATTGTTTGTGGTGGAGGACGGTGTAGCATCAAGTGACGAATCGCGAACTCTATAAGTCCCCCTGGCTCCTGAGATGAAACTCTTTCGAGACTTTTCAAACATTGTTTTCCTACTCAGAACCCGTATTCTTCTTTAGCCAACTTTATACAGAATATCGCTAGCGTCATTAGATGTGGGTTTAAATCATGTTGTCGAGTAAGTCTCATCACGTTGTCGTCCATCACGTGCAGGATAACCGTATTGTTAGAGCCTTAGTTAAACCCTTCAGATATTTGCAACGTTCAAGTTTTTAGTTTGCATAACAAAGGGTGCATTTTATTAGTTATTGTTTTTTCAGGAATGGCAAAACTTGAAACGATGCAAAACTTCGAGGTTGTGTTCTAGTAAATATTTGCCACTGGAAGTTTTTCGTCCGAGTCAAACTCCTTTGATCCGTCTTTTGTTACTCTTGCAAGAGTTTCCTTCTTGCAAAAATTGAGCTACTTCCTGTTACTCCACCGCTGACACAATGGTAACTGTAATAATAAAATACATGAAAGTTAATAGCTTGTCATTTCCCACTTAGGAGGATGCGACCTACATTTCACACGCATTTATAAACGTGCGTAAATCTTACACAAGTTCACCTACGACAATTTAAGAATTACAATACCACCTCTAACCAAATATATACAAAATTGTGGGTGGCAGATCACCGTGGTCGAGGGGTACATAAATTACGTAGGTTTATTTAATTCCACTCTTTACAAAACAGCAGAAGCTACAAATAAGCTTAAAGATCCATATTATTTTATGTATATAATGCATATCGCCTTTCGAATGAGAGACAGGTACAAATTTATCTAAAAACTTACTGCTCTACATCACGATCATATCTTATCCTTACTACATAGCAGATTTTTTAATGAGCAATGTATCCAATACGAGGAAACTATTTACATATGTATATAGGTACTTAATTCACATTTTTTCAAAAATGGGTCTCTTGCAAATCTAAATTCTACATAATATTAGGCCATTTGAGAACTTATTTTTACGGAATTTATAGTACAGAATGGAATATGATATTCTTTGTCAAAAATAGTTATTCACGTATTTGTGAATCGCGTTTTATGAATCAATATCTGTTAAATAGAACGAGGAGCAATTAACAAAATTGTGAATAGATATTTAGTGATATGCAAACAAAAACATTTTGTTCAATGTATAAATAAAGTTTGGTAACTTGAATCAACAATAACATTAACTAAGTGGACATTGAGTTGCATAATATTCAGTTCACTCATGTTTGAAACACAAGTTAATAATAAGCTAAAGATTGATAAACGGCTTTACAACATTGTGATGGCTAATCTGATGAGCGCAACTTTAACTTTTACATGTATTTAATCCTTATTGCCTCATAAAAGATATGCTCAAAATAAGAATCTGTATCGTTAATAATGAGTTCAGCAATTACTGTGAAGGGTTCTTATACTAAATACTACGCTACACAATACGACACTACAAGGAACTCTTATCGTGATTAACAAAATCACGTCGATATGCTTTTTGAACTTGCTTGCATAATCTTAAATATTAAATATCAGTGATTATGAAAATAATTATTTTTTTCATGTTCGTCATTAACATCTACATAAGTAAATATAAATATGTACATATGTGCATGCATATTATTAGTCGTACTATTTAAACTATCTGACCATTTGGTCAATAATGCGTATATTAGTATAAAGCGACTTGAATTACATACTTGCGCTTAAATGAGGATAATTTTGCACCCAATATTAGCCATATAACTTGAGAATTTAATTTAGTTTTGAGATGACAAGAATGTTTTCATTAAAATCTGTGTGTGCAATATAAAATGTGATCGTTTAAATGGAACTACTTTGTGTTAATCATACTTATTTAGTATATGTGTACCCAGAGTATACTATAGACCACAGGATTGTATAGTCCAATTATGAAAATAATTTCATTGAAGTATTCAAAATTGTATAGTCTGGAATTAAAATTTTGAGCATCTGCACTGAAAATTATAAATGATGGCCAATAAGAATGTCTTGGATAATTAAGTTTGTCATTCTATCACTATCTTTGGCCGGCTTAATGTCCTTCTGATCAAATTAAAATTCTTTCATCAATAAATCTGGCTGGCCGTGTACCACCCTGAGCTCACGTGCATATATTAATGTAAGAATTCTGTGTCAATTGTGCTGAATGGCTCCGGGCCCGCTGGGTGTGCCATATCGATTATTCGTCATTGTAAATTCATGCCCGTGCAATAAGTACTTTTCCATTCACCCACAAAATGTTTGTAATGCTAAGCCATAAACGGATATTTCTCAATTTTAGCCAATGTATGCATTAGAAGCACCACTTCCTGTATTACCTCCAGGTATAGTTTCAACTGGAATTTTATTTCTTCGACCCTTTGTCGTGTAATTTACTCAATAAATACTTAAATACTGTTCCACGCTATGCGGCAGTTATCAATGACCGGAGGTGGCGAGGATGTAAGCATGTATGTGTCTTCATACATACTTAATGTGTTGTTGCTATAATAATGGGATCGATTCACTAGATCGATAGCTTGTCTTTAGGTATATGAGCCTCCATTTAAAGTTGTTTTAAATTTCATCCAATTGGCAACATTATGGATTAATCCCGTGCCAATTCCTATTTTGCCTCCAGGAAAAAAAATCGTTTATTTGCAGTAGTTAAATTTCATAGTAGGTGAATCTTCGTATCATCTAATTAATCCGCGATTAATACGAAATTAAGCATCATTTGCGCTACTAGTTGACATACGTACCTGGTGATGAATGAGAATTAAAATAGGTTCAGAATTAATGTGAGGTCTCAAGCCTCTGTCAATTAATAATTTAAAAAATCGTTCCACGTTCCACATGAGCAATTTGGTGAATGAATCGAATATCGACAAGAAATTGGCTTTGAAATATCAACAGTGCTGTCTTTCTTTCAAGCTAAATTACTAGACTGTGAACTGGAAATTAGAACTGTGGCTTAGTAATTTGTATACAACTATTTTAAACGAGTTGACGAATGTCGTGTTACAGTATTGCTAACTATGCTCCATTTATGCAGGAAAAATGTTTTTGATTTTAATAGTTGATCACAGCGCATAACTATATTCGGCAATTAATGATTAATCATATAAGAATGCACTAAAGAATCATCCCTTCCTACTTCAACCTAATTAACATAACTTCAGAATAGTAAATTTCTAAATGACTGTCAAAATTTCATATTACTTACAAGTTACTATATTTAGTAGCAAAATGTAGAATCGCTGGTTTGGCACAATGTGCATTATAGTTAAGATTGAACTCGATTGTCATTAGAATTGTGTGTATTATGTACATAATGAGTGGCTCAGTTCCGATTTTTGCCTGTAGCTAAATGAATATTTGCCGTCCTATTTAGTATTATTCTGGGAAAAATAATGATCAACTAGATAACTGGACTACTAAACAAATAATAGACTTACTTTGACACTGCATCAAAATCGGTCAGCACAAATTTTCAGAATCTAAAACTGTTCCCATTTGACTCCTACTTAATTACATAACTCGTAGTAACTCATCACTTAACTAGAACTAGTTGTAGAAGAGCCACTCAAATTTTTGGTTCCCACGATAGAGAAGACGATATAACGGACAGGATGAGGTAATTTTATGAGGAATATGTTCAGCTTTTGCTCGGTGTCAGGTAGCAGAAGAACATTATACAAAAGTAATAAATTATTATTCTGAGTAATGTTCTCAGTCAGTCAAGTGTGGTAATATTACTCCCGATTTAGGCACTGTGCATATTGTGTGCGTTTAACAAGTAATTCCAGCAGTATTCGCAATATCAGTGTTGCACTTATCACAACTTTCACCATTTGCAGCCACTAATCTGCTCATTATCATCGTTCAATGATAAGTACATCTCTCGTCAATCAACAAGTCCAAGTTTTATACCAAATTGAACACAAGCAAATTACAGTTCGGTTTATTGTATTTTAAAAATCTTGTGGACATCTACACAATTACATGAATTTATTATAGTCTCCGCTGGGTGAGTAGAGGAGGAAATTCTGGGTGACTAACGTGACACATATTAGTGAAAAACTGTATGTACGGCTTTTAACCACAACTCTCCTAACAAGACGAAGAACTCAAGACTTGCATTGCCACAACAATCAGGGGGACTACTGCTAAATAACACTAGCGCAATTTCACCAACTGGGAACAAGTTTAAATGCAAAAGGCCTTTAGTGCTCTTAGCCTGGTAGCATTTGAAAGAAGAGAATGGCAACGTATTAAGAGGTTGGTGTTGGATTATATTTGGGACCCACTCTCCTGCTCCTGCTTTAAACGAGTTTCACTTATATTCCACACACATACAAACGCTGCATACAAAGCCACTTCACTCCAACAACTATTCTACTATCCTGATTCAATGCTGCTGGGATAAAGTACCAAGTGTTGGGGCTAAAAGCGTGTAAAAGTGTGGATTTTCTACCCTCTCCGATCCCTGAGAAAAATTGGAAATGCAATAAGCATCTCGCTAACCCAGCCACACTTCTACTTGGCTTATTGATGGGAGAAGCTGCAGCAGCATCATCATCGTGGGCATAAGACAACAGCTCATCTCTGTTATTATCATTACTTATTATTATCTTACAAAGTTGAGACGAGCAACATGGTCTTGGTATCAAATGAAACTGCTATCTATAGAGGTTGGATCCAATTTTTAACCCAAATGCACTTGGGATCTTGTTAAGCCTCGGATGCACTTTAAGCCACCCAGCCTAACAAGACTAAAAGGAAATTGCATTCGCACTACTTGGCGTTGCGACCACCTCACCATCACCACGTCTCCTTTGTTTGTCTTCTCATCTTCACGCTTAAACCGATCTTGTTCAAACAAACTTGGATATTTTGTGCTTTTTACATAGGCGCAATAGTTATCTGCACTTGCATAGCAATCTACTCTCTACCTCAGCGTTAGTCAAGCATTGATGGTGGCGAGGATATAAATATGAAGGCATGACGTTGTGTGATTCATATTTCATATACATGGATATATTGGGTCTTCTTATCGCAATGGCAGATACGGAATAGATGGACGACGAAACTGTTTTATTTTTTATAATGCCAGCCAGAAAGCAACAACTAACTCGCTGTAAAAGTCAAGCACACGGTAAAAGGAGGAAAGGAGACTGATCTTGAATGTCTTTTGTGCTGACATGATACACAATAGACTAGAGTAGGAAATGTAGCAGGGCAAAGAATAAGATGAGACGACTCGAGCTGAAATTCTGCTATCGGTAGTACAAAAATCACATTATTAGTGTAAGGATAGTACAATGTGCAATCTCCCAACACGTATATGCATGCACAGTATTTTTTTCATGTGTCATATGAGAAATACGCAAATATTTCTGCAGAGGAGTTGAACAGAGTTCGCTCGCTTTTACATCTTTGGCACAAGTAGCTCGAATGTTACGACATATTCTTTCTGCTGCGTATATGTAAAGGATACCAGAAATAAAATGCAGTAGATTGTGTCTGACTGATGCACGATGCCGAAAATCTACGGTGCGATATGTTGTTAGGTTGACACTTGACTTGACGTTGACCCCGAACTGGCATTATGTAAAAAGTATGAAAGACCAGACATGTTACAAACGATGAAATGGCATAGTTTCCATCAATCGTTGATAAATTTATTTTATATAAAAATAAGCCAAAATATTAACTCGATGGTACAGAGGAATATATATTTATCAACACATGGATTGTCGTAGTTTTAGTTCTCATGTGATGATACAGAAATGAGCCAAATTATTTAGGTATTAATGAAATGTAGTCTTGAATATCTAAGTACCAGAATTAGGAAGGAAAACATTCAGCTGAAGTATACATGCTACTCTTTGAAACTATTGCATACATGCATACAAAAGTTATAATTGGTATCCGGTCCTTAATTTCGTAAAAGTCTGCCACATGCCTTAAATTGAGTTCCCCTGGGTGACTCAACTTCATCCGGCTTCACCCTTGCTGGTATTTTATGCTCCTAACAATACTCCGAATTCGGTGAAAACTGAAACGCCACTAAATATGTTAAAGCAGCAGCTGCATTTCATCTTTCTGTTTGTATACATAATCATTGACAGTTGTGGTTAAGTTACAAAAGTTTACCCTTATTGCAACCAATGTTTGAAAATTGATAATAATTTTCTAGTCTTATCATGTAATGCTTATTTTTGCGTATAGGGAAAACGAGACACACGATAATACGCATTATGCACATTTATTTAAAGACCATTTTCAGACCTCCCCAAAGTATTTCTAATACCATAAATTTTGCGAAAGGACATTGACTCTTCCAAACGGCAAGGAGATACAGATAGTAATGATGCTATAAAGAGTTTTAACAGCAAAGTGTGTGGAGAAATCATCATCCACTAAAAATTTAGCTACATTGGGAGAACACTAATCGCAAGTATATTGCGGGTACCTCAGATACCTGAGGTACCTTCTCAGGTGTAGCACTATATGGAATGGATTAGTCACAGCGTCTCAAACTTTTTAACAGGTGGCTGTATACAACTAACCTGCCCAATTCCAGATGCATGCATACGTATCTTTGCATGTATTACGACTATCCTGTTAAAAACACAATGAAAGGTTAATAACGAACGTGGCTATGCAACATTATTCTTGACAGAAGTTATTGATAATCGGTGTTTTTTAGCACTGTTTGAAATCGACATAGAATCATAATCCCATACACCATAATTCCATCCAGCTTATTTTTGTGAGAGTTTTGCAGAAAAGTTATTTTGCAGTGAAAATTTAGAAAGACCTTGTAATCTCCCTAAACTGTATCTCTAAGGAGGGGAGCTTGCGAGGTTGATAATAACAGATGTTGATGCCCTTTGGATATGTGGTAGGGTCCCATGAGTGAACTAAAACCCTGAAGTGGTTTGACTCCATGGTCCCATCTGCGCCCGCCACACCCACTCAAAAATGCCCAAAAAACGCTTTCACTCCAGTTTTCACTCACTCAAATCCACGTCAAAAATCCAATTTTACTCGGATTTTGAAATTTCTTTCACCATTACACTCCCAGATAGTTGCTTTCTTCAATCCAATATCAAACCCAATTTTTTCGAAATTTTTAGTATTTTTAAAATTTGAAATTCTGAATGAGGATTGTTGTAGTAATCAACAACTCAAATTACGCCTGCGAAATAATCATCAGCAAAATTGAGTTTGATATGGAATTGAAGAAAGCAACTATCTGGGAGCGTAATGGTGAAAGAAATTTCAAAATCCGCGTAAAATTGGATTTCTGGCGTGGATTTGAGTGAGTGAAAACTGGAGTGAAAGCGTTTTTTGGGCATTTTTGAGTGGGTGTGGCGGGCGCAAATGTGGCCATGGAGTCAAACCACTTCAGGGTTTTAGTACACTCATGAGACCCTATCACATATTCAAAGGGCATCGAGATCTGTTATTATCAACCTCGCAAGCTCCCCTCCTAAGTGCTGATTATGCTGTACGTACGTATAATGTAGTGATGTCCCATGGTTCTATGTAATTACTTATGCTGGTTGCTTTATTTCAAAAGTGTCTTAAACCAACAGCAATATCGTATATTAAACCAAGGAAAAATCATAAATTGACGCAATATGGAAAAGTACTTGACTGGAGTTTCATTGTTAATGCTCATGGCAATTCTGCCGCTGGAGGCCGGGCAAGAGATAAAGGTGGACTTGGGGAAGAATTTTGTACTTAACGACGGAGGTAATGAAAACTTTTATTGCTGGGAATGGATAGAAAACAAATAAACATTGATTTCACCGGTTATTGTCTTGTTGCAGATGTAGAAATAGTTGATGTGGATGGAAATTACGATGTCCAAGAGGAAGACAATGTACTTGTTTTGACAGCTCAAAACTTTAAACACGTCGTACATAAACATGACTTTGTTCTTGTAGAATTTTATGCCCCGTGGTGAGAATTTCTCCAGATTTTGAGGACAATTTGAACCTAAAGTCTATGAAGATATCTAGCTTGGTTAATATGTTGATTTTTAGGTGTACGCACTGTAAACAATTAGCCCCCATTTATGCTGCGGCGGCTCAAGAGCTCAAAGAAGACAAAATACCTTTAGGCAAATTTTTTTATCTCCTTTAAAAATTTATAAATAACAAATACACAAATAATAATAATAATTATAGAAATAATTTTCAACAGGCAAAGTTGACGCAACTATTGAAACAATCTTGGCAAAGGAATATATGATCACTGGATTTCCGACCGTAATTCTATTCCACAAAGGGCAAAAGGTTGAAGAATATAATGGCGATAGAAGTGCAGAAGGTAATTATCTCAATTGTTAAGTATACTATTGTTATTACAAAACCAAGAATTATTAAAACTATTGACCAATAAAATAGGTATCGTGAACTACATGAAAATGAGGACAAGTCCAGATTGGAAGCCCCCACCAACCTCTGTGATTGAACTGAATGGAGAAAATTTCACCCAATTCATGGAGTCTAAACCTCTAGTGATGGTTCTCTTTTATGCCGAATATTGCAAACACTGTGTGCAGGTAAATTGAAGATGGAAATCATGAATAAATAGTATGTACATTGGATTGACATATTTAAATTGTTTTACTATTTATATATTTCTCTACGCAGATAAAACCGGAATACATTAAAGCTGCCAGTGTGTTAAAAGAATACGGAATTCCGCTCACACAAATTGACGGAGTAAATAATAAAGAAATTGCAGACGAATTCAAGGTGTCTGGTTGGCCAACTCTTTACACGGTAAAGTGACTGTTTATAATGATTTTATATTCAGGTTGAATTAAATGTATTAAACATCGAATGTACTACTGTGTACACAGTTTCGATATGGTCGAGCATTTCAGTACAAAGGTAAGAAGACTTTAATCTGTTGATTTAATAATTTTTTCCAAAACTGAAAAATTCAAACAGTTTGTTTGGAACAAATGTATGCAAATATTTATTAATGTTCAGGTAGCTTTTAACTAAATATTTCAGTTTTGAACGGGGGAAACTGATTCTATGAATGATCTTTTGTCAGGAACTCGTGATGCAAATGGGATAATAACCTACATGAAGGACCAACAGAAAAGCCCTTCTGACTTGTGCAAAACTATGCAAGAAATGGAAAACCGAATTGACCGATACCATCCCACGATAATTGGAGTGTTTTCATCGAAAAAATCTCCATTTTACAATGAGTTCTTGGCAGTGGCAAACTATCTGAGAGAAGAGCCCTTGAAATTCATCCATACATTTGACAAATCAACTATTGGAAAAAATTTAGGAGTAGAGGATGAAGCCGTAATAGTTCGCAAACCTACAGTATTTCTTTCCGACTATGAAAAGAGTGAAGCTATTTTGACAGATGTAAGAGCTTTTCTACTTGCATGAAAAATTCATTCATATTAACGCTTAATAATACGACATGGCCTATTCTTGAAATAATATGGAAAATATAGGCAACCAAGACAGGAGATGATATTGCGGAATTTATTCGAAAGACTTATCGCCCACTGGTTGGCCAGAGGACAAAGAAAAATCAAGGTACATATCTTGTCTATTTTGCTTAAGACGAAATCATTTTTTAACAGTTTCTTGAGATGTATACTCTCTATTTTCAATTCTTCATGCTTATTTTTTCAGTGTACTTTTATTCCGTCAGGCCGCTGGTGGTGATTTACTATGATGCAAATTTCGACCATCAGTATCAGAAAGCTAGCGAGATTATACGATCCAAAGTTGTAGAAGTGGCAAATGCATTTCCAGATATCACGTATGAAAAACCTACGCAGCCGACTTGACTTAGCCCGAGCAAGGGTCAGATTCCGTTTTGAAATTATTGGCACGTGACCGAACTCCCATTACTGAATTTTGGTACAACATTTAACGATGCGGGCCATACGTCTCAAATGTTATTTGTTATTGTTATTTGCTCGGGCTTAAAACAGACTACAGTAAAAGCTGCAATTTTGTAATCTAATATTTATATTAGTGCATAACCAATTATTTTTATTAGGTTTACTGTTGCAAATGAAGACGAGTTCGAGCAAGAACTTCAAGCAGTAAAGTTGGACGACTCCGGCGTGGATGTGAATGTTGTGTGGTATGATAAAAACAGAATCAAGTACAAAATGGTGAGTGGCTATAATCATTGAAGTATAACGCATTTGAAAAATCGCAATGAGTTAATACAAGACGTTTATACATTTTCTGAGAAAAATGATGTCATATGTCACATGTTTTATCCACAGGACCCCGTTGATGACTTTGATGGGAGTGATTTAAGAAAATTTGTAAACCAAGTTCAGGACGGTATTAAAGAGAACTTTAAATGACAATTTCACCGGTTCTAAGTAGTTTTGCTGAATAGCTGAAATATCGTAATTGAGGATGGTCTAATTTTTCTAGGCTTGTTAAAACCTGTGTGGAAATCTCAACCAATTCCAGCAAAGCAAGAGGGACCAGTCGCCAACCTTGTTGCAAACAGTTTTTCCTCCGAGGTTCTAACGACTCCAGGAGATCGTGACGTCGTATTTTATATTTATGCACCATGGTTGGTATATATTTAGATTCTAAGTTTTAGAATATCAACAATTCAAAGATGGAAACGGTTGTATGTATTTGTGCTAAATGATTTTGATGTTGAAGGTGTGGACATTGCAAAAAATTTGACGCTATTTACAAAAAGTTGGCAAAGGAACTGGGGAACGATCGTTTATGGTTTGCAAAAATGGACGGGACTGCAAACGATTTGCCTCCAGGGTTTGATATCAAGGGATATCCAACAGTGTTCTTCATTGCTGCTTACAAAAAGCATGAACCAAAGTTATACGAAGGGGACAGATCAACAAGTCATTTTAGGGTAATTAATTTTTGCGTAATAATATGCCAAATATTGCATTACTTCACTGCATTAGGTCTGTTTAAAAAATACAAGTGTAATATTCTTTTTTACTTTACATAGGAGTTTATTAAAAAGGAATCCACAATATTCCTGACGGATGAAGAACGTGAAGGGAAAAATAAAGTTGAACTATAACTTATTGTGGAAATAATTAATAGAATGAAAATAAATACAATTTTGGAGAATGAAATATATAATTGCAATTTTTAATGCTGTGAGCTTTGATTTCACTCGAATGATGATGTGTGATGAGAAAAGTAGTTACAATCTTATAAAGTTTTTTTATACTAGTATTACCTTCAATAGTAATAGTTAATCAAGTAAGATACAAAATGAAGTACTGTTATACTTAATTCAAAAACTGAAATATAAACAATGTTTATTAATGTATATACGAAGACAAAAGTGTGTATAACTTATATGGAGAATGCTTGTGGACAAAAAATCCGAAAATTAACACTCCACACACGTGATGATGACGAATCAAATTAAAAGGAATAACTAAGTCTACCACCCTCCAGTCTGCTCTTGGTAGACCTCGATGACGTCATCAGCCTCCATTTCCAGCTAGAAAAATATAGCATTGAAATTAGAATACGTTTAATTAAACTACGCTGTACTTTGAAATGATATACCTGTTTTGGCGTTTCGTCGTCGTTGATGCGTCTGCCATCAAATAGGAATCGTAACGAAGACTGTGGTACACCCTGAAATAAAAATATTGTTAAATTATAGTTCTTTATTTTTTATCAGCACACAGTAAATATGAAAAAACCTCTGAGAAGGTGATGTTGAGGAGGAACATCTCCGACTTTTAAATTTGAAATGCTTACCAATCTTTCGGCGTAGCTCTTTTTCAACTTTCCCATTTGAGTGGTCATCTTTACCCGAAAATGAATTTCATTGGCGTCCTGACCTACGACTTTCAACTTAATGTATTCTGATCCATCTCCCCCATCTTGTTTTGATTCCTGTTCGGACAAATCAATGGTACAAATTATTACAACTAGAAACGAAAGGAATTATATGCCGGTGAAGAGAAAAAACAGTCATTCGACTACCGGTCATTGTCATTCATTGAACCTTGCAAATGCCTGATTGCCCACCGCGAAGAAAACCCGCTTATCCCTCTTTTGCATAACTTTCAAGTTTCTCTCTTCAAATTATGAGTTATTGTGCTAATACTACATAAACTATTACTTACCTGGTTGTTGCCGGTGTCAGACATGATGACCGTGAGCTTGACCGCTAGGGACGCAAAAAAATTAGTGAGCCGGAAAATTCGAGAAGGAGGAAACACTTGGGGCTTCTTCACTGTCGGACGACTGGTGCGTGTGTGAGCTTGTGCGATGCGAGCGGAATGGATGGCAAGCCGCCGCCGCCTATCCCGTAATGCTCTGTAACCCCGCCTTTCTGTGAATGCCCCCACAGCACGTGACCCCCAATTTGTTTGACCGTTACTCACACGACAACGTTTTCAAAACGTCAACTTTGAGCGTCTAAAATTGAAACGTTTCCTGATGTGTCCACTTGATGCACAACAGCATGGCCTCTCGTTGCATGCAAATACAGATTTATACCCGCAAAACCCTCTGGGGTGCTAATTAATGGATAATGTTTTGAACTGTTAATAATGCTCCAATTTTTTAAAAGAAATAATGTTTGTTATGATAAGGCTCCGGATTTCAGAATGAATGCATGAAATGATATGTTTTCATGAACGTATTATGCCGTTTCAAAATTAGAGTGGCAACTTAAAAAACATGGGTTTTTAATACTGAACAAAAGACTGATGAAGGAATTGAAGGAACAAATTCTCAGAAATGAGGGGTTTAATTAGTTAGGTTATAAATAGAAATTCGTCGAGAAGTACGCGTTTGATTGATGGATAGGGAAGGGAGCATGCACTCATTTTGTGTGAAGCCTAAACACTGCGGAGTTGAAGTGAGGATTTTACGCAGCTGCGTTCAAATCATCTGTCATAATATCCAACTCTGCTCTGGGGAAAAATTTAATATTTAATTGTGTACCAATTTTCCAGGAGCCTATTCCGTAAGGGTCGACGACTCCAAACACACTAGTGCCCAACAAAACTAAGGTAAGTTTGGTCCAGGTGAAAAATTGTTCCAATTCTTGTGTCATTCATACTAATTGTGAAGGAATGGACAACACAACAATAGGCAACTTTCACTCTACATTAACAAGCAAACAATTTTCAAAACTGTAAACTAAATGAGTTTAAGTTAAGAAAAATATTTCTCAACAAGTTAAAATATTAATTCCGAGCCGTCTATTCACCATTCGTTAATTAATTCTATTCTTGCATAGTTGATATTCTAGTTAGTTTAGTTTTTGGAGATTTGCAAGTATAAATTAATTTTGTTAATCCGATCTGAGGACATCCCTGAGTTTGTAATTGTTTTATCCAATTTATGTGTAAACGAATTTTATTATATATTTAAAATTAACACAAATTAGATGTGATTGTTTAATTATTATAACTGTGAATTGTTAATATGTTACAGGAAGTGGACCCTCGTTTCTATAAAGCGTCACAGCTCTCAAATTTTTGTTTGACGACACTTTTCACATTGACGACTTGTAAATTGTTGGCTGTTGACAATAACGTCGACTGGTATATAATTTTACTACTAGACTAAAAATCAAACGTGATGCAAACATTGTCTTTATTTTTTAGCCAATCAGTTCACATAATTTTTGCTGTGGTATAATAATGAGAAGTGGAACTGGTAGATCCCGAACCCACAGCCATCAAACGTCGAAACGAAAGGAAGGAAAGAGCCATCATCACCATCATCATCACGAGATATCATCAGCAGTGATCACATCATCGTCATCAGCAATATCCTCATCAGTGACAACTATGCGACTCCGTGAATCCGAAATTGCTCCTCCTCCGTTAGCAAATAAGAATCAGCCTGGACTTCCCTCCAACTCTATCTACAGCGGATCAAAGTTCGACGGATCTCAAAAATCGCGTGGAAATTCTTACGACGTTGAAATTACATTTAAAAATGTCGACGTTCAAAACAGCCATATCTGTGGTTATTTGACAATTAAAGGACTCACAGAGGAACATCCAATAATCACCACGTTTTTTGACGGTGAAATCATTAGCAGAAAATATCCATTTTTAACTAGAAAGTGGGATGCAGATGAAGAAATTGACCGTAAACATTGGGCAAAGTTTACTGGTTTTACACCATACACAAAATCTTTCAACTCGGACAACTTTGATTTTGAGTCTCTAGCCACGTCGGACAATGTCTTTATGCGACTGAAAGAGCAATTCTTTGTATACCCAGAAAATGTGAAAGACATCGCAGGTGTCAGTTTTGCTGGTTTTTACTATATCTGTTCAACGAACTCGACTGCTACGATGGAAGGTTATTACTACCATCGTGGAGCCGAGTGGGGTGGGACAGACAATAGATATCAGTCCTTGACCCTATCTCATATTCCTGAAAAGAGCATTCAGATTTACCAGTTTAGATAATACTTATGTGTGTAACCGTCCTTATCAAAAAGTGCTCGGTGAATCGTTCGCATGAAATAATCCGTGGTGCAGTCATTCGCGAATTTTTATTTATTTCACATTTAGCTGATTAATTTTAACTCTGGAGTTGATTTTTTAGCGAGTTTTAATTTGTTAATTCTCGGACATGTAGGTAATTTAGTTAGATTATTCGTTCTTGTAACATATGAAACGCTTTATTGTTATAATAATTGTGTCACTTGTTAGAAATTTTAAAAATGGTGCTGGGATATAAAGCAGATGCAGTTTTTAAGAAACAAGTGTTGTAGTTTGTATTCTGCTATATAGCTCGTACTTTTGTCGTCGATTCGACCCTGGTGAGCTATCTTTTATGAATTAATACATAATTACTTATTTTTAGCACTTTCAAGGTAAGCCTTGACAAACACAGGTAGGAGGAAGCGTGTATGAACACCTATGAGGTATTGAACGACATATATGTATGTGCATGATACATTGTTAACTGAAACAGTACAAACGTGCATGGTGCACAATTCTGTTGTCTGCATTATAATCACCTACTAATTTTATTGATAAAAATCCAGGGCATGTACCTTATCGGAGTAGACTAGGAAAATGTGAAATTTTTTAAATCAGAACCAGGATACGAAACCTGGTTAACTTTTATCACGTGGTTGAAAGAGTCTCAACCAGTGCTTTTATGCTTAATGTGACTTTTTGTCAACCAATCGAATCATGTAAAATTAACTGTTCTGAAAATGTTACGGACAAAAACACAGACAGACGGACACTCCAGAAAGTTTGAATTATTATTTCGATTATCTTTGGTGCTTTTCCTATGATGAATTTCTCGCATAATGTATAAATGATACGCATTGAATCAAGTGAAGCTGTTATCCAACAGAATTTTATCATCTCGGTGTATTAATAACTGTAATAAGTAAACTTTAGACTAATATATGACTAATATATTCAATCGCTGTAGTGTTGACCTTTTATCCACTGATTTTAACTAAACTTGTATTTGACGTTCTTTCTAGTCTGAATTTTTTAAGTGTGTTTTATATTTTTCTTTTGACCGTTCGTTCATGTCTCCAATGTATTAGTGACATGATCGACATGTGATTGTAATTTACTCTTGTGCGTTGGTTTGTTCTTTTGATTTGCCCTCTACTTAACTTAAGTTAGTTGACTTAAATTAGAGTTAATTTTGACTTGTCCGGATATTTTACCTATTTGACAACGATGATTTAAACCATTTTAATTGTATGTCGTCATTTATTATATACGCTTTTAATGAATTGATTGAATAAATGTGTACGGTAAATAACTCGTAATTCACTCATAATGTAATTTTTTATTAAAATAGTGAAATGAGTGAACTCATCTATATGATCATATACTCATACAATAATAACAATGTAACCACTCTGCCCCAAGTCATTCTCTCCAAAACTAACGGTACTATCGTGTCTAGCGGTGGTCTAGTCTCAATCTGCATTTGAAACTTTATATATTCGATCAAGTACCTACAGACTAGAATAATGTGCATACTTAGATAAGATTTAATGCCTGGAATTTTTCATGACAAAACGGTTAAGATCCATGACGCTTGACCATAATGGCTGGACTATTCTTACAACAACATTACCTTCCGTTTAACGTGGCATTGTTTGCTGAAAATGAGAAATTTCAAGCATCAAGAGCAGAATCACTTGCAACTCAGTGGTTCAAAAATGGAAAATTTGAAGAGCCGAGTAGTAAGGGAAAAATTTTGGGATTTAGCGATCTGATCAAGTCCATGAAAAGTGAGAATGGAAACGCAACAGTCCAGGAAGTTCAGGTATGTTGCATAATGTTTGAAACTACTATTCCACTCTTTATGTATTTCGAGTATGGGTGAAATTACTTATTAATAAGCTATCAATACATGTGTGTAATATTTTGATTCGATTTAGGATCTTCTCAGTGCTTCAAAAATTCTGAGCATAAAATGGAAGAGTAATTGTTGCATTTGCGTCGTGCTGGCGGATGGGACAATCGTATATATTCATATAAAGAACATTCACACCAATGAATTTTATTTTGTGGTGGATAAGTTTTTCCGTTTTCCTGAATCAGCATTGAGTGGTACATAAAAATCAAAAATATAAGGAATTTATTTAAAGTCTCATCTTGTTTTCATATTTTTTAGTTGCATACAGCAATAAGCATGTTTTATTTATGTTTTCCGAAAACCGACTTCTCCTTTTAAGGTAAACAACAAGTAAAATATGTTAACCACTAAAAACTTCAATACTGATTTGCTATTTATTATTTGATTCCATTATATTTTTCGATGAAAATCAAGGAAAGAGCGAGGAGGAGCCGAAAAAGGAGAGAAATCAGAGTTAATTCACCCGGAAGTAAGCGTCAGTAATTATCATGACCTACTCCCTAATTTGGTATCAAAGAAAATTGAAAAGAAAATTACAATTAATGGAAAGTCGGACTTGGTAAATAATTATAAATCTGAATGAATGATAAGCAGACGCATTTTTTAAGAACAATAAACATTGGTGCATATTCAGTTAATGGTGTGGTGGTCTGGATCTAAGGAGGATATTTTTCCGTGGAGCCCAAAACCAGAACAAAAAGCCAATATTTTCATATATTCTCTTGACGAGTAATAAAGCACACTAAATTATGGCATGTTAAACTACTGACTAATTATGTAACCTATACTTATTTGTTTCTATATCACGTACATTTTAGGAATGACCCAACGCTGATCTCGTATCTTAAGACGGACAACAATTTATTGGAATGCTGCTTTATTCCTGGAAATTATAACCACATTTGCACATTGGAGTTAACGTACGATACTCAGGTTCGCTTGATACATAAAAATGTCCTTTAAAGCCAAGGGTCAATAAGCCCAATTTTAAAACAATAGGCAAACATACTTGTGAATGAAGTTATCCATGAAATTACTCGAGGAAAACTGACATCCATTTGCGAAACTGCAATACCGCTCCAAAGTGAGCTGAAATGTTACGCATACGATGAAAGGTGTCGAAAGTTGGCATTGGGCTGTTGTGATGGGTCTCTGGTAATTTATACTCAGGACGGAAAGGTCACTCATTTTACAAAGGCATCATTTGTAAGTTTGACATAGAACAAAATATTGCTTGACGAAACTAATAATCAGATGAACATAAAGAAAAATTATTCTTTTCAGATTCCATGTTCTGTTTCATGGCACAATGACGCGTTTTTAGTCTTCGTGTCTGGAGACAGAGGACAGTTTCAAATTTTTGACATCGCATTGAGTCCACTCTTACTTTTGGACAATTTTGAAACGTCCCCATCTCTGACCAAGGAACTTGTGTAAGACTTTGAGTTAATATTTCTGAAAAAATTCACTAAAAATCCCGAACATTAACTTTAGGCCGCCCACCATAATTGATAAACTTTGTTGGTCTCCTCTGGTCTCTTCTGCTTCTTCTGACAGCACCCTACTTATCCGATTTGAAACGTAGATAATTCAACCATGTCAAAGTGTGTATTTATTTTGTGGTACATTTTATATTTATCGTGTAATTGTTCCTACAGAGGTGTGATGGTGTTTCTGAGGCTGGCGATAGGACGGGTGAAATTGACCCAGGTATCTAAATGAATACGTAGCTAAAATATCTTAATTCGGTATCAAAATATCTAATAATTTACCTAATATTAATGCAGCTGTGCAACTTTCATCTGACCAATGATCACTTCCGAGAGGCTGTAAAAGTGTTACGAAGCGTTTCTTGGACCTCTGACGAATCTCTTTACGCAACATATCAAATTTTCACTTTTCTCATGCAGCAGAAACATTCGGAAGATGTTGAGTGTAAGGAAATTTATGAACATGTCTCAATAGAGGGCTAAGCAATGTAATTGTATTTTTGCCACTTTTATACAGATAACTTGGAACATTTGCTTGCAACCTACTTTGCACCATCCACGCCCATTGATGAAGTCCTTCGAAAAAAACATTCCAAATCAATGAGGATTCTTGCGCGGAAATTTTTCATGTGGCTTACGCGAGAAAAGAAATACCCACGTGCATTTCAGGTATTGAACACACAGTTTGTGAATACCTAGCTAATAATTACAGGTACTTATTATTACTATTGTTACTGTTTTGTAGATCGCCACAAGTCTCGGAGAAGAAGGCCTATTAAGAAAATTGTATCTCATTACTCTTGCTCATGGCGAGGTAGCATTGGCATCAGAGATTAACAAGAAAATTCAACCCCTCTCAGTATCCTCCAGTGATAGTCGATGTAAAAAATTATTCGAATTTAATAGTTATTTAGTAACTCATGAATCCAAAGGTCTGATTTGTGACGCTTCAATTTTATTGCAGCCTCCAGCGATTCAGGTAGTCAATCTCGATCATCCTACTCAACGTCCTCAGAATCCAGTGATATTGACGACAATGTGAGTTTAGAAGTTAATTTTCCCATGCTTGATTCGGGTACATAATTTGTCCTTTATATTATTCCAGGGCCCTCTCAGCCCAGTTTCCGTTACTATTCCTAGACCAGAACTATTTGTCTTAGAACCTCCTTCACCATATCGCAATCCTACGGATTTTACGGTTCCGGTAGAAACGCCGACACCAAAACATTTTTACTTTGGAGAAAGAGCATCTAGTACAAGCTCATCTGTCGCGGAAAATGCTTTAATTAGCGAAACAGGCAATATTGATGCTGCTTCTGTTTCGTCATCATCTTCAACGATAGAGGTTATTAACTTTGGACCGGTGTAATAAAGATTGTGGTTATTTAAATTTCAATCCAAGTCATGACTGATAATTGTGACTACATGTTATTAAAAATACAATTTCTGTTCTCACCGCATTCTAATGAGCATTTAAGACATAAGACAGTTTTTGAGTAAGCAATGCATCTCAAAGTGTTACATATTAAATGTTATATAACTTGTCAATGTCATCGTCAGACCAGTTTACCTTGCGTGCGAAAACATTGTTGAGATCCTGGAAGCGTTTACATACCTACACATATGCACAATATGTAAATACAAATTATAAATTTATCTTCATTTTAAGGGATATTTTTCCAAGGACATAGACAAGAAACTTGGCGTTGTCGTCTTTTTATGTTGAAGAATCAACTCGTAAATTGGTATCACAAAAAAGAGAGAAGCAAGGAAGATATAGAAAGAAGATCAAGAAATTGCTATTAATTCAGTGGCAGCAATGGCAATAAGGACACGAACTATCTAACACCATCATATTATTGCACGCAGTTGTCACTTTTAGTCTTGTGGAATTATAGAATTTTTATGTCCTTATGGCTGCCCTAAGGTCACCTGGGACATGATAGCATGAAGTCGATATAGCTCTCGTTTCTTTTGAAAATTGACGCAGAGTAGAATTGCAACGTTTGCAAAGTACTAGTCATTGCAGAGAGTTGCTCAGACTGGTTTTTAAAATTAAGAATGCGACGAAAAATGCTTGGCTCGGGGTATTTCAAGTACTTTAGGGTTTTCATACATATTTTTAATCCAGATAAAATAAAATAGTTTCGCATCCAGAATGGGCTGATTTTTTCCATCCTTCTACTTCATCCATGTACACTCGTGTAACACGAGTAAACATTTGTGAAAACATAAATATGTTAGCTAGCCCCTGAGGTAAACAATCTCAGGCATACAAACCAGTTTTTGCAAAATTGAAAATGAAGGCCATTAAATCGTTATATAAAGATGTTCATAGACCTGTACACCATCGTTGAGTAATGCGATGAAACCCATACCACACACAATCATGCATACTTTAGTATATTAAACATAGTTCAACATTTTATTAATATATGTACAGGTATTTCAAAGTACCACGTTATTCATGTAATGGATGCTTCCTGTTGCTGATAAATAATATGAGATTTAGTTTTAACAATAGTCATTCATCTTAAATATATATGTATATAAATACACACACTGTATACATACATATGATATGCACATGTTCATACTTGTCAAAATTAGGCACAACTCAGAATCATCTTACCTGAAAATTTGATTGATGACGGAGCCATGAATAAGTCAGTCAACGGTCGAAAAGTCAAGGATAAGGTCATTTCTAATAACCAAAATTATATAGATGCACTAAAATACTTGTTAAATATCATGTTCATATCTTGCTGTTTATGCTCTTAAAGGAAATTATTTCAAAGAAAAGTGGCGATCCCTCCCTACAGAAGACTTTAAACAGAAGAGTGGCACAAAAATTGCCAAATCATTTCATTGTTGAATCTTTGAGATAATTTTTTGTGCGTCTTTATGGATTACTGAGTAAAGAGTTACTAGTTAGTCTGTATCTTAGTTTGTAAAAGAAGGAGTTTCATGTTCTGGTGGGACATGATGATCTTATATATTATTTAAGAGAATGGTAGCACAAAAACTACGTTTATCTACAAATTGTTGGCATTTTGTCTCATTAATTTAGTGCATGCCATGCTTGGGCAGAATTCAGTTTGGCATAAAATATTATCCAGCTCCATATCTCGTTGCAGGTAGCAGTGTGGGTGAAATCATCGCATATTGTATACGCATATCTGCAGATAGCGTGTATTACAGGGTACATGATAATAGTACTTATAGTTGAGAATTGCAAATAATATCCTGTACTGTAATCAAGTTTGCATGGCATTGTATTCAAGTGCAAAGCCAAAAACCACTATTTTTCCATTGTTGTCAAGATTTCAAGGAGTCAGGTACTGGATTCAGTCGAACGGTTAAGGGGGTTTCCAAACCAGTTTTTTTTTTGCAGAGCTTGAAAAATTTTGCAGACATATTATAATTTCCAGTCAAACCGTAATGAAATGTAGGAGTTTGATTTTCATACGAAGTGCGTACACTATTTTAAACTTATTTTCCATGCAGGAAAATCCCTAAAATAAGGTGGCTGCGAAATGGCTGCGGATTTACATCGTTCAAAAATTATGATACTTCAACGTATCAAAAATAAATTTGTGCTGTTTCTTGCTACTATTTTATTTGTTTTGTTAATAATTCCTACCACGACGTTTATAATACTGCCGTGCTTGATATACCGTCAACTGCTCTTGATATACGCAAAGTGGTGCAAGCCAAGTCTGGGCAAACTCTTGTGTGCCCGAAGTGCTTTAGCTGCCCTTGACGATATCCACACTGCCCCCAAATGCACGTTACTGGGGGTTGCAGTGGTAGCTGGGGACATTGATGTCCGCCAGTTGCAACAGGATGTGATGAGGCGGATCGTAAATGCAAAGGACAGTAATGGACATAAAATGTATCCCGAACTCCAACAATATTTCTCGCAGTGGGGTGGGTACCTGTTTTTTAAAAATGTTAAGGATTTTAGAATAGAAAATCATGTGAGTGTTGTTGAAAAATCGGAGACGAAAGAGATGAGCGAGTTGGATTTGATTAACCTGCGAGTGGAACTGATAAGCAAACCTTACAAGAAGGGTCAGAGCCCGTGGGAATTTGTTGTTCTTCGAAATTACCACCCCAAGTTTCCTCTCATGATTGACGTTGATAATAATTGCGCTGATTACACAAAGCACGACTCCAAAACAAAGAAATCTGTCCTCATTATGAGAATTCATCACGGGATTGCTGATGGATACTCACTGCTAAAATTGTGGTTGAACTCAATGCAATCTGAAAATATGACACTTGAACAAATTCCTCAACCAACATTTCATCAACGAAGTTGTTTTAAAACGTTGATGTATAACACCTGGGCGCTCTTGTGCGTGCCGTACTATGTCACGGAGCAGGTAACTACTTAACAACATTTGGAAACCTTTCTCTATATCGTTTAAGAAGCAATAAGATAGTTTTCAATGTGTGATTTTTGGGTCCTATTAACCACAGCTAATGACGACATACGACTCCAATTTTTTCCATCCCAAAGGAATCACCTTATCACGCAAGTGTTCTGCTGGAAGTGTCACCTTGCCTGCATCGATCATTAAGGAAATCAGGGAGAAGAATAATGTAACCTTTACTGCTGTTCTGATGGCAGCTTTGACGGGAGGTGTGAGAAATTATATGCTGGCGAATGGAATACCCATTCCTGATAAAATGCATTGCACTCAGCCACTTCCTTGGCCAAATCATCCTGAGAAATTGCGAAACTTTTGGTGAGTTCAACATGCAATTCCTGCCTAGTAACTTCACCTCAGCTTCCTGCTGATTTCGAAATTGTAGCAAAGTCTAGTAAACAGATACAAAAAAGGAGCGGTAGTGCAAATGACACAGGGTGCTAAATTTCAAAGCTTGCATTTTCACTACACCGTGACGGTGAGGAAGGTCCATTAACGACATTATTTTACTTTCCGTTCTCTATATCCTTTACACTGTAAAAGTTCAAGTGTTATATCGTTCAGAACTTATCCTGTAGACCGAAGGACAGACAGAATATTTTGGTATAAAGTAGCTCCTACACTAATGTACATAATGAGTAACACATGAAAGAGTTCAAGAACCAAGAAAGCGTTTGCGTCAAAGAATCAATTAAAAGTTCTCACACAATTTATTTTGCCAAACTTATGTAAGTATGTGCATGCATGCAGCTAAATACATAAACCAAGACTTGCGGATGACTCATTTTCATTACATAAGTGTAAGTGAGAAATTTTACTACATATACGCATTTAAAATTTTACGGAACATTTACTAATGACTAATTCGTAAATTGGTGTCCTTCAAACAGAAGTTATTTACACTATGCGCCTCATTTCTTTATGTTTGCATCATAATCATATTTAAGTACATGTGTAGATAAATACATTGGTACAAGCTTTCATGGTACATCAGTATATATACTTGTAAATCCAATTGGCTTGAGCTGAGTAAATGCCAAATTATACATTTCTAATATTGTAGGCAATTTAATCATGCATTCGTGCATGAATTAAATGAATCCGTTTATTAAATTATTTCAAATAATTATTTGCAGTGACCTTGTCAATGTGGTTTTTTGTACAGGTCGTTTTGTATAATCAACTTACCTCTCCAAGTGTCCGACTCTAAAGAAAGACTGAAAATTTTGCACAAGAAAAGAGAATCCCTTGTTCGCTCTACGGTACCGCTGCTGAATTTGAAACTGGTTTCGCTGGTGGGATCCCTTCCAACGCCAATTATTCAATGGGCAACCAAGCGGAAAGCAACAACAATTATGATGTAAGAGCAATAATGTGTTCATGAAAGAAAAAGAAAAACTGATCTCATTTGAATAAATTGCTAACTTTCTAGGTCCAACTTTCCTGGCCCCCAAGAACCAAGTTCAATGCTGGGATATCCCATTTTAGATGCGTCTTTTGGTGGAGGATTTGGTAGAGGAAACTTGGGTATTAGGATATTTATTGATTGTCCTTTTAGCTCGAACTAATTAATTCTAATTTCCTTGCAGCATTTGGCATATCAATGATAAGCTACAACGGGACATTACGATTAGGTCTCGGTGTAGATCAATCTATTCTTCCAAACCAACATCAAGCTCAACAACTGTTAAATATGATTAGAGACGAAATTTACATCCTAGGTCAAGATGTGATTGTATAATTATTAATTTTCAGTCCACACAACCCTTTCCATTAAGAAAGATTGCTTTAACAGCTCTGCCAGTATCACGCGAAGGATAATGTGTATGTACATGCATTACTCAATAAACCAAAAATGACCTCTATAATTAGGCTAGCTTTACCTTTGGATAATGATTGACAAAACTCTTGCAACTGGAACTATGTTAGCTGCAATATAAGTAGTGTTTTTTACTAATTTATTGCAAAGTCATTTTGTAATACTCATTACAATAAGATGTAATTAATCTCCAGAAATATCCGTGCTCACGAGCTTATTTTTGTGTACAGTAAAAAATAAATTTTTGCCGGTTATATGAATATGACATTATTTTGAAAAATTTCCTTATACTTTCCTTGAGACGTTTTTCCAAAAGAAGCCTATGGAATGGAAAAGTTTGGATGATGTGTGTCCTTCATATCGGTGGCATGGGTGTATCCTATCATAATCGCGCAATCAGGAAAATTACATGGCATTAATGTGCTAATGGATGCCACTAGCGATGGGAACTTAACTGCTACGTAGGTGAGACACTTTTTGTCGCGAGTAAAACAATCAACGAAGAGATGGTGCAATTCAATTTTCGTAAATTGCTTTTGCTGATACACATTTGTACATACATATATCGTCCTACTAATATTAACACTCTTTCACGAACGCAAGTCAGAATCTTCCTTTTATTGAGATTATGCTGAATGTACGTGCAAAAAGGCATAATTTACAAGTTTTTGTGGAGGACTTACATATAATAAGTGGATAGCCTACTCCGGAAATAATGCATTCTTCTTCTTGAGTCTATCTGTATTTACTTACCTAAATTTTTTCGCTATGAAAAATGTAAAATTTCATGCAGCATGTAACATTTATATGCCAATCATCATTGCCTAATAGTTCCTCAGCATAAGCAGAAATCATCTGCTGCCCAAAATTATCATCTTAATTTTTATGAATGGGTAAAGTTTGAACTACAACTGACACACTTCTTCTAGTTGTGCTCACTTATAATGTTGCTCACAATCGCATCTTTCACATGACAAAGTTCACATTGACTAGATACATACTTATTTTGTTACCCCTTATGAATTCGAAATATCACGCACTTCATTGTGCCTATTGCGAGTCATTGTTGCGGATGTTGCCTTATTTTCTTTGTAAATAGCTGCAACCTGTTGGGAACAAATAAGCTGCTTGCCAAGTATTGGCTTGAATACTCAACGAGGGGAACAATTTTATTAACTCAGTCACTGAGATGGAATGATATGCAAAAAAAATATGAGTCGCATTTCTTAACCTAACAGAGTGTTATAATAATAGGAAAATAGGTTAGCATATTAATATCAACACATAATATGCAATATTGTCTGTCATATCGCTTGATATCTACATAGATATTTAACTTTTTTGCAAGTTCAGTACAGCATGTAACTAGCGATTGACTCTTCGTTCGCCACCGGCTCTGTCAGTGTCAACACGAAGAAAAAAACACATAGAACACACAACATTTCAAATCGCGAAAGTTTCACAGAATGTACTTTCTCAAGACATTTATCAAAACTATTTGGAACCTGTATTCGTGAATTTTATTTCTAAAGTGAAAATTGTAAAGTGTGTCACGACTGTGCGTTATCAAGATGGCAATAACATTTTTGACTTCGCCAAATCCAGTGACTATGGCTTTCATGGGGCTTCTATTGTCAAGCGGAATGAACCTTCTGCCTTTTTTTGTAACCGAATATTCAAGATTGGATGAAGTTGCAGATCGAATGAGCTTTTCCAGAAGTGAGGAGTCCTATGATTTCATTGTCGGTAAGTAAGTGTGGTGCATTTACCAACTTTGGTACCATGATTATTAAACTTCAATCGAACATATTTTTGTATACAAAAAATTAGTGGGGGCAGGATCTACTGGTTCAGTAGTTGCCAATCGTCTAAGTGAGAAATTTCGTGTACTTCTAATTGAGGCTGGAGGTGAACCGTCTCCGCTGCAAAACGTGCCATTGGTGGCTCCACTAATGTTAGGGAACCCTAGGTTGGACTGGAATTATTTCACAGTTCCTCAGAAGTATTCATGTTTCTCACTTTATGATCAGGTAATTATTCACCATTCCACAGACTCCACTAATACCAAAAAAATTGATTAACCATTTTATGAACCCTTGATCAGAAAAGTTATTGGCCACGTGGAAAATCCTTGGGTGGCACAAGCAATCTGAATTTTATGGTTTGGTTGAGAGGTAAATTATTTATCTTTTTGAAATTAAACTTCTATTTTTGAGACGTTTTTGGCAATTATTTTTAGGCCACCCTTTTGACTACGACAATTGGGCACATCTTACTGGAGAAGAACGTTGGTCCTATGATGAGATTCTTCCATACTTTAAAAAATCTGAAACATTTACCGGCACAGGAGATTGTAATTAGAAGAATTTTGTTCTTGCTACCACTCATGAAATACCAAGTTAATCTTGGTATTGATTAATTATTTAATTCTCGTTAGCAAATTTTCATGGATTTGATGGAGAAGTGACGCTCTCGCCGGCGACATTTAGCCCACTTGCAAAATACTTTGTGCGGGCCGCAGAAGAGCTAGGCTATCCAATTATAGATCAAAATGCACCTTACCAAGAAGGTGAATATAATATGTACATTGATACGCATTTGTACTTGCAATTAGTTTACAGGGTCAACTTATTTGTTATTAAACTGACTCAGCATTTTCTTTATAAAATTTTTTCCTCAACCGTGTCTGCATTTATGCCGCATTGCTGTAAAGTCACTTATTCCAATTTCAACAATGGGACTAATTTTAAACAAAGTCCTTTGTAATGAAGTCTTCCTGCTCATGTCAAAACCAGACTTTTAATAATCTGAACATTTCTTATGAATGTAGAGCAGTCTAACTAAATCTCATTTCTTGCACACAGGTTTTAATGAACACATTTACAATCAGCGGAGGGGTCATCGCTGGGGTGCATACAATGCGTTCATTCAACCAATTAGGAACATTCGAGGAGATCGACTCACGATTAGAAAATACTCCACAGCCACTAAAGTAATTATGCACAACAAGTAACTCGCAGTTTACATATTTATTAATTTACTTGACTCGAATATTGATTCCCTTCTTATTAAACTGACACTATTGACGTTGATTTCTTTATTGTTGTGCTATCACAAAAATCTACACAGTTTAAACTTTCAACTATATAAATCTACAATGGATCCGATCTTCTTTTGATTGAAACAATGATAAAGTTAGTAATACCGTCATGTGACAAGTGTCATTATCATTTAAGGTGCTATTCAAGGGGTCAAACAACTTGGCTTATGGGGTGGAATACGAACGCAATGGGGTGCTCTATATGGCTACAGCAAATAAAGAAGTAATTCTAAGTGCTGGCACTGTAGGATCTCCGAAAATATTAATGCTGTCCGGAGTGGGGAATGAAGAACAACTTGTGTCTCATGGAGTAAGATGGACAATTTTATGCAACATTTATGAACTTGCCGGCATTTCGTTATTCGTAATTATATATTGTAATACATTTTTTAAATGGGCGACAGATCAAAGTACGCGTGAATTCTCCTGGCGTTGGTGAAAATCTACAAGATCATGTAATTGGTCTTGTGGGTCCTTTTACAATAAATGAAGTACAGGGACACCATTTAACCTACTTGCCGGGACGAGATTCAAGTCCTGGAGATCTGTTGCAATATCTTGGAAGTGGAGCAGGGCCCCTCACGCAAGCAGGCGTGATGGCATCAGGCTTCATTGCTTCGAATTTTTCTAAATTAGAGGGGGGAATCACGTGGCCGGACACTCAACTGATTCTGCTCGCCATCCCCAAGGACAAAGATGCAGTGGAAACGTTGACCAGAATTTACAATTTAAAGAAAGAAATTGCGCAAGAATTCTACCAACCAGTGTTTGGCAAAGATTCGTTCCACATCATGTCGATCGTCAGTCGTCCTAAATCTAGGGGACAGATCCAGCTAGCCAGTGCAGATCCAAAAGCCAATCCCTTAATAGACCCAAATTACTACCACGACCCGCATGATGTGGCTTTAACAGTAAACGGTAACAATATGAAATTACAGGCATACATATTTACCAAATAAGTATGTAGAAGTGCAACTTTTAAAATTTACACCTTGCAACTTCTGTTTATAAATAGGCATCCGTAATATATTAAATTTGGTGGAGAATACGAAAACATTTCAAGAAATCGGTGCCAAACTGTCTAATGTTTCGTTCCCAAGTTGTAAAGATGAAGAGTTCAATTCTGACACGTATTGGGAGTGTTACCTTCGCCATTACACTCTGAGCGTCTATCACCCCACTTCTACATGTTCCATGGGAAGGTCGGATGACCCGAACGCCGTGGTTGATGGCAGATTGAATGTTATAGGAACTGAAAGACTTCGAGTCATCGATGCATCGATCATGCCACAAATTGTTTCCAGGTTGGTTTGAAAGTCCAAATTTTTATTTAGGTTTGGAAGTATAAATAATTAAAAATGATTTTTTCTATTTAGCAACATTCAAGCAGCGTGCACGGTAATTGGCGAAGTTGGTTCCCAATTTGTCAAGGAATTTTGGGGTGTCGTCTAAGCCTGCATTTTAAGTATTTAATAATAGAGTGGGTAACTAGCTGAACCTAAATAGCTCCCCAGTACTGAATATAAAATAGACAATGCATTTACATTATCAAATTAGCTTATTTTATATGTTTGTTGATGGTTGTATTTTATTTATTGAATCAAACATTTATTTAGATAAGTGCAAATTTAGAATAAAATATTATTCAACGGTCTTTGGATTGGCTGGCATTATCTAATCGCTCTTTTTTGTATTTGATGTACAAGGAATGTTTCCACCTTCGCTGCACTCTCCTTTGTGGCAGATTTCGATTTTCAAATCTACTCAAACAGAAATTAACAACCTTCATGCAAAATTGTTTGTAAATATGAGGACTTTTACAGATTTTTGGAAATTACCAGGATTGCTCCAATTTGCACAAAATAAATGTCCAGAATTTCGGTAAGTTTGCCCATTTGTGCCACAAACAGGGTCCAATGTACCAGTTGGCTTGCATGGTGTTACTAAACTCAATTGCGATAGTACAGTAAAAACGAAAATGAAATAATAAATTTTGTTCATGGTGAGGAAATTTTCGAAGTTTGCTGTGTGGTTTGTCTATTATCACACGACTCTCTTCGCAACCGTAGAACTTGTGACAACCTACATAAATATGTACATACGTATATTTTATCTAGACACACATAGCATTAGCATAGGAGTAGATTTACTATACCACGCCATAGATTATTATTTATCATTTGACCATGAGAAGAATTAAGTAGCACTTGATTATTCTCTGAAAAGTACATCATACTCGGTTTAGTAGAATTAACATAAAGCGAATGACGCAAAACGTCCTGTATAACCTGTCTCAAATTCTTACTATTCCTACACGCCAGAAAAACATACATACTTGCTCCGAATTGCTGTCGCTGTGCATGCGATGCTTTTTACCAGCTTCACAAATTTTACCTAATTTGATCCGTGCTGACTAGCATGTCATTTTTAGCTTAAATAATTGAACATTATACAACCAAGCAATGTAGAAATTCAAGTTGTCTTTATGTCACACATTAAAATTCAATGAATGATAAAATTATAATGATAAAATTATCGCTTATTTTTATACATTTTTTAAACAATTTTTAAACGTTGAATGAATCACGAAAATGGTTTTAGTTTTTATCCGCTTCCGTACAAGGTGTTTTACCATCACATTCTCCTGTGTGACAAACCTTGATATTCAACTCTAAAAAAATGAAATAAGCATGTTTGGAAATTTTCAACAACGCTGTTTAGCTAATTATTTAAGTATATTCACCTGGATTGCTCCAATTTGCACACAACAGGTGCCCCATGTTCATGTAAGTCTGTCCATTATTCCCGCAAACAGGATTGTTGGCGTTTGTTGGTCGACAAGCTGTCCCCATGTTTAATATTAGACAAAATGCCGCAAAAGACAATAAAAGACACTGGAGTTTAGCCATTTCTAAATGAAGTTGATGGACTAAATAAGTGTATTTGCGTATTTGGCTGTTGAAGAGTTGGACCAAGTAACCTCAATGAACGAATAAGCCTATGGATAATCTTTACAGCTTCATGCAAGCTATGTATGTCGGTATCTCACAGCATTTTCTCTGTATTGCTAATTTGCTTACTTCTGCGTATACATGTATATGTATTAATGTGTGGTAAATACTGTGATCAAGTTCGTATTGGTTAGTGGAAAATGAGTATTTAATTTTCTAGCAACTCATCCTGTATGCCTGGTCGCAGAAACGATGTGCGTCATGCAGCCCTATGTTTGGTGGATTAATCTTAATGCAGCTATCATAAATCGCATAAGTTTGCATTCCTCTTAATAAAGTAATGATTAGCAGTGGCTGATTTTTTTACAACCAGCAATTTGTTATTTAAACACGGACACTGTGCAGCCTGCAACCTGCAATGCTATCACAGAAATATATATGGCATTTCGTAAATACGAAAGAAATTATTAATTTTGATTATTTCGAGTGATCATCATGCTACGTACTTAGCTGCAATAAATGTATACATTAATTATAGTCAAGGATGTAGAATGTATGGGTACTTCTTCTTATGCCTTCATTCATGATTGTCATGTTTACTCTTAATTTTAAGTAAGTTAATTGACAAATCAGAGAAAATAGTCGTGAAAGTCATGGCGAAAATTGCTAATGGACCATTCAGACACAGTTTCGTTATTACCAAGTAACAATTTCACCGTGAAGTCAAGTGAGGAGCATTGAACAACAGTATCACCAAATTAACAAGTTTACGCAAAATTCTCTACACTCAACAGTAAATTAGTGGTTTTTCTATGGCTCCAATCCGACTCAAGGCGAGTAGTGGAACATCTGCATCAATTTCACGGGATTATTTCAACCAGGGATTTCGTCTCCCTGATTGTGTCAGATTTTTCATAGTTGACAATAAGCACCCTTCTTGATCTCGCTACACACCTTCGCCACACCTTGACGACTTTTCTCTTGGTGGTCCGTAAATCAACATTCGTCTCGTATGCATCTCGCAAGCAGCTAAAATCGCTTAAAACTAATGAATTTTAATTAATGAAATCGTGGTATGATTTCTTGAGAGTGAGATGATTCAGGTATATCTAACCAGACCAGTTATGTCTCCACTTTTGCATACATACATACCTACCAATTGTACAGAAAACGCCTAGTTGACTCTAAAATGGAAGGCACGCAGGGGATTGTAAAAAGGCTCGACTTAGGTGAAACATGATTTGATACGGTGTATTGAAAGGATTTAGATTTAAATTGTAGACACGGCAATGAGAGATGTGAATCATTGTCCAGATCACTACTGACTTTTTTTATTGAAAGCAGAAGCATCATTTCACATTATGCTTGATTTATTGTCAAGATTACTGCAGTTTGCTGTTCCGATTTCCTTCTTCCCTCAACATGATAAGTATGTATATACGTACGGACATACATAAATGCCATATATTTATACTATGCATATATTCAATCCGGATTTTTGCACAAGAAAGTTATGTAACAAAATAAGCCATGCCTTAAAACCTTACGTAACATGCATAAGCTATTGCTGCCGTCTGATACGTATTTGTTATTGTTTGCATGAGATTTAAAAAACGGATGCATTGAGAGAGGAGTATTTAGTGTTGGTAGCATTGATAGAATATCGTCAGCATTTACAGAAATGTTTAAAAGAGATGGATGAGAAATCCAGTTTTCACTTGGGTTCACTTTCCATCCAAATGATCGGTAATTCATGAAAGTTCTATTTGTGAACTTAGTCACGGCTGTCTGTGGGGAACGAGCCAAGTCAACCCTGATTTTTCTACTGGTCTCAAAAGACCATCGCACTCATCGTCATATGCATGCGACCAAGGGCTCGCGACGACATCTGCAAAGCTCACAATTAGACAAATCTGGGACAATGGCCGAAAAAAGTTTCGAAAATTGGAACCGTGACCGTCATGCCGAAATTTTCCTAGTTCTGTCTCAGCTACATCACCAGGCAGGCCAAGGGTCGGGGTACCCTGTGCCATTTGCTTATAGCTGATTTTTATTCATATTTATTCGAGTAGACACCACACCACCAGGCAGTCGGAGAGCCAGGGATTGGTTAGACTCTAAATCTGAGGAATGAATGGGGGGATGGCTTCGAACATGCATATGTATCTACATGCAGCCCAACCAAAGGTCCTTATTTAGCTGGGAATTTGATAGTGAGTACTTTAAGGCCAACAAACAAGGCTCCCAGATTTCAGCTTCTGCTTCATATTGTTCGCAAAGCTAATAATTAGCTACGCTCAGCCTGTAACTCGGGTTCAGCTTGTCAATAGAATAAATTTCAGCTACTGAGATTTTAGTTGGTTCGTTAGTATGAATGACCACGACATCACATCAATTTATTTATTCCTTGCGAATCATCATCAGCAAATGAAAGCCCAGTGGCCCTGCTATTCCCTTTCTCCAAAACTCATAAATTAGACGAACGAACGAACCACCCCGAATTTCTGGATCCACCTATGATTTCATGCTGTTCTATCCGCTATTTATAATAGATTATCTTTTATGAGGGGCGAAAAAACTGCTGTTGGTTGTTCCACCGCTTTTGCATGTAGACGAGTGTGTGATCCACGATTACCTATTGTTTGATAAGGAGAAATAACTGATTGGGGAATTGAGTATTTTTTTAGTATTTTGTGTTGGTCGTTAGTTTTCTAGCGTTTTGACTTTTCCAGAGTTATGTTTGATTTAAATATCTGTAATTAACTAATTTTATAACTACTGAGTATTTTTTGTCAAAAATACGAATTTAAGGTTAATCACAGAAGATTCTAATAATTGTAACGTGTATAAATATTCTATTTAGCTTGATGGATGCATTTGTAAATAAGTACGGCTACAGAAAATGTACTTCCTGAAAAGCATCATATTCGTCGGACTGCTTGAGCCTTGAGTTCGTGGAGCCAAAGTGTCTGACGGGACCTTCCACTTTTTACTGCCTTTTTTATGCACTCCACATGAATATATTCGTGCGTAAAATAAAGTTCTCCGTAATTAGCTTTGCATGCTTCACAAGCTGAATGTCATTTCAAGTGCTTGCTCAACAACGATGCTTGCATTCTTCAAGACAATATCGTCAGATCGTCAACAAATCTGACTTTTGGCTGGGTAATAAAATTTTATTCGGTTTGCATGAAGCACAAGCACGATAACTAAAATTATTTTCAAGCGTAGGGTGGATGGCAAAAATATTGCAGGTGCAAAATAAGCTTGATTTGATGACCAAGAAACTCATTCAAAGGATCCCAAGGGAGAGAGCACAGGTGATTGGAATTATTCTGTAAATTCAATAACTTGCCCCTCTCGACACACACAGCCTTCGTTTTTATTAGTACACAATACAGTCTTGAGAACGATATTCTCAAAGGATTCCTCGAGTCAAGAGGTACATATTTCTGACCCTTGAAGAGTACAATTGTCGTATTATTTTCAATTTTTCAATGTAATTTGCAACAATGGAGAAAAATGTTTAAACGCATGTATGCAAGTGTTTCTCTATAAATTGTTTTCTTGCCTCTATTGCTCATACTGCATTCTCCAATTACATAAGCAGCGGTGTTGCTCGATGAATACATGGGAGTTAAATCAGCAAAGCTATAATAATCATAATATACTCCACGCTGATTTCATTTCCTGTCAAACACAGAAAGCAATTTACGCTTGACACTTAACAAAACGACGAGCGACGGGACGTCATTTAACTTTCGGGTTTTGCTAACTAAGCAATTCTTGTCAACCTGATGGTACACATGGAATTAACCATTCGTCCACATATCCACTCGTCCAACAAGAGTTTGCGACTTTGCAATTACAATTATGTAAGTGTGTAGAACGATCGTTTACAGATTTACCCTGAGGATTGAAATAAAAACGATGTTTTTACAACACCAAAGGAATTTAAGCTAAACTGTTTATGTTTTGTACAGTTTCTGAAGAAGCGTACGTTTATCGATTTCTCGATTCTGATTGTGCACGAATTTCATACTTACTTGATTTTCAGGGTATAATACCGCATGTTATTCAGTGTCTGTTGCATATGCTTATGTATTTATATATGTACGTACGTACACCACGTTTTACTGACTAGTGACTACCATTGATAAAGGAATTGGTTTAACGTGTTGTTTGCAGTAATAAGAGGAGTTCCGAGTTGGAATGATGTAGGTATGTTGAGCCCCTGGAGTGCAAAAGTTGACCCAATGTGACCCATCTAACACCACAACGCGCTATATCACAGTCAGCCTTTGACTGACCTCAAAGAATTGCCGACGTTTTTTACCTCTGGATCTAAATAAGATGAGTGAAGGGTGGCCTGACCAGGGGTCCAAATTCATTTTCATTTCCCTCACTCGCACATTTTCTACCCTTACGACGAGGAGCACAACTCGTAAATACGTGCATAAACACGCACATACTTATTTAACGCATATATGAACTTGCAGCAGCAATCTCCAGACCTCTAGCATTCATTTTTCGGTCATAACTATTTGCAATCGTTTTTAATCTGCTATATAACAATACAAACATATAATTTCCAGCAATTAATTATCGATAAAAGTTTGACTTTTTAACAGGAAAATGTAAAATATCTAAAATTCATGTCGAAGAGAAACTATCCAACGTCCCGTGTTAAAAAAGAAACACGATCTGGATTTTTTGTGTCCATTTACTACTTAATTGTGTAAACAAGTAGTTATCCGTTATGTCAGAACAGGTAGACGGGACGGCAGACAGGTAAATCTTTCCAAGAGAAGGAGAGCTACTTCTTCGTTTGCCGGTGCTCAAAAGACGAGAATATAATCCCGTCCACTTAAACTTTACATGAATTTAAATTCAAAAGGATTACGAAGAAGAAACATCTACATACATGCTCAGAAAGGGAAACTAATCTCACAAATACTTAATAACTCAAGCGTAAAGATTTACATTGTAAAATTTACCCTAAACACCAAAACAACTTGTTACCTTTCTCCTCTCACACGAACGTATGTGGAAAATGATGCTCACTTGCGATTTTATCATTTTTTCTCACTTCATTACATATTTCCGAGAGATGCTATCGCTGAACGTGTAAGCCCCAGGGACATCATTTAATCTATCAGTTCTAATAAAGACTTTATTTACACATGCATAAGCCCGATCTACGTATTGAGCACGCCTGTGTGCATGTATCCAGACACATGTGTGGTTTCTATTATTGCTTATCTCGATGAACAGTAATTCTATTTCAACCAACCATGATTGAGGAACACCTGAGTTGATCATGGGATGACAGGTGTTGGTTGTTCCTTGATCTAATGACAGCATTAAGATTTTATGTAGTCAACGTGTTTATATGAACCCCATTCTAGTCCCTTTAAACAAGTAAGGAATAATTTCTCTTTATGTAATGATAAATTTTATTGGCAGGAAATTTAATTGTAATGTGTGCATCATGCTAGTGTGAATTTGCGTCACTATTTAATAACCCAATTAATTAATGAGTATGTACCACATACATAAAAACCTTTGGATACATGTGACCTGAACATGCTTATTTGTGCCCGTGTACCTTTACTCCTGTGTTTTTAAATCGTAGGAAGGCCTGTATATGGAAATGTAAAACCCGGAACCCAGAAAAATGAGAGATGACCAAAATTCATCATTCCCAGAATAGCAGTGACGGTCATAAATTACTGGTCCACATTTAGCTGAGCTGAAGGTGATAAATATCATCGTTTCACATCACACATTCTGATGACGGAATGAAGTATGAGGTGTTAAAGAGTTTAAATGAATGCTGAGAATGTTGGTTTGGCTGGCATTCTTCGGAGAATGGAATATTTCTCTTGTGTGTGAATGCAAGCAGGGCTGAGAAACGGCGAGGTCTTAGGTGGGCCCATGATCGTCTGATGAACGACAAAGGAAAGATCCTTAAAATTTGGGCTGTTTGCAAGTGGTCCCATTGTGTGTGTATGAATCCTCTGTTGGAGGTCTCATGTAAGACATACCGCCACAGCCACCAACAAAACACCGAACCCCACAAACTACACAATTGTTCCTACATATGCAATGTTAAATGTTGCGTAATCATATTGAAAATTGAGAATTATAAAAACACCTCCCTATTTCTTTGACTCTGTTGTGCCAGATTATTTTTATGGGAAATATTCCCCTCACCAATGGCTCAAAAACAGCTTAAAGTTCTCATCCGATTTATGAATCATTTGATCCGAATTTTCTCAATATCACTAATTTTACTCTCTGTAATCCTAAGAAAATCTGAGTTGAATATGATTCAAGCTGGCATTCGATTTCTAAATTGCTAAAGGATATTTTACCAGTTTAAAATACTGATGTATGTGGTGGACCTAACATTTAAGAAATAAAAGTCAAAATAGAGCGTGTCGGCTGTCTGAAATAATTCGACAACATTCAATAGTAGAAGACACTCTTGGGGGGCCTTTAAGCCTTTTCATTCGACTGTCCATTTCTTTGATATTATTAGGACGTAAACTGTGCAATAATGCCACACTACTCGAATTGTTACAAAATGACATTGTGGATTTCGACCAACAATCCCATTCTTCGAATCTAATCAATCGCACCACCATTCACTTACATGAGTTAAAAAATTCAATGTAGTCACTAAAACATGTTCTAATGCAAATGAGCTAGAGGATACATATGTACACATACATATCGACATGTATAATATGACAGACATTTTTGTGTGATTTGAATAAGACAGATTTGATGTACAATTTAATGTGCTACTCATAAGTTTGTGTACAAAATATTGAAATTAATCATGTTTATTAACGGTGTGCACAGTCTCAAGATGAGCAGCATTTGAACTTGTAGATTCCTGGATTGCACTGACTATAGTCGTGCACCAAAGCACCTGGGATGCAATTCTTTCCACAATTAGTCCACCAACAGCTTCCCCCAGAAGTGGATGTTGGGGGTGCTTGATAAATACATAATAAAAATACTTCTTCAATCAATATTTCAGATAAATTTAATTATATAAATTTACATCTTGTAGTCGATGGAAAATTTGTAGTCGCCATCGTTGTCTTTGTCGTAGTTGTGGATGAATTCCAAAATCTTCCAAACAAGCTCAAAGCATTCGTACCATCAAGACAGCTCCCGCACATTAAAATTACAACAATGATAATCACAAGTTTATTAGCACACATTTTCTAATGCTTGCCTGGTCAAAAATTGAAGTTGCAACAGTGAATAGATAAAAGTCAATGTGCATACTTTGTATAAAGTATGTATTTCTACGGAGTTCTATTTTCTCACTGTCCTAGGGATTTACAGATGTGCAATATTTGCGAACGATGGTGGATAGAGACCATGCGATGATGCATACTTGCACAATTATGCATTATGCTATTATTTGCATGCGAGTCCAGGAACTTGGAATGAATTAAGCAGAGGTTATTCTGGTCATGGTCATTGGATTTCATTAACATGACGCATCAGTATTTCTAGCGAATGGAACTTGAATCATGAGCATCCTGAGGATTGGCATGTTTCTTGTGTACGAACCAGTGTAATAATTTCGAGGTAGTCATTTGGTGATACATTACAAAGTATGTAAGAAATCAATTTTAATTTTGTCGCATATCTGACCAAACATCGCATTTCATCACTTGATTCATGTTTATGGCTTGAAGAAATGGTGGAAGAAGAAACTGGAGTATTGGATGTAAAGTTGCCGCTTGTCAGCACTTTTATTTGTTGTCGAAACCATTTTGTTTGTCCACTTTGTAAATCAGAGGTAAAGCTGACCACCACACGGGCAAAACTGGTCATAGTGATGACATAAAGGCTGATATATAGATCCTTTTCTCTCGTCGGGTGACTGTTTAGACGTTTTGAATGCATAATAAACCACTTCCTCATTCAGATCTCTGGAATTTTGCGTATTTGTAAAACACAATAAAGTATTGCGCGTGCCGCAAAAGCAGAAAGTAAAATATGTGACTGATCAGATTTTAAATACTTAAAATGCAAAAAGTTAATGTTTTTGTCATCATCTGTATATTAATTTAATGCTAATAAATGTCCTCAGAACAGAATCCATGAATTATTCTTAAAATAATTTAATGCATCTTATTAGTAATTCTAATTCTTCGCAATAATTGATGTTCTGCATTGTTACGAAACGCCTCGGAGGTCAAACGAAACCTCAAATGTCAACAACAATTACAACCCCCAAAATAGGGGGAAGAATGAGATCGGCACTTTGAGTGAGCAGGGAGGTCTTCTCGTCCCTTCATACATATTCCGTCGTCCCTCTGCTCATCAAGAGCCCCGCTTTGAATACGAATAAAAGGTCGCATTATTATCATTATGCATTGCATAAAAGCTAAATATTTCTTTAACTAAAGAAGAAATGTGACTTTTACACTCATTCTTTCCAATTCCGAAAGTCAACTATTTATTTCCGTACACCCATGATGTTGGTGAACGACGCCCAGTTTGCTAGTAGGTCGTGTATGTATGTGCATATGCCGTTCGGATTGATTTAACTGGGCCCTTTAAGTGAGATGGAGTTTTAGTATTCACGATTTCATTGGCAGTTTCACCAAAGTTTCCTATTTGGACGGACTGGGTGAGAGGAGAGGTGTCATGTGATGGGTGCAACCAACAGTCAACCAAATTTGTTTTGAACTGATTGTATTGATGGCAGACTTTTTCTTTTGCAAAATGAAGTCAAGCTTTTATGAGTTGTTCGAGCGAGAGCTATTTGTATTCACCGAAAGGATGCTCAATTGCCTTCAAAGTGTATGCGATAAGACCACCGACCATGGCACCGACTCAGCAATGAAACCGATATGGTAAACTTCCCCACGGCTTTTGTGCCAGATGAATATTTCAATTTGAAAAGGCTTTTCACTCCATACAGCAGTTTGGTTAGACGATACAAGAAAACCAATGCATATTCACCACCAACCAACAATGAAACTCAATAGCCTGCTAATGTTCGACATTATTACACCATGTACGGCATGACAAGAAGTGGGGTGAACAACATGGGAAGACCTTTGTGTAAAAGAAAGAGATGAATCAAAATCATTGGTTTTCGACCGGCCGACGACGACGACGTGTACATTTAAAAGTCTATACAAAATTGACGAGACGTGGCATGTTTCGTCTTCCGTGTGTGTAGTCGTCTTCATGGCGTTTACGTCAAACACGAGTAGTAATAAATTTGAATAACGGGTCTCTGTTTTCGAAATTGCGAAGTCAAATGAATATTTGTCTCAGAATTTGTTTGTCAGTCTAATTGGTTTGCATTCAAAGGATGAATGCAACCATTAATTAACCTCGTACAGCAGTAGACAAACGGCTCATTGCAGAATGCTCCCTCAATGAATGCTCATTCAATTGATATATTCCTCACTTTAATCAATGTCAGATTTCTGTTTTTACAACAAAATTCTTTCCTCTTCAAAATGAATGAGTGCCTAAAGAAAAGACTATGGGGAAGTACACTAAAGTGCATAGTATAGAATATGTATCCATATAGCATTAAATGTTAAATTGTGTTAATGGCTGGTTAACAAATAGGCGGTTTAGAGAAAACGTGAATTAACATCCACAGGTTTTCATGATCGCGCATATCATTACTTTTAAAATTGGAAGGGATGAGATTAAGTGTGGTCTTCCTTTGTTTCAATAATTCGTGTTTAAGATGACGGCCAAGCCAATTAAGAAAAAGACACCGCGACACGTACATGATTTTCTAGTACATAAAATTTAAAAAAAAAACATATGACCACATTGTTGCCTTGATTTTGTATCATTTAGATTAGCAGTTACATATGTACATGTTGTTTTTGTAAATACGAATAAGATTAAAGTAAACTATGATTACGTCTCAGCCAGCTACACATCATGGACATTGTCATGTGTATGTATATGCATGCTTTATGTCTAAAACCCCATTTTTTCTGGTGTACATGTTACTATTGTTAATCGCAGAGAAGGACAGATTTTGAAATAATAGAGATCTGCCGTGTGGCTGAGAAATTATTCTCCAAAGTTTTCCGCTCTTCATATTATGTGTCGTCCCTCTGAATGCAATAAATCAGTGTATTATGTCCCCTTATTAGGGAGGCCGCGACACAATCTCAAGAAACAGAGATGACGAGACTATAAGACGACGACGACGAGGTGTGAGGTTGGATTGGATCACCGTCAGCAAACCACTAACTCCTTCTCATTCTCTTATGAACGCATGTACAAATCTACCTCAGCTCTTTTTTTGATTTATTGCCACCGCTGTAAATCAACCTTCGTGATCTTCTGCGATCTTCCTTCATTTATTTCGTTTCATCTGATCTCGCAAACTGAAGTCCGTGGAAAAATTTTCTTTCTTGTTGGCCATCAAATTCCTCCATCAACATGACATCGTTCCCATGAAATGAATCAAAAGATTCTGTTAATGTTAATGTGCATTGTCTGATCTCGATCGGACTGTTGAACTCGTGGTGGTGTTGGTGGGGGTGAAATTCCTTGACTTGATGAGCAACTGTGACCCACCAACTCTGTGTACCCTTTGTCTACCCGTTGACATGAGCCACAACCGGGGGCCTGGAGCTCAGCAGCACAATTTCTTTCTAAATACTTACCACCACCTCCACCTTCTCCCAATTCAAACACTTTCTTGAAATTGAAAGCAGGCTTTCCCAATTGTTTTGTACGGCTGGCCACCACAATCACATGTCCGATCCTGTTCCCCCCAGATTCATTCACACCTGTTGCGTACACCGACCGACCGAAGATCTATCCGCGGCTGGACTCTGCTTTCATGTTTAAATACCTACAACTGAACCTTCTTCCATTTGTATGTATCTCATCGTCTGATTTAATATCATATAGGATTCCTTCGGAAACCTCGAGCTACTCAAAAACGACATAAATTACCTGGCCAGGAAAAGGTTGCCGTGCGATCGTTTAGTGAGGGAAGTGTGCATAGTTAGTTAATGTTTAATTCAAACCCAAGGATTCATTTCAAAGAATTCATTCTCAAGTTGAAGTCAACTTCCTCAAAAATCTTCTGTTACACGAAACTTGTTGTCGTCGACTGATTTATAGCCTTTTAATATCTTTGATTCTGGAAATGGAACTTGAAGTGTGGTGCGGCCCGCACAGCTTGGTGGTTGTAATATTATAGTCGTGTCAAGAAGGAATGGGTGTGAGAAACGTGCTTTTTGCATCTGAATGCCACTTTGAATTTGTCGCGTCAAATTAAATAATTTGAGAAAGTACTGGGCACGCATGAAATCTTAATGGTGATTAGACGAATAAGGTCTTGGTTCATTATGTTCTGCAGCCTATTTCGTAGGATGATGCATAAAAGATGCCCATTTCGGAATGTTTACGTCCGAGTGACATGTAGACCAAAGGAAGAGAATTACCGTATATTTCATAACACACAACAGTTTAAATAATAATAATTTAAATCTACTTGCTTTTTATGTATCGCTATCTCAAAAGATCTAATGAAGTGTTACAGATTTCTCATGTCACTCAGTTGAATTCATGTCACAGAGATGCATTCATTTTGACAATGATTGGAACAAAGATTTGAACTAGAGAGGACTAAAAATTAATTGCGATATTCAAATGCATATTGGGAGCAAATAAATATATACTTCTGTCAATGATTACGCTACTAAATATAAAACCATGTAATAAACAAATAATATATTTGCATATCAATCAAAATTATTAAGCAAAGACTAATCAAAGTTGAAAACGTCTTGAAAATTACCAAATATTACTGGTGCTATACACGATCGTTGCGTTACATACAAGTTTATGGATGATCTAGTTCACCACGAACTATTTGAATTAATGTATAAATGTAATTGTAGGGCAGTACTACACTGTGCGCCTAATTTTATCTCGTCAGGATTAGAAGACAGTGTAAAAATATTCAATATTTTCTAACGAATAGGATTCGTAGGTCGGTAATAATCGGATAGAAAATTGCCCATCTTAAGTATAACATCGACACGTCAACATACATAAGCACACAGAGGATAAGCTACAAATTGGAGAAAAGAACAAATGTTGTACTCTCGTTCTGTGTAAACACAGTTTTGGTCCAATGCAACGCCGTGCAGTGTTGCTAACAGCTAAAACTAATAAATCCCTTTTAATTAAGCGAGGAAAACAGCCCAAGCAGAGCTTAAACGGTTTGTGGCAAAGCCAAGTGAAACCAGTTTTTCACTTTGGAAGGCGGTCTCAACGGCAAAGGGTGTCAAAATCGCATCAGAAAACTCCACCCTTTTCTCCTTATTTAACTTTTCATATCGTCGTCGTCTCCCTTTCTCCCTCAGAGGAACACGATTAACGAAGGGATGTAAGAATTGCGATTTCATGATGTAGCCAAACATTACAACTTGTTATGAATCAAACATTCGTGATCATAGACTTTTGAGTCCGAGAGTCGACACTTATTTTTATTTATTATGCTTCTCTGCGTAAGTTGTAGCATTTAGTCTACAGTTTTCATCCGACAACTTTATATATAGATTAACTCGTCACAACTATCGATCCTTATCACTGGACAGAGTGCTATTGTTCATCGTTTAAAGAGGAGAACAAACTTTTTTGATTCGCAATTAAAAGAAAGGCAGATTTTATCACAACATTAGAGTTTCAAGAATTGAATTGAATCGAGTCTTACGATCTTCTCATGAAATCAACGACAACAATTCCATCAATTCCACTTGGATGAACTGTACACAATTGCTGACCAAGCAAAAGTACGGAGTGGCTGCGTTCCTTGGCGTTTGTGATGGAATATATGCAAGTACGTGCCTGCATATGTAGCGTCTTGTTGAGAAGATCTTGACTTGAGAGTTGTATCATCCTTGGTTAGAGAGTGAGAGAGAGAGAGTGAGGTAAAGAGAGAGACCTCCCTAAAGGCACCCATTCCTTGGACAGTAGGGAACCTGACCCTACATACAGATCATCAACAATTGTTGTCCGTGATTGTATAAAACCAACGTGTAAAAAGTGCCTGCAGTTCATTCCAGTCTACTTCGGCCCTCCAGACCGCTTGTCGCCCACTCCAGTGATCCGTGGGACTTTATTAGTTAATTCCATCTCACATATCGCCAACAGTGCTTTTACACATTTCTTGACCATTGTTGTAATTGTTGTTTGTTGGTGTTGCAAATTAAAGGAACGGAGAATCGTCTCAAGTACGTGGAAGGTGTAAAATTAAAAGAAGATAAATTACACCAACCAAATTAACGTGTCGTCTATTAATTTCTCATACCCGTGCCTTGTGCATAATTCTCAAGTGTGTGCTGCTCACCTTCTCTCATTCTAATCTTGAAGTTTATAATAGAAATTTTTATGATTGACTTTTATGAACTATTGCGTTCACTGGAGTTAATGGAAGTAGAAAATTTGTGCCAATAAGCTGTAAGGACGACAGAAAATTATAATCACTGCAATTAAATTGTGTTGTTGCCAACAAATTACTGTGCCATCGTGTGCAATCGTGCCTTAAAAAATTTGTGAAAATGATGGCTGTATCCAGCTCGCTCAATATCCGTCCAATATTTTCAACCGGTTATCCTTTCCAAGGTAAGAAAAAAAGAATAAATAAATCTCAAAGACAATAGTTGTGGAAATATTGGGACAATAAATTGTTTTAAAACAAGTCAACCCGCAATGTCCGTCTCAACTAATTCAAAGAAAAAAAAGACTTTAAAAATCTCAATTTCCCCAGCTTGCAACTATATTTTTTATATGTACAAAGTGTAACTAATGTATAAAAAATCATTATCACCTTTGAGACATCTCATAGCATACCATGCTTTATTTATGGTTATTATAAATAACTGCGAATCCTTAGGTCAAGGAAGGGTGAACCAACTGGGTGGCGTGTTTATAAACGGTCGTCCACTCCCCAACCACATTCGTCTCAAGATTGTGGAAATGGTAATACAAAAATATTTTGGCGCTGTGTAAAGATGCAATTGCAATAAAATGATGTCCATGCAGGCGGCGGCGGGTGTGAGACCTTGTGTAATTTCTCGACAGCTTCGAGTCTCTCATGGGTGCGTGTCCAAGATATTGAACCGATATCAGGAGACGGGGAGCATTCGACCAGGTTGGTAACGACTTCATTTATTTATTTTACTAGAAAAAGTCCACAGTAAAAATACGTGAAGCCTGAAAGATTGATATTAGTCATTTGTTTCATCACCGGGTGTAATTAGTATCATGTTTGACCCAATTAGAATTTTTCTATAAGCAAGTAAATCACAAATAATTGGAATGATTTATATTTTGCAATGTTAATGACTATATTCAATTCTTCATCAGGTAGACCTTTTTAATTATCGGGTAAAATGACAGTTTGTGACCTCAAATTCAACAAGTGGTGGTCTGTTTTCTTTCGCCATTAGCCAGAAACGCTATAAAAATTATCAATCCATTGCTAAATTAGCCTCTGACAGTTGTTGCAATACTTAATTTGCCGAAAACTTCCAGTGATTTGCACTGAAATTCTGTTATTGTGAAGTGCACTTCTAGGTAGTATACGCCTTTTTCATGTACAAATCCTTCAAAAAATAAACTAATGCACATCATTAAAGTAATTTCAGTATTTATAAATAATTAAAATGCATGCTAATAATTAGAACATATGTGTTAACCAATGTTTTAACCTTTGATTTATTAATTTGTTTCAGGAGTGATCGGAGGGAGCAAACCACGCGTCGCAACCCCAGAGGTGGAGACTAGAGTAGAAGCGTACAAAAGCGATAACCCTGCTATATTTTCCTGGGAAATTCGCGATCGCTTGATCAAAGTAGGCTCCGGCTAAACTTGGAGTTCCTCTCTCTTTCTCACCTCCTTTCTGGCATTTGGAATCTTTCAAACCGCCTCAACATTTCACAATATGTACATTTCTCCATAAATCTGTAGTTAACACACTCGTTGCTTCATTCGTTGCTCGCTTATCTTTTGTCTAATTAACAATTTGCATGAGACGTGTAGAAGCCTACAAAAACTTAAAATCTCAACTTGCCCCACTTGACTTTCACTTGGCTGTACAAATATTGATTTCCTTTTCCAATGTGAATTCTGAGAGATATTGCCAATAATCTGAGAAGCTTGTTTAAACCTTTTTAACATTTATCTGAGTGATACGATCTTAAACATGATAACCTTGTTTTCCATTCAGGACGGCATTTGTGACAGAAGTTCAGCCCCTTCCGTTAGCTCAATCAGCCGTGTTTTACGAGGTAGTGGTGGAGCAACCTACATGAAGAAAGAAGACATTTATGACTACAAGAATCAAAAGGACCACAGCATCTCCAACATACTTGGAGGTAACCTGATCCTTCCGAGACTATTTTATTCCTCAAATCTTATCTAAACATCCTGGTCCGGTCAACTGTGCTAATCTGAACTGAATGAAAGTTGACTTAGAAAATCAGAAATTTTTATGTCAGACCAAAAAATAAGCTTCCCAAGAGTAGGAATAATACATAAAAGAAAGTGGTAACTTTCCTCTGATCTGATCTGATTTAATCAACTTTATAAGCTTCAAAGAGTAAGAAGTTAGATCCTGGGATAATAAAGCGGAAATGTAAGCAGACTGTACTGATTTGGCTCTCAGGAGGGAAAAGGCAATAGAATGAGCAAACTATGGCGATCATCTTTGGGTCAAAATCCACAAGGAGATAAAAATTGTTGGGTGTAGATGTAGAAATTTATTTGAGCCTTCAATACCATGAATGACATAATAGAAAACTCCTTCTTTTTATGCGTCGTCCTCTCACACATCCAGGCGGCTTATTGGATTCACAAAACAAGTGTCCAGTTTATTTTTAGGATAAAAAAGATCAGCCCTTCATTTGTCATCTTTGTTGTCCATTTCAACACAGGTTGTACCGAACAACAGAATACCTTTCAAGCAAAAATATTTTTTATATGCATACAGAGCTAAAAATATTGTACTTTAAAATTGTCTGGATTTCATGTGCATACTTTGAATTTTAGTTTTTTAGATAAAAATGAAACATTTTGTAATGTACTTAAAATGCTTCTGGTTTTGGTGCACTTTTGCTAAAATTGCTGTGATATTCTTTGACTAGGAGACTTATCCGGTTCCATGGACGATTCTGATACTGAAAGCGAGCCAGGAATTCCTCTAAAGAGAAAACAACGTCGAAGTCGCACAACTTTCACCACCGAGCAACTTGAGGAACTTGAGAAATCCTTCGAGAGGACCCAATATCCAGATGCAAGTGGTTTTGTACAATCATAAATTGAAATGGACACCCTACTTTTGACCTATGCCATACGTAGCATCGCTACTCTCAAACATTCATTTGACTAATTTTTAACAATAATTTCCTTAGGTTTATACCAGAGAGGAGCTCGCACAGCGCACCAAGTTGACCGAAGCCCGTGTCCAAGTTTGGTTCAGCAACAGACGAGCCCGATGGCGCAAACAGATGGGCAACTCGTCGTCAGGAAGTTCTCATCACCATCACCACCACCCCTCCAACTCGGGCTACAGTCCTCTTCCCCTCCCGTATCCCCCCGCAGCAGTCGCAGTGGCAGCCGCAGTAGCAGCTTCCGCTTCGTCCAGCGCATCCAGTGGGTCTGGTTCTTCACCGTTGGGCGGAGGTCACGGGTCAGCCGTGAGTTATGGAGGAGGCGGAAATTACAATAACCACGAAAATATTCAATCTTCAAATGCATCATCTTGTCATCCAAATTCTCAAACGGCTCATTGGGCGAACGGAGGAAGATCCTCACATCTCCTTCCTCAGAATCACTTTGGGTCTTCAGAGTCGCAGGTAGGTAGTCTAAACACACCTCGTCTAAATTACTTACCTGCATACACATTGCTACACAAGGTATTTGAATACATCATACAAGTGGGCACCACCATTTGTGTAATGGTGCGATCTGAAAGCAGTTCCGCCGTTCTCATGCTTCAATCCTTCCTTTTGTCACCTCTCCGTCTCCTTTTGACTTTTGACTCGGAGAGCTGGACTCTACAGAATCGACGGGTTTCTATTCACATGGAAAATAATGGAATGGTTACTCTCCAAAGATTTGATGACAGCTTAGGATACACGAATTACAGAGACAGAATAGGCCTTTGGGGCCCTCCCAAAAACATTAGGAAACAATCATTACCTGCCAGCTCCTCGGCCACCCAGTAAACAGTTGACACAATAACATTTTTGTTATTGATGATTATTGAACCTGCAATTTTAAGGGAATTTTTGGGTAGTGCAACCAGGAGCAACTTTTCATTGAATTGGGTTCTGCATGTTGGTATCAGTATAGGCATCAGTAATCATCATCAGCATGTGTGTGTGTGTACGTACATGTGAATTTTTTTTCTCATGTGAGACTGAAATGTGATTTATTTTCTAGATGATGAGTTTCTTGTCAGGAAATTCGTCAAATATGTCCGAATTTGGGGGACATGGGACATCCACCAACTCGCATTCCACATCTGGAGGAAACAACAACAACGGTGGCAATGGAGGCGGGGCGGAGAGTTGGCCAACTACTTGGAACACTTCCCATCAATTCACCTCTGACAATTACACCAGGTAGGTCTCTCGCTTCTCTTGAAAACCATAATAACAATCATTACAACATTCACGCAGCTCACACTCGGCTTCTGCTTCCAAGTCTCTCTTTTTCTTCCCTTCCTTCATAAACTTCCTTCTCAATTCATTCAATCGCATCTCTTCTCTTCTCTTCCTTTGGCTGGTGGCTCCTTTAAAGTTCTGCCAACCATGGCGTATTACCTCTGCTTTTTACTCCTAATAACTGTCACCCAACGGCTCTTTCGCTTGCAACATCATGTTCGTGGACATTATGTTGATGATGAACTCAAAGGAAGAGCTAACCAATGAATAGTTTGTAAATCCGTGGTTTATAGTTTATGCTTAGCTCAACTGAATCCTAATGGCATTACAGAAAAATATTGTATTCTATTCACAAGTTGAACACTTGCCAAGTCAACCTTTAATTTACTACTAATCCAGTTGCACATAGTTTTACAATTGCCTGCACTCATGTTACATATGGGGAAAGAGATTAAGAGTAAAGGACAGTTTTGACAGGGAATCTTTGCAAGGCAACTTTAATCCACTACTGCGAGTCCGTATACGATTTGCTTCATGTACACGTCTCTTATGTGCATGTCAAATGAGGACTCTTGTTTTAAATGTTACTAAGATTTGGAGTTAATCCCTCCATACGAGTGGTCAATTTGTTCATGATAATATCATTTTAATTGCAGCATGATGGCCGCCAACATTTCCGCCAACAATGAAATGTTTGCTACATCCGTATTGCCTTATCATCACCATCATCATGGTCATCCTAACGGGCTCGCTCAATTTGGGTCATCTGCCACCAATATGTACAAAAACTATGCCGTCTCAAAGAATCCTCAGCCCATCGGTCTCTTTTAATGAAGTGCCATTGTATTTGTAAGATTTAAGAAAAGTGTCAATTATTTATGTATATTCATCAATTAAAGTATTAGTATTTTTCGATAGCAGAATTAGTCGTAATCCTTCCTGGATTTGTATCAACCGATAAATGATTTGGTATAGGATTCAACTGTAAAGAATAGTGGGAACTCACCAAGTATCACACTTTGTATTTTATTATATGTAGCGAAACGTTGAACCAGAATCGAGTGAATATATATCGAAACTAATAATAACTAGTGTTATAAACTAAAGTTGAGATTTTAATAACATAAAATGTTGTAAGTATTTCTAATATTATTAACATTTTCACTAGTGCCAAAATGTTTATCATAACGATAATGCGTCAACTCACAATGTTGACTGCTTGTTTCCTAATAAAGTATTAAAGCTGGTTTAGTGTAATCAGTGTATTTTTTCAGTACCTTGATATTATTTGGTATTATTTCCTTGAAAATATTTGTAGAATCATTGAGATACTTGAAAAACCATCATCATCAATTATTCCTAGTTTATGTCTAGCTTTATTTTGGGTGAAACCTCTCTCACCAACAATTGACAACAATTGCACCCATCCATCATTTGAGCCATTTTTAAGCAAGTTGACCATTTATTAATGATCTTTTGCTCAGCCAATGTGACTAGAATCACTCCAGCAATAATGGCACACAAGGACACCTTTCGACTGTTGTATCCAAGGTGCATGTCATGTAGGAGTACTTGTCTCTCATAAAGGAACGAGCCGTGATCTATCATAACGTGTCAAGTGTGTATTTATGTGCACAATGTTTTGGTGCGTCAATATGCATGACACATCAAATCTTGGATCTTAGCGTCTAGGATTTCTCACTTGTTTTCTTGTTTGCTGAGCAGGGTACAGAGCATTTGACTATTTGCTAATATCCGAGTCATCCAGTGAATTGATGGATAAGCCCTTACGTGACGTTTACACTTAAATATTGTTCAATTATGTAATGGGTTCGACACATTTTTAGCATCCACCCACATCTACCATTATGTCCATGTGACATGATTCTACCCATTCGTGCGACTATGAGCATTTTATTCTCGGAGAATTTAATTGTGACGTCTTGAAATTTAGTTAATTCTTTATTGCATAAGTATCACTTCATATGAGTCTGACTTTGATGAAATTTTAATGCGAGAATTAACCGTGTGGCAGAATTTTCAAAATGTTTTTTTTAGCCCAAACTGTAGATTTTTTCAAAAATCGACTTTCGCAATTTGGCGGGATTTTAGAAATTAGGAAAGATGTTTGGTTTATTGCCAAGTCTTTGAATTTTCATAGAAAACTGCAATGTTTAAATGCCCAGATATATATGTAGACACAGCACGAGCCAGTCGTTTTTCTCGTTATTGACTTGAGACTTGAAAATAAATCTTTATGGAGGAAAATATCGATAAATACACTCCTTAGATTTTTAATTAAATAATTAGGGCGATCAATCGATAACACTTTCTTAACTGTATTTTGAGAATTCTGTTGTAGTATATGTATGTTAGATAGCTGTATTTATATATGTTCCATAAGCAGTGTGCTATACTTTCCTAAGAAATCAAAGAGGAAAATGCACAAATGAGAATAGAATAAAAATAAATAATCATCAATCTTTTCTTATTATACTGAACGGTGTTAACCCAGAAGAAAAATTTCTGCTCAGGAAAACCATGCAAGGCTGAAATTAGACCGCATTCAACAACTCAACCACAACCAAAGGATGTGAGGAAAGAAAGGATGACGTGACAATCTCATTACATTCAAGAGAGACTGGATTCATCCAAAGTTCTGGATATCTCTACGTTATTACATGCATTGGAGTTAGGCGAATGTGGTTTCGTGGACACAACGCCAGCATTCGAAGCGTTTAGAAGTTTGCAAGTGCAAAATTCCTTCAGTTTCATCCAAACCAAGGAACAACCCGAGGTAAGCGCGTTCATCCAGCCACCCACGCACACCACACACAGTGAATCGGGCACCGATACGACGACGACAGAGCGATCATATCCGTCGAAATAAATACCACATTTCCGCTCTATCACTGCTGGACCAAGCTTTCAGTTCCAAACGTATCATCGTACTTTTGTCCATTCAGCATTATTTTTATTTTAAACTTTTATTCCATTGCATCCATTCCAGTTTCCAACCTAACAACGTGAGGTTTAATTTCTAGTGAAGTTAAATATAGGACACGGAAAAAATAATTTATTGTCACGCGTCCCAAAATTTTTAGGGGTTTGTCATAGCAATAGGGTGAAAGTTGTGAAAATAATTTTCTAAACATACTCGGACAGAAAAAGAGCGACAAAATAAATAGCTTGCCGCACAGACATCTCCACCAGACCCTGATTACCTAAGAAAAAGTGGGACAACTGAGATCAAGACTCAACATTTGAGGGTGAGTATAAATTATCTTCACTTCCAGTACAAACATGTAGGCTCATTGAGGAAATCTGATACATAATAAGTACCTCGTTCAGGAAAACTCGATTCTCATTGAGGAAACGAGCTCAACTTTTGGATACTTATTATTTTTTTGAGGTCATGACGAGTCAGAAAGCCAAGTGTGTACATAATGTGGGGTTGATTAATGCTGAAGGCTTATGCATCATCTTCTAGGGAAGGAACTCAAAATTGATCAGACCTTTAAATTGTCGCACATTTTAATTAGCAATTAATTGATTCACTCGCTTTTGCTGCATCGAGGAGTACGTGGTTTTCTTACTGCTACCCAAAATAGTAATAATTTTTGTATTCAACAAAACAAGTTTTGCTATAAGCATACCACAGTCAGTGAGTGAACAGTTGCGGCTTGCGAGAGGTCACAGTTTTTGCCATGTTGTATTGATATTGAGTGAACTAGCAGTTGGTCATAAACTATGATAAGATGTTACTCCAGCGTAACAAGGGCATTGTGTGGAAAATAAGAAATTTTGGTGGTGAATCGTAAGATTTCTGGAAATTTAGAGTCCTGGTCAGTGAGTGAGAGTGAGGATGAGTGAGAAATACTCAAAAGAAAATTTAAGTGTGAGGGACAGTGAGAAAAATGACATTTAGATCATGTTTTATTGAATAAATTAAAAATCATAAAGATCTCCGTGGAGGGTCAGGTGCTGTGCATGGTAATTAATTTAATATCCAAAAAAGTGCACACTAATCACGCAATACTTAGGATTTTGTCCAATATTACAGGGTCTTGCTAAAAATATGACGGGTTTACATTTTTGGGCAGTCACGATGCATGCACAGTCGTGTCTTCACTGTCGTGAGATATTTATTAGAAATATTTGAGTCGTGTAATGTCATATCCTTTCACTGGCAGAAAGAAAGTAGAGCTCGACAGCATGCCCTGCTCATCATCGTCACTTTCCTGGTGAAGGTTGACCCATTCTTTTCAAGCGAGAGTGATGACGGCTGTGTGCTGATGACTTAACAAACATGGTCTGAAAATAGAAATGAATTTTCACCAAATACCTTTCTCTCAATGTGGAGAATAAAATGAGAGCGAGTGGTGGCTGCTGATGGGTCGTAGGGGGAAGTTGGATGTGGACCGTCATTTCCAGACGCTGCTATCCCGCACAAAAGAATTCAATTGAGTTCAAGTGCCTTCCATTATTCCATTCCATCCGACGACGACGAATAAGGCGATGGAGCTTCGTGCAATAGATATTCAAAATTCCTCCACGTCCTTTCATTTCCTTCTTCGAATTCGTTCGCAAATTGAGTGATTTTCTCTTCCATTTCTTGAGCATATTGTGCAGAGGAGGGTATGTGCAAGAGGGTGAGCCGTTATTTGCCTCCAGTAACGAGCAAAGGGTGGGTGATGAGTGGGTTTAACAAGTGGGTGAAGAGTCAACTGCAGTACAAAGAGCACACATAACTCTGCTCTACTCGACTTTCTCTCTTAAGCTGTACAAACTTATGTGCATGCTTTCTTCCACGTCTGCCATGAGACGAGTTTGTGTTATGATATTGACAGCAATAGCATAAGTTAATTACCAAACGACGACACTATAATCATTTTGAATCCACGAATTAAAATTCCGCCTGCAATCTTGATTTAGATTATTCTGAGTTACGAGAGTATTCAAGCAGCTGAAAGATGAACGCCGACGAGTTTCGAGAGCAAGGGAAGAAAATGATCGACTACGTGGCGAAATACCTGGACACGATTGGGGATCGTCGAGTAACCCCAAATGTGGAACCTGGATACTTGAAGAGTCTCATTCCATTGGAGGCTCCTGAGATTGGGGAAAAGTTTGATGATATCATGGCCGACATTGAACCCAAAATCATGAATGGAATGGTACGTGACCGTTGAGACGTTACTTTCCGACCACAAATTATTATTATTGCATGTGTTTTTGGAAAATCAAACAGCCTTCTTTTCTTTCACGTTAACCAGGTTCATTGGCAACACCCCCGGTTTCACGCTTACTTTCCATCTGGAGCCTCGTAAGTAGTTGGAGCGTGCTTCCAAACTGACGAATAAAACTTACCTACATTAATCTGTTAATCTCACAGGTACCCATCCATCCTTGCTGACATCCTGGGTGACGTTTTGGGTGTCATTGGATTTTCATGGGTGAGTGGTTGCAGTAGTTTTATTCGCAAGCTCAATCAAATAATTAATTTCCGTCATTTTTAGGCTTCTGGACCGGCTTGCACGGAAATGGAGGGAATCGTTTTGGACTGGCTGGGTAAAATGATGGGCTTACCTGAAACTTTTCTGCAGAGCAATGAAAAAGGGTAAGGTTGGTTATAGGCGACAATACATTGGCGATTTAGTTAAGACTAAACATGTTTGTCATTCTAGAAATGGAGGTGGCTGCATTCAGGTTATTGAGAATTTTTGAATTACGGAATGTAATATTTTTCCATGATATCAATGAATCAGTTTTAATTGGTGTGTGCAGACGAGTGCAAGTGAATGTGTTTTGGTGTCCATCTTGGCCGCCCGTGCTCTTGCTATTCAAAAGCTGAAGAAACAGAGCCCCAACGCCGACGAAGGTGTCTTGCTTTCCAAGCTGATGGCTTACTGCTCCAAAGAAGGTACATATACAAATTAAAATTTGGACCCAGTAGAATTTACTTGCACACGTAATTTTTACACGAATTTACTGTTTAATTTATATTTTCAGCCCACTCTTGTTTGGAAAAGGGTTCCATGATTGCTTTCACCAAGTTGCGAATTCTTGATACGGACGAGAATTTCTGCCTTCGAGGAGAAACTGTGAAAAAGGTTTGAAAAAGATTTATTTTGACTATTTTTTGTAACACGTGCAGAAATTCAATTATATATGTATATATGCAATATCAGGCAATGGAGGAAGACATCAAAAACGGACTGGTCCCATTCTTCGTGTCCACCACAATTGGAACTACGTCCTGCTGCTCTGTGGACAACATCAAAGAAATTGGACCAATTTGCGAACAAAATGACGTTTGGCTTCATGTGCGTACATAAATATGGCTCGTTTTTTAATGAATAATTTAATATTTCTAGAACGGTAGACAAATATTACATAATCTTGCAGGTGGATGCTGCTTACGCTGGATGCGCGCAAATTTGCGATGAATTTCGTTGGATGTTCGAGGGAATTGAAGTAAGTGCAACAAAATTTCTGTACTTGGGAAATTGAAATTTTACTACTTTCTTGACATAGTACGCAATGTCGGTGAATACCAACCCGAATAAGTGGCTGTTGACCAATTTTGATTGCTCTTGTTTCTGGTATACATACATATGTACATACATAAATTGAGATTCAGCAGTAATTTATGATACGTATTTTTTCAAAGGGTTCGTGATCGGTTTAAATTGACCCAGGCCTTGGTGGTTGGTATGTAATTTTATTTTCTTAATTACTTTTCGTGAAAATGGATAGCTAAGTAGAATAGATGTGCAACTTAATGCTGATTTTAATAGGAATATTGAAATGTATACACTAATCTGTTGTAGCGTATATTGAATTATCTAGAATATGATACCTTATACAAGATAAATAATGAAATATTTTGATATCGTAGATCCGCTGTATCTCCAACACAGCTACTCCGAGCGTAGCGTCGACTATCGGGTATGTTTCCGAAATTTTATCGTTCGTTTATTGTCTGCACAAACATTATAATTAATTCTTTGTATTTAGCATTGGGGGATCCCACTGAGTCGTCGCTTCAGGTTTGTTGAGATATTCACTGGAAGCATTTATGACCCAAAATTTATAATTTCTGGTGCTTTTCTCTAGGTCTCTGAAATTGTGGTTTGTTATTCGAATTTATGGAATTGGTAAGTAGATATATGGCCAATTTACGATGTTTAATAGTGTATGTATGCCACTTTCAAAATACACAAAGTACAGCAAAGCGATTAATTTCGTGACAGAATTTGTCAAAATTATACAATCTTTTGAGAGCACGCCATCTCGTAGCAAAGTGATCTTGCTGACAAAATGCAAGATCCTGTTTTGAATAAATGCACGCATATTCTTGAATTGTAGAAGGACTACAGAATTACATTCGCAATCATGTCAAACTCGCCAAAGTTTTTGAGGGATACGTCAAAGCTGACGACCGATTTGAGATAATGAATAAAGTGGACGTGAGTTTTTTTAAATTACCTTTATTGCATTTTTTAATTTATTTAAATTTTTATGCAAAATGTAAAAACAAACCTTCCAATGTGTCGTGGTTTTGTAGATGGGGCTGGTTTGCTTCCGTCTCAAAGGATCCAATGGACTGAATCAGAAGCTGTTGTCCACAATCAACGCTTCTGGAAAAATTCACATGGTTCCGGCTTCGTTGAATGATAAGTACGTGATCCGATTTTGTGTGTGCAGTGAGACTGCCACTGAGGACGACATGAGTAAGCCGATTAAATTTATATATCACGCATAATCTATAAAAGTTTGCAGACAATTTGCAAACTGCTTTATATTTGTTTTTCAGAATTCGCGTGGAACGTGATCACTCAGACTGCGGGAGAGATTGGTACTACAGAGGTGAGTCCTCCCGGTTCTCCTTCACCAGGAGCAGATAGGAAACTTAGCGAGGAAACGCAGGAAATTCTCAAGGGTCTCAAAGAGAGACGCTTCACTTTAGCTAGAATGACTTCAGTACTTGACGATACAAAGGCTCGAGGTTCAATTGAAATCGATGACGACGAAAACTTAGTGCCAAGAAGCAGAAGGGGTTCACTTTTCCCTGCTTCAGAATTTATCGATGATTTTCCGGAAGCAGAGACCGCAAATCGCTCCAGGAGCGGAAGTATTACTCATGACCTGCCTCTTGCTGCACGAAAAGAGAGTGGATCATTAATTAGCGGCCAAATTGCCAACTTTACAATAAAAGAAGTAGACGAGGATTAGGTCATGAATAATATTTCGAAACTTTAGGCCTTAATCGAAAATCTAACGTTTAATGAATATTGCTTGCAATTTGTGTGCATAATTACTTATTTATATATTTGATTACTTACATATTTGATTTAATTTTACCAATGTATTTTACTGATCCCAGCTCTTGACCCTTGATCTTTTAATAATTTCAGCGCTGATCCTGCTTTGATTTTCATGCTGCTACTTTCTTATCTATTATTTGTACCTGTATCGTCTTTCTCTCAAAATTTTTCTTATGGATCGTTTCAGTCAATCAACCATTATAATATCGGAACAAATCATGTTAAATTAAAATTGAGATGAATATATTGAAAATGAAAATTTTGTGCATGAATCTTTATTTATTGCTGCATTTTTGTTATTTCTTTTAGTTATCTAATTGTGGGAATGATTGCATCAAATTAATTATGTACTTATTAAGGGGTGAAAGCCCTTTATAAGATCGTTATGTCCGTCTGTCCGTCCGTCCGTCTGTCTGTCCGTAGCTCCGATAACTTTTGAACGAAAAGACATAGAGACTTGAAATTTTGAACGTAAACTCCTAACGTCAAGGGACAGGACGAGTTCGAAGATGGACACTGTTACATCGTCACCTGTGACGATGACGTCGTCACAGTGACGAAAAGTGACGAAAAAGTGTCACGTGTCAATTTTGGCATGTGACACATCATTTTTAACTATTTTTCAACGAGGAATTTGAAAATTCATGTCATTTTGTGTTTAGACGTCACCTGTGACGATGACGTCGTCACAGTGACGAAAAGTGACGAAAAAGTGTCACGTGTCAATTTTGGCATGTGACACATCATTTTTTAACTATTTTTCAACGAGGAATTTGAAAATTCATGTCATTTTGTGTTTAGACGTCACCTGTGACGATGACGTCGTCACAGTGACGAAAAGTGACGAAAAAGTGTCACGTGTCAGTTTTGACATGTGACACGTCATTTTTAACTATTTTTCAATGTCAAATTCAATGGTGACCTCCATTTTGACCTCAGAGGTCATGTAAAGGTCATAGGACATATCTATTTCAATTTCAACTGAAATTTAACCCCGAATTCAATGGTGACCTCCATTTTGACCTCAGAGGTCATATAAAGGTCACATAAGGGTTATCAACTGTTAAATTTGACACAAATAAGACACAAAAGTCGAAAACACGTCAGAAGTGTCAATCTTAACAAATTTTCGAACAATTTGATATTCACATTGACGTATGACACTCCTTTCACCCCTTGGTTACATGCGTTGTAACGGTTTATTATTTCATAGCTTGAAATATTAAACAAACTATTAAATTTACCAGACGTACTTTAATATTACAAACCAAATTAAATTTTATCGCCCTTGGTACATTCTTCTAATCAAGGATTCGGAATATGTGGACACTGGGACTCCTTATCATCGACCCTCAATCAGAAATCCCGGACAAGTCCTTCCGTATGACCATGAAAAAGACACGGACAGTTTATCCCCGCTTCAGAAGAAATCCACAGACGAAATATTGAAGCAGAAAAGGTCCTTGTTTGTCAGAATGGTAAAATTTATCCTTGAAGACAGTAATAGATGCACCTCTAAAAGTATATGCTGCATCAAAATAAATATTATTTAGGTAAGCGATCCGAAGCTTTATAATCCGAAAATTATCAAAACTCGAAATCCGACTGTGAAAGTCCAACCGAGTTTTCCCCCAATGTCGTCGTCTACAGTCAATGGAAATGGAAATGGACAGCACACAATCCAACAGCCTCAGCAGCTACAGTCCAGTCCAACAAGGTAACGAAATGCAACATTATTATATGTACAATATTTCACAACTTTATGTTTGAAAAAACAAAGATTCACGTGGTTCAATTATTTGCAGCACATCATGGATCAGTTGGCCACTCGCTTTCATGTTTCAAGATAAAGACGATGAAGTTCCCTTCAGGTTTGGCGAAAATTGTGGTAGATTTCGGTAACTTATGACACTATGAAATGCATATATTCAGGTTTCGTAACTGGGAATCAACACTGTCAATCAAACCTGGACACGGAGAAGGAAAGTCTAACCGGACGTCTCCAGAAGGAGAGCATCTCAAACCCATCAGCCCCAACGGAGGGCGACGAAGTTTATCGCCAACTCCGTCTAAGATAACTCGGAGCAAAAGCCCGCAGAATAATTAATGACAGCTTGAATTTCGATTTGACTTTTAATATTTTTAAAATTTATTTCTCGAATGACACTTGTTGTACAGAAGTAGCACACGAAGCATTGCTGTAAATGACAATATTTGTCAATTGAATATTAGTGACCATGATTGGTTCGTAGTAAATCTGTCTCTATCTATGTTTCATGCAAGATTAGTAATAATTTACATTGATACAATCAATCCTGATCCTGACCTAAATATGTAAGTAATGAAATTAGCCGTAGTCAATAAATGTAGTATTTAAAGTTATTGGTGCGACGCAGTTTAAAACTTAAAAAATCTTTTAGCAAAATAAAGCTACATAGTTGTAGCAGATCCAGAGTAATCAATAGACATTCTAGATGAGGGTATTAAAGTTCGGCTTGTGAATTGTTCTAATGTGCAGCTTAAGGTTTCATGCAACTAATAAAACGCTGGTTAATGAAATAGATTTGATGATTATTGACATGGCCTTGTTGTCTACTTATATAGGTACATACATAGCTGCACATACATACATGCTATATTATGTATAATACACCTAATGTTGTTCTTACAAGCATACACATGGTAATTTAGCTGTGATAAAAAACTCTTCAGTTTGACGATCAGATGGTGGTTGCATGAAATTCTTGCAATATTATGTGTTACAGCATCCCGGAAAATGTTTAAGGTTTGCATTATTGGAGCTGGGTAATTTTCTTGGAATTTTTCACTCAATTGAATCAGCATTTATATATTTTTGCATGCACGAGATATAATTTTTAGGTTTTCTGGAATTTGTGCTGCTGTTCGCCTGAAAACAGAATTAGGAAACATATGCCATGTAACAATATTTGATGAAAACCACGATTTCGGTGGAGTCTGGCTAAAAAACACGTACCCGGGTTGTGCTTGTGAAGTTCCAAGTCATTTGTATTGCTTTTCATGGGAGCCGAATCCGGGTAATAAATACTTTGAAATTTCTAAATAGTATTTATACATAGAAGCAGTTGAACCGATGTAACATTGTCATTTTTGGACTAATTTATTTAGAGTGGACTCAGGCATATTGTAGCCAAAACGAAATTTTGGCCTATTTGCAAAATATATCCAAGAAATATGGATTATATCAGAGTGCAAAGTTTAATCATTTTGTGCATAAAATACAATGGGATGAAAAGTCGTTGAATTGGAAGGTGATCGTAGAAGACAAAAAATCTGTTTTGTTCAATAAAACGGAGGAGCTCAACTTTGACATCATGTAATATTTTAGATTTACTTGGTTCTTAAATTATTCGTACATATATGAATTCATATGTAATGCATGTTTGTATGTTCCTTCCATTAAAAATATCATGATGATCTTTTGACGATTCCTACATTAGAATTCATGCCCAAGGACGGTTCGCATCTCCCCAAATACCAGCAGAGTATGCAAATTTCGAAGGATCAGTACTCCACACCGCCCAATGGGACGAGGAAGTGAAAGTGGAGGGCAAAAACGTCTTGGTGGTGGGATGTGGTGCCAGCGGGGCACAGGTCATTCCAAAACTTGGAGTGATGTCGAATTTCCTCGTCGTGTATCAGAGACACGCACCGTGGGTAATGCCACGAACAAATTTCTACTTCCCATCTTGGATCAAGTGGATGTTTGCAAGTGTTCCCCTCATTCACAGAGCATACAGAACTTTGCTTCACTGGATATTTGAAAGAAATATTTCGGGATTCCGAATCGGCTCCATTGCAAATCGACTTGGTTTGTAACAAGAATTTTTTATTTTTATTAGTTCATAAAACAAGAGTAAAAGTAAACGCTTATTACTACGAAAGTTACTGAAAGGGGAAAATATCTTTGGTTTTGTTGCAGCTCCTCTGCTATCAAAATTTCATTTATGGAGACAAGTTAAAAATCCTAAAATTCGCAAGCAACTAACTCCGAATTATAATTTTGGATGTAAACGAATTGTGAACAGCAACGAGTATTATCGAACCTTCAACCTTGCTAATGTAATCCTGATTGACAACAAAATACTTGTGGAGAAAAACGGGATTCTGACGGAAAGTGGACACCATTATGATATTGATGTAACTTTGCATTTTCTAAACTTTTCGTTTGTGCCATTTAGTATATATACATAGCTATGTATGTATATGTGATTTGATTTATTGACATGTACATATATGTGTATGTATGCAGGTGATCGTTTTAGCGACTGGATTTCAAGTTCAAAATTTATTTGGGCAAATATCTGTGATTGGGAAGAATGGAATAGACATTCCTCAATTGTGGATGAATGATAAGCCAATGACATATTTGAGTATCATGAGTTCAGCCGGTCCAAATTTATTCGTTTTGTTAGGACCTAATGCAGTAAGTTACTATTCCATATAGTCGTAGCCTATGCGATAATTGCATCAAAAATACACAATTATGATCATTCCATATTATCTATCAGTCTACCGGCTACACTTCAATCATAATTCAGTTGGAAACGCAAGTTGAATGGGTCATAAAAGTCATACGAGAGTTAAACTCAAACAAAAAGAAGACAATCTGCGTCAAAGGCGCAGCAGAGCAAAAATATATGAAACATTTGGAAAGAAAACTTAAAAAGACGGTATATGGTTCCTCTCAATGTGGAAAATGCAATTCTTGGTATCTTAACCCAAAAGGAGATGTCGTGGAAATATACCCAGATTCAACGTTGGCGTATAAAAAAGAAACCTTGAGCATTGTTCCGTCAGACTTTGAATTTTGTTAATAAATAGAAAACGATCAAGAGATTCTACACTCTATTATATTATTTTGCAATCAACAAGTTTTATTCGTTATGTATGACTTAAAATACACAAAGTATTGAGTAACAAATTTTTTAAATATTTCAACTGAATATAGCACACACTGGTTCAATATATTATTTATAGGGATACAGTTATCTCTTTGCAGTCTACATATGTTAACTATATGGCTGGTTATAGCTGGGTATTATCAAGCTACAATATCTGTGTGTATAATCTACTAAAATTACTATCAGATCTTGGAACATGCAGGTGAGAATCATGAAACATTTTTGGTACATATGAATACAAACATAACTTGAATTATGTCGGTATACATAAATATGTACCCATTTATCAGCCAGAACTTCAGCACCAAAAGTTATATACATAATAAAGTCTGTAGAATTATCAGATTGCACAAGTACCAGTTTTAAAGGACATGTATAGGTTTGAGTTGTTCAGGTAGTAATATTATTGGCTCAAGAAACCCATGTTTTTATAACTTTCATAATGACTAGAAATTTTCAGAAGTTATTATTAAAATTATGTCTCATCATCTGCTCAAGTGAAAAGCTGGTCCGTGCTTCTAGCAGCGATTATACTTCAGTGAGTACAACCTGCAATGGTGACTTATTAAATGCAAAAACGTATAAAGATTAAAGATGGCTAAGCCGATACATCATATTTATAATAAGAAGACTAAATGTGTATAATTTAAACTCTCACACTAATCACATTTACTATTTACAGATTGCATAATATCCTTGAGGAAACTGTCTCGAATCAGTGTAATAACAACACTGTTCTTACAAATTTCCGACTTAGCTATTTATCATTAGTTATAGTTACATACCATACAGAATTATATACGTAAAGCATTTATTTACTTGACATAATGAGGTTAGAGAATTTTCGTGTTTCAGACTGGTTCTATAAAACGCGGTGAGATTATAAAGGCACAATGCCTATTCAAGCCTGGCATTAAGATTTACATCTTATCTTAAGATTGATATTTATATAGTACGATAATTACTATTCATTACGTAAACTGCTTTCAAAATTTCGAACCAATCAAAGAGATATAAGTTTTGATGCAACTAATTAACAACTCATTAAGCCTTCAAGCATGTATGTAGTGGGTGGTATTTCCTTTCTCATCTGCCTCAAACTTTGTTGTTTGATTCTGCATATGTAATTGTCCTTTCCTTGTAGTAGAGTTCTTCTGACTCTTTGTCACATAGGAGAAGGATAACCCCCCCAAACAAGAATATTGAGGCGCCCCAGGTAACTCCATAAGCCCAGCCAAATTCCCAAACTGGGCGTTGGCCTGAAAAAGATAATCATTATTTATGAATAAAATATGTCCAGCGTAATAAAAATAACTATAATATGTTGACATGCTGCATCACATTAGCCTTACTTTTTTCCATGATTTGGGCAAAGCAGACTGGATAGATTACCAGTGCGACTAGCACTGCCACCACTGAAATAAAAAAAATCAAGTCAAACACTACTCCTGGATTTTGATATAGAAGAATTTCACTGCTAGTCTTCAACTTATTATTACTCAGGACCAAAAAAGGAAGTAACCACCGGAATTAATTATTCTAACTACTGCTAACCATACACAGAGGTTTTAAATTGGAGGATTTTTAAACCAAGGTGGAAATTAAACATGTAACTTATCTAGAGGAGGATGATTCCAACCCTAAGAAGCTTTGGCGGATCGTCAAAATATCCGAAATATTCAAATATCTCGTACGGTTTAAGTACGAGAGGAACAAATACGCTCGAAAGTTACGGGGACATGTAACGAGGGAATGTAAATCTGATCACGTAAATGTTAGATGGGTTGTAGTGGTAGTGCAAAGAAGGTATATAGGGGAATAGAATGAAGGCATCTTTCTCTCTTAAAATTTATGCTGTTTCCAAAATTGCGATTAGTCAATGTAAGTGGTTCGTGTGTCTTTATGACAGGTTAGTCAAAATTTTGGCAACTGACGAACCCACATACTGGCTCTGTCATCGTATTCCGACATAGTCAAGGAAAAATTAAATTCCTTCCTTCCTCGCATGCCCGAGCACATTAGAAAACGCGAGGTATGGAGAAAGTTTTGTCATTTGTCTCGTTGATTCGCTTCTGGTACTAATATAGTTATTTGTCGTCCGAATTGTTGTGGTTTCAGAATGAACTATTTCGGTTATCATTATAATTATGCATGCATTGTAACGCTCATTACCTTCCTTTATATTAATAAACTACTATATATGTATCACTCACAACTCAACGCCATTACATAAACGGCCGTTCTGTAGTACTTGTACTTTCTATTCGGGTCACGGCATCTCAGACCCAAAGCGGTCAATATCGTCGCAAACAAGTCAACCTGTTTAGAAATAATATGCATAGCTATTTAATTTCAACCTGTATAATCCACCGTAAAAAAATGCCTGCATTTTATGCTAAAATTGACAAAAACTTACCAGAAAGCTTATAGCGCAAAATGCAGCCGCGACCACCGTGTAGCCTGTGTAATGTATGCAGACATTTTAATAAAGGAAACTCGTATGTACAATTTTGTAAAAATACGAACCCTGTATGTTCCAGTCAATTCGGTGGCATCCTTCGGTAGCTCGCTCCCCATTTTCGGGTACAAAGGGCACATTGGATGAATTTTTTTCCACGCAGTATAGAAACAACCCTGTACATAAAACCAGAAAAAGCTCCATGATGAAATTATTCAACCAATCTTAGTTCAAAAAGCTAAATTGCCCTTGTAATTATTGTTAATTTCATTCGAAAATGTAATTTCCTGTCTACAGTCTATTTTTACAAGCATGCAGGCACAACAATATGAACCCATTGAACTAATGTGGTTGGGATGGATCCCTCAAATCGAATCAAGTAATTGATGTGAGCAATCTAAAAAAAATGGTTCGTGATTTCTGCGAGTCCAACCCAATTAATCTGACCACTGACTTCAATCGACAATAGACCACAAAATATACAAGCCCAATGTTAAAAATCGAATCTCTCATTATCGTGATTACTGTTATTACATCAATATGTATAAAATCGTTAATCAGATCATTCTGATGTTTTCTCCCTCGAGTAGTAAGCAATCTGGAATTTGGCGTTCAGTGAATATATATGCAACACACAAGTAATTATTCGCACCGTTTTTGTACCTAGATGTTACCGAACAACTGACACGTATGTACATGTAAATGGATTTAGTTTTTATAATATAGCAAATAATAAATGTTTTACCTTGTCTATAACGATCAGCGAGCAACCATTCCGTTGAGGCCAGGCCCATTATTAGCAAGATCGATGCAAAACATCCGCAGATGAAAGCTATAACCTATAATAGAAAGTAGTAAATTTATACATTTCTTCTATCAGATCGATCCAGCCACCTAGATATTTATAATTGTATTTTTTTGTAAAGTGAGAAAATTCACAGCTTAAAAATACTCAGGCGACAGTGCAACAAAATTTATACAGTCTAAGCACACTTGGGAAACAAGAGCTTGGCAAAATTATGATCAACCTACAATGATAAAGAAATATCGGATAGGTGACATTGTAAATAATTTATTTCGAATTTTATAAATCGAGCTATGTAATAATTTGATTGATGGATGATTGATAGGTACATAGATGGGTAATTTGTTGTAACACAAAATCAGATTATAAGTGTTTCAATGATAATTTCATAATGAGAATAAGGAGCGAGTGAAAATCGATGCAAAAAATGCAGCGAAAATCTGTGTCCGTATAATAATAATAATAATTTGAAGTGGTGCAAATAGCGGATGCAAAACATAAAATTATTGTTCAGCAGTAAAAAAAAACAACCTTAAAGCAAGATTACAGCCCGGGTATAGCTAGACTACAGCCTTAAATTCTCATGCTAATGTTTCCACTGTTGAAGGCTGCAAACATGCAGTCACCTCTAATTTTCAATGGTTAAAACTGCATTCCAAGAAATAATTGCATAAATGGTCTACAATATTAAGAGAGACTATTGAAAGCAATCAACTTGAGCAGGACAAGTGTTTTCTTTTCGGCAAAGAGAATAGCTCACCTTTGAACCGCAATTGCACCCCATGTTAGCAAGATAAATTTACTTATATTTTGAAAAAAGACCCAGCCAAGAGAAGAAAGCGTTTCTTGTGATAGTGGTTGATCAAATTTTGCACGCTATCCCAAACAGCTCAGTCAATTAATCGGGTACATTGAAAAACACGTTTGAATAAGAGCCGAGCCGTTTCATCAGAGTTTCTCACACTTAATGATATTTGTATTAGTATCTGTCCGTATATCATTCACTTCACATTTTAGAGTGAGTTAACCAACATTGGTAAAAATTCTTGTCATTATTGTGTTGCAACTTATTAGAGATGCTAAATGCCTCTTGTTGCTGAAGATTCAACACCACCCACCGACAGCGGTATATTTATTACTATATTATGTACATTATACAACATGAAGAAGGCAGAGCAGTTACGTTCATGTATGTAATGCTATGATGAACAGGTGCATCCATTTTTATTTGGGGATCAGTAATGTTCAGTTTGTATTAACTTCTAGCTGTGGTAATTCTGGGCGCATTCTCATGTTAGTTGAGATAATTAGTTTCTGAACCAAAACTCGATGGAAATGTGAACGAGTAAAATCTTGCTTCTTCCGGCTTACCAGTTTCACCCCTCAGCAGAAAAATCACGTTTCATGGTTTAGAAACATGTTTTACTGAAAACCAATCTACTAAAATTAGCCTCTGGTAACAAAATGGAGTACTACATAATTTGTTACTTGTTTTCAAGTCTGCATATGTACAAGTAACGTACTATATGAATTTACATGTATTTATTTATGCTCTATGTATTATCATCCTTGGAATGCGTTACAAAGGAATGATTCACATCACACCTCATAAATTAAAGAAATGGCTGGGATTGTGCATCTAGGCGATGACACCAGCAGTAGTAGAAGCACATAAGTAAATGGTAGTGTTCAGAAAAGGAGGTGATACGGCGAGTGAGTCAGATACATAGAATGATTGAACAATACATACTCTTGAGGAATCCTTGGCAGGATTGGCAGGATTCACGGGCAATGCTTACTTTTTACTCTCTCGACTCAACAAGTCGCAATCGCAATCGCAATCGAACCAAATCGAATTACACGTCTTCACGTACCGATGCGGTCTTAGTTGTTGGATTTGAAATAAATGAAAAAAATGTTTTTCCTACCAATACAAAAACCTTTGCACGCACAAAATGGAGAAAAAGTGTGAACAACCACGAAACCACATGAAATCGAGTCGAGCTTAACGCAGAAGAAGCAACAATTTCAACGTCCCAAAACCCAATAGTTTTGCCAAGAAGAGGAGATTAGTATTTTACAGCATAATTATCATTGAGAAAACAGTTGTATTAGATGGAAAATGGATAAAGGACCAAGCCATTATTATAAGCGTTTTTGTTGGAGTGGTGCCACGGTGTTTTTTTTAGACAATATAGTAATTGAACACCGATAACCATTTTGTCCAGAAAAGGTCTCTGATAAACCTAAGTAGATACGTGGAAGGGGGAAAGAGCATGTCAAAGAGAAAGCGTCCTTCGTGGTTCAAACAATTGCTGAATAATTTAATAAACCTTAAAAGAGTCTCTCCAGACTTTGGCTCGAATCCCAACAGGTCGCAGTCTTTTGTACTGTGTTCTACCATTTCTACTATTTGTTCCATTAGCAGCAGGTGAAACTCCAGTTTGACTCAATTGGTTCAGAGCAACACCCTTCCGTCCATTTGTGTTGGATATATTGCCATTATTTATCAGCACTGGCTTTTCCAGAGGATCCCCCCTCCCCCCATTACTCAAGGAGGAAGAAATTCCAGGTGAGGAGCTGCTGGCAATTATATAAGCATTGTTCCTCGATGGAAACAACTTTAAATTGTCTCTGGAGGAACTCTCTCCGCGAATCACAGAATCACTTTCTTCATTGTTGCTTGCTCTTGACAAACTTGCCGTGTTGAAGGAAACACGGCTGTTGGGCCTATTTTCCATTCTTGCGACTTTTTTGGTGGGGTTTAAATTGAAGGGCAATACCTCTTGAATGAATCAATCCATGGTCAGCCTGTTTTATGAATGAAGTCAATTCACAATATCTCCGTCAGTACGGAGCAGATGATAAATAGAATGACGACCAAATTGCTGTTACGCGTGGTATGATGCACCACAGAAGAATGTGATATGAGTCCAATCTAAGTGGTTCTCAGTTTCTTCGATGTGTCATATTGGTTAGGTTAGTAGTTTCCTTGCAGCAGGAGACGGGGTAGGATTGGGACGAAGCTTGTAATTTATGTATGAGGAGAGGAGACGGTGAGACGATGGATGAATAAAAATTACTCTGGCAAATCAAAACATCAAAGACAAGACATCGATCGACTTTCAGTGTGATTCAATCCCGTATTGGTATGCCGATCCACTTTATGCTAAAATAAAGCAAATTGACAGATGAATCGTCAGGAGAATCTTAAAACGAATTTTCTGTAATGGAATCCGGTTTGCGTATTGTCCTACTTTTCACCAGAATAATTCAGTAGTTCTCAATGGGAAAAGTAAAGTCGACAATAAGAACAAGAGCACAATGTAGATCCAAAACAATGACACTGATTACCACACCAAAGCTCACTTCCTCTCAACTTTGCTTTCTATGCGAAGACTTCTGTGATGATTCTCTCAAATTCTCTTGGTCTTTTGTCTGTTCTACGAATTAACACGGCTGCTGCGACGTATAATCAACGCCCAAAAACTCACAATGCTATTACGCATCTATAAGTAATTTCGAATTCACCAGCACGGAGAATAACTGAGCCTCAGATAAATGTCTATAGCTGGAATAATCGAGTCGTTCGTAATATGCACTCGCCGTTAGAGCAAGTGAGATATATGTGATAACATTGGAACTTGTTCTTTCTCCTCCACCACGAAAAGTTGCTAATGAGAATCAAGAGAATGACACAAGAGATGAAGGAAGAGATCGAGGCTTCGATTTGCTCTTAATGTTTTTCGCTTTAGTTGTGACCAGCGAGTATAGAAAGGCTAGAATCCAAATGGGATGATGATTAGAATGATAATCTTTATCAGCTCTTTGCAACTGTCGGAATGATGATGAATGGATTTGAAAGAGAACAGTAGGAGTCAAAATACTGTGAGCAGATCTCAGCTAGCTCTCTCTGGACTTTTTACTAGCATTAGCTATTTATTTTATTGCGTTGAGATGCCAGGTGAGGAGGACATTCTTTAATATTTCTTTGCACGAAATCCACAATCACCAATGACGAATAGCCTGAGGAACACGGAGAACCACCACTGTTGGCAATCAAGGTGGAAAAATTTAAATCACCATAATATTCAGTAGTTCAGTAGTAAATGCTCAATTTACTTGCAAGGTTGGTTATGGAACAAGACGAATATTTAGTTAGTTACAATATTACACGAGGGAAAAGAGTCAATGCAAAATTAACATGATGATCCCACAAACTGCAAGTAACAACTAATCGTAAGTAAGCGAGAGTGAAACTCAAGGACCTTGACTTCGCACGGTGAACAGTTTTTTGCTAAAGGAACACACACAGCTAACCAACTAATAATTCTTTGTCATTGATTAAATTCCAGAGTTTTACAGAAAAACCTTGACCGCAGAAATTCACACAGAATATTTGCAAGTTGTTGAGACTAACTATAATAATAATATTATTAATTGTGCACAGTAATTGCACGAAACGAGAGGTTGATTAATAACAATGTAGAACAGTGAATCATCGTCTTTGTATGTGTTTATGCAAATATTTCTCGAAATTATTGAGGAAATTAATGAACCTCACAAACGCTACTATACTGCTGCAGGTAACAAATAGTCACTTTTGTGTGTCTGTCACTTTATTGCTGTTTTCCAATCATAGCACAATCGAATCGGAATATTACGGTCTGATGTGAAAATGATATTTTATGAGCACAATAATAGATGACCACAATTTCACAGTTATCTCGTCACGAAGCAGTTTTCAGTATTTTGAGTTCGATGAGTGTGTTGTACGTGTGCTTACTCAGGTTACGTAACACAACGGAAGTGGTACTGAAGCCTGGTACGCTATGGTGATCAATCGAGTCATGCTGTTACATATGTAGTTGGGGTGTTTCGCTTGGCAAACGCTGCTGCTGGCTGTGCGTGGATCAGATCAGATCCAAAAGTAGTAATTTGATCCTTACTCCACACAATTTGATACAAAACCCATTCGTACCAGTTAAAAAGTTTCTAGGAATGGCACCACACTTCCACTTGCGCTGCTACAAGACCACTAAAGATAATATTGTGTTCTTGTCTTGTTACAAAAGACTTATTAACCTCCAGTCGACTTGCTTTACTAGTCAACGTTTTCCAACTGCGCCTCTGGTTGCTGCTACAATTTCCATTATGAACCGGTGAGCATGAGATGGATGAAGAAAACCAAAAGAATGCACGGCAAAGAATGAGAACAACAATATTTGAGAAGAGGAGACCAAGCAAGCCAATAATATTACCAACAAAAACGAACCAAAAAATGGTTGTTGGTTTGGTTAGGGGGATGATGCAGGGTGTAAACTGGTGGTAAATGAGATGCTACATGATGGGATGTGATGATGTTCTTCAGCCTTGAGCTCATCCCGGTGCATTCACCATTCTATACGGCGAGGTGTTTAAAGCAGCTTTCGAATGCAATTCGGATTTGTATGTACATAAGTGGAAAACATGTGGAAAAACTCCCAAGTATGGAAAAAGTGTTATGCTGTTGTATTTTAATCCTTTGAAGGATAAACTGAGTATCTAGCCAAGTTAAACTTCTCTCTACTACACGATAGTAACCTCAACAGTGAAACAAACTCTTATTCCAATCATAGAATATCGTAGCAGTAGTTTTCTGTTCATTGTTACGAAAATCAATGAGTACGAGATTCCCAGGCTAAATAAGACAATGAAGTTTAGCAGAAATCTATTAGCTGAGTTGATAATGAACGTATGTTGAAGTTTTGGATAAGGAAGCATGATTACGCAAGATATGTTTCGCAATTCTTTAGAAATGTATATATATATACAGTTAGACAAGATGAAGTTAATTTATCATGTCTATATGATTGGTCATGTTATTTTAGTTCAGCTTAGTAGTAATTGAATCATTTCAGAGTATAAATTGTGAACTTTCTTTTATGTACATATTTACTTATATGTATTACGATAACATTTAAAGGAATATTAATTTTCAAATTCTCAAAGGCTCCGGTGTGTGTTACTTAACTCCTCAATTAAGTAGCCGGATAGTCAAAGTCTCATGAATTTGTGAGCAGCAATATGTACATACGCATAGCCACACAGCAAGGCAACTTCATTTTCTATTAAGCTTTGATCTTTGACCAAGCATAACTACATATATTCAAAAGTCAATTTCCTAAGCAAAAAATCGGGGCCTATAATGGAGCTAGGACGCGTTGTCGAAAAGGCTGCTACCCGTTGTTCAAAACAACATGCTTAAACAGTGATGATGTATGTATGTACTTGTTTATCATAAGCTCCTTCAATTTAATATTACTCAGTAAACTGTGTGGATTTAATTCGCCCTGATGTTTTTTGGCTCTAACCAGAGGCAAAATTTAAGTATAACTTTCGAAGCATTTATTATTTTCTTTGAAATTTTTACCAATGGTGGAACGAAGACAAGTGCATGTCATTAGCATCATAACATTCAGATACAGATCTTGGAAAATTAGAAATTCCAAGTAAAAAAAATGTTCCAAAATTTGGGTGTATGTACCGGAAAAACTGCATGGTAATGGATGGAAAAAAATTGCCAAGGACAAAAAAGACCTGAAGAACCCAAAGGGAGCCCATCTAAGACCAACGTTAAACTTCTTGAGAAAACTTGAAGCTTTGGCCGAAATTGAGCATCAGTGGAACTACATAAAACGGTTTTAATCCCATGGCGGTGACAAAATCGTCAAATCGACATAGTGGTCGAAGAACTAACTAAAAATCATATGCCCCCAAAAAATAATGATGATCGTTTTTTGTTTGCGGACATGACGAAAACTCTTCGAAAAGTGGGTATTTTACAACGTGAATATTTGCAGGAAAAATTGGGACGAATTAAATACACACGCTTTATATAGAATTAGTGTTTCTTTACTTCGTCTTCTGATATTGAATTACAACATTGCTTTTAATCTCCTGGCATTTTTACACGTCAAACACATACTTTGTTCATCAAAGCCTTGAATACTTAATAACGACGCAACCTTTTTACGGTATTAACAAGATGCATACATCTCAAGTAAAAAAAGTAAGCTATATTTTGGCCTTTTGGACTGAACTTTTTGAACCCAAAACATATTCAGTTTAAGACTACAAAAACGTCTTTCAACAAAAGAACTTAAACATCAATGAGAACAGAGTTTATCAAAATCTAATTTAAGCACCACCAGTTTCCGCGATAAAAGAGAAACATGGACTCGATGGCGTCAGTCGTGAGCTTGTCTGTATAATGGTTACTCAAGTCTGCGCTTCGGCAAGAAACACCCGTAAAGTATATGATACATCAACTATCCCTTCAAAAATTCTATTTTACCTTATATGTTGGTATTTACTTTGATACGCTGCAATGCAATTTTGGGAAGGGGAGAAAGACTGGGTCCGAGAAAATTGACAGTATATGTTTCCAACTCAATCACGTTGGACCCAGTCCATACAAACCCACTTATTCTCAGATTAGTTTCCTTCTCCCCAATTCACAATTTCTACATTCCATGTAGTCCCCTATTCTCTGAAGAGCACAACAAAATATCTGAGTTGACCTTACAGATTGAAGAATACACCGTCAACCGTGGAGTTTTGACCTGCTATCTAGTAAAATACGCTTGGTGGGTTATGATAATCTTCGACAACGGGTAGCGGTGAGATCTTGACTTACGAGACCTCAAATGTGAACTGAAGATTAAACCAAACCAACTCTCTCCAGAGAAAGGAGAGAAATTCCAGAGGTTCGCGAGGGATTTCTATTCTACAGGCAAAAGTATCCACTCTATCCGTTGGTTCAAGTCTCTAGAAAGCTGCCTATGAGCTGCATGAAAATTGTTCCTGTGCAAAGCAAACTGTTCGACATATAATTGTGCCAAGCCATAAATTGTATGCCAAAAATTGTACTATTGTATCATAATTATTTAATATACATATGTATAAATATCGAGATTTTCGCACAATTTGATACCAATAATAAATTTTTGTACAAAACTTCCCACTTAAAATATAACTGGCATTATTTAAAATAAATTCCCAAGTCTAACATAAATAAATATTGAAGTAAGCCATTATACTTATAATTCTTCGAAAATTTTAATGAACCTTTTAAATTAGTTTATACACTTTTGTTGATGAGGGCATGATTATGTCATGATTCATGAACTTAAATTGAGCATGTCGAAGTTTATTAAAAATTGATACTATTCTCAATATTTCAACTTTTCATAATATGTATGTACAAAACTATGATTCTGGCGCAGTATTATAATACAAAAAATATTTACGAAAACTACTCTACTAATATATATGGCTGGCTTTCATCCATCTATCCCATGACAGATCATGTTACATCCAAACTTGTACAATGCCATTTATCACAATAACTAAGAATGAATGTGCTGTCAATTACACTAAGGAATTTGGCTATCCTTGTAACATCTTGCAAACATTTTTCATGAAATATTAGTAATGACAAGATTGACTTTCATAAAGAATTACCTTGCTTACCAAGGATTCCATTAAATTTATCCAACAAAGTTGTTATGAACGCACTAAAAAGGAACCATGGATGTATAAAGGAACCAAGACTTTCGTCGCATTGCATACACATTATTGTAGAAATCACTCCGAATAGTCCGAACATGTGTAATACCAGAAGCCACATGTACCAGATTTGCAAATGCTCTCTGGCATTTTTCCTCCTACTAATAATGGGGCAAAAATCTCTGGTTGTCAATTTCCAAAGAGCCAAATGATGGATCGCTTACTTAGATTGCCATTTCCGCTCTATTTTCCTCACACGGCTCAGATATAGCATTTAATCCTATTATACTATAAAAATATATTATTCGTTCTCTGCATTGCACAAAATTTTGTAAAACATGTGGGAAACATTAGCAATAAAACAAAGATAAATGTCTACCGGTCTAAGTAAACGATCTGCGTTTTATAACCAACCCAAAATCTGCAAGGCAGTTTAGCCAATCCATATTTCATAATCGTTCCTGATTCAGGAATCCTGAACAGAGGGAGAATATGGAATAATCTTCGTTCGTTGGATGAAGGGAGTTGATCAATATAAAAGAATGGAAAAAATGAAGCTCACAATTCTGTAATGTGGTGGCTTTAGAAATCAATAACAAAACTGTACTTTCCAATTTTCCATGCGATGAAGGGAACAGAGAAAAAGGAAACGATTTAACATTCACACGAATTGAAGCAAAGCAAAATATATTTATAGGTTTAGACTTATCACGTACTTAACCATACAAGCATAATATGATAAGCAACACTATGTACATACGTATTATAGAATATTAAGGTAACCATCTTACCTTCAGTGGCCTTGATATCGTGATCGTCTCGATCGTTGTCACTGGAGCCATTTTTCCTTCAGACCTGATGAAGTCAAGAATGTCCAAATGTTGTAGATTACGAAATTTTTCTTCCGAATGCGTCTGTATTTTGACGACTTTTCTGTGGGACAAACCCACTATTCGACCAAAGAAGAATGTTGAATTGGTAAAACTAGCTCCCAATATTAGACGAAGGTACAGGTTTGTTACATAGATGGGAAATGTCGGATTTTCAGATTACGTTATTCAAATATTATCCGTATATAATTTAGTTCAAGTCAATACATACAGTGGATATACACACACATGCATCTGTTTTCAATTTAATATGAAATGGACGGGATAGATTCGATTTGTGTAACAATGCTGGAGATAGTTTGAATAAAGTTGAAAGCTCTAAATTAACATGCTCGTTGATAAAATTTAAAATGGATATCAATACCAAACATACTTAACCGTTAATATTTTTCCACAATATGTATTATATTACTAACCAACTATTTAAAGCACTTGAAGTTACTGTGATTACTCCAGTTATTTGGGTATATTTTCAAAAGCGATACAAATTCACAAATGAAAATTATGCTATCAATAAGGCCATCAATTTTAAGCTAATATTTAACACTGTTATTCTGACTAAAAGTTACACAAGTGACATAGTAATAAGGTGGCTATTTCAGGAATTACGAATGTCACAAGCAAAAAAATACTCGCTACTGGAGCTGTTACTGGAGCTGTCAGTTTTTATGAGATGACATCAGTCAACATTTTAAAACAAAAACAATCCAAACATTTTTCTGGATGGATGGCACACGTAGAAAACTATAGAAAGGAAACTTGTTACATGATCGCGTAACTCAATTTTTTCACAGATTCACAACATGTGTGATAAGTTCAGTATGTACTGTTAGTAGTGTTTACGCCGGAAGTAAATTTTATTAAATATCACTCCACGTTTACGTTTTTACTCCACTCTGCAAGTATAAACACAAACACACAAAAATATCAGTCCAAATTATTAGTGATAAAATTACATAGATAAAATGCATGCAGTAAATTGAGACATGCTACAATTAAGAGAAAGTTGAAACAATGAAATGAATGTCAGAATTATCTACCTGGTATTTACAGGAACAGGGGGGCTGTCTGATGCGTCTTCGAATTCACTGAATTCAGGTAAAGACTCGGATTCAAAGGAAAATCCTCCAAAATAGCGACTTCCAGCAATTGATTTAGGATTCGGATTGGGGTGATAACTGATCACTTTTGGAGCATTGGCTATATTAGACGTTTTTAACCCACCTTCTTGTTTATGGTTCTCTTGATTTTGAGTTGGAAAATTTGACATTATCACTTTACTGGGGATTTCAGAAATACGTTTTTTGTTTATTTAACAAGTTCACTTATATTATTGGCCTTATTTTTTGGTATGATATGAGTATAAGGTCGATATATTGCGGAATTTTAGAATATATAGAAAGTTGTAATTTGTATGTATGTATGTTGTCTTATAGTATTCCAAGTGTAAACTGTGTAAAACGGAGAAAGGACAGAATCAATAGTTTTTACACGACGAGAACTTGGTGCAAACTGCTGCTCAAATGGTGAAAATAGTTAGGAATTGGGCCAATAATTTAACAGAAGCGTATATAGCCCTTCCTATCTCCAAAACCTCAGTTTATATATAAAGGGAGGAACCACACAACAAAAAGTAGGATTAAAGAGACGCAGACCCAAATATACTATTTTGCAAATAGAAAGTCTGTTCTGTTCACCCAACTAACTAACTAACTAGGTATGCTGACATCTGATTAGTAGCAGAGGCAGACAAATGCCTGAAGGTCTGGGATGGATAAGCTGTAAAACAGAAAAAATGTTTATGATTTGCTCACTAATGTTTATTTACGTTTCAAATGTTCGTCGCCTGGAATTTGGCAATCAATGTTTTTAGCACTCGATTTATTTAAGTTTGTACATTCAGTTCAATTCGTTTATGACCACTATACCATCACCGGGTAAATAAATGCCATGCAATTTGATATATTTTTTGCACCAATTTAGTCTCCACGTTTTATTTAGCACGTTAACTTTAATGAAAATTAGGAGGAGAAGAATCCATCTTACCAGCTGCAGCACAACACAAATTGTGGGATTAATAAAACCTCTCCGTTCGCACTTACAGCTTGCACAAGACACATTACATTATTCGTGCAGAATTAAGCATAAGTCTTGTTCCCCAAACTTAAATGAAAGTTGCGACAACAACTTTTTTGCATTTTACTCGTATTAAGTTCGTACGGTTGACATGCAAAGTAGAGCCGAGTAATACACACTCGTGTTAATAATAAACATTTATGTAACTCTATCAACCCAACTCGGTCTGCTGCTCTGCGAAACTCGTGCAATATGAGATGAGCGAAGAACTGCGACGATATTTTGACTTACATAATGTATTTAAGTGTATGGCTCCTTTATTAGTCTTTCCTTGTTCTTCCTGCCTTATTATTAATCAAATCTTACAGAAATGTTTGTATGTATGATGCATATTATTATTGTCACCCTACATTTTAGCCGTATGGATGGGTCGGTAAAAAAAGGAACTGTTGCCAATTCCGCCTAATCCATGAGAACATTCTTGCTTTACTGCAACAGTGGATCGTACATATGTGCATAGTCGGCTCTGAAAGGAATGTGCATGGTTAAAGAGAGACGGGGAAAACGTGAGGAATAATAATAATAACACGAAACTTGCTCCTGCAGATCTTTCCCCTGAATATTGTCAGAGGCCGATAAAAGCACTGAATCCCTGAGAACCAGTGCTGCCTTCCTGCAAAGAACCTGATACTCACTTTACCCTTTCTTTGTATCCTTGTAACACACATGCAAAGGGATCTGTCTTCATAAACTGCAGACTTAATATAACAGCAATTTCAGATAAGGCTATCTTTTTGCCATTTCCAGAATAACTGAAACCCCATGTTTTACATGCATTATAGATATTTCATCGCCAGATTATTATAGACATTTTGCTGAAAAAGCGTTATGTAACATTACAATTGAGTTATAGGATGGCAAAAATGGATTTAGCACACTATGAAATTATTGTGCATTCGAAATTTTCGTTAAAATTGAATTTGATTGAATTCGGCGTTCATTACTCCGACCTCAATTTGATTCCTCCTCCAGTAAAGCTCTAAAGCTCTTACTTATGTACTTCTAGCTTGTGTCTAGATGGGTCCATTAATAGCTCATAACATACATTCACTGGATGGAAGGATAAAGAGGAGGATCCACTCCAGATGTCATTTCACCTTCTGTCCTTCCCTTCAAGATCTCCATTTCACTTTGGTTGCAACCTTAGGATGAATCCTATAACCCATCCATCCTGAAAGTCTTTGAACCAGTTCGGTATTGTTGTAATACCAGAACCACTGCTGCTGTTGTTGGGTCTTTTTAGTGTCTACTCCACTTTCACATCTCAAACAAAAACAACTTTTACCAGGAAATTACCCCATTTGTGAGCATTAAAGAAATCCTGTTCGCCAACAACAGACCCACCATCAAACAGGGCCTTGCCCACGTAGTGGTCACAGCTAAAGTTGTCTATATTGATTTTTGTTCATCGCAAAAACTCCGGAAAAGGGCTGTGATATACTCACACGCGCAAATCTAGCGCACTGAAATACTTGCTCATCATAAGAGAATTATATACTCATGGAGGAATAAATAAAACTACATATACCCGACATATACTAATTTTTTAGTACTGCTTCATGCAGCTTAGCCTTAGCGCAAAACTATACGTAGAATTTATTTGTCTGACGCACTGTCTTCCACACCAAATTCCTATATTAGATTTACAACTCGGAGAGTTATATAATTCAAAGAATATATCGAATATCGCACACAAATCAATCAAGCCAATAAACAAGGTCAACTCTCACAAATGATCTCTCATTGCTTTGCTAAATCCATTAATTGGAGTTAAAGCTTTTCAAAAGTCTGATGGTCACTATTTTGACCTACAAAGTACACAAATCTGTGTAGTCAATCAAGTACTCTAACGATTTTGTATCTCTTCTTACGTACATCAGTGATTACGCTATTCAAATTAATTCGTACTTGAGGAGGGATCTTAAGAACCATGGGGAACGAGGACAGCCCATTTCGTTATAAGACTTTTGTAATAATCATCGCCGTGTTGGACATCGTAAGCAATCCATTTTTAATCGATCTTATTGAGGACGACTTCTAATGTTGATTTGTAACGTCTATGATTTTAAGATATTCGCACTGTTTCTGCTTGGATTCTACTTGCTTCGGTTAGCCTTTTATGAAGGTAATGATGGAGACATGACCACTGGGATATTCTACAAATATGGGCTTATCAAAGATACGGAACCTTATTATTATTTCATCGAGGAAAGTGAGGAATTTTTATTTTACCAAGATTATATAAATCCGAGAAATTCATTCACAATATTTACTATGTACACATTTACAAATTTTAGTGCAAAAATATTATATGATTATCTGGATCTCCATTTTCTTTATTCAAACGGTTCAACTTGTGATGGCAATTATCCTCTTATTCGGAGCTTGTCAGGTAAAATGAGTTATAATACCGAAAAAAAGTGCAAATGTATATGTATGTAAGTCTAAATTGACTTAAGTACATTTTTTATATGCAGAGTGGGACTCAAGATTCACAACGGCGCTGTAAAACTTGGTGCTCGTCGTTGGTTTTCATAAAGACGACAATCGGAATAGAATTTTTTATTTTGTGTCAAACTTTTGCAAAATTTGGATTTCGATACCCTGCTCTTGGGTTGTGGACCACAAAGCTAATTTTCAGACTGTTGGCTGAGAAGGTTGTACGTGCTCATATTAAGGAAATGACAGCAAATCAGGTTTACTCTTATGGTGCTAGAAATAGCTATCCATTCTACTAATTGGGTAAACCAAGCCAACCGAACGTTAAGCACGGACTGAGCCAGTTTGACCGATAAGCTCAAACAATAGTTTATTTATAGCTGTCATATGTGCGTACGTAGGGCTTATTTTGCCCATTAAATTTTTCCCCGTTATTTAGTTTTACGTAAAAATTAACAAAGTTATTACTCTTGTTAATTATCAATTGATATTGTTCTCTAGTCAAAACTTTTCTGTAATTTAATCGGTTCATTTTGTTTAAAAGTCGCAAACTCTACTATCAACTGTAAAGTGTTCAATCACCTTTCCACTTGTTAGTCTGTTTATAAAATCATATTGTACCCCATTTTATACATTCACCTATTATGATCTTGTATAAAGCATTTTATAACACAATATAATACCCTCAGAAGATTTAGATGTCTTGGACAGTATTATGACGTTGAAAAGTTAACCGAGAGACATGTATAAGTGACGGGAATGACTATGACAGTTATTTGATCCTGCTGGTATTGGATTGGCATAAAAACAAATGTCGAAAAGTAACTACTGGAATGTAACAGACATTATTTATAATCCGAAATTATATAATGAAATAAATTGAGTAAATCAACTATTAGTCAATCAAAATTATTTTGTCATAATTTTTTATGAAATCAATGTCACCTTCACAAGATTCAAGCATTCTTTGAGTCCGGGGAAGTACGCATTTTTGTTAAAAGCCAAAGAATTAGAGATAAAAGCTTTTTTGTCAGAGGTGAGAGCTTTCACTCTATTCTTTGAGCGTATAAATTAGTATAGGGATAAAATACACAGTGCGAAGCCCGACCCATGCATTTTCTCGTTCTCTGGCTATTACTTTAAGTAGTTTCAACATAGTGGATGCTTGAAGAACATGGGTAAATTTATGTACAATGATGCACGATGTTTACAAATCGGTGGGAGAAAATGATTAGCTCGAGCAATATGTACCTGAAAAGTTATTTTATAAAATGGCAAATTTATGAAAAGTATTCTTGCATGATTTCAACTGAAAATTCAACTGGAAGATCCATTTGAAATGGTCACCTTGCTGGATCCTATAGGTAAATAATTTCGCTATATACCTTACTTCATATTCTCAAATCTAGTTTTAATTTGCACATTCAGATCAAATTACATGCATAATTCACAGAATTTAAATTTAACCACAATGACCTGTATAGACAGATAGATACGTACATGTTGAGCACATTAGAACTCATCAAGCATTGTCGCTATAAATATGTGACGAATTTTTCAAGTAAATCCATGAATCCATTCAGTACTTTTTGCTCTATCGCGTGACAAACAGACCGACATGACGGGAACATTAGCCATGGTTCTAACTAAAACGGGCCGTCAATCAATTTGTCATTTGTAGCATTAAGCCTGGCTTTCAGATATCAACTTGGGGTATTTACTTGTGCAGAAAAGCAGGAGGAAAATTCACAAAAAATGTGAAGCCTTATACAGAATAATCCACCTATCAGATTTGATTGAACAGGGAACGGCAATAAGGAAATCGAGCATTTGAAAAGAGACAGATCGATCAACCCGATTCAATTTCACATCACAACAAGATGAATCCAATCGGAAGGTGTAATTTTGTTTGCGAATCCAATTGCAACATATATTTCTTACCTACATTTCCAACTATTTATAGCATCCACAGATACATTGTAGGAACATGGATTGTAGATACGTACATACATTTCCCAGTCCTGGAGACGCCTCCATGTTTTAATGAGCTGTTGAGTGGTGGGATTTAGCTACTGTTCATGATGAGATTCACAAATTGAGACAAACTTTGCCCATTCAAACAGCATTATTCATCCAAAACTTTTACATGGAATATGTACGTATGAGAAAAATGTGATCAACTATTTCCTACCGAAAGATGAGCAAATGGGAAGATTTGTAAAACCCAGTAGGACTGGTAATGACGCTGGAAGATATACGTGCATTTTGGAGAAAGCCGTAGCTAGAAAAAGGGTGATGAAAGAAAGAAAGAGAGGAAGGAAGGTGAGTGGTGGTGGTGGAGAGTGAGTGAGTGAAAAGTTGATAATATTATTATTCGCCCGGAGAAAGCGGGGAGCAAAGTAGGTGCCGTGTCTCGATCAGGACTGCTTGGCGGTGGTGATGGTGGGTTTGGCATTAGCCCTGGATTAGATTGGATTTGCGATGGATTTCTCCCCGAAAGTGAAATCACTCCAAGTCTTGCATGCTTTTACTTCTTGGATGTCGAGGTGACTCCTTTCTCCTCCGCGGATAACCCTGTTCTTTGCCAAAGCACATTGACACACTATACGCTCTCCCCGACTTTCTTTCAAATCAAATGTTTATTTATTGTCAGAAACACTCGGAGGGTGGTCTCATTTTTTCCGCTCTCAAGAAATATTCATACAGATGTACACGACACAACGTCTCCTTCGATGCTGACGGTGGATTCACCGTACCCGAGTTTTTTACTCTTACAATGGGAAGCCTTTTTTGCTTAGATGACAAGTTGTTCGTTACACGTGGGCATTTCGTATTGCTCTTTTCGATTTAATTTCTTTTACTTTTATTCAGTTTGAATCCCTGAATTTCCATTCAAAATCAAGCCTCGCATTCAAACAAAAAGTCACGGCATCTAAATAGATGTATGGATAGAAAAGAACTCGAAATAGTGCGGTGGTATTGTTTGGGGCTTACCTTTGTGTACACAAGACTTACAAGTAAATCGTCTTTTCACTGGTGAATAATTCCAAATTCCAAAACCCGTGTTTGTTTGCATGTATGGGGAGTAAACTTGTTTGCTCTTTGAATTTGAATGCATACATGGATAATATATCTGCCTACATATGTACGTGCATGCACATATGTACATAGGTATGCACGTACGTATACATATTATGTATGTTGTATCGAGTGAAAGTTTGTTCGCCATTTTTAGATTTTCTTTCACCAGACAAATCACCATCCAGTCAGCCAGCAAGAATTCCAGCAACTCTCATCACAGGTTCAAACCCTGAGAGAGGAGCATAGCAATAATTTTGTTTTGTGCTGAAGGTCGCAGCAGGAGACTGTGTTATGTACGTTCGTACGTCTATATGAATATGAAAAATCCAATGATAGAAGCCATATTTCTGTTTGTGATGGTTGTTGTGTGCAGAGCCTGGGCATCACCTTGTTTCCTGTGCTCGGCATGCTCACACCCAGCAATTTCTCATCATGGAACATCACGTCCGCATCACGGAGGACAAGTGGAAGTTTGAAGTGAAGTCATCCATCTCGTTGCTGCTGCTGCTGCTTCTTGTTGCCAACATTGTCAACATCCATCAAGGCACCGTAGCATTACACCCTGGCGCTAGGTATCCTACTCCATCATTTCAGCATTACCAATTCTCTGAGTGATATAGACCCGGAAAAGTAGAATTGGAAGAAAGTAAGCAAATGCTGGGTGACGGTGTAACGAGTGGAAGGTTCGAATTTTCACATGCATCCACAGAGAGAGAGGCTAGTGAAAGAGTTTGAAATGGAAGAAGAAGATGAAGAATAAGTAGTGGATGTAGTAATAAATGTATGAACTGACTCCACCGCACGATTGGGTACGTGCAGTCACAATGGGCCTGAATGGGCCTGGTGGTCGGGAGAAAGTGAGTCTGGGGAGAAGGACGAGGAGAGAAGAGGGATGATGATAAGGTTAGAATTCCGTCTACTCCATGCGCACTTTGTGCCCTAGATTAAGTGTGGGGACTAGGGCGAATATTTCTCTCACTGTCTCATGGAAATCAGAGAGAGAGAGAGAGACTTTCTTTCTTCTTACATATACTCGCCCTCCTCTCTCTCAGTGTGTTCCTCAGGAGAAAGCAGCCAGTGTGTGCATATAGCTGGGACAGCAGAGAGGCAGCAGCAACCATCAGCAGCAGCCGTGGGTCGGAGGTACGAGGAAGGAATTCGGTTAGGAGAAAGCTGCAGCTCAACTCTCCTCACTCCCAACTTCCCGAACTCCAAAAGTTACTTTCGCTCCCATCATAAATCCCAAGTTTTGTATAAAACATTCGGAGAAAGTCTGTCTCGCTAGTTCCTCCTCCACTTCCACACAACCAGGAGTGAGCACAATTACCCACCAGCCACCCAGGCTATGGACGGAAGGAAGAAAAAAAGGAGAGCTGTGGTCATCATCCCTTCAACTACTAGACGACGACCACTGTCAACCTCCTTGTCCTCTTAATTCACTATCAGGGAGAGGCCACTTTCACCGCCACGAGTAGTCCCCCCCATCATCAGCCTTCTGCAACGGCTGATCCGTGAGGCTCCGTTCCCTGTTCCCTAGCCCTGCACCAGCACCGCAACCTCCCCTTGGTTTTCCTATATGCAGTTTTAATAGCTCAAGTTATTTGTGGACATGCTGAAAAAAGTGGCCTGCACAGTGATTGCTGCCTCACTATTATTGTCATCGTCGTCATTGTTTGAACAAAGTGGTTTCCTCTTTTTTGGAATCATTTCATTGTTCCACCATCGGCGTCTTGAATGACAAGGAAGGTTGAAACTCAGAGCTACGGAGGCCGAGGGTGGCAAGAACGATGTGGTGGGGTGGACAGACCGGTCAGTGGGTGTGCTTGTCAGCATCATCATCATCTTCTTCCTCATTGCTATAAGAATGGTACCACCAACGACCCTAGTTTTTATATTTTTATGAGCTGGAGTAACGACGATGATGAGATTGAGAACCTCTCGGCTGTTCTTCGAGTGTCCATGTTTGTGTTGGTCCTCAGTTTGTGTTTAGCAGCCTCTGAGTGCGTTCTTAAGATAGAGAATGGACCCTGAGGACGGTTTTAATCGATTCAGGTACAACATTGTCTCGCATTAACCCATTTTTTCCCTTGTTTCTCCAGCTTCATGTTTATCTCTATTTCATCATTTAAACATACGAACACTGCTTTGCCCTTAACCATTGAAATGTTGCTTAATAAAATGCCAAGTTTTATGACCGGTAATTAATTGTTACTCTGAAATTTCAGGTATAGGACTCGGGTACAAGCTGTTGCGGTAATCGATATTGTACGGAAACTTTTTCTCTCTTTGTACTCGTTGTGTTCATTGTCGCATCGTCGCATGTCAACACTAGAATGCGAGACGAGTGGCTATTTCTGATTTACTTTCTGCACTTATGTACATGCTCAAGTTTTGTTGATTTAGACACGACACTGGATTATGTTCTGTTTGCTACTTGATCTTATTTCATGAACTCGTAAGCGATATAATAATGTTTCACTTTCCCTCTAGCTCGTCGGAACCATTCCCTTTATCAACTTAGCGTTTGATTTCAACAACAAAAATCTGGCTGACCTATATCCGGGTTAGTGTTTGACCATCATTTACTATTATGACACGACGTACTTATGTATAAATAATCGACAATAAACTGCGAGACATGGCGGTAATGGCCTAAATAATTCAGTTAGCCAGTCGAAACCATAATTTAATTACGCCGAGAAAGCAATCGGTGGGAAACGAAATACTTATTAGTCCTCTGCGGGCCAACGGAGCGTAATTGAGACCTCATTTTGGACGGTAGTCAGTGAAAGCCAGCGAGATTGCGATGGTAGGCGAGACCCTGATTGTTTGAAGTATTGATCGCCACCGCACACGATGCAGAAGAAAGGTTGGAGGAGTCTGATGGTTTCTTCTCATAATGATTACAAATCGTCGTCCCTGACGTTGAATTATTACTTGGCTATTCACCTTAATACCTGCAATTTAATTCCTCTGCCTGCCTGCATGCATCTCTTTGCACAGCGTATGACCCACGTGACCCAGGATGCCTTTCAAACTCAATTAGTTTTAATCTCTTTGCACAAAAAATAATTACTACCATTTGAAATCAATTTCCTTGTCCAAGTTCTTACAATTTTATGCATTTTGTGGAATATCAGAGTGAATAAATAACGCTGGATGGGGGAGAGGGTATTTAAAATACGAGCAGAAAATCGGCATGCTCAGCCCTCTTGCTGAATATAATCCTCCACAAAATCGGGAAACGGAAATCGTCTTAGGATATATTAATGTACTTATGTATGTACGTATGTAATCGGGATGTTTTTTTGTGTTACAGAAAGAGAAATGCTTGTACTATTTTGGAGCGTATTGCTGTGCGTCTATGTTCTTCAGTTGGTCATGGGCATATGGCTCCTAGCAGCGACGAGAGAGGTAAGCATGCCGAAGCAAATATAACCATTTAGATAGTTATCATTCACATCAGGAGGTTCTAAGATATTTATGAAAACATGCTGTCTCATGTTAACCCAATTTAATCAATTCATTTTTCCCATGCTTCTCCTCGGATAAATTTCATGCAGCTTTTGTTGGAATTTTCTTGTTGTTTAATTGAATGTTGATTAATTAATTATTTATTAATTGAAATGCACCATTCCCTTACAGACCTATTCGGAGTATACGATAGGCAATTGTCAGGTAGGTCTTAGGAGGGAGGTTGTTGAAAGTACCTGATTTTGATGCCATTGGGATATGGTGAAGTATGAATGTACTAACCCCCCCCCCTCCCGTTTGGTTGGATTTAGATTTTTTGATCTGATTTTGAAAAGTTTGAGTCAGTGTAACCCCAGAGACTTGGTTGCCGTATCATACCCAATATTAACCTAAACGTTTTTGAAATTTTGGTTGATTTTTTCGAAGACATTAGTCGAAAAAATTTCGTAAATACTAAAAAAAATTCCAAAAATTAAGGTTGAAATTAGAATAATAATGAACTGTCTATGATCAAGAACATGCCAAAATTATCTAAACCCGGAGGGGGGCGGGGGGTGTGTCAGACGAAAATGGACCAATGAAACAAAAACCTTCAGTTTTTCTACACTTGTCTCTTACCACACGAAATACAAAAGACATCAAAATCTAGTACTGCATGGTGCACAACCTCTGCTCCTTAGTCTGTGATTCACATATCCCTTTAATGCAGCATTTTATACATTTGTTAAATTCTGGCAGGTATGGTTCTACGTGGCCTGGTTCAGCTTGGTCTTCTACTCAGGAGAAATGGCGTACGACATCTCGTCAATTGTCAACGGTACGCCCAATAGCCGGAGCATCAAGCAAGTGTTTGTCACCATGTCCTACCACGCCGCAAAAATCATCTACAGAGCTACCACGTTGATGATAGTTAACAATTTTCTTTACGATATATGCCGTCCAGTTTGTAGATATTTATCTCAGGGAAGCTATCAATACAAATACTATTATCACACACGTCTTGGCCTCCCACTCCCCTCTCGGAGGGCATCCGTGGCAGTGCCCAGCTCGTATCCTTATCCAGTTCAAGCCAACAATCCCACGTATTCGGTCTACTCCACATACCCGCAGCCACACAGCAAAATGATGGCCAACAACAACAATTCCCATCACCCACCCCCACCACCCAGACCTCCGAGGCATCCTTCGGCCCCACAACAACGACGATGGCCACGAAACGCCCGGTCGAATGTTACATTTCAACACACTGACGGAATGGCTGTGAGACTCCAATGACATCCGGATCCGGCATTTAACGTCTTTGAGTGGCTCGTGTAACCTTTGTAGGCCTCTAGGTTTTGTAGGTGTACATACAAACATATTTACATATGTATTGAGTGTATACACCTGATGACGACAACAGATATGGACAATCCAGAAATTACCTCACATCACACACTTATTTTCATAGATTACCATAGACTATCAGAAATATATAGACGATAATAATATCTGAAAAGTGTGAAAAAACAGTTGGGACGTTCTGGAAATATATGTAGAAATGTATATGTGAAGCAATAACGCCGGGGCCAGTGCCCTCCCTGCCAAGACGTGATAAGTGATGATCAGATCTCCCCTCAGAGTTTTCGTGGTTGTTAATTGGTAAAGAAAGTGCCAAGAGCAGACCAGTGGAAAAAGTCCCCGAAGAACATTACCCATTAATTGAGAAGCAATTCGTAAGACTTTCATCCACAATAAAGGTAACTAAATAGGTATTTCTTAACCAACGGATACGTCACATGTCCGTCTATTACTGAAATAAGAAGACAATATATACAGACATGCCCACATGTCGTGCATGCAAAAATCCAAGACAAATAACCCGTGCGGTTCACGCACTCAATGAAACAATACTTCTCTTATCATCTTACCAAATCATGAGCTAAACCACAATTGGTTACATATTTCGTAACGCATCATGTCATGGTTTATGACAACATAACTTTTTTTACATAACCACTCCATGTGCTACGAGCATCTGAAATAACTGCCACTGTTCTCAATTTTTAATGCTCAGGTTTAAACGATTTGATTTAATTCGGAGGAAATAAATGTGCAATGACGGATGCTAATATTCATGTGCCAATCCTGATAATAAAAGTTATTATTATAACTCAACATGTATTTATACATTCACGGATCACAAGAGAGTGATTGCGATCTATAGGATGTATACGATGAGTAGTCGCGTTATACATATTTTCAGTGTCAATTTAAAAATTCTATAAGTAAAATGATACAAGATATACATTTTATGCCAGAAAATGTTAATATTTAGATGTAGAGACTATGGGCTAGCAAATAGATGTGATACTAACAAACATTCTTGCGTGTGTGCACAATAGAAAGTGCAGACATGTACTAACCGTTTGAGGTATGCTTTCTCGGAATAGCAAATAGTAGCTCTGTTATTAGAATTTTATACGTACCAATGACACCAGCAGAGGTACAGATTGTGACAATTGACACATGAATGTAATAAGAAATCCATGTGATTGTGTGACTATAAGGAAACCTACAATGCTACAGCAAGCAAGACAATATTCAAACAAAAATTTCTACAATAAATTAACACAAAATAAATTTATATATATATAACTAATTATGTAGCTTACGAATAATTGCAACAATGTTGAACAGAGAACCCCGTTCAGCAGATTATTTATAATAAATACAATACTATTGAAAAACTCAATCAACATACAAATTAGTCATGAAACGTCATAAATTTCTTTTACTGCATACAATATTGTTAAAATAATGCTTTTGCAAAAATGCAAAAGGTAATTCGCACACTTTACTAAACATATGTATGTAATGCTGAATGGGATAAAGTGGTGGAATAGATGCTCAAAACTTCTAAAAATACATCTTGTCTGTCTCCTTTACCACGATCACGATACAAAATCAGTCCTGCCACATGGGTTAAATAAGAGAACTTTTTCAAAAAATTTAAAGTGCATTATTTTAATGTTGTGTCTTTGAGAATTTTGAATTTTTACCAAAATACGCCGTTGCAGAAACATTTTAAAATGTCGAGCACGTGTCGTCGGAATAAGAAGGATTTTATGGAATTAGTCACATATGTCGATATGGTAAGAGAATATTTTTATTTAAATCACACCATGAAGGAGTTTCTGAATAAGTTTTTAATCATTTGCTGTTTCATAATGCAAGAAAATTCTAGACTCAATTTTACATATTATTTTTACACTAAGGATAAGTTACATGTCCGTGTATTTATGTACATAAGTGTTTATGTAACAGGGATTTGGAGCCTTGTCAGTTTTCTTCAGCACCCTTATTTTTATAAATTCATTGCCATTATCTCGGGAAGGGCATGAATTCGGTAAGAATCTGTCAGTTAGCAAATCCTTAATCATTAATATTTCTGTCACTTGTCTCTTTGTCCTGAAAACTAGCTCATGACGCAACAACAACATTGTTTATGGCTTCCATTTTCGTTCACTTTCTTCAACTTTTCCATGCAATTCGACTTCTCAACAGCACCGAGGTAATACAAATAATAGTATTTGGATCATCAGTCATAAAATGTCACTGTTTGAGTTTCTCGTCTCTATTTCCTCAGCACCAGAATTTCCAAGATAATCCACAAGAATCTATACGTTTGGCCAATTCGTGGCAATTTTGGTCCATACTTTTCCTCGTTCTTCTTCTCGTCAAGTTTTATATTGTTTATCGATGTTACGGACATAGCTTCTCGTTTGTGCTATACTCAATCTTCATCGGTCTAGAATTCTGCTTTAGAATTCATTCCAGGTACTCTGTCAAAGAATTTATTTATGAGATTGAGATGAATTTGTCCAGTGAATATTATCGTTGGAACCAATAAACGTTAACAAAAGCCTTGAGTAATAAGGTTGTCTTAAAATATCTCGTATAACACATACACACATATGCACATACATATACATCCAACTTTCACATCCTTCTTGCTCCTTTGTTATCCCATCAGAAAATTTTACGCTTAACAAGCATGTAAGTATTATTTGAAAATATTTTGCATCTAATTATTGCGAGCTCAGTGTTCATTTTGGAGCATCGAAACAACAAAATGCATGGAACATTGAAGTTGATATCAACCTTAATGCTGCATATAAATTTGATGAATGTTAAATCTGTTCAGTAATAAATAGATGTCAAGGGCAGTTCGCCAAAAAATCTGAAGTGAAATATTGAAAGATGGAACTGAAAATGTCTCAAGTGACGTAATACATACGGCTGTTTTTAGTTCACCACGCTTCAATGTTTATAGGTTTAGTATCTATTTTATTCAGGGTATTGAACGCAGTTGACTTTCCACCATGCTCCAAAACGATAATATATCCGTACAAAATGAGCAAATTCGAGTCTTAAAATAATTTAAATTGCACTCTAAGTAGCAAAATAAGCGGTAAATTATTAGTACAATGGATATTCTGAAGGAAGGAGACGCCAAGTCCAAAATAGTCAGCATAATCTGCATTGTTGATCTCGTAAGTTTTTACCTTGCTTAATAGATAGCAGTGGAAAGCCAAAATAGTGCTTCAATTGTGGTTTATACATATGTAAATGTTGTGTCTGTTACAGATTCAACCAGCGATAATTATCCTAATCCGTGCTTGGTCAATTATTTTTCGATCTGCAGTCAGTGATACAGAATTTATAATCTCCGAGCACAGTGAGACTTTCAGTGATGAAAAACGAGCAATAATGGCGAAATGTTACATTTTTTCAACTTTTCAGACTCATCAATTGTTGTCCTTCTCTTTGCGGTTGTAATTTGTTTCTACGTCATTCATCTGACGATTGGTTTAAAACTATTCAGTGCACTCGAGCAAGTAAGAAACCATTAAATTTGAGTATGGATATTAAATTTACAGTATCCGTGACTTCTGAATGTACAGATGGAATGTGATGCACTCTTGGCTGCTCGAAATGCTAAAGTGTGGCAAAGCTGGTCCATCATTTTTCTCTTCTTTTTAATTGGAAACCTATTCGCGAATATTTTGTCTTCAACGGCAAAGATCGCCATTGCATATGCCACAATTACTGGAGTTTGTGAAATTGGATGGAGGCTGTTTGGAATTTATTACGTGGGTTTATTCATTGATGAATTGGTGGAGAGGATACCAGGAAATATAAATCTGGTTCCTACCATTAAATTTTTTGGAGTAAGATTTCCACTTGCATCAGAATCCAGCAGAGATGAATTGGAATAATTTTTGTTACTTCGACATTGCAATAATGTAAAACTTCGCAATAAACTATTTAAAATAAAAGTCAACATTACGCAAAATTTCTTATTTCGTCGACAGATTCTTGCAGCCACAATTTAGTAATATGTATGTACGACTGGCTATAAATACTCATACATGCACACGTAAATATGTACATATGCTCATTAGCAGGTAAGTATTCAAGAAAGCTCAGGATCATCACACCATCATCTTGTGTATGAAAATCCGTGTGTGAGGTAAAAACTCTCGTTAATAATGCTTCACAACCGACATGAAAATATGAGCACTAGAAATCATCTTTGCTAGAAAAAGCAAACAGATCCAACGGATCTGATTATAAATACAAAGTCCGGATGCCAGAATTACTTCAGGTTGAACTGGAATTTTAAACACTGTAAAAGTTATGTATGTTATTTGCAAACTGACATTTAAAGTTTAAAGCAGGTAGATTTTGCAAGTATGAAAAAATCTCCAGTTTCATTTCTGATTTCTTTAACTCGGTCGGCTTCATGTAGCTGAGATCATCTTAAAAAATAATTTTGCAATCAGACGAGAATTTTCTGAAAATCTCTAGTGAAATAAAAATATAGTTACGTTTGAGGATGACTTCTGCCTCTTACGACAACAATTTTGCACTTGCTACATCGTCTGATCCTCAACATAGAGTTAGCAGTACTAGGACAATTGCTGGAACAAATATGGTAAGGCTAATTTTGTTCTGTATTAAACAATAATGAGTTGTTGTTTGTCTTGTCATTGTGGCATCACGATTTGAATTGCAGTTTATCTCAGTAATTTCACTAGTCTACCATATTTGGACATTCATCCAAATTCTTAGAAATCCCAAGTCGGTTGAGAGCACTGGTAAACCATTATAAAATATTTAGCTATTTTTTTTACTTGATTGGAATTAAATTTCATTCTTCATGTAATATAATGTAAGAAATCTTTATTGAATGTAGGGCAAACGGAAGCAGTGGTTTTCATGGGCCTCGTGATTATGATTCTAATAAGCATCATTTTGCTCCCTGTGTCGTGGAGTTTGTTTAAAAGCGTTCGAATGGTTAGCGAAGACCTCAATTCTGCATAATTACTTTTACTCATGAATCACCAGGTCAAATAGTTTATCAGTCCGGTTTAATTGACTTTCAGATAAGAAGCTCTCCGACGGGAGTAATACGAACCTGTCGCTGCTGGAGGAGGTGGATGTGGAGCTTTCTCACATTTTTTATCGTGTCTCTCATGATTTTGGTCCTTAGCACTGCAGACAAGGTACACCAAAGTGTGGTTCAGAACTACATGGCAGGTCTTTTAATCATCAGTACTTTAACCATCTATGGGCTCTACTATGTTGGAAAGCTAGTTGACGATATTACTTTGTATAATGAAAATATGGGCACGAATTTGGACCCCCAACTTGTCTGTTCAAACAGTGGAGTTAGAGGTTCAGATACCGCAGAAGATATGGGTTCCAACATTACTTTTGTTGGTGAAAGATAAGCTCAAAGAGCGCTCATTACTGTAACCAGCAATGTTTATATACGTACATGTATATATACGACGTTTATATACAAACATAATTATACTAAACTACAACATTTTAACTTGACGGTGGGCTCATCATTATTGTCATCACATTTCTCCGGATTTCCCGAATGATGTAAGCACAGTTTAATAAAAAAAAAAGTGTAAGCAGTTATTTTATTAATAATTTTTTCCTCTCCGATTATACAGTATCATGACCATAAACACAGAAAATAAATCTCTGTCACACAATGCACACGACCTAATTTAGCAGTTGGATATTAAGAACGAGGTGGAATCTTCTATAGGTGTTACTGTTATTTAAGCCAGTAGTGGCAGAGCAAACCTTTGATAAGAATTCCATTATGTACATAAACAAAATCAGTATATGTAAGTGAGGCGCGGTTCCAAGTCAGATATTGGCATCAACCTCCGATCAGATTCAAAGACTATCGACGAGCATTTAAAATGACTAGCATAAAACATTAAAAGTTTGCGATTACATTCAGTTCGGAGAAGTTGGGAAAAGGCGACAAGATTCAAAGACGATTCATTCATCCAATGCTTATGTATAGCGATCTAACTCTGCTTTTCTATAACACGTCTCTCGTTTTCCAAAATTTCCCAGAGTACAGACAAACAATCCGAAATATCTAGTAATACAAATGGCTAAAAATAAATTACCATCCACTCGAGAGTGGATGCGGATGAAGGTATGGCTCGGAAGGAGCTTTAACCGTCTGTTTCTGTTTATTTTACTCACTCTCGAGCTGTATCATTGAAGATTGGCTTCCCCTTACAACATAAGCAACTTATACATACGAGGAGAGGAGCATATGTACATACATTCGAACAGGAGATTTCGATTCTAATAAACATCTAAACTGATTGTACGCACTGGGAACAATGATACCATGTGGCGAGTGTGTATTTTCTCAAGATAAATTATGAGAAAAGCACACTTTACTATCTTCAACGCTGAGGGACGGACCCAGCTTTGATTTGGAGGGCAGTGTAATGTGACAACATCATGGCGACGACTACGGGCGGTGTAGTGGTGGTGGAGCCTTGGAGAAAACAAAATATTATTCAGGCCATCGCAGCCTTGGACATTGTAAGTTTTACATATTTTTAGCCTTTCTGATCATTTTGGATCATTTTCATATTGATTTTGTGATTTAGAATTTTAGAATACATTTTTTTTTTTATTAATTTCAGGTAATTGCAACGTTGTCGGTTTTTTATAATGGTAAAACCCTTCTTGTAATATTTGACGGACTTCACGAACACGGGGAAGAAAAAAGTAACCCTTACTTTAAACTATGACTCACTCAAAACTTGGAAGCCTAATTATATGTGCCTGTGATTTTCTGTTTGTACATATTTTCAGACTGGCCATTCATGATACTCGTTCTCTCCATCACCTTTGGGATACAACTGTTTGGCATTGTTCTAGCCATGATGCTCTTCAAATCGAGTAGAGAGGTGACAATTTCTAATACGTATTTTATCGCAGTAGAGCTCAGTGCTTGGTGACAATGCATTTGATTTAAAAATTTCAGGAGTCTTCTACTTTAGTCCAAGCGATTTGCATAACGAAGGTTTGGCAGGTCGTGTCCATATCATTTTTGTTCTTGTTAACGGTGGAATTTTATGTGGGCTTGAGGACATTCGAGTACAACAATTATATTGTGCTCTTCTTTGCATTCATAGCATTTAAAGTGGGGTGGAAAATTTTTACAATTTTATATGTGCAGACATTTAGAAAAGATCTTGAATCAGGTTTATCACACAATTCTGCTGAAGATGAGCAGGACCATCTCAGTTTAACTCCAGTGTTTCGCATGGTAATTACTAGTCCAGAAAATTGTGATGTTGACGTAAGCGACAACGAAACTGACCAGCAGCAATCGAGCACAGACATTGAGCATAAACATGAAATGAATATATATAAGGATGTGAAATAATAATTTATTAATTTTAAGACTGATAACTACTAAATACACATTTGTTTAATAATGATTTTCCATGATCCACAATGTAATTCATAATATCCATTCCTCATGTCAATTAGTTCACAAGTGTACATACATATTTGCATCTTGGAACAGGCATCCAAAATTGTAGTATGTATAACCTATTCAGGAATACTATTTAACATTTCGTGCTAGTTTACATACGAACGCTTCTATTTACCTGTGTATTGCACTCTTTCATTAATTTTATATTCAAGATTAAATTATATGTACAACTATGCGCACTCTTAATTGTGTGTACCCTGCATATGTATGTACATATGTATGTGCAAAATTACGCACGATGTATGACCCATGTGTGACCTTCTTAATGTATTAAGTGAGTATACGCAAGAAAAAGTTGTTGTCTGAATTTATCAAGGAAATACAAAGTCCAACAATTACTTGTGACAAATAATTTGCTAATCTATGACTAATCCATCTTTTATCCCAGAAAGTTGACCATTGGGTCACAATGTTGAATGTCTAAGTTACGACTTGCGATGTCTCAACCACGCAAACACGTCGGTATGCAGTACTAATTTAATATTCGGATTTCAAAGATGGATATATAATAAAGGAATACCTTAAAAAGTTCAGTTGACTATTAGAGATTAAAGATCCAAGGATGGATAAAAATTCGGAATCTATTGTCTAATTTTCTCTACACGTTATTGCATTCGTATCAGCATGACATCACATCGTCGTATGCATATTATCCTTAACAATGCTCTATTTTCTCAACGAAAGTAGTAGGTTGGGAGTGTCGATATTACTGCTGTTATTCAATCAACTCATTCACTTTTGCATTGTGCAGCAGATAGAGTTGTTGAGACCTGAGAGGGGAAGATGGACAATAGAAATGTTTTTAGAGCAGGACAGATTTGAGACTAAATTAGTTTTCTTATCGACGGATAACATTCATCATCACATGCCAAACTCTCGAAAAATGAATCCAGAATAATAACAACTCCTTGACACACATGTTACAGCAAACTGAGTTGGTTTATTATTATTGATAAAAATGGAATGAATTTGGAACAGACTTGCATAATTATTATTTCTGCATAAGTATCATGGATCCCATATGGCTCATGTGTGTTATTTTTGTGTCAACAAGACTACACTTCGTCCGTCTCGCCTTGCCACGTCGAGCATAAGCATATAAACAAATAAGCCAACCCTTGATTCTACTTCCCAACTTGGTAATAATAAACGGATGTTGTAGTTTTACCAGCATGTCATCATCCAACGCGCAGCTTGTTTCCGCTGGTGTGTTTGCCAAATGTACTTTTCCTAGAAATCACTCTTACGTGTAGGTACATACGTGAAGCAATCATGCAACGCCAATTTCGGGGGACACATTTACGATAAAATTAATGTCTCTCCTATTGACCATCAAATCGAACTGGGTAGAATTTATGTACAGGGGCATCAAAACTCGATCAAATTTTGCTATTGTTTTTTGCACACTCTGAAACTCGTGCTTTGTTGTAATCACAAACAAACTCAGCAAGGGTTGGCCCCCTCGGCTTCCCAGTCCAGGGGACCACGAGAGTGAGAGAGAGAGAGTGAGAGTGGAGGGTGACTCATGATATTTTCCAATGGACCAGATTGTCATGAAATATTCAACACTTGGTAATAAAACATTCATGTGTTAAGAACAACGCTCCCCCACTTATTATTCTGTCTTACGACAGTGCAGTGACTACCCCACGTAGTAATTTTCAACATTCTGGTCTACTCATTCATACGACAACAATATACAAACTCCTTAAAAAGTAATACTCCAAATTCTCAAGTTTCTTTATTTTTGACACTATGTGATGTGAGCAATAAGTGAACACACCCTGATAGCGAGTGAGTGAATGAATAAGTCAAATCCTCCTCTAAGTTATGAGTAATCATGTTAACGAATTTTTCATACTTTCCTGCAGATTGGTAATGAGATCCGCACATTAGTAGTACGACATACACCTCTTCGCTCGTGCGAGTTAGTATACACAACAATCTCCTCATCCAAACAACTTATTAACAGGACGACCCAACTTACTTTTAGTCCCAACTTTCGAGAGTTTTCATGCAACCGTGTGAATACAGTATTTCTTTAATTTGCATCTAATTAAATAATAAAGTATGCACTAATATATTTAATGCACTTGTGAATGTGCCGTGTGAAAATAAATCTAACGAAAACAAACTAATTCAAGTGACCCTGAACTTTCCGGATTAATAACTGACGTTAAAAGTTGAGTGGCCTGACTGACATTTGATAAGTTGGACAAACTAATTAGCACAGATATTTATAAAAGTGTGAAACATTAAAACTTGAGTTTGGGGTTTAAAATTCAACGAGAGCATTTGAACATTATATGTGAGCGTATGTGGGTGTCAAATCAGTGACAAGTGTATTTTTACGTATTTTTAAGAGCACGGAGTATCCTTGCTCGTAAATACATATATGCTATTGAGTAACTGAGTTTCAGTCGAGATAAGAGTGAATTGTTCAAGTTGAATGCTGAATGCTGATACAGGGATTCTATTGAATTGGGCGAGAGTGGAATCCGTAATCAGAAAAGACAATAAAACCAAAAGCTGATCGAGTGGTGTGGTGTGTGTGTAGTATGATGAGTTGGACATACCAATTCTACTGAACTTGAGACTTTTGTGTAATGATGATACACAAATAACCAACATTATTTTACTCACGCTTTATTAATGTGAATATTTGCTTATTAGTAAATACATGGTTCATACACGTCTGCATACTCGTTCACAGTCAAGTGAATTGAATTACATACAACTCAACTTCCAAATATTTGCTGGATGAGTTATTGCAGTAAATGACATCATTCACCACATAGTTTAGCCACAAAAGAGGAAATAATAGGTTATCATTGCAAAACTGATAAGATACAGCGAGATTGTCTCTCTCACTGGTTTCCTCTCTAAAGTGGAGATTTAATTACTCCAGGCCAATTGCTAAATAGCAGCACACCAATCTAGGTGTGGCCGTTTATTTTAATAATTCTTCCCCTTTGCCTCACAAGGAATTTTCAAATTTGAAATTAACATGGAAAGAAATAGCAAATCCCCAAGTCCGAGCCCTCCTGGACTCAGTGATGAGGAGCGGAACGAAATCCGGGAAGTATTCCAAGCAATCGACAAAGACCGGAGCGGCTTCATAGACTCGAAAGAGCTTAAAGAAGCCTTGGATGGGGTGGGACTCAAGCTGCCAGGATGGCAAATTCGCGACCTTATCCAAACCTATGGTAATTTTTCCTTACTTTCACCGACAAGAGATTCAAAATAATTGACATATGAATAGTGTAAATACTAATCCAACGAGATCGGCCCACTTTAGTACAGGACAGATTTTTTATTGCTCAATGAATTTGGACAAGTTGACATGTTAATTGACATTTGAGACGGATACTTTTACGAATACCGTTACTACCGTGTTACAAAAGAACGGATCAATTTTAAAATTGCCGTTTGAAGTAGCGATCATTAAATCGGGTGGATTTGGCTGATGGGATGACGCAGTCTGTATCAGGATTGTTTCCCTTTCGTTTTCGTTGAAGAAGAGTAAGAATGTTTTGTCCCATATTTCTTGCATCTTGGGGACCTCCACATCAATTGTAGTCACTGTTTTTGACAAAATACAGCAATTTTAAAATTGTTGTATGACACAAAATATGGTTGAACTTTACACCTACAATTCACGGCGCTCTCATCCGTGTCGAGTGGTCGACCTCGTCCTCGACCCACACCGCGTACCCGAGGTAGGCCCCTGCCTCGCCCAATTCCTGAACCTACACCAAAAAGACCTTTCGTGTTGAGATTATGATCAACTCCTGCTCAATTACTGTGATTCATTGACTTCACCTTAATACCGTTAAATTTTGACAGATTCGTCAAATGCGGCCCACCGAGGAAAGTTGTCATTGGACGAGTTTGAAGCTATGTGTTCCAACCTCAAAATGAAAGATGTAGCAAAGTCCTTCAAACAAGTTGTCATCAAGAACGAGACGCTTCAAACGATTGGAGGACTGTCCTACGCTTCTAGTGAAGGCACGACACATTCAATTCGTTTGGAGGAGCAATTAGCATTTTCACACTGGATCAATGAACATCTTGGTCACGACCCCGACTTGAAACATTTGCTGCCAATTGACGCCGAGGGTAAAAATCTTTACGACAAAGTCAAGGATGGAATCCTCCTCTGCAAGATTATCAACCACTCCTGCCCCGACACAATCGATGAGCGAGCCATCAATAAGAAGAACTTAACTCTGTATACCAAGCATGAAAATCTTACCTTGGCCCTCATGTCGTCTCAAGCCATTGGTATTTTGCCTTATAATGCATTTTCCTTACCATTACATAAATAACTGCTTGTTAATTAAGAACTTTAATTTTATTTATAGGTTGCAATATTGTCAATATCGATGGGAATGATTTGATGTTGGGAAAACCACATCTTGTTCTTGGCCTGTTATGGCAAATCATCCGAATTGGTCTTTTCAGCCAAATTACATTGGAGCATTGTCCTGGTAAAGATAATACTTGAGTACAAAGATCCCGATACATGATCAATAGGATTTTGGTTTTAAATCTCAGTTTTCCAAATTTTCCACAGGTCTCGCCCACTTATTGTTGGACGGTGAAACCATTGAAGACTTAGTTCGCCTTCCTCCTGAAGCAATTCTTTTGAGATGGGTCAACTACCACCTGGCCCGAGCTGGGGTTGCACGCAGGTGCACCAACTTTCACAGCGATATCCAGGATTCAGAAATTTATATTCATCTTCTTAGTCAAAGTAAGTTTATTAAGAGACAGATCTTGCTCATGGTGGATTTTATGAAAAAATGTTAGAATTTATATCTTATTATTACCAAAAACTCTAATTTTTCAAGTTGCTCCAAATGATGCCCATGTTACCACCAATGCACTCATGGAAAATGATGCTCATCAACGTGCTGAACTGATGCTGCAAGAAGCTGATAAATTGGGATGTAGGGCATTTGTCACTCCTTCCGATGTAGTGAAAGGTGTGCACAAGTTGAACTTGGCTTTTGTCGCCAACTTATTCAACAATCACCCGGGTCTGGATAAGCCCGTTGATGGAGTTGAGTTCATAATTGAAGAAACTCGAGAAGAGAAAACATACAGGAATTGGATGGTATGCATTGAACAGTTTTATCGAGATAACTAACACTGATAAGTTTACCTGCTACGTGGCATGTATGCGGCTTATGTCAATATTATGTGGATCGTGATCTTGAATTATATCATCATGTAATTTATCTGGTTTTTGACAGAACTCAATGGGGGTCACTCCTCATGTGAACTGGCTCTACTCCGACCTTGCAGATGCGCTGATAATTTTCCAACTTTATGATACGATTAAACCTGGAATCGTTGATTGGAACCGTGTTCATAAAAAGTTTTCAAAGTAAGTTGCATTTTTAAAGAATGCCTTAATTTTAGAACCCCATAACAATCGAAGCGAATCACTCATTCATGTTCATTTTGTTGATTTACAGACTTAAAAAGTTTATGGAAAAATTGGAGAACTGCAACTATGCTGTAGAATTGGGAAAGAAGTTAAAGTTCTCCCTCGTGGGGATTGCTGGTCAAGATATTTCTGAGGGAAATCCAACCCTTACATTGGCTCTAATTGTACGTATTTATTACCTACTTTGTAATGGAACAGTCAAGATATTTTTGTTACAATTAATAGTGGCAACTTATGCGAGCCTACACTTTGTCTGTGCTCACCAAATTGACAAATAGTGGAGACCCTATCACAGAGAAGGAAATTATTTCATGGGTGAATGAAAAATTGGCAAATTCCGGAAAGACCACCAGTATTCGCAGCTTCCAAGGTTTGTATACTTATTTTGCAGTATTTAATTAAATGCCTGTACCCCTCCTTTGGAAACGCGGAATGGCATCAAAATATTAGACTACTTCTTGCCGACTAAACATTTATTTTTTCATAAGATGGGAGCATTTCCAATGCTAAGGTTGTGTGCGACTTAATCGATGCGATAAAACCGGGAAGCATCAACTACGACGTCCTTAAGGACACCGGAACGGAAGCGGACAACTTAGCAAATTCCAAGTATGCTGTGTCGATGGCAAGAAAGGCCGGTGCACGAATTTATGCGCTACCCGAAGACATTGCTGAAGTGAAGCATAAAATGGTTAGTAATTTCAAATTGGCCAAGTAATTATTAAATGAAATGTGACATTAAAGGGATGTATGATTGGCAAACCTCATGGTTAATCTGAAAACACGTTAATATGTAATTACGTAAAAAATTCTATTTGGCTAAATAGTTATATTTTTTCAGGTCATGACAGTTTTCGCATGTTTATATGCACTTGAGATTTCGCTTGGACTGGAAGCTCGTGTTCAGTAAAACAATTTTGAAAATGGAGTAATTTATTGTGTGAAGACAAATATATACAAAAATAAATATTTACTAGCACCTAGATTTGCTAGCATCATTGGAACATTTAAGTGTCACACAGTATTAAAAAGTTGAATAATTTGTAAATATTATTATGAAAAAAGTTTCCGATCGCTGGAAGTAAAATTTGCAAAATGCAAAGCTTTATAGCTCGTACCACCTTCACAGTACACCTGCCAACTTCTGAATGTAGTAAAAGACAATGCAGTCTTTATACCGTGACCATAAAATTGTTATTTATGTAATAATTTCATTGCCAATATTGGGTTGTATTCTTCTTAATAAACTGTCGTATTAATAGAGGCGGTTCACATGGAATGCTTTTACCAGTTACCGAAAGCTTTAGTGATTTATGTACCATTGCGATATGTATATTTTGTCTTCTCTTATCTTCTGATAAATAAATGACACTCTTGTTGTCTCCACAAATGCATGCATATTGTGCTACATTGTAGTTGAAATGAGTTATTATTTTACGTTGCCAAACTCAGCCAAAGACTTTTTGCTCTGTCATATTGTCTGATCATGACGAGTGATTAATCATGAGTTTGACAACGTATGTAAGCTACGTACAAAGGATCAAAGATCTGTGCATGTTTTGGCAAGAAATCAGCTCACCTAGACAGCCTTTATTACAAAAAGTAGCTCATACATATAGTCCTCACCTCATTACATATGTACATGTAGATACTCCTTGATAAGACACCCATCGAACTTTAGAATATAAAATTCAAAAGTAGAAAGGGTACAGTTAATGATTCTCTTTTGAACCGAACCAAAATATTAGCTCAAGAACTCAATGTCAAGAAAAGCATCTTCTTTACGGCGGCTATAGTAAATTTGCATTCATATCTAAAGTGGCAGAATGATATGAAATGCTTCAGTTTCGGTTTACGTCACAATCCGAAACCGGTGAAATGGAAGCAGCTGAAGCAGCAGAAGGTTGGAGAAAATGGAGATCTAGACATCTCTCTTTTGCTACAATACGTCGCAGACGGTGATGAGAATCCAACCGCAAGAAAAATGAAATATTATACCGCAAGCGTACTCTCCCACCATGACGTATCCGAACTTTTGCATATATTTATATGCCGCACACACACACACAAATACATACACGCTTTACTTTTGCATTTTAATTTTACTCCCAAAATATGATGTCACCTTGATCCCCTTCTTTCTTAGCGTTTCATACCATTTCATGTCTGTTCAAGTTTTGATTTACTTCGCAATCTGGGTAACGACACACGGCATCTCTTTCAACAACTCCAACCCTTCGTGTCAATTACCTTGCCTTCACGATTCTGCTTCCGCCTCCTCCAGACTTTTTTCGCGTTACTTGTCTCTAGTCATAAAAAAAGGAGATCGGTGTCCATAAAATGAAATAAACGTGTGTCCCGTCCTATACCCACGTGTTCCAATTTACTATAATCGCAAATTGTTCAAAAATGTCAAAAGTTCGTGACGACTCGAGAAGGGACCAGGGCGAGGTTCGGTTAATTGCAGTGTTCGACATGGTATGCATGTGTTCCATATTTTAGTGCATGATTTCTTATACCACATAATAAGGTCATCATTCATTGGTGATGGGATCTTAAAACAAGTAAAATTATCCTGGCATTATTACATTCTTAATGAAAATGTTTCTGTATATTCTAGATCTTGTCTCTCGTGCTATTCGGATTCTACTTGAGTGTAGTGTTTGCCACAAAAACAACCATATTTGAAGTCCCTAAAGGACCATTCTCAACAACAGGATGTGAGATATTCGTGTATCAATTTGTCCGATATTTTTGTAGATCTAAATAACTCTTTAAAATTTGTAGTGACAATCATCTCTTTGATTATTTGGGCAGTGGTATTTGCACTCACGTACCTTCAACTCTCCACTGCATACAGGTTGTTTGTGGTCACTTTCCAGGTTGGTCATCTCCACGTCTGTATGCATTCTTACGCAGTAATGATTAAATAATTTATACCAGTTGTTAAACTACTGACACTTTATGAATACATTATAGGACGCTCTCGGACCTCACGCATCTGTAGAACGGTCACTTGCTTGGTTGCGACTATCGGCTGTAATATTTATTTTTATAGCATTTAAAATTATATTTTGCTATTTAAGATTTGAGAAGCTAATTTGGTTTTTTTGGGTTTTATGTGTGATAGAATTTCTAGTACGATTTTTCGGGGTATATTTTGTTAGAGAATTTTGTGACGATTTAAAGCATCACATTAGGATAAGCGCCTTGCAACCATCAAAATATTCCAATAATCAATCAGTTCCAGTAGTGGTTGTAAGTAATCATGTTGAAAACGTTTAAAATACAATATGTTAGTTAAGTTTTTTTTTGTTTTTAACTTTCTCCGATTACTAAATATAGGAGAAAGTTATGCAATACATAAGAAAATATATTTATAATTCATATCAGAGTACTTATATTATGTTGTAAAATTCCATATAGAGTAAAGGATGTGCATATTTAACCTATTACATATTTGAGTTATAATTATTTTCTGATGTCGAGACAAATGTAAATAAACAATCCTGTGTTGCGAAATTTCACAGACACTTACGTGCTTATGGGTACATGTGGCAGTAATATGTAGACACGTTTATCTTGAGCTTTAGTTTATTGTAGGACTAACTCAAATATAATGTGTGAGACCCAATTTTTGTAAATATATTGTCAAATTGTAGCTTATCAGTACAAGAAGTCATTTTTTGAATTTCAGGAAATCATGCAATAGTCGTTCACTCGCCTAAAATCATGAAGAACTATCTGTAAATATACAGGCTTAAGTTCAATACATTGTGATACAATAGCTCACCTACATGAAAACATTGGGTTTCGAAGACATTGGCTTAAATGCCAATGTTAACGAAACCAGGAAGTAGATTCAACATTTAAATAGCAACGACAGTAGGCGGAAAGACGTATGTATTTACATATACATAGATTGTGAGATAGAAAGCCTTCTTTCCTCTGATTTTATGTATCAACTCAAACTCTGGTATGTTCATAAAATTTGAGTTTGGTCAATTGTTTTTATTGTACTGTAATACTTACAGCACGATACAGTTCAAATAGTCGGGCGCATGTTCAATTGCGAGGAATGTGGTCGTAAATGGCATGAGACATTAATTTAAGTTTTTGGCAAAGGGTGGAATCTCAGTGTGTGTACTATTTACCGAGAGTTCTTAGAAATTCCTCGGAGATAATCAACACGATTGTGTTTTAATAAGACATCTGCATCTTCATAATTCTTAAGCCTTAAATCTTAAAATCTTGATGTTCACCACATGCAGTTTTATCTGTGTATTTAGTAACAGCGAGGTCAAAAAGTTTTGGGAAAAGTTGTGAATTATTCGAATCTTTGAAGTCACAGCTTGTCATCTATCATCGCTGTCGTTCCGAAATTTGATGATACATGTAAATCATTTAAAGACTCAGTTTGGTGAATCCAATATAAGAATTTTAGTGATAATTGATGCAATAATTTTTCATGCGACCGCCCATCGTATCCGCCTACTATATACATATTATGCCGTTGGATGGGTTTCGTATTACATAATTTGATGAGCTCATGTATGTAAGACAAGTTATTCCCAATTTGTCAACCTATGTATATCACGAAGTGGGAGTTCGCGCATGGTGTCGTGGAATTGGCGAGATAATCACTCATTGTCTCGGATTAAGATGTAACTCTAACACGGAGTACAGATCCGTACATCATTCATTGGACTGATCTTCGGAGACTTGCCAAAGCAATGCTTTAATGCTTTTCTTTCTGATCCGAGTTTGTGAGTCAGGATGATCCGAGACTAATAACAGAAATGTGGCTGTCCTGTGACTCCTTCAAGTATGTTTCCACTCTCACTTTATTTAAGACGTGGTTGTAATTCGTGTGAAGGCTAAAAATACTTTTCCACCTCATCATCCATGTTGAGAGATCGGTGTACTTCCCAACAAACTTGTTCACGTAAGAGACTGTCGGTGTCTTCTTGCTTGAGGCTTGTCTTTCCTCTCATATCACATATATTTGTACTGGTGAAACAAAGACAAGTTGTTGACTATGAGGATAAGTACTTGTCCAAGTACAAATGTTTGACGACCTAACTGGATATATGTAGTCTTTCATCACAAAGCAAACATACGTAAACGCTCCATTTATGCTATGAGTATACTTTTTGAATGAACACATGCCTTTCCTATTTGCAATCTTCAAATTAAGTGTTTGAGCAAGCAGTATAATAAGTGCGACTCGTTTTGAAATAGGCATGCCTAATATGTATGCATACCGAACGCTCTGTTAAAATCAGTCGAACACAGGAAGTCTCCATGTAATGAGATCATATAGATTCAGATCATCCTATAATACCGTGAAGATTAAACTCCAACAAAGGAAGACGAGGTACGAGCGTGGTTAGAAAATTATAACCTTGATTTGAAGTTTATAAAGATTTATTAAGAAAAGTTGAATTGTGATTAAAATTGTGACAGCAGGGAGGTCAGGCAAGACACAGGTGCAGGATTTTAATCATTCTTAAACGTGACAAATCGTGCATCGTTTATCGAGCAGCCGGGACTTGCTACATATATATTTTCAAAATGGCACAGTCAGATCCGTGGAAAAATCGGAAATCAGTACGAATTTGCGCTTGCCTGGACATGGTATGAAAAAGCTTATGCATTTGTGACTGAGATTTTAAACTCGTTATGAATTCCGTATTGCTCATGTTGGAAATTTTGGCCCACAGATTTTTGCACTGCTCGTCATTTCTGTCTATATTCTCAGAGTAGTATTGGAAAATGTAGACGAAGAAGAAGGCAGGTTGTCCAAAGGATTTTTCAGACCTGGTGAAAGTAATCGAAGATACGAATATAAAATTCATGCCATTTACATATGTATGATATTTATATTCTCATTACTTACTACTTATTAACAGAACCTGCAATTACTTCCGCACTTTGGGCTGCTGCATTTATCATCAACGTGACTCAATTTGCTTTAGCATATTTGCTATTTTCCGTTGTAAATAAGGTGAGAATTGCATATGTGTAAAATACTTATATTCATGGCGCATGTACCTACTTATACATATATGTAACAATTGTTGCATGTTGCATAATCTTGTAAATATAATAATTGTTCGATTGTTCTGATTTTTAAGGGGTTGGACGAGTCGGAATGTGCAATTCAAGCCAGTCGGTCAAAGTACTGGCTGATTTTTGCGAATATAACATTTGTGATGCTCATCTCCAAGTTTATTTTCTTTGTCTTTTTCGACAAGGGGAACGATTCTCTCGTGAGAGTGCCCATGCTCATCCTCTGTGTGACCGAGCTGTTCTTCAAAGGTTACGCAATGTATTTTGTAAAAGAGTTGGTGGACGATTTGAAAGCGACCTTCAATTCAGGCACAGCCAAGGTGCAGTACATTACCGTCGTGGATGGAAAACGGTTGGTAGATCCTCGTTCTAGTGTTTGAGGTAGAAAACTGAATACGTAACACAATCGTGTACGTATTTAAACTATGCAACTTTCTCCATTTCAACGGATAATCGCCCAATTCACAACGAATTACAGAAATCTATGTGATGTTAAAGGTTGCGATGTTCGGGAACCCTGCTTTTAACGAATTTTGGAAAGTTTCCTTGTAGCATGATGTCAATAAGGTCAACTGTGCATGTACTGTTGGCCTTATTTCCGAACTCGTCCTCACTCGAAAAATTATAAGTCTATATCCGAAAACAGAATTCAAAAATAATAATTCAGGACGTTGGTCTAAAATTAGATTATGCTGAGGCAATGATACCTTCGACGATGTGACTCTTTTAGATCGCTATTAAACCGTTTAGTATTGATTTATACAATGTTTCTAATTTATTATAGGAATTCTTTTTAGTACTACCCTTATATTAATTATATTATACTAATTCATGAATATTTTACGATACATGGTCATAAGAAAATGGATTTAGGCTTGTAGATATGTAAATTAGTATCTAGTAATTACTTAGCTATCTAAAATCTTGTTCTCATTTATTATTTATTTTAGTTAAAATAGATAACAACAATTATACGAGTTTATGATAACTATCTTGTATCCTCAATTTTCATACTCTTCTAATAGCAAGTAATAAATATACGTTTTTTGGAATCATCTTATGCCTTTTCATCTTAGATTAGTATATAATATAGCTTTAATATATAGCTTTTCATATTGCATACTAGTATGCAATGCATATTCTGCAATTTTAACGCCGTTTTTATCAGAACCAAACATCCATAGAAAGTAATCTACAGCTACGCTGTATATTACTGATATTAGTATTTCATGCCAAACATCATCACTTAAACAACTCTCGAATGACATGATCAGACTTGTCTCCAACGACAAGTTGTATCTTGTGATCCATCAAATTTAAGTGTACGGCACACAAGACAAGTGTGTCAGATAGGGCGACGAGAAAATCTGGAGAAGGGAGTTACAGCACGTGGCACTCAACGTCACTCTCAAAGTCTCGATCAGGTCTCGTCTCGACTGGTGGAGGGGATGAAAGCGACGAGAAAGTGCATCGAGAAAACGTGTGTGGAGCGAATTTGGGTTTAAACTCAAATCTTTTACCTCCTTCGTGTAGCAAGAAGTCATCATCACCATTCCCATCTACTCCGCTCTCCTGCCTGCTGCCTGCCGTCTTCTCACCATAATCTCATCCCGTTTCGTCGCAGCAACAGCGTTCGTCCAGGAACTTTGGAGGAGAGAAGTTGCTGCTGGCTGGCCAAAAAATCTCCCCAGAAACTTAAATTCAATTTTCATCACCCGTAGGTAAGTAAACCCCCACATTTCACACCCACCGTCCCACTCGAGTAGAGCGAAATGGGGAAGATTTCCCTCCAGACATTGCGAACGCTCGCAATTTCTCTCGAGTTTCTCTAGAGTATCGTCAAAATTTGAGGAACGTATCCAATATTTATTAGTCTCATTAATTCCCGAGGTAAATCATCACAGCCTTTGAAATTTTGGCGTTGGGGCTAGAAAGGGGGTTTGAAAAGTATATTTAGAATTATATCAATAGTCGGTTTATCTGAGTGTCGATATGAAAACTGAATATTTACATACATGAGGATACAAAGCAGTACTATGCACATAGGAGATTTTTTGAAATGTGCTTATGCACATTAGTTAAAGTGTATTTCTGCCTTTGGATTTTCCTAAATTACAGTACAGTAGTAGTGTGAAGTCTGTGAAAGTATTCATGCTCACTTGTTTTAGAAAATATTGGTTGGTTTCTTGAACAGAAATATTCTTTGTTTTACAGTTACACTAGTAAAACAGGATTTTAATTGAGAACACGGATTTGAAGAGGAAAGGGATATGGCGCCGGCGAAAGGGAGCAAGCCGGAAGTCAACCCATGGAGCTGGGCATCGTCAGTTGAACCAGAAAATATAGGATTGGAACAGTTGAGGAAAGCTTATAGAGTGGTGGATTATAAACCGTGCGAAGATCCGAGGTTAACTTTACTAAAATGCTTATAAATTAAGGATGCTCTTGAACTAAATTAATTCGAAATGGGTTTATTATTTTCAGACGAAACTGTAGACGAAATCCATTTTGCTACTGGGGACTGGGAGAAAAAAAATGGGGACACAACTCTGACGAGGGATCTGAAGATGATGATAATGGATTTCGTGAAGAAGGTGAATTTGCTGGTCTACAGAACTTGGGAGCCACGTGCTATGTCAACTCCCTTCTTCAGCTTTGGTTTCACAATCCTATTTTAAGGTACAGTTGTTACACAAAGACAAGATTAATGTAAAACTATCATCTATTCATTACCTAATAATTTTGTTTTTTATTTAGACCTGCCATTTTGAGGTGGCGACCTATTACTCCAGTCGTTGAGTCTTATCAACCGAGCGGTCCTATTGCACAGTTGCAGGCAATGTTTGCACGATTGAAAATGTCGAAACGGAGGTAAGATTGCTATCATTGTCCCTTTTGTGTGATGCAGGCAAGACTCACAATTCGTATAGAAATATAAATTTCCTACTATTTTTATTTCAGTAAAATTGACCCAACAGAGTTTGTCAAGTCACTGCAGCTAGACACTACGGAGCAACAAGATGCTCAAGAATTTTCTAAACTATTTATGGAGGTTATACTAAAAAATCTGACTGCAGCAGAGTATGTAGATCCTGCTATCCGCGATGCAGTTGCCAGTACTTTCCGAGGGGAACTTCAGAATGAAACCGAATGCACTGGTTGCAAAAATAAAACTCGAAGACAAGAGTCATTCAACGAATTGGAGCTTGGAGTTCGGAAGGATTTGAACGAATCCTTGGATGACCTACTAAAAGAAGAAATCTTGACCCTTTCAGAACAGTATTTCTGTTCCGTGTGTGATAGTAAAAATGATGCCATACGTCGAACAAAACTACTCAAACTACCACCAGTCTTAAATTTGCAACTGATGAGATTTGTGTTTGATAGGTATGGACATTTATTATTTGATGATATTATTTATTTATTGCATACTGAATATCGATTAATTAATATAAGAAGGGGAAGAAGAGTAAGTAATAATGCTACTTGAATATTCTAACAGGGAAACTTTGAGGAAGAAAAAGGTCACAACATCTATTCAGTTTCCTGAGGTTTTGGACATGACATCAAGGGTGACCGAAGAAGAAAGTTCCGAGAATAAAATAGATACATTAACTTATCATTTAAGTGCTGTCTTAATTCACAATGGACCTAGTACTTCGTCAGGACACTATATTGGTAATTTGTTATAATGTTTTGTTACTCTCGTTCCATTCCAGACCAAAATCAACATACAAATATACACATGCATATAACTATTTTGATGTTGGTATTAATAACGATAATCTACAGCCCAAATTAAGGATCTAAGAACGGGAGCTTGGCTGAAGTTTAATGATGAAAATGTGGACCCTCTTGGGAGAGGAAAAAGTCAGAAACTAATTTTAAAAGAAGATGAAGGTAATTTGCTTGAACCCTTCCACTTTTACTATTAGTGGTAGCATACATTTATCAAATTTTTAATTATATATTGATGGATATTATATTTTAGGGAGTGGTTCTGATAGCGACAAAGGAAAACACAAAAAAATCAAGACAACCGGTGTTCATAACTCTCAAGGAGCGTACATGTTGGTATATACACTCAACAAATATATCAAACAACCTGAACCTGATCCAGAGCCATGGTCATACCTGGACCAACTGATAAAGTTTGAAGATGAGGCTTACCAGGAAGAGGTTAAGAAATCTAAAACTGAAAAGGTAAGGTATTGGTGTTCTTGAATTGCATATAGTCAGGGGGTAACTTGTTGATTTATTGGATAGCTGTTAAGTATTGTTTTTTTACATTTCAATAATTTATATTACAGGAGTACGACAATAATCTCAAGGAGCAACGGAAACGTGAGATCAGTGAACTGTATCCGTCCCTTCAACAGCGACCTAACAAGACTGAAAAAACACCAGAAGGCGATGGCGATGTTGACGGTGATGATGATCAACCTCCAAAGAAAAAAACTGCGCGATTAGAAATTAACGGAGTGTCAAAGCCTGTCGAGTCAAAACAAGCAAGAAAACAAAATGGATCTTACTCATCAACCAAGAAAACTTCAAAGGACTCCAATCCCAGTAACGGAGGGGTCGGCAACTCGAAGTCTCTAAATGTTTCAAATAACGATGATAGTGCTGATCATCATAGCTCATCTAATAAGGTCTTTTTTGACCGTTTTGGCAATACATGGGAGAGCATACTAGAAAACATGAATTTTATTTCTTCGGAGTGGCTCCAACAATGGTTAGATCCTGTCAATCCACCGCCACCAATGGAAAACAAAACGTTATGCTGTGAGCACGGAAAGCTAGCTCCACCATCTCCGAACGTGACAGTTTGCCCATATAAAGTTATTCCTGAAAGCTTCGTGAGTACATATTTCTATTACTATTTTAAAACGATTATTACAAAAAAGTTCAAGCGATATCCCGTTGCCATTCATTGCACTGTTTTGAAAATTTGATATTTTTTTCAGGCGAATGAATTGTACTTGAATTATAGCGTTGACGGTCCAAGATTTAAAGGAGCGGAAGCTTTTTGTGATATTTGTGTCAAGTCCGAATGTCTTCGACTAAGAAAATTGCAAGAACTGGAAAATGACTACAAGTTGTTTTTAGAGTCAAACAAGAAGTTTGATGGGATTCAGCAGTCTAAAGAGAAATCTGAGAGTTTCATGTGGCTCAGCAAAGAAGCTCTACGGAATTGGAAGCGAACAGCTAAATCCAATATTGAAAATGAATTCAAAACTAGTGAAGAACTTGTGGATTGCGATGCGGAAACCGAAGAAGAGTCTGATGGCGTTTCATTGATGAAAGTTAATACTGAACTCGTTTGCCCCCATGGTAATAGGCTACTTTTAGTATTTTAAATATTTATTTTGTGGCTTGTAAATACAATTGTATTATACAAATTAACGATATTTTTGTTCGCATATATAGCTAACTTGACCCCAAACGAGACTATCCGGAAAAGTATTCCCGAAGTATCTTGGCATATCATTAAGAAATATTTTCCTGATGCCATTCCTCTTGCAGCTGGTGAAAAGGAGGACTGTGAGGAATGTTTGGTGAGTATTTTTTTAATAATTGTTAAGTCTATTGATTTTTTTATGTAATAATCATTTAACTATCTTTGCAGAATGTCAAAAGGGGTGATACTGAAATTAAAAGTATGAATAAAGAACTGGCACAGAAGCAGAAATCGAAATTGCTGGATCTCTACCTTAATCGAGGTAGACCGAGTATAGAACTTGGGTCTGTATTTTTAGTTAGTCAACAGTTTATCACTCGTTGGAAAAAGTTCATTCGGTAAGTTAACTGACCAACAATACATCATTCGTATTTGTGTTTTTCATCCTTAATTTCATAATTCACGGCACACGAGAACTAGCAATTTAGATTCTGTACAAGCAATATTACTGGGACTAAGGATAAGTGACATGAGATATAATGGGAAACAATAGTGTTATGTTAATGCTAAGCATTTCTCAGAATTATCTCAAATTTGCGTTCAGAAATTGATCGGTTGGAGCAAAAATTTGATGGTATCGTCTGAGGCTACGTGAAAGATTATTATTGGCAATTCATCTTCTTCAAAGAAATATGTCGACCCTTTTGTGGTCTGGTGAGTCAGTGGTTTTCCTCTTTCCCTTGTCATGATCACAGTTACATATGGAGCATAAAAATCGTTGAAAATATCGAAAATCTTGTTAACGTCAACCCGATATCCGCTGCATGAGCTCAATGAGTGTTTTTTCATTTACGATATTTGATCAGTTTGGATTTATCGGAACTACTGGCTCCTACTTGGTGGTGACTGGTGCAGAACAAGCAATATGACGGTCGTGGTGGGGTTTGGAATTTCTCCAGGGTGTCAGACACTTGTGTCTTACACGCAAAGGGTACCTGAAAGCAAATAAGAATGGTGTGTGATGGTAGCGATTTTGGGATGACAGGCTTTTAATATTTCGAGAGATATGACCAGCTCATAAATCACCACTCGATTTACGATTTGGGGACTTGGCGGAAACCGAGGAGGGACAGTCCGCTCTCTCTCTCTCTCTCTTTCTCTCTTTGGTTTTTGTGTCTGAATTCTTTTGTTCTTGGTTTGCTTTCTCCATGTACTTTGGAGATGTTGTTGAGGTGAAAGCACTTTGGGGCACTGTCTGACAACGTGTATTCACCAGTGAAAGTCTAATATTATGCTTGACATGTGGTTGGTGATATTTTTTTAATGATTTGCAGGGACCCAATAAAATATGACCCTGTGGAGAATATCAACAACCAAACATTGCTGTGCTCCCACAATAAGTTCATGTATCCACTACATAATTTTCTCCCGGAAGTTGTGCTAGAAGAGAAACCAGAAGAAACTTTGTAAGAATTATACAGAGTTACAATTTACTCATATAGCTATCATATGTGCATATGCATTTAGTGTTTCTGGTTAACGTAGATTGTGCCTTGTTTACCCTACCGAGTGGAACACAATGTTGGGTTTATTTTCAGTGGATACAACAATTAAAGCTGAAATATTTGACCAAGAAAATATACAATATGATCCAGGTAGACGCCACGTCAATTTTTGTCGTATTAGTTATTTTTCTAAAAAGTAGATTGGGAGTGTAAATTAAAATATTTATTGTATAGAAATATGTAATGCCTGTGCTACGGACTGGTGGGTTGGGGTCCATCGGCAAAAGTTTAATTACACTAATCAACTAATCCATATTGTGCGTCGTGATAAAGACAAATTGGAAGAGCCACAAACTGATTGCGATGATCTGTTTATTGTAAGTGACCAATAATTTTACCATAAAGTTTATACACCTAATATATCTAAATGAATTATGCAGCCTGTCAGTAGTTCTACCTCTACCAAACGTGCTAGAACAACACGTGATCCGATGGGTTGGACAACTCCAATTTGGCGTGCTAGTAATACTACTTCGATCAACTCGAAAGAACCGACTACTGCAAATTCCAGCAATCATGGTGTCAGAAGAAGTGCTCGTAAACGAGGCGAGAAGTCTTATAAAGTGTCATCTACAACTACCCTTAAGGAATTAAAAGTGATGGTAAGCATTTGCTTAAATTTAGTTGGAACTTAATTTACCCCATAATTTACACATGTATTGTTTTAAATCATTTTTTAAATACATAGATTATCAAAGACTTTTGCGCATTTCCAAGCGATCAGCATCTATTTTACGAGGGTCAACCAATTGGAGATGATATGATATCCTCGACCTTAGGAGAATTACAGATCACTGCGGATTCTACACTATATTTAGAGGTACGATTATCTCCAAATTTTACATATACCTAGTACGCAATTATTTATAAGTAGAATGTACTTTTCCGTCTTATAGTTAACTACATTAGTCGGCTAAGTATGGTACTCTTTATGTAGAAAATATTAACATCAAACTTGGAAACTATTCAAAATCCTGTTCATACAATTAAGTAGTAGCAATAGTTCGCAGTAAAGATGCTGCAAGACAATGGATCCAATTTTCCATATTAAAAATCAAGTATTGTTGTTTGGCATGATTTATAATGGAATCTATTGTCTAATTGTTTTAGCGGTTGATCTCCGGAGGATATGTCTAGTTTAAATGATTGAAATGGTGGAATTAGTGAGTTGCTACTGTGTACGCATATTGCTCTCGGCAAATGTATTCAGTAGTAATCAGTAAGGTTTAAGAACTCAATAATTGCTTTCATCTGCAATACTTATATAACAGAAAGTTTGTGTTTCAAAGTTTTATTCATTATCATTCACGATAAAGCAGGGTTTCCTTACGTACTTATAAACTCTAATAAATAATAATCTTGCGAGATTGTGATTATACATGTCCAGCTTCATATGTCATATGCACATCATGCAAGTATACCGATCCTGGTAAAGAAAAAGGTTCTGTTGTTGAGTTGAGTGAAGCTAAGAGTTTTTGTGTGTGGAGTTTTAAAAGGATTGAGATGCACTTTTCTGCTGTCGGGTATTATTCTGGTTGATGGGAAAATGAGTTTGAAGGCTGTAATTTAGCACTCAAGATCATGTAGCTAATGAGATTTTAATTTTTCATCTTTGTCATTCCATTAGTTAAAATGCTATAGTTTTCCTTACACTTTGGGAGCCTTGTCTTTCGAAATTTCATTCCTTTGCTGCTTTTTCTTACCCTTCAATAAGCACGTAATATAACTACGTTTACGAAGGGATGAGATTCATATATATTCAAAATTAATTATTCATGGCGTTACGTTTGTTATCTCAGGTCGACACCGCGTCCAAGCATCAAGAGGACGACCCAGTTTCTCCATCAGTTGAGACCGGATTCAGGGGTAAGTTGACTATTTTCAAAATGAACTATTAAATAGGTAGATGTGTATGATGTCAGGTGTATCATCCTTTGCAAATTATTTATTGGTTTCAAGTTATCTATATTAATAAATATATTTGTCATACACCAGTATTTACGTACTGTGTCATTTACTATTTAAATATATTCTGGTGGCTTGTGTGCAGCTACAATGAGAGACGTAATAATATGAGTATGTACAAGAACCATCACGTGTTTAATTGAATACAATATTGAATGGAAACAAAGAAGAAATCAATCAGGTTTAACAATGGAAGGTTAATAATGAACGGCGCCTGATAAAATTAGTTTTGAAGATTATGCCTCAAGCAAAACGCTTTTATAAAAATTTTCAAACTGTCAGCAGTTCGTCGTCGACACTTTACCACTCATTTCTACACTTTCTGTATAAATGACCATGCTACTAGTACGTATCAAGTTCACTTGATGAGACTTGTGAATATCCAAATCAATTGGAATATGTAAAAATATTGTGCGTTTAAGTAGGGAAGATGGACGAATTACGTTTGCAAATATCCTGGTGTAGCAATAATGGTGTTGTTTATGTAACGGTCTGTGTTGACATGTTTAGATGTAAGCTAAAATCACATCTGACATTTACACACATATTATGCCATGGTCAGTATTAGTAAAAGATAATGAAAGTGATGTGGAGGGAATGCATGACGAACTAGAGGCGCTTATAGATTTTTATTCAAGATAACAATCTAACCACCAGGTTTGATGCCTCAGAGCTGGCTATATTAATACTAGGTGTTGGAAATATTAGACTTTTAAACTAGTTTTGTCAGGATAGATTGGTTGGCCGGGAGTTTTTTTTTCATTACACGTTGTTATCTAATTAAATGTGTAGCTTATGTACGAGAGAAATACATGTTCAGAAGAGGAGTGATTAATGAGTGGAGAGCTTGTTTCATCCCTGGGTAAACTATTTGTCTTTTTTTCTACAGGAACGCTCTTGATGGGAGGCACGTCTGCGTCTAGTCCAGATCCGGTGGTTGACGACGACTTGAAGTCCAGCTAAAAATATCAATCACTGCAGGGGATATCTTAGATTGCGGTTGGTGATGATTTTTGTGTCTTCTGGAATTGTGATATGAGGAATATTTACGTACAACAACTATCTTTAGTCGTTTTTTATTTATTTATTTTCTAACCTACAAATTTTCCACGTGCAATTAGGATGTAACTCTCACCTGCGACCAGAAGGGGTAATAGAAGTTATGCAGGCGTTGGAGTTATATTTCGTTAATACAGAATGTAGCCATTTGGGAAATTTTCGTAACATATTTTTACAAAGCGGGTTGCCGCTGACCAAGAAAATTGATCATCACAAAACTGTTTAATTTATAATTTATTGAATGTGAGAGTGAGTATTTAGTTAGTATTTTATAATAGCTGGACTGTAGTAATTATTGAATACATGCATCGTTCCTTTATGTTCCTTATATTCAAGATGCACGTATGCATGAGCGTCCGATGTGAGCATATCCACTGTACTTTTAGTAATAATAATAATCAATTAAGCTGATGTGCTTTAGTTTTGTACAAGTAAGTGAAAATGAAATTCTTGAACGTATGTCTGGAGTGATTTTTGTTTTAAGACGGAAGAAAATCAGCAAAATAAAATAAAATAAATGTAATTCTTGTAAGATATGCGTAGTGAAGTGTATTTACGAGTGAAAATTTATTGCTACATATCCCATGTATATCTTTAGAGTGGAACCAAAACGGTTTTCCTTTTGGCAAAGTTTGTCGGTTGGTTGAGCTCTTCTTCTTCTTCGTTTGGTTTCTTAGTATGAAGGAACTCATTTCATTTGGCGATGTGCCACGAAGCAAGAAGCAGCAGTACTTGAGAGAAGAATAAAGTCTTCTCCATATCCACACCAACAACCGTCGTACCACTGCTTGGTCAGAAGTCAGGAGACGCTGTTCTCTTCTTCTTCTCTGTCCAATTCTATATCTTGAGGCCTGCTGAACAGTGCGAGAACATTTGAGAATCTCACAACAGCAGCAACCAATACATACACGGAAATAACTGCTGCTGCTGAGTTTTGCTCTGGAACCAAAGAAATGGCTTTCACTCTTCTTCGTCGTCGTCGACATAGGTCGCTTTGGTTGTGCCCGTCCGTCGGTCGGTCGGGCGGGTGATGCTCAAGAAACAAGTATATAGCGTCGCCCCACCGAATGATGTATGGCTTCTTGTATGTTGCACACTACACACGTCCACGTCCGCCCAAGTATAAATGGCTTCTTCATCGGGGGTTCAAAAGACCCCCCACATTTCTTAACTTTGGTTCTGTCGTCTTCCCGTCCCGAAAAAAGGACTGTGCTTTTATTAAATTCATTTCACTAATGTACTTGTCGTACTTGGATAATGAATTAATAGGCTCACCATTCTCACTCCTTCCGGCTCCCTTTCCCTGCCTCTCATTTATGAGTTCATGTCAAATGCAGTCGTGATTAATCGGGTGACCAGGATTCATTGGGTTCGCAGATAATGTACGAGATTTGTATGTACAAGAGATCTGCATTTGGAGAAATGTGATAGTACGTTCATACATTTTGAGGAAAATGAAATAATATGAGACGAATCTTCTCTGACTGGTTTGGTTAAAGTTAGACTTATGTTTGGCTTGCAAAATATTGGGGGTGAAAGTTTGCTCATAGAATCTGATAGTGAACGAACCACACCTGCATTTTAATTCACATCCTTTTAGGTTAAAGACCAGTGGGGTTAAGTATTCTAACACTCCAATAGCATGGTCAGGTCCGAGGAAAGAAATAGCTGGCGTAACAAGGGCAAAGTCGTGTGGGGGTTGTTTCGGGGAGAAGTGAGACAAATGGAAAGTAATCTTCGTCCAGCTCTACCATACTTTTAGAACTATAGATCTTTACGTAATAATGATAATGAATGCAATGCAGTGCAGTTGTTGGCTTGGGTTCCAGAAGCAGCAGTAGTTTTTGTTGGTTGAGGAGACGAGGAATGACACATATTGGAAAACGCTTCATTTTGCCAACACAATAGAAAAACCTAATCCAATAATGTGCCAATCAAGACACACTTATTATTATAAACCTGGTTCGGTTCTCCTTGTATTGTGAGTTGTTTTCTTTGGAGTATTTATCCCTCGTAAGTACGTACCCTGCAAGCAAACTAGATACTTGCTACAATGCAAAGAATGCTATCTTATTGGATGTTCATACGATCTGGACCAATATTAACTACGAGGACGACGACGCAATTGAATCGCATCTCATGATATATTGCGCAACATGAATTGTTCTCTAGAAAAGACTTTCGGATGGATTTATCGCAAATTGTAATCTACGTTACGTATCTTTTTTAAACACGATGATGAGTGGATCGCCCGTTGTTAGTGGTCTTCAAGTTCAGTCAGATCTGCTCCATACAGTTCGCCCGTCTTGATTTAACTTTTACAAGAACCCATCACCAATCACCACCCTTTGTTGTTAGCCATCTTACGTCCCGTCCAGTTGGGATAATAATGAACAAAGCACAAAAGCCAACTTACTTGCCATAATATTTCACAATAGATGATCCGAATTGACAGTGCTCTCCTTTCACCGTGTTGTTACAACCCTTCGCACACTTTGTGTATCGTCGTCGTCGTCGTCGTTGGACGCGTGAACATGAAATTTTAATTTTCATTATCATCCTGCATTATCTACCTGTCCAGTATAGATAAATGGTGTCGCATTTGTTACCTCATTGTGATTAATATACACACATACCCACCTAACGCTTGCTTGGCATCATTTCTTCATTTTTCATTTTCAGCACGGGCTGTTATGAAAATGCGTTGAACGAATGAAAAAATAAATATCTGTGTAATGAAGATGAGATTTTATGCTTCTTTCACCACAAAAATATGGTAGACAATTTTTAAAGCTATAAAATTGAATGACTGATTTATTCACTTATTTATTACAATTTGAAACTTGAAATTTTAATGTTGGTTAAAATTGCGATATGAAATCAAGGTTGGCATATCTACGTTCACAATCTCAATCTAAACCAACGCTATCTGCTTTAAATTAGGGTTTACCAAAAGAGCTTTGTGTGCGAGCAGAATGGTTCAGGTTATCGTGATCAGTTGGCTGAGTAAAAATGGGGAGGAGGAGAGGAAACTTGAGGCGAATTTATTGGTGAAATTATGCTCTACTTGTTGATACCTTGTTTTTGTTGGATTCCCTCCTGCATGGCTCTACGATACACAAGTTCAACTGTTTTTACCTGGAGCAGATGCTGTTTAAAAGGCTTGGCTGGCTTCAAATGAGCACACCAGCATCATCGCACCTATGAATTTATAACGTTTCAGCTAATTAGTGGCTGGTGAATTTTACGCCTTCAATCAAGTTTCCTCTAACGTGGGGAGTTCTTTTCACACCAAGAGTTTTAAGAAATCAATAATAAATAAATTATAATCTGAAAATGCTTAGGTATTATGTAGACCGGTTCAAGTTATTCTTCTTGTATACCCATTGGTTCAACATCATCATACGTATTTATGTGCTATGGAAAGCAGTGATAATCCCGCACGATGCCACATTATTTCTCTTTATCAAAACTTGTACTAAAATTTGTAAATCTCAATAAGTTTTCATGTTTTTAAATTGGTACTGCTGACGTCTCTCATTGTAATTTTACCTTTGCATGCAAGTACTATTATTGTACAGTTATCTACTTTATAGACATTCTCTTCTCTGAGCCATGGGAATACAAAATGAGTTCAAATCCTGACTCAAGAAGCTAATCAACCAAATCGCTCAATTTTGACCGTATGCAAAAAACAATAAAAATTGTACCAGAGTTGTACCAGAGATTCTTGCCTTGTCACCTCACATAATTTAATCTGCCTTATTTCTGACCAAGAAGGAAATCACTCTGCTCGTAGCACGTAAATTATATCAGGTTGATTAACAAGCAGGGCCCAAATGAGGCCTTATCTTGGAAAAATTGGAATAAAATACATGCTTGGTGCCACATTGTATCACTACAATCACAGAGTTAGAAAGAAGTTTGTCCAATTTGATCTCTTTCTAAAAATAAATTCATAAGCTACCCTCCCGAATCGTGTATGTACATTTCTTTGCGACGAGCTACCTAACAAACTACTTCAAACATCGTCATCAGTACCATGTTGAATTTTGGTACCAAATAAATATGCAGGAGCCTTGGCTCGTCACTTAGATAGACACCGAAGACTCTGTGACTAACTGAAACTTAATCGATGATTCGTCAGTTTATTGATTTGTGGAAAGTTCAATAAAAGTCGTGCGCTTAACATCATCAACTGAATCTTGTACTTAATAGCTTCAGTCTCGGACTTAAAACGAACTCTTTCTCATTTCTCCACAATATGCACAGAGGTACCCTTGAGATAATGATTACAGTTAGAATGAATGACTCCGAACACTGTCCCACGAGAGCTCGATCTCTATCTCGTACACATCCTCCAACTTTCCCGAGAGTTTGGTTCTACTAACTTTTATTAACGATAAAATTCTGTCAGTCATTTCCTACCTGTGTGTAAATAAGGTTGATCTAATATCTTATCGAAAAGAAGCGGTCAATATGTATCGGATAACTGATTGTCGATGCAGCAGTGTTACCTGTGATAATACCATTAAAACCTAAACGTCGTCTCGACTCAGTCATCTTCCATTCGGTTACGTGCACCAGTTTGTGCATGGGTTTTAGAATGTTGTTGTTGGATGACCGCAGATACAGATATGAAAAAGATTCCAGTGGGCAACCGAACCAAAATAGATCAAGAGTTGAAATTGCTTTGAATCGGAACAAATGCGTGGACGAGGATCGGAGGAGCGAGTTAAACAAACTCTAGCCACTCAGGTGGAAAAGTGCTGATCACGTAATCCTAAGAAAATTAGTTTCTCTCCGCAAAATTGTCTAGATAAAAGGGGACAAAAACAACATTTTTAGTTTAGAACACAATGTCAACGTACAGGTAAAACTCATCTAAGTATGCAGTAAATACGCTATATTGCTTCCTAGACCCATAGATATGCACGTAGGTACGTTGCTTATTGTGCACTTGAAGTCTTATTGAGTTTGCTGCTGCCTTCTTCATCCATACATGAGAACGAAACCAAAGTTTTTGTCCTCTCTCTCACACAAAGTTACCAATCTCAGCTCATTTCATACACGTACATCTCGTTGTAAATGACTTTTACAAAGATGACTTTTTGAGACAGTTCGGTAATGGGATGTAGAAAACTATTATCGAGGAGGGCTACAAAGCACCGATGGCTTTGGCTTGATAATAGAAATGGCTAGCTTGAAATTTAGCCTTAAACTTTTATGCATGCCTCAAGGGTTGAACATAACAATCTGATTCTGAGGTATTGAAATATTACACGTTTAGAGGAACAATTGTACATGGATACACACACACACAGTGGCGAATTTGAGACTTTCAAGAATCTTGTCATGCTAATGGATGCATGCTTTTGACGAGGGAAGCAATGAACGAACAAATTGTCCTCTTTTTTATATTTTTCTAATCCAAGCTACTTATGTTGACAGTTCATTACACTTTTGGTGGAAATTTTGCGGATCAACTTTAAGATTAAAGAAGAATTCTAAATTATTTCACTCGGATTTATGGAAATG